ACGACTATACCCCCCCCCTCGAAAACCACTGCACTCCCCCAGGCTTCTACATATTCTTCTTAATTTCCACTCGCCAAACTTTTGTAACAACCGTGTGCTTTTTCCCCTACACACTTCGGACCACTTCCACCACACCTAAAAAACAAAAATTTCTAAGGGGGGGGGGGGGGGGGGTTCCTGAGTACCAGACGAGCCCAAATGCACCCATTCCCACAGGTTGGAGGTCAGTGTATCTATGAATCAGGCCTGTTAGTTAGCATTTCTCCCCTCCGGCCAACTGATAATGACGACCAGGCGAGCAACATGGTGGTTCAATGCATACCTGTTTGTGATCTCGAAAGTAGTGCCAAAGATCTGAGCACGAACAAACTCCGCCATTTTAAACTGGTCCATAGTGGCGCCCAACTCTGACAAAATCAACCGGAGTAAAAGGGAAGAAAGAAGAAACGTGAATAAAATAGAAAAAAGATTTGGAAGTCGATTTCTTTTTCGTCGCAATCGTCAGGAGTGAAAAGGCCAAGCAGCCTGTATATACCTCGATCGGATTCCAGGTGCGAAAAAGCAGAGGGGCTCAGAGATACTGTGCTGGAGACTTAATGCGACCAAATTTCATTCACCCACGATAGAGTTATCGACTCGCAGAATGAAAGGTGTCTAGTTATTCCTGAGAGTGTTGTGCTGAGAGACAGCGACTGAAGAGTGGTTCACGGAAAGGACAACGAGAGGTTGCGTGAAATTGAAGACTAAAACGTGTTTTTGGCCACGGCAGAAAAACGAGGGGCAAGTTCAATAACCTCACACCAGGGAACGCCGGAGTCAAGTAGCAACACAAAAGTGAGGGGATAAATTACTAGTAATTTGGCAGAAGAGAAAAACACAGTGCTACTAAGTAATGATCTAAAGAAATAAAAAGACAAGATCATGTGAAGGAAAGCGAAAAAGGGCAAGTCTACAAGCTCCCTGAATCGCAGATAGAATGTGCTTCGAAAGCCAGGCAAGAAAAACCGGGTAACTATTGGTTGCAAAATCTCCAAAATTTTGGCGCAACGAACTATGGACGACATTTACCATTAACTACTATCGCGACCTCATTCCGTTCCAAAGAGATAAAACCTTCCGACATGCCCAAGCCAAAATCTTATTCGAAAGTTACCATGCACAGCTGCATCACAGAGAGCCATTATTACTACTAGAATTCAGACCACAGATTATACACCATTTTCCAATGTTCAACATGAGGTTCAATAAAACCACCGTTTCCTGCCGCTGAGTCAAGAATTGGCATGAGGTTCACAAGTTGTTATGGTTTGTCCCAACGGGAAAACCAGGCCATTCCCTGTCCTATAATGATAATCCCCAGCGAGGCTCGGTTCGAAAACCGGGTGATGACGACGTTGCTATTACCATCTCCAGTTTACCATGCCGTGTTTGCTGAGACACACTAGGGTGCCGATTTCATGGTTTTTAAAGGAATCTCTGCTGTTTGGTTCCCTGAGGTCCCTGGGTTTTCAGCAAAACCAATGAGCAAAGGAGGTTTCTCTTGTTTGCTGGTCTTTGGACATGCTACAGGTGGGAATGACAGAACCTCAGAAAATGTGATAATGACCTCACTGTGGAGACCTGTCAAGGGGAACAATCCTTTCTCTCGTAGGCAGGTATACAACCAAAGTGAAATTAACTTCCTCTCCGCAATGGCAATTAAGTTTAACGTTCTATAAATAAATTTTTGACCCAACAACCAGGAGAAGAAATTTCTCCACGACCTCGCCCATGTGGAAAAATATCTGCAATGACAAGGATGCAACTCACACCTGGTGTGCGCGGTTTCCCTACCAACTTTTGTCTCTTGCTTCGATCTCCTTACCCTACACTCCGGGCTTAAGCAGTCCCCATCACAGGCAACTTCCCTTTTCTTCTGGACAAAGCACTATATAATAGCTATCGCCACAATCAAATGCCTCTTCTATCGATCGCAGCAGCGTGGTTACGGAGAGCGAACCGGCAAATCGACAGCCAAATCCCCTTATCTTTTCCATCGGATGTTTGATTCCTGCATGGCGAATGGGACAGGTTATCCTTAAGTGTGCTGCATCCAAACCAACCCTTCCCCGCCCGACCATTTATCACAGGATGCATATGCTAAATTAAGAGAGCATAGCTCATTTTCTCTCTGACCATACGGCAGGCATACTGTTGAATCTGTCCTCCTAAAATTCCCGGTGAGACCCCGCCATATGGTATACCATCTTCTCCTTCTCCTGTTGAGCTCGGAATATTCCGAAGAAGTTTAGTCATGCAATATTGTGCTTTAGGATTTACGGATAAATGACCAACGAACGGTGTTGGCCTTTTTTCCTTTTAGGTTCCAAATCATAAAGCACAACCCTCGCATGCTAAGGCAAGATTGGATGACGGGTACAGCAAAGAAAGCGTATATCTTGCACATATGACATAGTTGACAGACGTCAAAAAGCTATTGCTTGTACATCTGTACCTGTGGCGGCTCGATCAAGCTTTAGAATAGTTGATAGAAGTAGTTGTTTGTGAAAAAAATGATTCCTGGAAAGTTAACATAACGACATATCTGTAAGTTCATGAACAAAGCATCTAGGCAGGCAGGCATATATATATGGATGGGCCGGAGGATCGAAAATGAAATTTAAAAGAAAAGTGCAGGCAAAAGAATGGAAGAGAAAGCAAGAGCGTAAGAAAATGCCATTGAGTAAATAAGGCCAGAAATATTTCGGGCTATTCGGCGCACCTCTATCACATTGCACCCCAGGCCTCACCGAATAACCTTGATGCTAGAATTTTTTGTTGAATAATGGGTTTCTTTCAAGATAGGTTATGCCATGGAACCACGGATGGCATTCATCTCGCCAGATAGAATCATGATCAATTTCAGCTCCCCGTTAGAATAAGCTGAGTGACATGGGGAAGAAAAGCAGCAAAATGAAGAAAAGCTTACCTACCATGCTTTTATTCCGGGAAGGAGAAGAGCAGGAGGGAGGAAGAAGCAGGGCCTTTCAAAAGGAATGAACCGGCGGCATCATTATCTAATGCCGTCCCCTATATTTCTAAGGACCCAACTGATGAAATTCCAGGAAGGAATTCGCTGGGAAGTAGAGTTTCATTGAAGCGCGTACTATGTATGGCATATGGCATAAAAAGAAAACTTTGCTCAAGACAATGGGCCCCACGGCCAAACTCCGGATAAAAGGGGAAGCAGCTCTCTATAGAATTGCATGTTAATACCTGCGTCTTAAATGTGTTGCTTTTTCTTTTGTTTCTAAGCTTAAAAGTCACAAAAAGCAGCAATACACATGTGGTAGGTATATATATATATATATCATGATCTGCAGGAGGTACAGCACCTACGCATCTAACTATATCATTAGCACACGCCACATCCCCCTGCTTCAAAGCTTCATCAATTTCCTTTATTTCGCCTCCTTCCATTCTCCTTTTCCTAATAGTTGTGTCAGGATATAAGGTTAAAATACCCAACAGATGAACAGTACTATGATGCTACTATAGTCAACCGAATTTTGAACCAACAGCGACATAATTTCCCGTAACTTAGAAGACGTGGACAAAAGAAAGACGTGCTTTTCCTTCCAATGGATGGCCGCATGCTCTCGTTAACGAGGTATCCCTTAGGCAATAGGCCTTTTCCCAGGGAAAGCGCAGGACGGGTTAGGACAACTGAGAAGTTTTCTCAGCGTTTCTTGGTTCTCAAACGTTTTTGGTGAAGCTAATCTTTTCCCCCCCTCCTCTGGCGGGGAGTGATGAAATCAGAGAAAAAAAAAAAAAGGAACAGCTTCGGAAATCCGCAGAAAGCATACTGTGTGCAATATGATACAAAGATCCATGTATCTATGGACATTTTCCGTTTTGAGTCAAGGATTTTGACATTCCTGGCAATGGCTTGGTAATGCGAACCAGTCTTAGCTCAAATCAGCGGACCGGCTACCGCCACGGCCGATTCTGTTAATTCCAACTCTTATCACCCTTTCTCGCCAAATATATTTTAGCGGTATCCTGTTTGATTGGAAGAGGAGAGACATGCAGGTCATATACAGTTTAGCGGCAAATACGGCGCGCTGCACCAAAATTTCATCCCGCAGAGCTTGGCTTCGGATTCCGTCCTCCACGCTCCAGGGGATGATTGGTCGGCTTGTTCAAGTCCAACTCCTGCACTTAATCTTGAAGATTGGATCTGAGTGGCGCAAACGGGCCCGAGAGGCAAGACCCTTTTCAGGGCCATCGAGGAAGGGGAAAGAGTATGTTCGCATGTTGCCAGGAAGGAGGAGGGGCTTTCACTTCCCAGGGATGTCGACTCGCTCTTGAATGGCTGTGTGTGGCCGGTTTCACCATTCACCACGCGCTTGAGTTTAAGCTTTTTGTATGCATTATTTAGCCGGGCTGGCCAGGCCCAGCCAGGAATTTGAATGGCGTGGGCGAGAGGGGATGCAAAGTCCCATTTCCTCAGTCCGACTTCCATTCAATGCCCTCCTCGACAAACGCGTTTGGCCAGACGGGACACACACATCCGTGGACAGGCATGGTGAACGTTTTCGTCCTCTGCTATGACCTGAGTACGTCTGGATTATTTCATGCAGAAAAATGGGCAAATGTCATGCAGCGATGTGGGTGGACCGTGGAGAGATCAGACTGAAGCACACTTCAAGCAACAAGTGCAATCGAGGTTTTCGGTATTCCTGTCTTGCATCGTGCATGAGCTCATTATTATTACTGTGTAAATGCCCGATCGATGGTTACCCTTGGTTCTGCAGGCAGTATTTTCATTTCAACTGTTGACGCATCAATTGAGCCCTTCCTAGGCCAAAACCTAGCTGTTTTCCCAATATATTCACGCTGTTTCAAACCATAAACGCCAACTTGGATCAGCTGGCTGCGGGGCCACGGACTTCTGGTTGAATAACTCCGATAAAAATAACGAGCACATAGATCTCCGCGAACGCACAGTACATGAGTTGCATTTTGAGAAGAAGAGGTGAAGCGGTCACTGGTGTTTGTCTGGTTAGCCATCCTGGCGCTGGCTGCCCGGACTGTGGTTATTCGTTATCACTGCATACTATTATGTTATTATTAGCTTTCATTCCAAGAACTAGATCTGTACGCTGATGGTAGCTTGACTCTGTTTTGGCTCCGTTTGGTGGGGTTTGTAAATCGTATCTGCGTGTAGCTGACTGTACCAGAGCTTTGATGTTTCACGGAGCTGGATTTAGGCTCATTGGACTGGAATGGACCTGGTGGAAGTGGATGATAAAAACGAACCTGGGCCTCCGAGTTCCATCCCAAGTTCCATCAAAAGGAGCCATGATAGGTAATTCAATAATACGCACAAGTATCAATGCACACTACACATACGGCCGTCGAGGTCTGCCCCGCCCCTTGCTATCCATCCTTGTCTAGAGCTCAGACATTCAGCAAGGTTTCGATGGCCTGTCGATCATCCAATCACCCCGGCTAACACGCTCGACTCCCATTGCAGCCTCTGCAAGCGGCGTCGAGAGGTACCCGTCCAATAACATGCGGCGAGAAACGAGTCGGGAGGGCCTCCTTTCCGTCTCTTGCCGCGATCCTTCAAATCCGCCCTAGACCTAAAGGAGCGCTCTAGACGGATCGCATTTGGTCCATAATACCCTGCAAGACGAAGGCTTGGTGAGCAAATTTTCAACAGGTTGAGGCGTGCAAAATAATAATGAAACGGCCCAAATCCAGGGTTGACGGAATATTACTGAAGAAACGTGCTGGGATTGTTGCCCCCACCCACTCGACCCAGGTCTTTTGCTCACATCCGTTGTTATCCACGTGATGGATGCCTTTACTCCCAAAGGTACGATAGCGTGCTACACGTCGAGAGAAGGTCCATGCTTCTTTGATATTGTAGACTAATATAGGGCCTATCAGCCGGCTACGGTCAATACCTTGCGCATTCTTTCATCGGCGTCCCTCAAGTCACCCGTCTAGACGAGCACCGTGTATTGAAAGAGAGCCGACATGACCGTCGCGAAATCGATACCATGCGGTTTATTGCGGACAACACAAGCATCCCCGTGCCAAAAATCTACAACACCAGGTTTGATGAGGAGAAGCACATCTCGTACATCGTGATGGAGTACATAGACGGTGAACCGCTGAACAAAGCGTGGGCGAATTTAAACCGTGATCAGAGAATATCCACCTGCCATCAACTAGCTGAATACCTCACCCAACTGCAAATGTTGACGGGCGAGCGAATTGAAGCCGTGAACAGCTCGACTGTCCGCGTCGGCCTGACCGAGTCACGTTGGGGGGGCCCTTTCGACAGCGAAAAGGAGTTCAATTACTTTCTGACACAAGGTGTTCAGCGGCATGATCTAACTGACAATCATGCGATCCATTTTGCCCATGGCAATCTAAATCCCAGGAATATCATGGTCAACAAGCGCGGCCGTATCACTGCCATACTTGACTGGGAGTGGGCTGGGTGGTTCCCACAGTACTGGGATGTTGTCCGAATGCTCTTGGATATCCCGGGGAAGAGGCAGATGCCGAATTATGCTGAGCATCTTCAGGCGACTTTACCATACTTGTACAAGGAAGAATATTTGGCAATGCTGGATGTGTTTGGATTAAAATCTTCAGGTCCTCGTGCAACTCCTCTTCATGCCAGCTCTCGTTCCATGTAATATCCTTCCCTTGTTCCTAGCCTATTGTCTTCTTTTCCATTTTCCCATTTCTTTTTCCCCTTATTTTTTTTCTTTTTTTTCCATTTCATTTCAATTTTTCATTTTTCATTTTTTTTTTTAATGATGCGAGCCGTGAGATTTAAGCGGGTTGAGTCCTTGCAAGTTTCTTTCTTAGTCAAAAGCATTGGTGCGTGAAGCCAACTCATGATTTTGGCTTCATGTTGGCACTGTGTGTTTGTTTCCCAGCAGCTAACACTACAGATCAAAATATATATCCAGGGGTGGGCAGTTGATTATGGTTTTAGAAAATTAAGCAGCGTTTAAAATTTCCACAGAAGTTCGTAGCGTGGTTATAAGATTCAAATCAGAGCATCCTCTCTAGAAATACAGCATGAAAGATGACTCTATTTAGCTGGTCTTGATGTTGTTGTATATTTTTCCCAGGTCCCGCCATCCTTTGATAATTACATGAATCAACCCTCACGGCCGTCACGACCACAGCATTTGGTCCCAGTCATCTATTTTTCCTGAAGGAAGCAAAGGGATTGCTTTAGCGAATTTCCGGAGCAAAGCATCAAAATGCTCTTTCCGCCCGCCCTCCCTCCTGGCCGATTCCAAGCCTGCATTGGATGGATGAGCATGTTTTAAATGAACCAGAGAGCCTGAACATTCACTTAACTTTAACAGAAACGATACGGTGCCTTTGCTCCGGAGAAACTTGAGATTCTGGAAGTGACAGGTCGCCCTTTCACCCTCAAGGCTGCGTGGTTCCTGGCAGGTTTGCAGGAACATTCATGCTGGAATTGCTAGGCGTTGCTCGGGGCGATGGTGGCACATCCAAGATAGAAGAGCCCGAATCACAAGTGTCGAAAATAGATTGCATTTTCAGGAGGCTAATGGCAAAATTCCTTGAACCGTGGCTTGAAGCTGCATTGACCAATTAGATCGCGATCAGAATTTTGTAGCTGTGCCCCGCGAAGTCGGTCTAGGTAGTTGTATTGTGGCAAAGCTGATCACTTGGAGCTCAAATCCTAAAAATGTATGGCTGGTATTTCGTCCTAAGGAGGCATAGAAATGTATCTACTTTGGGCATGTTAGCACTGGAAGAAAAGATGTTGGCTTCGCGATGGGAAGGGAGCTTCAACACGTGACCTCAATCTAGACGGATCTATACAACGGAGAGGAAGTTATCTATGCAGTATCTAAGGAGCAAATAGACATTTCATGGGAGATCGCCGAGCGAATAATTCATTCAAGTCACTGGGAGCCTATAGTCCCTTAAAATCTTCTCTAAATCGTATCAGGAAAGGGGAAATGACATGTCAGGCTGCCGATTTGTAATGTATACTCCCTTCTTCCACCAAAATCGAATAGCACTAGTATCGAGCCCAGGAACATGACTCAAACTAGTTAAGATACCCTCCCGTCTGCTTACCAGGGATCACTCATATCTCATGGCGCAGAGCCGCCATTTCACGATTTACAAGTATTAGAGTCGACGAGGGTACACCAAGCGGCAGAGCGAGAGTATCCATCGTTTGAATGGAGTTGTACTTGAACTCAGATCTCACAAGAGTCTTATAAAAGTCTACGATTTGGTGGCGATGATCGGGAAATGTTGGCAAGACGAGTCATCCGGTGACGGCAGCAAGAAAACCGCATGATGAGCTATGAGCGATTGGATATTTTGAATTCGCTACTTGCGATCAGGCCGCGAATATCTGTAGCTTCCGATCCACGCTACCCGTGGCGATAACGCAACGTATTTGTACATCAGGAGATTTTAATGTCTCCTTGATCTCACTAGATTCCCCCTTGGCAGTGTTGCTAGGTATAGCTGGTACATCCTTGGCAACTCCTGGGGCCCAACTTAGGCAGGTTACAAAACGGTCGTGGGCATCTTTGATTGTTTTCACACATTTTCCTTCTTGGCTTAGGTCCCAGCAACGCAAAGTCCTGTCATCGGACACTGAGAGGAGGTATTTCCCCGCTGGATGAAAGACAATCCCCCGTACCCAGTTGTCATGGCCAATGAGGGTCATCAGACAAGTTCCCCGAACGTCCCAGACTTTGATAGTCTTGTCTCGTGACCCTGTCGCCATAAATTCTGCTGCACTCTTTGGATATGAAGGCCCTTTCAGACCAGCAACTGGTGCAAGGTATTGGTATGAGGTAGGAGGAGCAAGTGCGCAACATTCAATGAAGTGCTCATGACCGGCCATGGTCACCTTGTTTTCCGGATTCGGGATAGCGGAAATATCCCATAGCCGAGCAGTCATGTCATCACCGCTTGAAAAAAGAAAATTTCCATCAAAGGATGGGCAAACATCCCGTACCCAGCCAGTGTGGCCTTGTATTGACCTTACACAATATCCCGTAGTTACGTCCCATATCCTTACGTCCTTGTCCCTGCTTGCACTGGCAAGCAAATTTCTGCATGGTATAAAACGGACTGCACTGACGCTATGATCATGGCCTAATAAAGTCCGAACGTTCTTGTATCCTTCGGCTGGGTCCCACAGTTTGACAGATAAATCAGAGCTACAGGACGCCAGCATAGTAATTCCTTGAGGGGAGCCGTAGTCAACATCAAGTACAGCTCTAGTGTGGCCCTTGAGTGTCATCTCTAATTCCCCGAGTTCCCAATCCCATATTTTGATAGTGAAATCGTCCGAGCCGGAAGCAAGGGACGAAAATTTTGGATGGAAAGCAATGCAGTTTATGGTATCGCGGTGTGATTCGAGAGAGTATCGAGGGGGATGCGTAGGTAACCAAGAGGTCGGATCTCGTCTGGGTTTGAGAAGGGAGGCCGGTGTGAGATTATCCAGTTCGGATTGCAGGGCCGCATTTCGAGCTTCAAGGTCCATTATCTGTGAAAACATTAGTCACCGCTGTGACGTTGCATTTGTAGATATAATGAACCGAATTGGAATCCCCAACGCAGACTTGCCTTTTTCTGTAAGCGGACAATGCTTGTCCATTTTTTCTCTAGTAAAGTTTCGTATTTCTTCACAGCAGTCGCATCGAAATCTTCTTCCGTGAGATTCAACTCCGCCCTGAGTGCAGCAGCGGTATTTGGGAGGTCATTCGCCGAGAGGTATGCGATGATAGATTTGTGACTGAGCAATCTTAGCTTCAATCTGGGATATCATCACCAGAGCTCATCTACTAAGGCATATACGCACAGCTCATCAGCTTGTCGATTGGTTAATAAACGAGCCATACTGGGCAATAGTGCAATGGGCAAAGGAGAATCTAATTGCCGGAATCACTCTTTAACCCCTCGATCTCAATAACGCAAATCTGGCTAAGATTGCCAGATCACTGCGATACACAGAAACGGGGAGAGAAAACGTTCGCGTCTGTGGAGGAGATGTCTTTGACAGATGTTGAATCTCACCTTCTTTGGTGGGGAGCTAACTCAGTAAAAGCTGCCAAGACAATGGATATAGCCGCGCGTTTAAAACATTTTGATGATTAATAATCCGTTTTGGCCTCCAACATACATATGAGCTTTGATCCTCCGCTGTTGTGCGCAGCCGCTCCCGAAGACTGTGATCTGCATGAAGTTCTTGATGTCTTCCTCTCTCGTGATATATCTTCACTATTGCATCTCCTTAAGTACTAGATTAATATGCCAGCCGACCGCCCGGGATTCCGGAAGTTTCATTTCTTCGATGGCTTAACAAGCCGATCCTGAGAGGGATTTTACCAGGGGGTGCGTTGGCCGAACGAAATATGCTCTGGATCCTTGAGAACATCCTCCTTGTTGCTGGAACCCCTTGGACTGTCCGATGCAAGCATTCTAATTGTTCCATAACTGCCACTGATATTATCCTTGCACCTGGCGATTACGAAGTTCATAGCAGTGGCATGTTTTACGCAGGACTCACCATCCATCTAATGCTAATCCCGCAATCTGATATTTCGTATGTGGACTCGTCGGGCTCACATAGCACCTCTCCAGGTGACCAATGAACCTTGGACGGCACGTTTGATAAGCCGCAGTGGATCTGCTGCCTATCCTTCATTTACCAAAGGGGTGTGTCGCCGGGATGGAAAATGTGTTATATCTGTGAAAATCAGTCATTCAGCACAGTACGGTATTTGGGCCCCATTTGAAGCTGCCCACATATTGTATGAGAACATCTAGATAGAACACAATTACGGGCGACGGATCACAGATATGGATGATGCTGTTGACATATCTAAAATCAACTCAGTTCAGAACGGTCTCTTAATGGATGGGGGTCTAAATATACTTCTTAATCAGTATATATTTTCAGTCAATCCTGATGTATGTCTTTATTTCACTCAGAGATGTCCCAACTTCCATGCTAACAGAGTCAGGATGGTTATAAAATTGTTTCTTTCATGAGGATACTGGACTCAATGGCAGAATACTTGATCCTGTTTGTCATGATCAGGAAGATCCCCATCGAGTTTCAGCTGAAGTCCTGAGACAGCACTTTAGGCAAACCATTCTTGCCAATATGCGAGGTGTGGGAGAGCCTATATTTGAGCATGACTTCCCACCTGGCACAGCTATGATAGAGACTGGGCGAGGAGAACCATATGGCAAGGAAAGATTCGAGGTTGCATTAGCAACCAGACTGCAAGGATACTCGCGAAGTGAGCACAGGAATATATGACTGTTTCTCTTCGGCCAAATTTCTATTCCATTGCGGCCAGGAAGCTAAGCCATCCGACGAACAATTAAAAATGATAAGAAAGCGAGACGCTTGACTTTACTGCTGAAGATGGCGGCATCAAGGCAACGGCGATGACCATGAAGGAAACTTTATCGGTCTGCTAATTTTATCCTGGCTGCCGTGGCATTTAACCGACAGGTGGCTCGTCGCTTTTGCACGCTCGCTGATTGAGTTGAAAGTTGCACTCATTCAGCTCTTCAATTCCGCGGACTCCCTCTCGGGCGGGCTTTCTCCAGGAAATGCAAAAAAATAGATGTACACATAGAACAGGATGATCCCCAGAACAAGAAAATGTGTGCGTGGAAAGCAAAGAAGTAAAAAAGAAAACAATAAATTAATTCGCTCCCCGCCCTCTCCTCTCTCTAACAAAATCCTGTTCTTCCCCTGACTATGTGCATACATGCATAGAGATCTCTTCAGCGCAGCACGTCCCCATGCCCGTCGGGAGACTCCGGGGGCGCAGGCGTTGCTTACACCCCTCCTGGGACGCTAAACAAACACATCCATACATACATACTCTCTAACAAAAACCAAACTCTTCTCCTCACTTGCGATAATTCTACTGTAAGCTCAACGTTTTCTGCCATCAAACGCGTGAAGCTTCCACACCGTCTACAGCCATGTCTTAACCCCCCCCTAAGAATAATTACGCAATTTCAATATCAGAGGTTCCCTCTTTGTGCAATATGCCGTTTGTACGCAAATAGCCTTCCCTTGCCGCGGGGTCCAGGGGGAGAGCAGACACTTTCTCGGCTCAGTTTAACTGTCCGGCATCATGGCGATTCGTGCACAATCTCGCTAAGCTGGCAGCCGCCACTTTTGGCACTTCTTGCTGCCGCCATAGATAGTTCCTAGGGCTGAGGTAGAGGTGGTGAAGACGCGAGAGTGGCGGAGCGGATTTTGAGAGGAGGGTTTTGGGTTTTAGTTTTTCTTCTTGTCGGATTGGTGATAGATCTCTTGCTCTCTTTCCCGTGCGTGGCTGGTTGGCTGGTTCCAGTTGATATTTAGTGGTGAATACAGTTTATGATTTCGAGATTCTTCATCAGGATAAGGGGGTGTCAAGCCACAAACGCTTCGATGCTGCTTTGCATTCTGAATGTGCTAAGTATTTCCCCAATGAGAGAGGATCTCGGTCGGTTGGATTTCCCTTTTTCCCTTTCTCTTCTCTTCCCCCTGATGAAGCATTGATCAAAATTATTCAACCCAATTCTTATTGTAGAAACTATTCGTACTCATCTTACCATTTTCCTCACTGCTGCCTACTACAATCTATGAAGCAATCAATCGTTGGCACCTCCACCAGCAAGCCTAGGTAATTTCATAGCTATGTAGATGTTCAAGGTGCCTCAACACCACAATACTTAGGATGTTCCTGACTTGGTGGCTGACATGTAAGAAACTCTCGTCCTTGACCCCAAGTGCTTCATACGAAAAATGTAGTTACTAATAACAATATCCTTTCTAAGCGGAAGCAAAACGTCCAAATCTTAGTTATATATCGCGAATAGTTTCCAAGAGGCATGACAACAGTTCACGGCATGGCGGGGTGTGCCTTGGTGGTTGAAACAAGGAGTAATCAACACTAAATAAGCAACGGAGCTTGTTTTGTCCTTTATTCTGGCCTTTTTTATTTTGGAGGGGAGGCGGGGGGGGGGAGACAGGCGACCAACTCGCGATGCTAAATACTTTGAAAAATAAATGATATTATGCCACGCGCCATGGAGACGAGCAACACAGAAATATCAACTTTGAAAAATCTACGAAGCTCAACTCCGTTACAGTCCGGACAAGAATAATACTGGCGCACACGCAGGCACAACCACAAACCTGGAACCTGGAACTTTTCTTGGATGTTAGAGGTGGAAAATGAGCATGGGCTGGACGCCACTAAAAAGCATAACCACCTCCTACACGGTTTGTTCGGTTAAGATCTTCTTGAACAAATGGGAAGGATAGATGACTCTCGAGTCAGTTATGATTGGCACAAAGAGATCGTCGTCGTGACCCAACTCATATAGATTTTATCATGTATAACTACTACAACGTAAATAAATAAGTAAAATGATGATGAAAGCCTCCAAAGAAGAAAAACGAGCAAGGAAACTAGCTATAAAATACTCCCTTCCCTCTTCCCTTGTAGACCTTTTGTGTGGTGCCAAACAACTGTCAAAATGAAAGAAAGAAAGGAACAAAAAGTGATTTGTCAAAAAAGAATTGAAAAATTGAAAAATAGGTTTACAAAAACAAATGTGGCTTGAATCACTTGATTCATGCCGAAGCCCAACGCTGTTTGTTGTACTCCGTATGTTATTGCATATTCCTCTCTCCCCCTATGGATGTAGATATTTATTTATTCTCGTAAACAGAAAATCTCCCTGCCAGCTGAACACATCACATCGGGTCTGGGTTGCCCTTTGTTTTCTATCTACATGGTTGAGATGGATATGATTTGAGTTCTCCTCTATCGGTGACAATGCACTGTGTGGAGAACATGTGCAGTATGCACAGAGTAACTCCGGACTGTACAGGTACCTAATAATGTATATTTTTAGTAAATTTGAAAAATGACTAGAAGGTCAAGCCATCACCTGCCGGCAAAACGTGAATTCTCTCATTATTTCCACCCCTTTCATTTCTTTGTTGAAAGGAAGGAATTGGGATTGGGGGAGGTGCAACATGTGCTAGCGGGCAGCACAGCAGAGTAGCTTCTATTTGGAGGTGACAGGTGAATCGCTCGTCCATCCATGCATAGGAGAGAATCGAGTTTAGTCGTCATGTTTTCCAGGCTATCACTTTGCCTTGTTTCCCCCTGTTGCTGCTTTATATTTATGTTTTTGTGCCATGCACAATTTGGTCCTCCTCTGCCCTGGGCTAACTTGGCATATTTGCATTTCTTAGCTAAAACAGGTAGGTGGCAAGAGACGGCTAGTATTTCCGGGGTTTGGATGCGGGATTAGTGAAGGAAAAAGTATGCTCTCTCCATTCAACCCTTTTTTGGCCCTTGTGCTGTGTGTTGTCCAGTCAGTTTGCCTTCATTCCAAGCTGCATCCGGTTCATCAATTTGAATCATTTCTATCGCCATGACCATGACCATGACCATCACGATGTTCTGTGTAGCTCGATCCGACTCCGACTTGGCTTGGGTTCCTGGCTTCCCTGCTGGCTTGCTGGCTTCCTGGATGGGCTGGGCTCCCTTGACGTGCGTGTGCTGAAGAGACATCGATTGAGTCGTCATTTCGCGGGAAGGGGCTGAACAAAACTTTAAATGATGCGGGTGGTACTCGATACCTGGGTTGCCGCGTGAGCTGCAGCAGGGATCCAGGTCACAGATACCGGGACGCGACGTGGACAGAAATCAGGCCCGTGCGTAATTAAAATACACCTAGCTATACGAAACGAGACGGCACGGCAGGGGCATCTGGAGCCTGGAGGGAGCGGTGGAGATAGCGGGCACAGCTAGTAACTGCAAGCAGCGAACTGAGTACAGTAACTCAATGAGCTAAGAATAATAATACGAAATAGTGTCAAGAAAAAACGTGGGAAAGCGACCAGGGTCGTGGGAATCAGCGGGTTTTTCTTTTTTCTTTTTTCTTTTTTCGTTTTTGGCATTGTGGAGGAGGCACAGACAGACCGTTTGTACGCAGGAATGAGATATTTATGGGCGGTTGTTCGTTCATGAGTGGTTCACGAGTGGTTTTCCAATGATTCTTTGTTTCCTCCATCATATTCCTCTCCATTTTCTTCCGTTTCCCTCGCTCCTTACATGTGGTGGGGACGAGCTGTTTTTTGCCATTTGCCGCATTCGTTGAGTGGAAGAACAAGTAACACCAAGTCTAAGCAAAGACAGGGTCTTTTTCTGTTTTAATGCCACGGCCGCCAATGAACTTCCAAGTCAGATGCTGTTTGCCATGAAAAGCTATATTTGACAGTATTTTCATATTTCATCTAAATTTCATACCATTGCTTGCTATCAGCATGCACCAGTAATAACAATTGGTCAATAATTAAACAAACATAGGAGGAAGAACAGCGAGAAGAAGAACCAAAAGAAGAAGAAGATGATGATGATGATAATGATGTAGAGGAAGAAACACATATATGAAGAATCGCTGTTCGAACCCACTGTCGTAGCAGACTCCAGAGCAAATCCAAAGCGGAGGCTCCGTCGGGGCTTGGCCTGGAGTCGGCCCCAGCCCCAGCCCCGAAACCCGCCAAACCCACCAAACCCACCAAACCCACCACGGCGCGCGGCTCGTCCGGGGCATCGTCGTCAACTTCCACATCCACCACCACCACTACCACAACCACCAAACCACTTGATCTCCGTCTCGCCCATGCCCCATCGATCCCCACGTTCTGATCCACCAATCCACCAATCCATCTCCCCTCAGCTTCTCCCTCACACTCCAATTTCCCCATTCCCCAAGCTCTGTCTATCCTCCGTCATTCTGGAGCTGTCCCTCTTCCATCCATCCATCCAGCCATCCAGCCATCCATCCTGACAACCTCCTTTCCCCAGTCTCCCTCCTTTCACCATTCTGCCATAACCCTGTTCACCACCACCACTCCCTCCACCACGGCCAGTCCAACCTTGCCATCTCCTCTCCACTCCTCTCTTCGGTTAGTGAATTGTCCTGGTCAGGCCTCTTTATCGAATCAACACCGTCGTCGTCCTTCTTCTGCCACTCGATCCCTTTGGCCGTATGTATTTACCTCGCCTCATCTCTGGTCGAATATGCAAGCCGTCATCTCCTCAACCTACGATCCTTACACACTTCCTACCTACTTCCTGCCGCTTGCCCTTGCCCTTGCTTTTTTCCCTGCCGATCTCCTCTACCCAAAACATCCCTCTCTTCCTCCATCGAAATCCAAACGTCGTTTTCGCTAACCATCTCGCTTCCACTGCTTCTCCCATCTCTTTAGAATCCGCCAGCTACGGGTAGAGCCTGCGTTACCCATCCTCCCCAGTCGCCAGCCTCCGTCCCGCGGCTTTTAGCCCTGGCGGTTGGCTGCCCTTGTTTGCACATAATATACTCTACACAGCGGATCCCGACTAGATCAAATCGCCCCTACGCCGGTTTCCCCATTCTACGCGAGTCGGTTTTTCGAGCTGTATACCTTACAACTAAAGGCGTGGACCGTATTTCTCTGTCGCTTAACTCTCCTTAAGCATCATCTGCTTTGAACATCCCATCTCAGTCTCCTCCCTCTGCTGGGTGGTTGGCGTAATCGTTGTCAATAGTGCTGGATTTGTCAGTGGAATTCGGTATCAGATAAGGATGGGTGTGTGTTGTAGTTCAACTGCAGCGGCCGATTTGGAACAGAAGAGAGGAGTCAATTGATCGATAAGGGGGCTTGAGGATGATATGAAACGATTACGGAGGGAATGCAAGATTCTCCTGCTTGGTCCGTGATTCCCCTCCCTCCCCTTTGGCCCCCCCAAAAACTTACTGCAGCTTATATGGGGCTTCGTCGGCTTTTGCTGTTGATTTTGTGCTCCGCGTCTGTGTAGAGAGAGAAAGGAAGAACGAGATAATGAATCAATTGCGTCCTGACAGTTTGTTTACAGGTTCGGGTGAGAGTGGGAAATCAACCATTGTAAAGCAGATGAAAATCATTCATCAGAATGGCTATTCTGTGGAGGAACTTACCATGTGCCGCGCAACGGTCTACAAAAACCTCTTGGATTGCGCAAAGGACTTAATAAACGCACTACACAATTTCGAATTACAACCGTCTAGCCAGAAAGTCCAAGAATACATGGAGTACCTAAGCTCATACCAGATCGATCCCGACCCAAGCACCCCAATAGACCTGAAAGTTGGTGATGCTGTGACATACCTGTGGAACGATCCTGTCATTCCAGTTGTACTGGAACACCAGAACGAGTTCTATCTCATGGATTCTGCGCCTTAGTATGTAACCCTCGTCCCGCCTCTCCCAACCTAGCTTTTTTGCCATTTTTTTCTAGAATGCAATGATTCCTAATTCTCCATAGCTTTTTCGACGAAGCGAAACGTATTACCGCACAGGACTACATACCAAATGAGGCCGATGTTCTTCGCGCCGGAACCAAGACCACCGGTATATACGAAACCAGGTTCACAATGGGCCAGTTGAGTATTCAGTGCGTTCAATCTACCCCCTTTAAGCTTGTGGCTCATGGGTGTGAATATTTATTTATTTTTTCCCCCTTCTTCTAGCATGTTTGATGTGGGCGGCCAACGGAGCGAACGAAAAAAGTGGATTCACTGCTTTGAAAACGTAACGTCGATAATATTCTGCGTCGCATTGAGCGAATATGATCAAGTGTTATTGGAAGAAAGTAATCAAGTACGTGTGCTTCTTCCTCGCTCTGTTGCCCCACGTTCGATTTGTCACTTGGTCTAACCGCGAATGACACAAAAGAACCGTATGATGGAAAGTTTGGTGTTGTTTGACTCCGTGGTCAATTCCAGGTGGTTTATGCGAACGAGTATCATCCTCTTCTTGAATAAAGTCGATCTCTTCCGGCTGAAACTCGGCCGGTCACCGCTTAACAAATATTTCCCTGATTACTCTGGTGGGAATGATGTCAATCGTGCAGCGAAATACCTCCTATGGAGATTCAACCAAGTAAATCGGGCGCACCTGAATCTCTACCCTCAGTATGTTTCCTGCATGATTTGTCTAGTCACCATCCATTTTGTGTATTTATCAGTGATCCCATCTCATGCCTCTTAACTAACAAACCAACCCCTCTGCAGCCTAACACAAGCTACCGATACCTCAAACATCCGACTTGTCTTCGCAGCCGTCAAAGAAACCATTTTACAAAATGCTCTAAAAGATTCGGGAATACTTTGATGCAAAAAGCGGCAAATATAATCATTCCTGCTCACCACCACACCACAACCTCGCCACCCCGAACCCAACCCGAAAAATCAAAAAGAGTCCTAATGCCTTATATGCTTCCATTGATTGGCACTTCAGCGCCATTTTCTACCAATATTCATTTATATTTTTCTTGACTTCTTCATCTAGGAGCTCGGACGGCGTTGAACTGGGTTTTTGGAGATGTTCCCGTTGAAACTGTTTTCCGTTCTTTTTGGCGCTGTCTGGCATGGCATCACAAACAATCACCGTCATCATTTTCTCTCGCTGTCTAATCTACTATTTTCTACTATTTTCTTTTTATTCTTTTCTGTGGCACCGCGGCAAAACGATGCTGGTTGGACTCTTTTTTTCCGGCGGCTTTTCATCGTATTTGATCTATTATATTTTTACTTTCTTGGATATCATTTTCATACTGTCCTAAAAATACCTTATTCATTAGTCCATACCTTGCGCAACCTTTGTGGCCAGCTTCGTTCTCTTCTTTTATTTATTTTCATTATTCATTACTTTCTGGTCCTTTATATATGTACATATACATATATATATCATGTTTGTTTCCGAACTCCTTCGCCTTGACGCTTTCTCACAATGCCATGTCCAATTTTCCTTGCTATCTATCCATCTTTTCTTCCTACTCTGCCTATTTTATCTATTTACTCGACAACCACAAAGCAGTTTTTTCTAGCTGATTAGGGAGAACGCTTACCTGCATTAGGCTTTCTTCTAGCGCAGAGGAAATGCCTTTTTGTGCATTTTCCTGTCTATATATATATGTATACATTTATACGATTTGATGGCTGGGAGGTGGGTTTTTTGAACTCAAAGTCAATGTCCATGTCTCGCTACGTGTTTTGGTCTTGGCCCACCTCCCCGGATACGTTTGCCTATCTATTTCTGATTTGGTTGCTTTCGCATAGGTTTTCTTTTATTTACTTATTCATTTGATTTATTGTGCAGTGTTGGTCTGTAATCATTAGCTACTTGTTGTTTTCTTTTTCTTTCTTTCTTTCTTCCCTTTTTTCCCGGTTTGGTTTCTTTACCCTTGCGACGCTCCAAATCAACGCCCAGTGTTTTGGAAACCACAGAGATCTCTCTACTATATCTCCCTTCTTTTTTTCTCACCAGCTAGTTATATATACTAAATTCCCCTTACAAGAATAATGCCACACCTTCTATCTCATTTGTCTACCCAAGGTTCCTGTGAGATTGCCCTTCCAGTACCCAACCTGTCACTTTCCTCGGTGCTTAATTATACAACTCTTCAAACCGCCGATGTCAACTCTTACCGCCTCCTTGTTTCCGCTCACATTGCCACCAGAGATCGATGAGGCAGTATTCCTAACCAAACTCCTGTCCGCGATCCGTTCACACGTCTGCATCCACTGTCTCACTCTCCGCCGTCTCTGGAGTGATTGTACTTGAATGCTTGTGCCAATGCTTCCTCCGTCAGTCCCCACCCCCGCAGCAGCAGCAGCAACTTCGCAATGGGGTTGGTGGAGATGTCACTGAAGATACCCAGCATGAAAAGATACCGTCACCCTCCCCCGGATTCCTCGCAGCCAACCCCAACAAATTCCGACACTTCTTCGACATGACCCCGTCGTAACTTTTATTGATCTCGACTTGGTCGGAGCATCATCACCAGGTAACTACTCTGTACTGCACTCCCCGCTAGAAGCAGGTCGGACTATTCACTCGATCCGCAATCGCGGCTATATCCTGTCCACCCGCCAACCCGACGCGGTTTTTCGCAGGTCAATCAATATTCGCCCAGCATGCGGTCATATGATATATATATCCGATATCCCTGAATGAAATTATCCATGCCCCGTTATGTTAGGATAAGATTCTTCTTAGAAAGAAGATCTAGCGGGTCAGCACTGGGAACAAAGATCCGGTGCGACGAAGGATAGATGCTTCCTCTCCCTCTTGCCCTCCTTTTCCTCTCGACCCTTTTCTGCCCAAACCTATCTCTCTCCACACCTCCACGCTAGGGTAGCGGTTGTCGAAATTTTCTGTGTCGGACAAGGCGTCCGCGTAGCGGCTCCAGAACAAGGTGCCGCCGACGAAGGGTGGGTAGTTTTGGGGTTATTGGCCTTGTATTCTTTGTTTACCTTTTTCTTCCCCTCCCAATATATATATATATATATATATATTTGATATATATTGTTTGTATGTGCACCAGATAATCGGGATTTGGGAATAGAGCTAAGTGGAGTAAGAACAGACAGGCAGGGAATATTTGTGTATTATTTCAGTGAACTCGAGCTTACTTGTATATAGATATATATGTATATGTAGGCAGGTTGTAGATAGTTGGCAGATAGGCCGCCATTCATGGAACATGAAGAGGCCCGGTGGGGATATATATCCCTTAGAGGCGTGGATGTATTGCTCTATTACTACGCATGTACGATTGCAGTGGTGTAGTTGAAGTAGTTGAAGCCCCCTATAGACCGCCCTTCTTCAGCAGAGTGATGGTGTGTGGATTTTGTGTAAAATACGCACTAGTGTATGCAGTTTTAATGAGGTGAGATTTGTCAGCTTTTTTGCAACGAGGACCTGTTCCGGCCCGGATTACACCACGACGAACTTTTCTAGCACCACGTTCAACTGTGTGCCCGCCGAGAGCCTCATGTTGGAGATTAAACCAGACATGCAGATGGCGGAAGACAATCCTCTGCTGGTCCTTGCTACCGTTTCACGCAAGCGTACTAGTGTGGTTCCCCACTATACTGCAGCTGGCGGTTGCAGTATATAGGTGGTGGATTTGGTGGCCACGCCCGCTGTGGGCCGAGCCACACCACCACGCCCACGGGTATATATATCACTATGAGCGCAACCATTTAACAAATGGTTACGTTGGCTTTTTGCTATGGATAACCTAGTGGTCATAGTGCTATCTTATCACACTAGTGTAGTGTGGTGTTTATGGAACAATCCCGGCTTTCTTCAAGCAAATACCCTCAGTTGCTCTTCTCAGATGTCCCATCAACCCAAATCGAGACTGCTCGCGAAGAAGAAATACACGCCTCACACATCTTTCTTGTGTTCAACATTTCAAATACAGCAGTCCAACTGGGCTCAACGTCAAAAGTTTGACAATACGCCTACGCCTCAACATCTCTTCTTTCAATCATGCATACTGAGCACTGACGCAGGATGCGTCCCCAGCACAAACAGTGTAGGGTCATAGGGGACTCGCACACTTCGGGGGACTTCCAGCAGCAGAAGAACCTTCCCATTACTGTTTTTCGATAAATTCGAGATGTGCAAGCGTAAATAAGCATACAACGCGAGCCTTCCGATGCCAAATTCAGTTTCCCTACCCCGCGCGGGATTCGCAGGATCCTATAACCTCAACATATACCGGCCTGCCTTCATCCCGTTGTCGGAGATCATTACTGCGCACAATTTCCAAGCGCCATGGTTGTTGGATTGGTCCGCTATCACCCACAATTTCTACATCATTTATATATATATGTATACATATATTTGTGGTATTGATGGTGTGCGCTAACTATTTGACTGGCATTTTGAGGCAATGGGGCTTGCCGTAATACTGGAATTTTGACAGATATTCCCGATATGAGCTTCTCTTAAACATTTGTCAACCTTGTTGCAATAGCCTTTATAGAACGACAGAGGCAGGCATGACAGGTAGAGTAGATGTGGGGTTAAATAAGCACATGACATTGGCTAACTTCTCTCTCTCTCTTCTTTTCCCTCTTGGTCCTAATGCGATGATATTTGTGAAACTGTCTGTTGGGTTCAACCGCGAGCAAGCACAATACTCTCCCCTCCCCTCTCTCCCTCCATACCCCCCCCCCCCCCCCCCCCCCCCCAAAAAAAAAGAAACTTTCTCTGGATAAAGATATACTGGTTCTGCAGACTTGATGCGTGATAATCAAAGCTCAAGACCTTGACCATCATACTCGAATTTTCATGAAGTGTACTTAACAGTGATTTAAGGTGCGATTGTACGAAATACAGAATCATTCTAGAGAAAGAAGACAGGACCAATCCTCCGAATGTCAGAATGTAATAGACCTATTACCCTGAAACATACCGCTCACGTGCCGCTGAACATTTTCAAACCTCAAAAACGCACACGACTCGCTCTCCAGGTGGTTAAATAACGCCGCCAGCGTCGTAAACTGCTTCCCACACTTGCCCTTCGAATTCGGACAACGGTACACCTTCTGCTGATGCGCGGGAGAATTGACATGCGACGTCAGGGAACCCTTCGAGTTGAACTGCCTGTGGCATATGTAACACTCCCAGGAGCTGCCGTTATACGCATGGTCGGTAGCCAGGTATTCGACACTACTCTCCCCGTGCCATTCAATCTGCCTGTTGGTGATGACCCCGTGTGGATCACGGTCACGCACGGCGCGAAGAATGGATTCGCGGTTAAGATTTGGGGCGCGGGGACAGGCGCCTCGCTCAAGATGATGACTGACCCCACTCGCGGAGGTGTAGGCGCCTTTGCAGAAGGGACAAGAGACATTGGAGCCCCGGTGGACCTTTGAGTTGAGGTGCTGCAGACCAGTCAGTAGTGTGTCGTAGGGATTTCGGAGGAGGATAACTATAATAATGGGGGTTGTCGTCTTACCATCTTCAGGGCATTCGGACTCGAGAATCGGATGTCACAAGCTCCGCAGTAGTTCTTGTAGTGACCGTTGTCTTTCATGTGCTTGTCTGCTTGCCCCTGAGTGCGGAATTTGATATTGCATGTTTCGCATGGGACTTTGGGCTTTCGATGCCCAAGGGCATTCATATGTTGATTGACCGCATGCTCGGAGCTGAACTCCCTGGTGCAAGTCTCACATTCGTATACCGGTGCCCAGTGATCGGTGTCGTTCATGTGCTGGTTGCAAGCACTCTGGCTATAGAACGCACGGGTGCATGTCTCACATTCGTACATTTTGGGCAGGTTTCAATGTTCATGGACTGTACATACAGGCACGTGTACGGTGCTAGATACGGTGGTATTCGAAATGAGGTGAGCGGTAGCAGAGAGGGGTGGTTTCTCGTGGAAGCGGAGATGTCCATGAGGCCTCCCATATGAGTCCACATGGATGCCGGAAAAACGTTCAGCCTTGTCGAAAAGCTCCAGACCAAACGTGGACTGTGTTGACGATTGGTTACCTTTTCTGGTCCCCTGGGCCTTTCGCCCATCCCCAACTCTAGCGCCCGGCTGCTAGCCTGCCCGGCCGCTAGACCCCGGACTCCAGGCTTCAGCTCGCCCAAACCATGCTTGGCCATCACGGGGTGGGCGCCATGTGACCGAGAAGCTATAAAAAAATAAATAAAATAAAATAGAGTAAAAATTTAAATCGATGAACAGTTGTTTGATGATGATGATATTAGGATGTCTTTCATCTTCGCTTTTGTCTGCAATTCATCATGATTTTACATGCTTTCTTTCCTCCTCTTCTCTAACCTCGCTTCCTCTGTATGGCGTTGTCGACGTGATTCCATCTGCTGCTTCCCAAATACATATCCCACCACCGCTATACCTGGCAGACGGATATAATTTTGTTTATTTCTATCTTTTACTCCCCATGTCCTCTCTCTTCCTTTCCTCTCTTCATTTGTTGTTGCTATTCGTTGGCTACGATGAAAAAAAAATGGAAGAAGGAAAAAAAATAGAACAATATAAGAGAAGGAACTGTAGGTCTTTAAGCAATATATGCCAAATCATCACCATCCAGCCGCTCAATATACTCCTTCTCCATCAGGGCTTCAATATTCTTTTTGATATCCGGTACCTTGGGTGGGAAGCGGGCTTTCACCTGCTGAATAACTTCTTGCACGAGTTGGACATGTTTCAACTTCTTTCGCGATTTCATGATCCGGACGATGGCAGACTGTAGAGATAGAGACGACCTTAGTAACATGGAGATGAAAGCCAAGAAAAAAGGGAAAAAACAGAAAAAAAAAAAAAAAAAAAACTCACCTGGAGTAAAAGTTTCCTATCCTCATCAATTGTCTTATGTGTATCATCCGTTTCATGTTTCTGCTCTGATTTGACGGAAATGTTTAGATTGATTTTAATCTTCTTCGCCTTGAAATTGTAGTTTAACGCATATGACGTCCCCGGACACGGTTTGCCATCCTCTGGAGAAGGGATGACGACCTTAGCCTTGACAAGGATGCCAAGGTTGGGTTCGAGAACTTCCGGGGCGAGGGCTGTTCCCTTTTCAATGTCGGAGAAGCTTAACGTGTCACTTTCGTTAAAGAGGAGGAGAATTCCCATCTGGTATGTAGATACTTGGAATGTGTATGGCACTTTCGTGTTTTTGATGTAGTTTGCGCGGATTTCGCCCTTGCATAGATTCCATAACCATGTAAGTTTGCGACCGCTGTGTTTGTCGAAGTAGAAGTTCTTGAAACGCTCTGTCGTCTTGACGATTTCTTGAGGGGGGATGAATTGCGTTGTTGGCGGGGTTAGGGGCCAGAATCCTGTTCCGAGGATCTGGAAATGAGGGTCCAATAACTTTTTCCTGTCTTCATCATCCAGGACTTTCTCTTGCCAATCACGGTAGCTCGCGTTGAGATCCTTGGATATTTGGATGTCCTGGAACATTCGTTGGAGTTTATTAGTATATTCGAAGCCACAAGCTTCCTTCAGTTTGCTAATCATGCTGGTTTCCGCATCATCTGAAACCGAGCTGACATGAACGAGCCGTTTGGCCAGCATTCTGGAATAGAACTTCTGGAAAACGTCCTTGTCTTCAATATACTTGAAGACCGTCATGATCTGGACGAGCATCTCTTCCAATTCCGATTCTTCCGGAGATTTAACTCCCTTCTTCAGAAGGGAATCTGTGTACCGGGCAAGCAGTTCAGGAGATTTCGTTGAGCTTGTGTTGCAAAGTGCGTTGCGGTTGACAAATTCCCGACAGGCATTATCCAACGAACGGACAAACTCCGATTCTCCCGCAAAGGCCATAACCACCATAGCTTGGTATTTGGTATGAACTTGTAACAGGGCATCAATGTAGACCTTGGGTTCGACCGCATCGCCATTTGGCACTACCTTTTCAACGGCCGCAAGCCCAGCTTTCCGAACGTGCGTCTCAAACTTGTTACGTAGAGGGTCCAAACCGTCCTTAATTCGGGAAAGTAATCGGTACATCCGGGCAAGATCTTCTTGACGTTCGGTATCCAGGAGAGCTTGGAATTCATCCCGCAGCAGCGGTGAATGTGAAGCCACCAGGACTTCCAAGCATGTTTCGGTTAAATTTTTGGTAATGTCGGGGTGAAGATAGAGGTCAATTCGGGCTCGTTCTTCATCGATGCGAGACTCTGCTTTTTTCATATACTCCACCACGCTGTTTTCAGCTACGAATCGTTTCGATTCGTTTTCGTAGTAGACTTTGGTAGCCTCTATGAAAGGCTTTTCAAAATAGAACTGGTATACCACGAGGGTAGATTTGGTACTGTCGTTCTCGTCGAGTCCAAGCGAGACGAATGAGTCGACGATGTTTTTAATCTGGGACTGTTCAATCGTTTCACCATTCCGTTGTTTCTCGACAAGTTTCAGCACGGCATCCATTACGCTCTTTTGCACTTTCTTGAAGAAATCTTCTTTCCATTTTACTAGATGAAGGGTGTAAACGTCGTAAATATCTTTCTTCCCCTCATCGACTTCTCTTTTGACCCAATGGCGGTTAAGATATTTGAAAAGATGGTTGATATACTGCGCTGCAGTGGTGTAACGAGTCCACTCTCGGATGTAAAAGGCCAACAAAGCTTCGTCTGAATGGTTTAGGGAGGTTTCATAGACATCATTGAGATGGCGGGATAGATATATGCCCAGGAGATTATATAGCTCCTCCCCAAGAAGGTGCGCTACGCGTTATAGAAATTAGACCATATTCATGTACATTCTCTAGGGATAAAATAGAAAAAACGAAACTCACCTCCGCGATGACTACCATGGGAAGCTGGGCTGCCAGGTGATGAAATAGCTTTTTGTGAGGTACAGAAGTCGTGGACGGCACTATCGATGTCGTCAGTTCCAAAGGATGAGCTTGATTATTGAAACGGGAACGAGTATTACTGACGTGTAAACACCCATATACTAAGGGGATATTAATATACAGAGTTAGTATCTGCCTATTCAACTGCTCTCCAGAGGGGATAATAAACACTAACGGTAAGCATATCAATTCCCCCCTCTAACTGGGTCATGACCCGCTCGACGCCTTTTTCAAGATACGCCCATCTACCCTTTAAAGTCAGCTCTGCTGTTCCCAAATCCATGCTTCAGATGGCCCAGGGTATAGAGAAATATGGTAGTAAAAGACCCACGTTTCTTCAATATCGTCTTTATGAGGAGTCTGGATCCCGGAAGGAGGCATGGCTGGACTCTCCCTTTGTGAGGTTGCTGAACTGCGAGAAAGGCGGCCTGGGAGTTTGACATGGGATAACCCCATCGATAGGCGGGAGACTTAAGGTACCTTAATAGCGTTGGGTTCACCACAGACAGCCTGTTGGCAAGAGGGGATAGGGATATAGGTACCCAAGTCCAGTGGGCGAAGGGAGACGAGAAGCAAAGACAGGTTGGTTCAAGGTAATCTTGAGCGGTGATACTGATGTGCAGCGCTTCCGCGAACTCCCACCCAAAAAAAAAGGGAAAAAAAATAAAAAAAAGATAAAAAGGACGAGTTGCCGACTGGGAGAAAGGAGAATCAAATCGGAGGAGCAAAAAAAAAAGGGCTATGGAGTTGGCAGAACAAGGAGAGAAAGAGAGGTATAGGTTTGAGAGGTGTAGTTGTGTGTCCTGGTGCCTCAACTTAACTTGCTGCAAACCAGCGAACGGAGGCTTAGGTAAGCGGGATGTCAGTCAACTGGAGAAAGCCGAAATAAGAACTATTCCTGATAAAGACTAGTCTCGATTCATATCTCTTATCGATAAGGACCCATATAATGCGGATGACGTTAGGGGTAAACAATGCTGTAGGTGTCGACAACAGTACAATTTACAGATATTTCCCCGTTTTAGCTATTATTGTCATCACTTAGCTAACCTATCCGACACTCACAGCCATAGATAGACATGGCGGCCACTTTGACAGCTCTCCACTCCTTACGGGTAGGCCGCCAGCAAATCCCTCCCTGGTACCACACCTTACAACACCTCCATTCACCATAAACCTTTTCTCATCTACCGCAGCGGCTTCCACCGCTCCACCACAGCCTCCGAAATCAGCCAACACCTGACAAAAACCTGCGTCGCTGAGCCCCAATGGACCTGCTCCATCCATATACCCTCACCACCAGTTTCACTCCACCACGCACGCGGTCCTAATCGTCATCTCTGGCGAAGCAAACCTATGATTCGGCCATGGAGATAACCCAGAGCGCTTTGACGCTGTAGTTTCAAGCAGGGATTTCCTGGTTGTCCCTGCTGGGGTGGCCCGTGGACTGCTGCACGATAATGAGGCTGGGGTTAAGACGGTTGGTGCATATCCAATGGGGAAACTGTGGAATATGTGCTATGGAGATGAAGAGGAATGAGATAACTCGGCAGAGATTGAGGAAGCGGATTGGTTTGCGAGCGGCCTGCTTATGGGGATTGTTGGCTGGCGATTGGAGTGTGAGCCAATTTCATGGGCTTTCTGTGTGCAGATGTCGCCGTAGGGGAAGCCCGTCTTTTCCTTCATCTCACATTTTCACTTTCTTTTTTGGTACATAGATGGTGTAACTTAAGAAACTTATTCGATGTATATCAACCTTGAGTTATGAGCAGTGAGGGACAAAAACAATGAAATCCGTGCCTGGAAAATATACAAAAAAGTAAATACATTCGGGGAATCAAAGAAATTAAAGCTTGCTGTTGCATCTAAGCCCTTATCACTTTTTGCGCAAAAAGGAAAATGTGATAGGGTGAAAACATGAACCAAACGGAAATTCGTAGAGGATAAGAAATGGATTTGAATGAAATCAAAAAGGAATAAAATCCGAAAAACGAACGGGTGAGGATGCAATGGATATAAAGTTGGCATGAGAATATGCATTTAAAATCCTGCAATGGGGAAATGAAAGGAAAATATGTAGACTCACTAAATTATGAAGATAATGATAGTAGTGATAACAATAAAATAGCAAATGATAGTAAGGAAAGAAAAATGCTTTCGAAATAGAAAAGGTTTACTTGCCCGTTACTCGCTCCACAACCCTGAGGATATCTGTTAACATGCTTTCGCTGATGGGGTATACACAAGGGCGGGTGTAAATGTGGAAGGTGCACAAACCTTAGAACACTAATGGCGAAGGTCGTAAGCCATGCTACCAGTACAATCAGCAATACAGCAGCCAACGCCTTCTGCAGATTGCAGATACTTGAGTTTGTTGGGTCAAATTTTCCGTCAATCTCCCCGGATCCACACGAACTCTGGATATCTGACAAACTTTCAAACGCCAGACTGAGATTGGCCGACGCAAAGACGATGAAGATCAGGTCCAGGAATATAAGCCGCAGCTTCGCCTTAGCAGGCCGGAGCCCTAAAGGTTTTCCAGTGTATTCGTCATAAGTAATATACACTAGATAGACCAGAGCTATAGAATCTACTATAATCGCCAAATCTGGAGAGGGGCCTTGCGAGTGACCATATTTAGTGGCATAGGAATGGATAGAACCACCTAGAGCTAGGGCGACGACCGAAAAGATAAAAACCGTAAGGCGGATTAAAAGAGGAACAATGGGACTTCGGAGGATCTTCGACTGGACCTTACTCAACCGCTTTACCTTCCGCTGTTTGGAATCCTGCTGGCCACTCTCTAGGTCTTTTACATTGGTACTATGGCCCAGCCAGGGGCCCGAATAATCTCCAATGTTTTCGTCTAGCCAGTCGTGATCAACAAGTTTCTCCTCCAGATCTGTAGACGGCCGCGGGTATGCATTAGCTTTCGCAAATGTTTTCCATCTTGATTCCCGTGGGCCTTTTCTGGTGTAGCCAGAGTTCGTATATGAAGCTTGCTGTTTTTCGCGAGGAACGTAGTGGTGTTGGGCGATTCGGACACCTGCAAGTTCTGGGGAAGCCAAATGGGAATGGGCCGGGAGGCCAGTAGTTTCATTCGCAATTCGCACCCATGCTATTTAGAGGATTTTTGATGTCAGTAGGTTTGCGGGCTCAAGGGAAAGGGAAGTACTTGGGTAGGACAGAGTTTATACCTGGTATTGTCCTCGCAGTACGGAAAACGCTATTAGATTGAGTCCCGATGCTCACCCCCACCGATTGAGCTCTACTCTTCGGCCGAAGGGAACTCCGGTCGTGCGAAAATTGAAGTCCTGAGTGGCCCACATCCCCGTTTACGCTCGATCGCGCAACTGACGTGCCCGATTTCTGCCTCACTAGGGGAGGGTCTACCGGCGACAACTCCGACTTCCTGCTGGCGGATCCTCCACTCTGAGTTTCCGGAGGCTGGGGGTGTAAAAGGTAATCTCCATATATTGCCATTGCCCGGAGATAGAGCTTCTGCGTCCAGGGCGTGGCTGTGGTTGCTGACAGTTGACAATCAATTGGGGTGCCGATTGCTTCCTCCCATGATTTTGGCCGCAATGAGAGCGGAGGTACAATCCCTTGGAGAGGTACGCGAGTGGTAATTAACAGGGAGAGCAAAAAAGTTAAGGAAATATGGCAAATTAGGGAAACGAGCGTCGAGCAGTGGAGAAGCAGAAGATGATGAATTGAGTGATGATGTTGGGAGCAGATCAGGCCCGTTCGAGAGATGCTAAGAATATCGCCCTTGCGGCAAATACGTGCCTAGTGCCTGTCAGGCAAAAACTAATATGTAGCCACAGCCTGATCATTTTTATTTGATGCTGAGCTGAGAAAAATTAATTCCTACTGGACGTGAGATGACCTCTGGACTGCGCCCCAAACAACAGAAATTACATCACAGCTCCAGCTCCGACCAACAAAAATTTCCGCTCTAGGCTGTTAGACAATATAGGTGGAAAATGCTCCTTCAAAAGGCGACCTGCAGCCGCGCAGAGTCAAACTAGCCTCGTGCATCTTCTCTCATCGCATCGCACCCCCGGAAGTCAACCCCTAGCACCTCCGCATCTTTGCGATGCGGCTGTACCTCCTCCCCATCTCTACGGGGCGATCTCTCCTTTATTGCAAAAGAATCGACACACGGTCTGCGAAAGAGCTGAGCCGTCTTGACCGCATTACTCAGAAAGCATCAACTACCTGGGCGAAGTGGGAGCAGGCGGAGCAGGCCTGGAAAAAGAGGTTGGTGGCCTATGGAAACCGGGTGTTGCAGCGCATACCATACGAAGAATGGGGCCTGAAGAGTGTGCCTCCATTGAGCACGAGGAGGCAAACTGAGGAGTTGCAGACCCATACCCAGGTCTCGCTCGTTTTCCCTAAGGGCATCATCCAGGAGAGCAAGGTCCTGGACTTGCTGAGAGACTTGGCTACCGCGAGACAACGTTTACACCGGAGACGGATGCTTTGGAGCATATTCATTGCGCCATTGATGCTGCCTGTTGCACTCATACCTCTGTGAGAACTTCACCTGGGATTTGCTAGTCTCTTGTGCATTGCTGCACAATACTCCCGCTGACTTACAAAAAATTTTCTTTTTTTCGCTCGCATGTTCCAGCGTCCCTAATATTCCCTTTTTCTACTTCGTATACCGTGGATGGTCGCATTGGAGGGGTAGGTTTCCCTCCAAATATCCCTTGAGTAAAACCTGTGTAAACTAACCACAAAAAACCCAGCATTGAGCGGCTCAAAACACCTTTGCTTTCTACTTGACAACAACCTCGTTACACCGAGATCTCTTCCCGCCTTGGAGAAATTTTACGCCCATCGCCTGATGATCAACAACTCCGTTCCTCCTGAAGCAAATTCCAAGGCCAATTGCCCAGACGAAGTGATCCTGTTAGAAGCATCCGACGGCAGACAACTGGCTCAAATATTGGGACCTCATGAACTCGCCGCTGAGGTAGAGCGAGCAGTGAGGCAAGTAAAACATCTTCATCAGGCAAAGAAAACATCCTGATTCAATTGGAACTCCGGGAGCCGGTTATTCGACCCGACTATTCCGACATTGTGCAAGTCAGTTTGTCAGCTTTCCCTTTACCAACTGAAATCGCATGCAGAATCATTTCTTAGGCGGAGCTGATTTTGAAAACCCACGCTCATGCTTACACACCATAAGAACTGCAGTGTTCGTACGGCCGTTTTCGACGTCCATCAATTCACTTCTACATCATCGATTAGAGAATGAAATATGAATTGGGATTCATGGATTTGAAGGGGGTTCATGGCTTACATAGGAATATTTGTTTCTCTATTTTTAAGTGGGTGGTGGCTGTGCGAATCACTTTGTGCTGTCTCTCTGTCCCCGGGGTTTGCAGTTGTCCAGAAGTTGTACACGGGTGTCTACGGGAGGGAATTCTTGATTTTGCCGCAACTCATGTGGAGGGTGTATTAATTATCGTCTAACATTATGTACCATCACTATCCCTACTCTATATTTTTTCCTACAAGCTTACAGCCTTTCTGTCGTGATATCTATCATCCTTCCACCAAAGTTAGATATGTTTATACAGGACTATTTCAATTTAAATATGCGGAAATAAAAATTGACGGATACCTGAAATTGGTTAGATATGCGCAATCAAACCCCTTATCTAGTATTGGGGAATCCACGGGGAATTATTTTCTCCGATAACCGCTGCCAAACGTCAAGTATTACCAGACCGTCAAGCTGACCAACCTACCTCCAATTCCAAGTACCAGTTATTTAACGCTTGCTAATGCCACTCTCGTCGTCTGCAGCATGTCCGAGAAGAAAATAGAACAATGGGAAGTCGAGCGATACTGGGAGATCTTCTCTTCGCTCTCCAATGGCCAACCACACCTGAACAACGCGCAGGCCGCGACAGTCCTAAGGAACAGCCGATTACGAGACGACCAACTGGAAAAGGTGTGGGATTTAGCAGATGTTGACGGAGATGGCGAGTTGGATTTTGAAGAGTTTTGCGTGGCTATGAGGCTTATTTTTGATCTTGTGAATGGGGTATGTATTCTTCTTGAATATTATACGGGGCCAAAGGGCACATCATACGATGCGGGCATGCGTAGAGTGTATGCACATCGGTCAGAATATGGATATACGTGCGTGGTTCTGGCTAACTTGGAATTTTTCCTTCTTCTTCCTCTTCTTTGATGTTCCTAGGAATACGCCGATGTGCCACATTCATTACCAGATTGGTTGATTCCGGAGTCGAAGGCGCATCTTGTCCAAGCTTCGCGTGCCCTCACGGGAAGGCAGCCACAATTCGAAAGGGTGGAGGAGGAAGACGATACTCCCGGCCTCAAGGATGGGTTTGACTGGTACATGAGCCCAGGAGACAAATCCAAATATGAGGAGATATATTCCGCGAACAGGAACCATCGCGGGGAGATAACATGTGGGTATAACTTATGAATCCTGGCCATATCCTTCTCATAAAGCCGCTGACATTCGATACCTTCCTTCCGACTCCAGTCGATTCCCTCCAACCCCTGTACGACTCCCTTGCCGTACCCGACACCGACATCCGCTCCGCCTGGAACCTCGTCAACCCCTCAGCCTCCTCCACGATCTCCAAAGATGCGACCCTCGCCTTCCTCCACATCCTGAACAACAGACATGAGGGCTACCGTATCCCGCGCACTGTGCCCGCTTCGCTTCGCGCTTCTTTCGAATCCAACAAAATCGACTACCAACTCGACAGCGTCCGCCCAGCTCAGCGGTGGGGTGCTGACACAGATGCAGATACCAGCACAGGCCGTAAAGCTAAATTCGGTGATGCTTATCTCAGCCGGTTAGGCGTTGGCGGACGAACTACATACCGCCCGCAGGGAACGGATTTCAGCAACACCATACAGGATCAGGAGTGGGAGAAAGTACGGCTACGGCGGGAGCTAGCGGAGTTGGAAAAGAAGCTGGAGGCTGCTGACGGCGCGATGGAGTCGAGGAAAGGTGGAGGTGGCTCTGTTAATGGTGGGCCCAATTGGACACTCATCAAGAAGGAGGCGTTGCAGTTGCTAGAATATAAAGAAAGGGAGTTGCGGGAGCTTAGAGAGGGGACAGGTAAGGTCAAAGAAGGAGAGAGCCTGGAGAGGTTGAGGGAGGATGTTAAGACGGTTGGCGACCAGGTGGAAGGCTTGAAGGCACATTTGGCGAAGAGGAATGAGACATTGACTGAGTTAAAGGATCAGATTCGGGAGGAGAAACGGAGTCGGTGACGTGGTATGGTGCGGCATTGAGGGAGAGGTAGAGGTGAAGAAATTCCTCTTTGAGCTTTTTCGATTGTCAAGTCGGGGGCCTCCCCTCCTTTTCCTACCTGTAACTAGTACATATTATACCATGTCTTCATTTCTTCCACCGTTTAAGCGTCGATAGCATTTATGAGTTCTTTTTGACATTTTTGTGCGCAGCCGAAACGGAATTGGAACGGTTGAAAAATATCCAATTTGTATATTTTTGGGTCTTCCTTTGATTTAATCATTGCTCCTCCCCTATTTCTTGTTTGCGTTGCCGTTGAGCTCAAGATGTGTATGACATGAAACTAACTATCTCGATGAAATTGGTCAAACCCAGAGGACTTCGGGAACTTCACTGACCTAGATGAAAATGCGTTGCTAGAGGCTGTAAGTGACCACCGTACCCCCTAGAGGACACCCGCTCTTACAAAGAGCAAAAGACAGAGCACCCAATTCTAAATACAAAAAAATAAAAAATGATACCAAGTCGAGAAACTCGATCCTCTTCTAACCAATCTAATTATCTACTGGTAAGCTCAGCCATCATGCCCTCCGCCTCTTTCTTGGGTTCCACAGCAAAGAAGCTATTACCCCCCTTATCCAGGCCCCTCTCAGCCCTCTCATATGCCTCATCACTACGATCAGTTAATATATCCAGGTCGCGTTGCGACAGAAGAGATTCCGGCGTCGCCCCTTCACCACCACCAAGATCTAACACCTCAAACCCAGCATCTCCAAGGATTTTCCGCAACTCTTCCGCCTCAGAAGAAGCGGCAGCAGATCCAGGTTCCAGCAAACTTTTGAACTTCCCCTTTTGAATGACCAATTTTTCCAACCTACGTTTTGAATCTGCCTTTTCGAGTAGCGTCTGCTCGACGGTACCCCTCGTCGCAAGTCGATAGACAATAACCGGCTTAGTCTGGCCGATGCGGTGCGCGCGATCCTGCGCTTGCAGGTCCTGTTGCGGGTTCCAGTCAGAGTCGAAAAGGATAACCGTGTCCGCTGCTGTCAAGTTAATGCCTTGGCCACCGGCGCGAGTGCTTAGGAGGAAAATTCTGTAGTCCGGGTCCGTGTTGAAGGCTTGGATTTGTGCCTGGCGGTCAACTTGGCTGACAGCGCCATCGATGCGACAGCAGTTCCACCCGCGAAGGTAGCTCGCGTAGTCCTGCAGCAAATCGAGTTGGGTTTTGAATTGGGAGAATATGAGGATTTTGTGGCCCTTGGATATTAGGCAGGGAATGAGCCGGTCGAGGAGGAGCATTTTCCCCGACGAGGTAATGAGGGTGTCGTCGATGTGGGATGGGTCGTCACCCCAGGGCCAGTAGAAGTTGTGTGGTGAGTTGCAGGCTAATCTGGCCTGCATCACGGGGTTTTGGAGCTTTTTAGAAGCAATTTCCCTTTCTGTAGATATTAAAAGACGGAAATTTAGAAAAGGGATGAAACCACGTCTGGCAATAAATTCGCAGGGTTGAAAAGTTATGCTTACTTGCAAGTTGAGCCGTTTTGGCCTTTTCAATCCTCTCCAATTCGCTTTCACTCTGGTCTGATTCTTCTAGTTCAGATTCAATCCCCTGTTCTAGTCGCCGCAACCTAGCGTTAAACTCTCGATCGCTGACCTCCTTATAGCTTAGACGACCCTTTCTCCGCCTTGCAGAGCCTAAAGTGCTTCCGGGTGTAGATTCACGGCTGGATTTCAAGCTTTTATTTGGGGTCGAGGATCCACTGTTGGAGGGTTTACGTTTCAGGCTCTCGGATCTTGACGTCTTTGGAGTCCCATTTCTGGCATTGATCCTCTCAGCTGCTTTTTCTTCCAGATATGCCCTACTAGAGCCGTTCATAATTTCAAGATATAGATCTTTCTGCTCAGGCGTTAGCGGTGCGTATAGTATGTATTCCCTTTTTTTAGGTAGAGATGTTTCAACGTCCGTCTTCACTCGTCTGAGTAAGAATGGTTTTAATATCGCATGCATGGTAGACACAAGGTTGCGTTTACGCCGCTCCACAGCCGCTTTTTGGCCTCTGTTATCCAGGACTGAAGAGAAGTCGAACCAGCTCTCAAAGCTACCTAGGTCATTGAAGACTTCGGGAAGGAGGAAATGAAGCAGAGACCATAATTCAGCGATATTATTTTGCAGAGGTGTTCCAGTGATGAGGAGACGGTTCGCAGAATTATAGGTGAGGAGTTCTTTGATCAATCGACAATTCAGGTTCTTTAGCCGATGTCCCTCATCCTGTAAAAAGAAATTAAAATCCGTTAAAAAAGACATCTGATATGGCATGTGATTGACATGAGCTCACCACGATGATATATTTCCACTGATACTTCGCCAAAAACTTCCGGTCGTTCATGCAAATCTCATAGGATGTGCACACAACAGGAAAATCCTGCTTTTTCTGGTCCTGTAGTTTCATCCGCTGATCTCGAATCTCGGCACGTTCTTCTTTACTACCGTGATAAAGCACTGTCTCGATACCAGGTGTCCAGCGCGCAAACTCGGCGACCCAATTGCTAACTGTACTAAGCGGAGCAGAGATCAAGAATGGGCCAGAAACGTTGTGCTCTTTAAAAAATGCTATCAAAGATATAGCCTGGATTGTTTTTCCCAGGCCCATTTCATCAGCAAGGATACCACAGAGGCCATTCATCCATAGGGATTTTAGCCACTCCAGACCCTCTAGTTGGTATTCCCTCATTTGGCCACCGGTTACTAGTGCTGGCTGCTGGGTAGCTACTAGATCCTGCTCGCCTATTGCGGTAGGCTTCGCCTCATATTCCTCTGCGGCTTCTTCCAAAGCCTCTTGGACTGTAGGGTTATCCTTTGAGATCTGTATATCGGCTTTCTTAAAGTATTTCGAGATGGTATTTCCGGCGGTACTTTTTGGAGGACGACCCCTCGTCGGCAGCTTTGTTTCCTTTACCCCTTTTTCTGAGCTAAGACTTTTAAAATCGCTGGCAGGTGTTTGTTCTGCCTGGGATGGCTTGCCGCTTCCTCGGGTGGCTCTCTTCTCAGTTGTTGTGACAGGGGACTTATTCTTCATTGTCACCGCAGCTTGTTTTGCGAGTTTCCGTTTGGCTTCTTCTTTCTGTTTCCTTTGCTGGTCTTTCATTTTATCTGCCATAATCGCCACGAATACCTTTTCGTTTGATTAACAGCCAGTGGTTTTAAGGTAACCGCTAAATAGCAGATGGCGGCAAGCAAGCAAAAACGAAAAAGAACTTACAGAGCTTGTCTTAAGCAGCTTGGTTAAAGCTTTAGCCTTGATATCCATACCCTCCTCGTCGTCTTCCTCCATATTTTCGTTCTGCGCTTCATGTTCTTGAGCGGAATCTACTTCCACCTTGGACATATCCATATCTCCTTTGCCCGGTGAGTCAACGATGGGAGGAGATGATTGAGGTGTGGATGCTCCAAGGGAGTTTCCTGGTGAATTAGCTGAACTGCTAGACATTGGCCACGTATAGCCACTTTGTAGGCAATCTGCCGTAGAAGTGATGGTGTGGTCGAAAGTATTTAAAAGGGTCCCACTGGCGAGTTTCTCTAAGAGCGCTAACGGTCAGAATGAATAGCTTTCGTGTAGCAATTACGTTAAATCCTTATTCAGAATTCCTGTTCTAATGGTATATATTATGTTTTATCTTTCGAAGCACACTGCCATTTATGACTGCCATTGATAGTAGCGAGGGGGAAAGGAAAACTCACCGTGCATCAAGGAAACCTTGTTACCGAACAGCCAAAACAACCTCTTCTGCCAGCGTGCAAGCTGGAATTGAGCAAGGCGTGCTCTTTTGCTTTGCCTGTCAGTTCCGTCTCGGCTGCTGTCGTCCGCCACTTTACGCGTGGTTGGGTCAGAGGCGCGAAATAGTCGCGCATTACGTCAGCGAGAAAGCTGTCCTACTTACATTCAAGCTGTTGAACTCCCAGCAGGACGCCAGGCCAGACCACCACGCCTTTCTATAGTATTTGATTCTGTGCTAGGTTTTGCTCTGTCCAGCTGCACAGGTTGTCCAACACCACTTAATCAAGCCATGCTGTATACAACCGCAGTTTGCGCGCTTCCGGATTCATCCACTGAATGTGATGTTGTGACCCGAACGGTGTAGCGCCGTCAGTGGTGTTATGTCCTCCTTACTTGCATGACTGGAGAAAAGATGTTCGTCTCCTAGATCACCATTTTGCTGCGAGTGTAGCTACAAAATCATACTAGTATGTACCACGGGCCAGGTTCCTGCAGTGACATATCAGGGTGATTCTGATTCATTCGTTTATTATTTTTATCTTTTAATCTTTTTTCTTTCTTTAAGAGAACGACTCCTTTACCTGACCCAACAGCTGATGACACTGACTGCTCTCAAACGGACTGTATCCCTCAAATATTACAGCTAAGAAAAAGAAAAGGGAAAAGGAAGGCAAGGAAATTGAAAAAAAAAAAAAAAAAAAAAAAAACCACTGAACTAGTGAGAGATAGAAAAAAAGGGAGAGGGGAGGAGAGGATAGTAAACAAGCAGATAAACGGATCCAGAAATCCACCCAAGCAGAGTGCAGGTATCTTGCCCCAACAAAAGAATTCAAGGTTATTCTAAACTTTCCAATCTGTCCCTAGCCATCATGCATCTGACAAAAACGCCCGGTATCCAATTCATGCTTCCTGCTTATTGATTCTTTCACTTCTTCTTCTAGTATTAGCTGCGTCCACCCCAAGAGTATTGCTCTTCATAGTTTTCTTTGTGCACCCTTCTGTTGTCGTTTCAACGCATGTCGGTAATTGAACCGTTTTGCTTGGACACTTCTTTTTCTTCGTCCACCCATGACCATACCTTCTATTTCTCTTTTTCCGGGGTCCTTCCATCTTCCCTAAGCTTATTGCGCCTGAAAGACCCGCGTTTGGTAGATCTGGAGGGTTTTTGTTGGGGCAGGAGAGCATGGTGTCCACCTTTGGGTGCACAGGAGTAGTAGCTGTTTCGGTTGGCGATGGGTTGTGTTTATCCTTCCCACTAACTGTAACTGTGCTTTCGCCCTTTACCTCCGTCATATCTAGTTCTGGTACAGGTGATACTAAGCTTTGTGCTGCATGTAGAGAGACCCCTTTGGCGCATGTTCCCTCTGCATTAGTAGCCTGAGAGCAAAACGTAGTTGTTGCAACCCCCGGCATATGAGCATTATTTGGCGTTGGGTCACTAGTCGTAGTTAAGAGAGGCGGCCCACCCCGGTTGACATTGGGTTCTCTGGCATATCCTTCTAGCTCCCTCGCAAGTGTTCTGTTTTCTTCTTGCTCGCATCGAGCTGGGAACGAAGGTGGCGTTATTGGTGAATATTGTGGTCCATATCTCTCCGACAAGTTGTGGTTGCTGAGCGACATATAGTGCGGGACGAAATTTGACCCCGGATTGGGAATCATTCTTGGATTTCCACTATGGCCCGGGCTACTTGTCCATCTGGCTAGTGGTTCCCTCCTCGGTTTCTCAAACTGGCATGGATTACCCAGGTTGGGTGGTGTTAAGTTCGTGGGTGGAGAGACTGAGCTTGATTGATGGCATGCTGAATCTTCCCGGAGCGCACCCTTAGCTTCAACTCTGGCTGCTGCAAGCCCATCCCTGTACATCCGCGAAGCTCGAGAAGCAGCCTCCGTATCTTCCCTACTTTGGCTATAGATCCATGTGCCCCCTAATGATCGCTTTATTGTTTTGCAGCCCCCCCTCTTACCCGATATTGCATGCCGTGGCCATAATTGGGGCAACATATTTGCTACACTCGTATTGTCATTGGAAATGTTCATTTGTGGTTGTGAATGTCCTCGCATAATATCTCCTGGTGTTCCAAAGATATCTTGTTGTATTCGAGCAGCGCCTTGCGACCCAACTTTGAGTCGAACTACTGACTCATGGCGCAGTGGTGATGACTGAGGAAAGGTGTTTTGGAATGGCCTAGATGGCTGTCGCCATTGACAAGATTCGGCTTTGTCGCTGAGAGTTCGAAAGGGAAGGGATCGCACCGTACCGGCTCGAGGAATGGATGATTCCCGACGATGGTAAAGTAGATGCTGAGCAGCATTCAGACTAGGATCCAGAGTCCGTAGTCGTTTCGGAGGTGGGGAACAATCGGAATGCGAACTGGCGCCAGTTCCTGTTTCTGAATCAGGATTACTTTCACACTCTGTATCTCCATGTTCAGAGATATTGGCTTCCTCAGCCACAGGAAATTCCCCTGACCATTCAAACCCCTCGTCAGCTCCTGTCATACCAGTAGTGGTGATCGCCACAAGATTGTTACTCCATTCACCAGCAAACATAGGGTCCAAACCAAGGCTTCTCAGATATTTGCGTGCGATCAGGATATCGCTAGCTTGACTCATGGAGTAATCCGGGCCTGAGTGTGCTGTCGTATCAAGGAATTTTTTTGAAATGTTTCTAAATACTAGCTGACCTGGTACTTTTTGGGTTCTCAGATAACTATTGTCCATTCGTAGCAACGCCCGGAGTTGTTTCGTTCTCATCTCGTTTAACTTCGCGTTCTCGCGCTGAACCTGTTCCTTGCGCGCAGAAGAATGTTCGATCATCTTGATTTGCTCTGAAGGGCTAAGTCTCAGCGCCTCGACTGCCTGGCGGTAATCGCAGACGGAACGGAGATTCTCGAAGATTTCTGTTTGAAGGATTGGGGATATATCGCTCCATTTTATTTCCTGGAGGGCGCCCTATTGATAGTAAGGATAGGCATTAGCGAGGGATTATACATCTTAAAAATACCTTCCTTCGGGAAAGGGGTGAAGAGATGGTAATCTCACAGCTGACATCCCAGCCGCTTCATAAGCACCGATTCCGACATCATTCTCATCATCGCTCAGATTCATACTGCTCCTTGTTCCATGTTCACTATTCCCAAGCTCATTCGGGTAATTCACACAGTCGCAACTAACTTGAAGATTTAATTTTCCAGGGGTACTGCTACTACAGTCATCGCCAACATCGAGCATGGATACCTCTCCTTTCCCTCCCATTCCCCGCTCACGACTGGTGTTATATTGACAGTCAGTGATATTTTCATAACCGAAAGAATTCGCACCAGAGCGCTCCTGCATAGACCCTATCCTGTTCCTGGAACTCTGTGGAACTTCCTGTGAGGGGTATTTTGGTGGCTGTTGGTTATCAATAGTGGGGAATGCTGCAGGAGGTAGATTGGGGTTGAAGTCAACGAAAGGTGGTGGGAAGACGGGGCGCCCAACATCCGGTTTATAGCTACGAGATTCGTTCCGTGCTGGGGGTGGCGGAGCGGGTTTTGTAAAATTCTCTTCATCATATCGTTTTGGCGGTTTTAGAGTATCTCTACCCCTGAGATTCATTGTTGTGGGATAAGGTGCGGTCCTACCTTGCTGGAATTAACCGAATAAGTTGTCGGATGTGTGAGGCGGAGACTGTGCTAGACAAAGGTGTGTTCTTCTTTTATCTATATTTTAATCCTTGTTAAAGGGGTGGTGGAATGCTGTTGTGTTGTGTCATTCGTTGCTGGGCTGAAGGGCGCGGTGGGTAAAAAAGGGGAGGGTTAAGGGGGAGGGCTGAGGGGGTATAAGGTGAGTTGGTGAGTTTGACCAAAGGGTCGTTTGAGAAAATCAAAAGGACTACCTAAAGGCCGTGAAAGAGAATTCCATGAGATGAGGGTTGAAAGGCTGCAAGAAAGAGACGATGCTCCGAGTTATTCAAAGACCGGAGGGTTTGCTGTCCTGAAGTTGAAGTTGTGGGTGGAGTGAGAGGGATCATTCGGATGTCACTGATGTGGACCTCCTGGGTGAATATCTTGAATTAGGCATTGCGACTTGCAAGAAGACATCTGGGTTGTTCTCTGCTCCAGGAGAGAGGAAGTAATAACACATGATAGTCATTGCAAACAAGGGCAGTCAATTCTCCTTGAGAACTCAAGAAGAAGAGGTATGGAAATAAAGAGAAGAGAGGATTAAGAAGACATTTCCCTGCCGGGATGTTTGAAAAGTTGAAATATTTTATTGAAAATGCTTTCTGAAAGGGTTTCCTTTTGAATTTTTATGTATGGGGGGGTGGGGGTTTTTGAACAATATTGTCAACGACAAGTAGGAATTCTCCCTCTTGACAAAGGGCATCAATTAAAATTAATACAAAGAAGGAATACGAGCGGAAAGAAGCGAAGCAGTGACAAAAGCCGAACGCAGCCAAACGCCTGACGCTTATCACGTTTGGCAAAAGGAAAAGCAAAATACGATTTCCTGGTATACAACAAAAATCAAGAGCGAGAGAGAGTCCCAAGCAAACGTCATATGCTCTATATATAAACCCGTGTTTTGTGCTCCATGGAAGCAGATAAAGAAAAGTGCGGATGGAAGGGACGATTTCCTGTGTGATATGTTTTCAATCGCTCTCGGTTACACCCGTCTACTACAGCAATGATTCCTAGCAGGTTGCTGTGCGTGTATTCGCTCGCTCGCAATGTGCACATATCAAGGGTTGGAATTATCCGCCATCTGCATCGCTAAAAGGAGGCTGAGGACTTCTGGACGCGAAGCGCTCGTCATCTAAGGAGGCCTGCATTTCAACATCCGGAAAATTACAAACACTATCCTCTAACTCTCGTGTGGCATCAATCGGTCTTTTCTTTGGGCTGGGAAATCCCACGGTGTTGGTTGTCCTTCCATTGGAACCGTTGATCGCATCCTGTGCTTTCATGACGTCCCTCCTCGCGGCGAGGATGGATCCAAACGTTTGAAGCACGCGTTTCAAAGATTCTGGGAGATTGCAGCAGAGTCTTCGACCCTGGACATTGATGAAGGCGGTTTGAACATCGTAATTGAGGATTGCCATCAAATAGGCGATAGCGACAGCTGCTGAACGCTCGTTCCCCGTCTCGCAGAAAATCAAGACTTTTTTCCATGGTTTGCTTCTGATATCATTCCCAGGAGTGGTGGTTGCACCTGTGTGGTGAGCTGGACAGCAGCATATATGTTCGTTGATTCCTCGAATGATATCAGGCAGCGATTTAATAAGATCTTGGTCATCCACGACGATGAAATTGTCAGATTCAATGCCATGCATGGCAGCACATTTATCTGCATCGACAATGCGAGCGTGGTAAGGGAGTGGGCCTCTAATTCCTAGAAGATACGTTATTCCTTCTCGTTTCACAAAATCAGGGTCTCGTGCTGAAGATGTCGGTCCAATGTAAAGGAATGGGAGAATCATTTGGGCCTCTCTGCGTTGATCATACTGCCATTCCATCAGCCTGAAAGCGGAACGGAAGCTTTCTTGCCCGAGTGATTTAAAGAATTCATCACAGGCTAAGTAGCCGCTAGGGAAATCGTGAGATGTTGGTGCCTCGAAGTTTCGAAGCAGGTTGTAATCCAATGAGTTCGAGATGCCCGTCCAGACAGTCTCGAGGCCAGAGCAATATGGTTGAGTAGGGATATATGAAGTTTCATGGCTTCCAGGAGTCGCCGCCCCTTGATTCAGATTCTGCTCTCCCATTTCTAGCGGAAAACACGATTAACCGGAAATTATGTGTCCAATGCGCTCTGATGATGAAGAGGAAATGAACACTGCTGTTGCGGACTAGTAGGGGTATAACATCTCCAACCCTCGTGGATGGCCACTATCGCCCTCTAAACAATATCTCTTCTGGTGAAACGGTTTGGCTGTGGGGGTATCGGAGGATAAGACACAATGGTTTGAAGCATATAATGATTTTAAACAAGCGTTTCCTGTCACATAACGGTACCAGAATGACGTATTCCATGAAAATTGAAGGTTGGTTGTTGTTCCAAGGCTAGTTCGTTGTGGTCACATGCCTGCAAATTAACCACGTGATATCAAACTCTAGCCACTGGCTCCTCAGGGTATCTTGGGTGCTCATTGCTCCTAAGGAAATGATAGAAGTCAGTTTCGTTTACAGACTTTATGGACGCTTGCACAGTTGATTTACTTTCGATCTCAACCATAACTCACGAAAAGCCATTTCCAATGGTGTCAAGTAGACACCAGTACACCTTTGAAAATAACAGCATGTCAAAACCTCTACAAAATGAATGCATGAATCAGATGTAATAACGGCTTGGGAGAACCCGGGTGCTTGAACATCTCAATCCTTTGCCGGTCGATAACTTCAAGTATGCCAAACCGAAATTTGAAACTGGAACTCGACAAGGATCAAAATTTCCAAGATGCAAATCAAGACCTCGCGTGTTGCCTTGCGTTCGGGAGAAGCCCGTGAACGGTTGGGAAGAAGAGCCTTTGACGCGCCCCAGGCCCCTTTGGACCGTCGCCAGTCCATGGTGGTTGCTAAGTCTTCTTCAATGACGATTTGGAGGTCGCGCAGGCAGAAATTTATCGTCAGTGCCCAACCAGACCGATCCAAACCTGGCGACACTAGAGTCGAAATGGCAGACCATTCGCGTCCAGAGGTTGCCTCATGACACGCGTGCTTTGTTCCCGGTACGCGGATGCCTTCGAAGCTCCAACGGATATAATTTCGGATCTCAGTTTAGGAAAATAGCGCTTGACGATTTCCCACTCATTTCGACACCTCATGTGAATGCCAATGGAGATGGTGGCTTGACTCGTACCTTCCACAGTCAGTCAGCCAAACCAGCAAAAGGAAAAGAGCTCTGGCCAACAACAGAAGGGAAAGGCGGACTTGTCCAGAAAAGAGTGTTCATCAAAACGAAGTCCGTTCTCGCTGACGCAGAAACCCGGATAAGAGTTCTCGCCTCATTGACGGGCGATATCGTATTGGATGTATGAGGATGCAAGAAGCCTAAAGTACGTTAAGGAACTAGCCGTGCAATGAAACACAGGTGCCAATGAGATGGGATTGATTTTGATCAACGTCGCATGAAAAACTCTGGGGGTATTTATTAGGCCCACATAAGCGGTGAACGATTGATTACGCAGGCGTCTCTCTGACGCAGCTAGAGCTCTAAAGTGTAGCATTCCTAGGCAGCAAGTCTTGCCTCGACCGTTTGTCAAGAATCTTACTCACAAAAACCATTCTTCAGCGCGGAGAAAATGAAAGCCACCATCGCAGCGCGTCCTTTTCGCCCCATTATGCAAAGATTAGTTGATTTTTCAGCACAACAAACACTCCTCCACGCCACATCGGGCGTGTCGGCAATCCTGCCTGCGGCATTCAACGGTCACGATGGCCTGAGGAGCTTCACCTGCGAAAGAATCCTATGTACGCCACCAGAAATTCCTTGGCAGTCTTAGCTCCAGCTCAGGCAAAACTCGTAACAGGCACACTTGAGTCAGGCACCCTAAAACTACTCGGATCAACCAATTGGTTGGACTTCACAGTCACATGATGCTCCCGTCAGTAGCAGGATCCACTTACAGATTTCTTCAGCCATGTTAGAAATGACCTAAAAAAACTTCATGCACATCCTCTCCACACGGACGCTGTTGGCCTCGATATGTCCTGAGACGATTCACAGATTAATGAGCTTTGATTGACTTCTCTTAGCGCCGGGTGGACCGATTCCTGGGTACCATCATCGCTTATTGGCTGGCTCAACTCCGGGCTCTTGGTGTCGTTCGACCACATGTGCGAGAATGATTTGCACGGATGTGGCTCCGTTGCGATGCTTTTTGCGCAATTCATTTCGTTGCCACTTTTGAATCTTTTGCATTTTACACTCGTTGAGGAATTCAGGTCTGGTACGCACGAGTGCCAGTACGCACGTATGGGGATGGCGATAAGCCTCAGCCACACTGGATGACTAATAGGAACCAATGAATGACTAATTTGAAAAACAAATAACTACTAACTATCTAATGCCAAGAGCAGAGAATGGCGTGAGAAGGAAAGCGATATGGAGCCCGGATGGCAAGACGAAATGCCGCGTAGGCAGAAATGATGAGGAAATGGCGCGGTAGAGAGGTGGGGAAAATGCTTGAGCAAATTGGGAGAGAAAGGATGTCATGAACAGATTCATACAAGGCAGACGTTAGTTTAAAAAATGGGGTATGGTAATGCAACGATGATGATCAGTAATAGAAAGTGTGAAAAAGGAGAAAAAGGCCCCAATACTTCTAAGAAATGAAAAGGGAAAAACGCCACACGCTCCAGATGTAAATGTATCGTAGAATGAAATTACATGCTGCAAGGCCATAAGATGATATTTGAAAATAAGAAATACAATTTGAACCCGTCGCTAAATGCCAATATGCCTAAACAAAAACCAAATGAAACCAAATGTGGAAATTGTCCACTGAAATATAAATTATATGTCCACGGAGAGTAGGAATAGTCGATGGCAGGAAATCGCGCCGGTTTTCCTGGTTGTGTAGATATCTTTCTCTCGTTATTTCGCTGTTATTGCCTTCGTGTTCGTATATTCTCCCCACCACTCAACCGTTCTGAATCAGTCGTCGAAGCTGTTTCAGCTCTTTTTCCAGTTCATCTAGCCTCGAGTCTTTCTTGATAACTTCTCGCCGAAGGCGAGTAATCTCATCACGGAGATCGAAATGATTCGAGCCTTCTTCGTCCGAGGAAGAGTAAGATTCGCTAGTATGTCGCTTCCTTTTTGAGGGATGGAGGGGCAATAGCACGGTGCTGTTCTCGGGTTCATTGGCTTCCGAAGAAATAGGATCATCGGGAGATCGGCCGTCTCCTCCTCTGTGAAGGCGACGAAGATGCTCCTTGAGATTCTCCTGTCTGGTAAATCCTTTTCCTGAGCTGCGATTACAGTCAGGGTAAGGACACAGCAGCTTTTTCCCTTGACTGTTCATTTTATGAACTTCGCGTTGATGACGGAGTAGGCCACCTGAATATGTGAAGCCTAGCATCTTGTTACAATCTGGGTTTGTGCACTTATATGGGCGGTCATGTTTGTCCATATGCTTGCTATCAAAAAATTAGTGGATGTATTTCAAGAAATAGAAACAACAGGAAAATAAGAGTGCTACATACTTCCATTCACAAGGTCTCTTGAAGTATGGGATATGATCATGGCAGTCTGGGTGGTCGCAATAGATCTGACCGGCAGCATTTTTGGGTGGTTCCCTCGTTCGTCTTACGGCTAATCTCGGTCGGGCACTCTCAACTGTGACCGATGACACGGCCTGAGCCATTTCGGTTTCTTTGGGAAACGGAATATCAGTTGTCACCTCTGGGCTTTCACTTCTTTGGGGACTTGGATATCCGATGTTACCACCCATAACGGAAGTGGAAGTAAAGTTTGACAGACACCGAAGGGCGCAGAAAGAGAAGCACCAGTTGTTATTTATATATTAGGATGTCAATTCTTGAGGCTCTGTTGGAAGTAAGCACTCGGTTATATCATTCGACGATCGCCATGCATTGGCAGTGGCACACAGAAAGCCTCCGCTGTCGAAGGATACCACTCTCGTTAGTACGCGAGTCAGGACAGTCGTCATTCATTGGGTCACTACCGAGTGGCCATAACTTTGCTCGTCAAATAAAGAGCCCAAACCAGATCAGTCAAACGGCGACCTGACTCCCGTTGTGGCCTTGAGGCCGATCCAGTATCAAAAGCTGTCCTCGAGGAGGAAGACCGCAGGCTACCAACGAATGAGTGGGAATGACTCACCAATCGTAGAGGCCTGGAGTCCAGCCGGGGTGTCCCGCGCCACGACACACGACGTGAGCCAGGCCGTTGCTTGATCCTTACTTTTGTTCCACGCTGCTGACTCCTGAGGCAGCGTGCTCTCAAATTCCAGCCAATGTGGCGCCTGTGGCCTCAGCCCTCTAAGGCATCTATCGCGGTCACGGGGTTCGGGTGTCCCGTGATTTGGCGGCTGCGCAAACTCGGACTCTCACGTTTTCCGATCGCCGAAGTTCGAGGAGAATACAGATGAAAAATCAACGACTTCCATGATGGAGTGGTGAGACTAGAAGCCGGTTCCAGCAGGTTCTCCAGCTGCCTTATAAAGCAATTGTGCCCCTTCTCCTCAACTTCATGGTTGTTCTTGTCATCCATTCCCGGGCTGTCGTGATATACCATGGGTTGTTGGTGCATATTGCGAACTCAAGCCTAAGTGTGTTGGTACAACTAGATTGATAGCACAACCATCCTTTTAGAAGCTTGGTACAAAAGGATTGTTACGGGCCCCCCCCAATGGCAATGATATGGAAACGTTTGCTGAAGGTCGTTGTGATTCCGTTGTCTGGCGTCATGAACAGCGAGGTTATGTAGCGCTGAGCCTGTCCGTTTCGAGCAAAGCTTCCTCCGCAATGCAGCTCTTTGTTGTCACTGTTGCAGTATCCCCATATCAGCGGACTCCAAGAATACTGCTGGAGGTCGTCGAATGTTCCACCGCCACGTCGCCCCTTGCGAAGTTGCTCATTCGTAGAACCAATTTTCCCCCACTCGTCGCCTTGTGCTCTTGGAGAGGGGCACATCTGCAAACCTGGGACGTCCTTGGCCGAATTCCTCGTGAAATTGAAGCATGCCGGATCAGGAGATATGAGATAAAGCTCCCATCGTATCGGTTCATCCCTGCGGACTTTAGAAATATCATACAACTTATAGGTAGTCATTGTCCTCGCAAATATCGCGACAACAGCTATGGATGTGGGGCGTATGGCATCGATGCATCTTACCCAAATTTCTCTCCAATTACAACGAGCTCTACTTGGCAAAAACTACGTATGACCTTAGCAACAACTTTATCGCAGGCTTATTCGATGAATCGCAAACAGACACACGATAGTTTGGCATGGTCCTAGCCGGTTCGCGTCAAGTGCCTGATGTGCATTTCCGCTTCGTTCGGGAATTTCCTTTCGTCTACGAATGTGCTTCCGTAATATTTTTCGGAATTAACAAAAACTTACACCAACAGACGCCTTCTAATGGAAGAGCACATATTTTATGATAATGTTGATCTGAGAACGTCAATTGCTCGGTCGCCTTGGCTCTCAGGATTCCCATGCTGACACGATGGGCGAATGCCCGCCCATGATGCACATGAGCATTTTCCTTTCTCACCTTCCCTCAGCATATATCTTATCCTATGCAACCATAGAAATTTTGTAAACGGCCATGTGGTTGCTATCACTTCGTTCATATGAAATTTCCTTTTGCTAACTTACCATGAAAATAGGGGTTTGAAGGCGTATTAAAATGGTATGTTCAGTGAACATCTAGCTAACTTTTCATTAGTGTTATAAGTGCATGATGTACCTCCAATCCATCAATGACACCAACCAAAAATGCTTGATTTGCTGGGATGGACTGATCATGATATTTTTGATCGGACTGAATAAATTCAAGAGTCAAGACCACGTATCAATCTATGCACCTCTCACTATGCCTGGCAAAGTGAGGCAATATACTTTCACGAAAGTAATATTGTGTTTCCATGCTCTCGTTGGATTTTCATCAGCCTTTCCTGGCCGCTAGCAGTTGCTGCCTTTAAACAAGGACATGCCCGCCCTAGATTTGTATAATTTTCGGACATTGCAACACACGAATGACAGGTTGCCAATTCTCTTGTCTAAAGTTGGTCTTGCTACTTCACCAATGTGGTATGATCAATGCCAATTTTATTTCAGGTGGACATGGCAATAAAGGGGTTTTCGTTCCCAGTGTGCCGCTAGTGACGCGAATCTTCTCGTTCCAGTCGTGGTTAATATCGCAAACATAATTCCCGTTGTCATGATACGGAAGTTGAAAGATATATACTTTGTGCATGGCGCCACATACCAGAGCCTTTTGATTCCGTGTTGACTAATTCTCGGAGGTGGAAATCAGAATAGTGAACTATGAGTGACACAACTTTGGAATATCGTATGTCCCAGGACAATTGCATAACCCACGCAGTTATACGATTTACGGATGATTGTTCGTTGCACTGCTACTTCTCAAATCAGGTCTCCCGACGCTTCCTCACTTAACATGGACGTGAACTACTTGCAGATTGCCATTATGCAGAACTGCGTAGCTATGCACGTTGAGCAGTCAGATTGGTCCATGGAGTTAAGTGGTCATCCGTCATATTTCGTCCCTAATGCCGTTGTTTCGAAGAATATATAAATCTCATCCATTTAATGTCGGCGGCGATGTGCATGTATTGTACATACATGACCATGTGTACAAAATGAATCATTTTTAACAGGAGACACATTAGTGGACGGGACACCAGAAAATTTTCCCTGAACAAGTAGGCGACATGTGAGCGTACATCATTGGGCAGTATAGCCGGATTTGAGGGGTATATGCGCGGGTATCGAGAACCAATCTTGCTCTAGTCGGATGTTCTGATCTTTGAAAGGGGGCGACACGTCAAAAAGGATATCCTTTCTCCTTAGTTCTCCTAAAGGAATGACCAATTTGAATACCCACGAAACCAGCTCTAAATCTGCCAAATCTGCCTCAACTGCAGTTGGACCAGTTATCTGCGGCTGTTTCGAGCAGACATGGTACTGGGAATCGCAATAGAAGGCAACAAACTAACCGCCAACAAGTTGATGCGTGGAATTACATAGATAGATCCCAAGGTGGCAGAGGGTTGAATAGTCGTGTCTATTTTACCAATTGGCCTGGGACTCCGATGCTCAAGAGTATTATATACCAGAAAAAGCAGTCCACAAACATTAAACAAGAGGCAAACATGTTCCACAAGAAGAAAAAGGTCCAAGACAACTAGCCTACGTTCACTAGCGTCATTCCATGTGTGGCATGAAGGAAGCCGTGTGTAGAGTGGCAGAATTGCGATAGATAAATATTTCCGCGACTGAGCTCGGATGGTGCACCCATCTTGGTGCCAGCTTCAGAAGATTTCCAATATTTTTGATACTATTTACTGCTTCTCCCTGTTATTCCCTTGTGCAGGCTATTTGACAAAACTTAATGCGCATTGGCCCGTTTGTATTCAAAAATGGTATCCTCGGAAGCCATAGATTTGGCCTTCACTAAAGCATTACCCAAGATTGAGGTATTTGACTTTTATCTTGCTTGGTCCTTTTGCCTATGCTTGCAGGAAGATACGTTGGTATGCAGGATACGATATGTTCCCCATAATACTATTCATATGCCGAGGGAAATATCAACTGTTAGTTCTGCACACAGTGTGGTTTAACAACTGCCTTTTTGCACTCCTTAATCCCGGTTCCATATCACCATTCACATAGCATTTTCCGTTTGATTAGTTATATATTTCAATCGTTAATGGTGGTTCTCTAACACGACATCAAATAGCTCCATGCTCATCTCACTGGAAGCATATCCCGGCAATGCCTGCGAGAAATTTGGCTCCAGAAGAAGGCAAAAAATGCAGAATTGGATATCATGGATCCTTACATTGCAATGCCTCAAGGCAAGGTGGATTTTACCCTGGACACGTGCGTATTGAATTACTGCCATCCCCGGCTGGCATTTTCCTTTGATATGTTAAGAAGGTATCTACAGGTTCTTCCAGGTATTCACAGGCATGATCCACCAGCTCTGTACCGATTCGGAAAGTCTTAGATATTCAACGAGATCTGTCCTGCAGGATTTCGAGCGTGATGGCATTCGATACCTTGAATTACGCACGACTCCACGAGAGAGCCTAGACCAAGGAATTTCGAAGGAAAAATACATATCAACGGTTCTTGATACGATTGACGAATACCGAAGTGAGCAGATGTCCACATACCTTATAATTTCTGTGGATAGAACAAAAACCGCTTCAGACGCTCTTGAAGCGATAGATTTGGCCATCAAATATCAAGGTCGAGGCGTGGTTGGAGTGGAACTTGGCGGTAACCCGACGAGAGGAGATGTTCGCATCTTCAGGCCTGCCTTTGACAAAGCGAAAGCCCATGGTCTCAAATTGACTCTTCACTTTGCCGAATCGGTATTTTCGTCATCTCCTGATGAACTCAACACGCTCCTGTCTTACGAACCTGATAGGCTGGGCCATGTTATCCATGTTCCTGATGATATAAAAGATGAAATTACACGTAGGAAAATTGGATTGGAACTTTGCCTCTCATGCAACGTACATGGCAAGTTGATTCAGGGGGGGTTTCCAGATCATCATTTTGGCTACTGGATCCATCAAGAATGTCCAGTTCTTCTTTCGGTAAGTTTTTTTTTAAAAACAAAATAATCCCATGGGAGGTCTTGCTGGTGGTGTGCCTTTTCTCTTAACTTTATCGCGTTTACTCTTGCTAATACAAGGTAGACGGACGATGTCGGATTCTTCTGTAGCCCCTTGTCAAACGAATATCTTATCGCAGCCGAGAGTTTTCACTTGGATCGTGGCATGGTAATCGACATGTGCAAGAAAGGGATAGGTGCAATATTTGCCGGACCAGAGGAAAAGAAAAGGTTATATAACTTGCTATCGCAATTCGAAGCTCAGAATATGTGAATTTATTCTATTCTATTTTATCTTGTGTTTGCTCTTCAATGTTAAATAATACTTCGTACTAGTCCCTTGAATCTCAAGAGTAAGACAGCGAACACCACCAGCCTCGTCGGGAACACCGCTCAGAACCAGGACGCATTGTATTTTCCTTTCTACCAGCTTTATCGCAGTCCATTCTAGAATTACGCTTCCCAAGACAACGGCCTGATTTTGTTCATCCCACGCTGGTGCTCTGGGGCGCCTGTCGCTGAAAGTTCCCATCGCTATGATTGGTCAATTTGAGCTCCGCTCTGCTTCAATTGACGGCTTGTCGATCGGCCCAGAGCCGCTGGCCACTCCACGCAGCTCTTGCAAAACCAGCGGGACAAGTTGGAATGGACCAGAACTCGGCCCAATTATTCCATTATGTCGCATCAAATGGCATATCTAGGCCACAGAGGTATGTTACGTAATGTATGGATAGTTGGATATCATTCGGCTAACTCTATGCGCGGTGCTACAAGCCTTTAATCATGACCAAAGCCCAGATGTAGAGGCAGAATACGACCGTCTGCGCGATGCTGCTCGACGCGAAGCTGCGCAGAGATCCTCCTGTCTCGAGAGGGTTGGTTTATCTTATCAATTTGCGGAAAGTAGGGGCCCGTCTCGGCTAACCTGATTACTCTTTATAGTCTCGGCAGGCATACGAGAACGGCGATGGTCGGCTGGCGAAAGAACTGTCCGAGCAGGGCAAGGCGCATGGCAGGAAGATGGAGGAATATAACAAGCAGGCCTCGGAGTTCATATTTCGAGAGAATAATGCGCCTGGCCGCGTTGATTCCGATACCATTGACCTCCATGGCCAGTTTGTGGAGGAGGCAGAAGATATTTTGGAAGAGAGGATAAAATATGCACGGCAGCATGGCCAGACGCATCTCCACGTGTAAGTGTTCGCATGTCGACATCGCGGATCAAGAGTGCTCAGCAATGCGGTTGCACGGAAGAGATTGAACGGTTATGTACTGTACTTCGTGGCCGATAGTAACACCCGTGCGCCAACAGGATTGTCGGGAAGGGTAACCACTCCGTTAACCATGTTCAAAAGATCAAGCCTCGAGTGGAGCAAGTTTGCCGCAATCTGGGCTTGCAGTATGCAACTGAGGATAATGCTGGACGAATCTATGTCAATCTGACGGGTGGACCAGCGCATATGCCCGCAACCCATCCTCAACACGCGCCACACCAGCAACAGCCCCATCAACCTAACCACCAACCCCAGCAAAATGATCAAAGACCTGACGAGCTTCAGCAAGTGGTTAATAAGGTTGTTCCTCGCATCATTCGCAGATTGGAGAAGGCTTGCTGCGTGGTTATGTGAACCCATCTAAATGTGGCTCGATGTTACATTTCAGCTGTGACCTTGATTTTAATTCCATATATATTTCTGGGAACATAGGACATGAGACAGGATTTTGATGCTCGATTGATACCCTAATATGTTGAATTGTGTCTCATAGATGGATAAGCCTTGGATAGAGCCATCTCGTTCGTCCATATACTGCTGTGCAGATGACAAATATAGATATCTCCTCTTACTTATAGCAAAGCGGCTTAATTCTCTAGTGTTGTGCCTTCAAATTTCCTTCAATAATCGGTATATTATAGGCACAGAGGTAGCTATAACCATTATCCAGAGCCTGGTCTGTACGAGAGTAAAAATGCAATCCATATATATTCCAATCAACTGTCATACGCAAAGGAGATGCTCGTGTCAAGGCCCGTTTTCAAAAGGCTAGGGGAAAGGGTGGAATGTTGTAGACAAACCAGGCATGATATTTTTCATACATATCATTTTGATGGACAAAGCTATCGATACCGCCAGTTCCATTGGCCAAACTGTAAGGTGACGCAGGATGGATGCGTTTCGCTGTCCAAGTTGCCGCTCTGCCTTCCACGCAAACAAACCATTGCTGCGTGGAAGAAAATTCGCAAGGAAGATTACGGCTTCGCGGCTGAAGAGGAGGGCGAGGGAGAAAACATTCAAGATGTTGAGATTTCCGATGGTGAGGCTGATGCCGAAGACTATGACGTCGACTATGATTTCGGGGATTATAAACCTGCTGCTGCCTTGGGAGACCCTATCCAAAGCACGTAGGGATTTCGGTCGGCGACTGGGGCGTTTTAAGATGTCTAAAGTGGCGGAAATAGCGAACTCCCAGATTGAGGTTGGTCCAGAGAAGCCTTCACAGAATCGCTTAGGAAAATGTAGGAACACTGCGCCATCGGTAGCATTTTTATTTTATATACAGCCATTTTTTGCAAATAGCAAATTTATAGTTCAGTTGTATTCATTCATCTTTGCGCTGATCGCATAACCGCCCGTTTCCACTGTAGACACATAACCAGGAGGCAAGGCCTTCGTAATTTTCACCGCTGACGCAATAGCACTTTTGAGATTATCGATCGCTTCATCGCTGATCTGATGATGCATCACAATCCGCTCATCCATCAATTTGACATTGAACTTTTGACATTGCTGCAGCAATACACCCATGTCAATCTTCGACTTCCCTGCATCGATGAAGTAGAAATTGGTATCGACGGGAATTTGCGGCACAACGCCTAAGTCCTCCAGATCCTTCGCCAATTTTTTCGTCTTCAGGTGCGTTTCTTTCATGGTCGGCCACACTTCTCGCAAGGCCACGAGCGCAGCAGACGTCAGAACACCAGCCTGTCGAATCCCCCCACCCTGCTGCTTCCGCAGCCATCTCCCATGTTTGATATTCGCTTTGGTGCTCGCGAGGGCTCCGCCAATCGGCGCCCCAAGTCCCTTAGAAACGCACATTGAAACACTGTCAAAGTACTGACAATAATCGGCTAGAGAGTGTCCGGTGGCCACCGAAGCATTCCACAATCGAGCCCCATCACAATGGACCTTGATCCCATTGGCGTGTGCAAACTCGGAGATCTTTCTAATCTCCTCCATCGGCGTAAGCACGCCGCCAATGGTAACTTCGAGGCTGATGACTTTTGTGGGTGCGGTGTGCACGTCGTCACCCAAAGTCACCCACCGTTTCACGTCGGCAAGGGTCATGTAGATGCCGTTGGCAGGATGGACCGGCGTCACCATAGCCTGGGACAAGATTGCCAATCCGGATCCCTCTTCCGCATAGACATGCGCTCGGTAATCGCAGAGCACGGAGTGCGGGGGTTTGTCGAGGTGAACCCGAACCCCGATTTGATTCCCCATGGTGCCAGAGAGCGTGAAGAGGGCAGCTTCCATTCCGGTTAATCTTACAATTTCATTTTCGAACTCCATCGTCGTACTGTCTTCTTGGTATACATCATCGCCAAATGTAGCATTCATCATAGCTTCTAGCATAGCTGGAGTTGGTGTAGTGAATGTATCACTACGGAAATCATTGGCGGCTGTAGACACCTTGGGATTTGCTATTTTGTCCATCGTGCTCTGGTATAGGGTGAGGGGTTCGGTATTCTTTAACAAGTAAATAACAGAGAATGATTTATATACCTAGGGAATTGATTTACGCCATCCTGATTGAATTTAGTGCAACATCATCAGTGGGGGAAAGACTGAACCTTATATGCGGCTAGAATAGTTTGATTTGTTTGCTAAATTTCGACCTCGCCAGAAATTTTTGAACCTATATACTGTAATGACACGGCCTGGCTGGTGGTGACTTCCGTTCATATCGTACTGACAGCATCGATATCTTCCATGAGAATGACACAATGTGGGGGGAGCTGGGAGAACTTTTACGATCACACGATTTTCATGGCGAGTCCATAGCAAAGGACCCAGACAACACTAACTAAATAGTACATGATGATATTTATGGGGTAACGTGCTTACAGAAAGGCATACAAAGATATTCTATATTCTGAGTTAAGTTGACATACCACACGTAATTCAAATGATAATAATTCTTGTCTTAAAACACAATATCAACACACTATTTCTGCCTCCTTGGCCGCTTCAAGACCCGTGTCTGTTGAGTGAAGGTGTGATAAGATAGCACTATGACTACTAGGTTATCCATAGCAAAAGGCCAACGTAACCATTTTTTAAATGGTTGCGCTCATAGTGATATATATACCTGTGGGCGTGGTGGTGTGGCTCGGCCCACAGCGGGCGTGGCCACCCAATCCACCACCTATACACTGCGACCGCCAGCCGCAGCATAGTGGGGAACCACAAAGGAAGTATTGGGTGTAGCTTTTGCTGAGGGTACAAAGCTTGTCTGACTTAGTTGACCATCATTCTTCAAAAAGTATGGAGTGTTTGATTAAGAGAGTCCAAGATCTGACTACAGAAGATCAAAATTAACTCTAGAAGGGATTCCATCAATAGCTGAGTGGATCCTTTTCAGATGATCCGGCGCCCACTTCTCATAAACATTCCTTGTAAAGGTGTAAGCAGTCCACCTATCTCTGCCCTCCAGCTCTGTAAAGCCAAATGATCTGATAGGGTGACGGTAGAAGGAAGTCTTGCTTCCCTCAATAACTGCATAATGGCCATAGATTCTCACTGTTCTGCTGTCGTGTGAGATTGAGAAAGCCAAGATCTCACGATTGACCTCATCTTCGCGCCCTACAAGTTTAAACAGCTCAACGACACCCCTCACATCGAGGGTCATGCTGTGTGCGTTGACGGTCGGCGATGTCGAGTATGGCGGTACCTTTCACCTCACTGGCCAAGAAGGGAAAGTACATGTAGAAGGTGGCCACAAAGAAGGAACTGTAGGTATCTGGGTCGTCGCCAATGAATGGCTCAAGTTTCTTTAACTGGTCTTCTGTGAACACAGAACGGCTGAACCCGACTGCATAATCAGGCTGCGGACGTGGTCCACAGAAGACAATAGAGGAGCCCCACTGTTCGTTAACACTTTCAACCAAACACTCCAGAGTCTTAGCGCCAAATGTAGCTAACGTCTCCGCTGAAGGGACAATCAACCGAGATATATCTTGAACAATTCTGGATTCATTTTTACCCTGTAGCTTCTGGCAAGCCTTCCGGAATCGGTTGTTCTGAAATATGGTGCCTTTGGGAATTGTTTGTTTCTCATCAAGCAGCATTTTGCAAATCTGTTTGCTTTTTGCTGTTACTTCAAGTTCGGATTCAGTCATAAAGCTGCCTCTGGTGGCAAGGATGGTCTCATAACTAGCACTTCTGTATTTGGCACTCTTCCCATCTCTTGATTCTTGGTCAGTAGATGTGTTGAAGCCTGTGGCAAGACTGTCCGTGCGGCGAAGAGAAGCTGTTGACTTTTTCTTTGCAAGTGTGGTTCCCCACTATGCTGCGGCTGGCGGTCGCAGTGTATAGGTGGTGGATTGGGTGGCCACGCCCGCTGTGGGCCGAGCCACACCACCACACCCACGGGTATATATATCACTATGAGCGCAACCATTTAACAAATGGTTACATTGGCTTTTTGCTATGGATAACCTAGTGGTCATAGTGCTATTTTATCACACAAGAAGATGACTCACGCTGTCAATCTGTCCAGGCTGTGCTTCAAAGTATTCTTTAGGCCGGCGATCGTTCTTGCACCAACATCTGATCAGGTCAACCTTGTTCCAGTTGGTAATATCACGCTGCTCTTCCACCTTGGTTGGAGGTTTCCCGAAGAGTAGGATCGTCAGCGTCGCTTGCAAGAAACGTAGGTCGCCGCTTTATGGCCGAATGCAGGAAGACTTTTCAGCTTCTCGCGGTCGCTTCTGTACTCAATCTCTGGCTAATAGGCAGACAGTCGGGTTTTCTGGAAACTTGCTTTAAGTTAGCTTCATAGCGTGATGGGAGAGTAGTGACATACGTCGTTTCTGGGTGTGTTGCTGGTAGAAGGGGAATATGGATGGTTTTGGTTGGCATCTCCGGTGTGATATAATACAGTTCTGTCTTCAATGCGATGTCTCCTTTGTAGGCGTGCGCTCCTGCGAATAGGATCCTGTGGTTGCTTTTTCCTGACGCGTTGAGGCCGCTTCCCTATCAACGAACGGTCAGTTTCACAGGAAAGGGATCGAAGCATGGGTGACTACCTTGGTCTTGTACTTTCAGCACTAGAATTATTAAAACAGGAGTGAAATGGGACTAATAAATCTTGATATTCCATGTAAAGTGACTGACTATCAAAAATAAGAACATGATCTGGGACTGATTATGATTGACTCAAGTTTGGTCCCATTCTGATGATTATATAATACACCAATCTGATGATATGATTGGTGGAGATATTGTTAGGGGGATTAGATTGGGTGATTCGTACCCTCTATACCACCACGGCGCTGGTGGTGATTGAGCTCTTTTGCCCTAGTGGCCTAATAGATATTACCCCTATCTTGCTTAGTGCTCAATGCCCTGATGGCTCGCTATAGATCCCCTATCTACCACTGCTAATCTATCTATCGCTGCCAACCTACCTACCGCTGCCAATCTATCACTGCTGCCAATCTATATAGGGTAAATGGGACCAGAATCATTAATTTATAAGTAAAACATGAACTGGGACTAGATTTATAATATAAACAGTGTAAAGTGACTAATTTACTAAACACTATATGGGACCAGGACTAAGATATCTAATAATGAGACTGAGGAAAAATTTGGTCCCAGTCCCATGCATGGTCACACGGCCAGTCTATTTCCATGTTCAAAAAAAAAAAAGGATTGACTTTGAGATGATATTTCATATTTAAGAAATGAGAATATGGAAATAAAAATTAATACCATTGTGAGAACATTGATTTCTCTAGGTCCTAAGGTGGTACAGAGATGCTGAATAGATGGAGTTGGTTTGCTATCCTCAGTGCTCACTCATACATAAGATATAGAGCAAATTGTTCCTGTGTTGAATTTTTTCTCAGACACTTCGCAGGATAATTGCACATCATGCGATATGACTATTTTGGGTTAGTTGATTATTTATTTGAGATTAGCTTCTTTAAAAAATGACTAATCATCAAATCAGTGTTAAAACAGCAATTATCCTGCCAAGTGTCTGAGATAAGACGGGGCCATCTTCCAAAATTAGCCCTCGGCCCTTTGTCCGCCTCGTGGAAAATGCATAGAGTGATTTGCTATACGAGAAGGTAAATGGAGACCTGATCCAAATCATGTAATGTGTGTGTTGCTGTGAAATTTCCATAATAATTATGCCTAATATTTCGACATGCTGCTGATGATATGTTTTTAGATGGTAGAACTAGTTAGTACCTTGGGAAGCGAAAGATAGGAATCAGCCTTCTAGACTAGGTACATTAATTTATAACTTCGCTAAACAAAATCATATGAAGAATCAGTGGACGGTCATAGTATACTTCAAAAGAAGGAAAGAGAAAAAAATGTATATGTACTAAAAATAGTCGAAATAATTAAACAATCATTCCTCAAATGCAGAATGGCCGCTGATTCCTGTACTCACCCCTTCAAGTTCCCTTCTCATCGCATCCAATGTTCAGCGTCGCATCAACCATTTTATGCAGGATATTCCGTACCATGTCTCCACTTCTCTCCTCTTTCTGATTAGCACCTTGGGTCATATCCGTCAAATTCTCCAGCTCATCAATTAAGGTCAAAGCCTTGTCTCGTAGTTGCATAACTGTTTTGCGCGTGTAGGCAAAACTTCCCGTGCTCTCCATGTAATTTACAGCGTATCGTTTGACTTCCTCATCCGTCGTTTTCTGTTTCAAGATATTGATAAGTTGAAGGTTATCGGGTTGGGAGCGGATACTGTGGATTATGGGGAAAGAAAATTTGCCTTCCGTGAGGTCTTCGCAGGGCCCCTTGTTTTTGCTGTATGTTGAATTGGAGAGGTTGAGATAATCATCGCAGATTTGAAAGATGAGGCCCATGAGATTGACGAGAGTCACGCAATCACTACAGATTGTTGACCGTTATTAGCAGTTTGATATTTGGGACGGTGGTAACATGGTGGTGACTTACATTCCCGTGTCGCTTTCGGCCTGCATTAGTTTAATTGCAAGCCTGAAAAGACCCCCTGTTTTATTGCCGACCATTTCCAAATAATCCTCCTCTGTTGGGCAAGTGAGGGTGTCCCTCCAGAAAACATCCATGCCCTGACCTCGGTGCAGGTTTAACAATTCCTTCACGTAGATGTTTATCACATTCGGGTTTTTGAGTTTCTGTACCTCTTCCAGAGCGAGGAAGTAGACGTAGTTCGCAGAATTTATCGTCTGAGCCGTTCCAAATATATTATGCGCCACCGGAACTCCCCGTCGAAGTGTAGAAGAATCTTCAACGTCATCGACGCTATGACACCGCGTTTATTGTATGAGCAAAGCTTCCCCAGGACCAAAAGCGCAAATCTCTCCCGCTGATGGGGACACTTACAGTAACGAAGCAGTATGCAGCATTACAACGACCTTGGTGATTGTTGCGATGCTTTCTTCAGGAACATGTAACCAACGGTTAAATGCAGCAATGAACTGTCGTCGTAGATCCTTCCCGGGCTGTTCGACCATGTAATCGTAAGGGCCTAGCAGTATCTTCTCCTTCTCCGGTGACCACGTTCCGTCCTTGTACTTGGAGCCATCGACGCTGGATCGATTCCGAGTGTGGCCCAAAGAAAACTTGTACGGATTTGATATCCGCCTCCTTCCCAAGGGAGCGACCCACTCGGACTCCGGGGGTGGTTTATAGCCCAAATTCCGAGAACTGGACCCGTTGGTATTACCGCTCATGGTGGAGTCTAAGGTGCCGTTTGTAACCCCCGTAGAGCTGGTACGTGGGGGAATCGGGTTTGGGGATGCCAGGGATTCCATCATGGTTGCAGAGGGGCGTTGGAGATCCCTAAAATAAGGTAAAACAGTACAGATGTAACAATGAAAATCCTTCGCTTAGCTGGAAGGAAATGTAAGGGGTCGTTTTCTAAAGGTAAAACTGTGTGACGAATATCAGGAATGGAGTCTCAAGCTGTTGAATCGTAGGACACCCGGTTGGGCACCTCCCACTCTTGTGCAAGGAACATGCGCCAAAATGGCTGGGAATTTATACTTCTGGCCTAGGTGCCTTTCAGCGCTCATTCCCGCCCGCACTCCGAGGTTCGTATTTCCGGTCGATAAGAAGAGAAAACAGGTTGTTGGGTCGTTGAAGTCGCCTGGGGGCGGTGGTCAAAAGAGAAGCCTCATGATTGTTTTGCCGCCTGATATTGCAGCGGTTGCGACTTATCCCCTTTAGGACTGGTGGTGGTGAACACGGTGTTGTCCCGTTCCAGAATTACGATGGCTGCGATTGCTCCCGGGCTTAGCAAAATTCTATGATGCAATATACTTCCCAAGTCGGCCATTCCAGGTTCCTAACTACGAGCAGTGGTGCAGCACTGCACGGTAACGCCAGCATCGCCAGGATCTACATGTATTGTGGCGGACGTAAAGCTTGCGAAAACAGAATTTTCTGCCACCCCCTGAAAAGTAGTAGCAAAACACCGCAAAAATAACCAAAATATCCACGTATCTCTAGAATCATTCAAATATCATCCAATTCATTCAAATACGCACCTTTATCATCAAATACGCACCTTTATCATCAAATCTGCCAATATGCCCCGCAACACCCACCGTTCTACTGCCTCGCAAGCTCGTAAAAGGACTCCAACTACCCTGCGCCTTCGTCTGCCCAAACCGCCTGTTCCGGATGTTCCGGATAATGACAAGAATCCAACTGATGATGAGAAGGAGGAGGAGGAGGAGGAGGAGGAGGAGACACAGTCAGAAGATCCTCGATTTCTGCGAACACCTACCCCTGAGCCCGAGATCTCATTCAGGCTGTATGAACGGGTGATTATCAATGGGATAAAGGAGCCTATAAAGATCAAGTTACGGAATGTCACAACAAATGATATGACTGTCAGCTTCTATCGTATTCAATATACTGCAAAAAGAATAGCTGAAGAGTATGTTATGAAGCAGAACTGCAAGGAGATAGAAGTTGCAAATTGTATAGCAGTCATCTCATCAAACAAACGTGGATCTTCAATCAAAATCACCCTTGAGAAGGAGACAGATTGGAGAGAGATTATCACTCTTTTGAAGGAGTTATATAAGGAGAAGATGAGCGGATTTAGCATCGAGATTACCACCTCTTTTAATCTTCTTGATATCTCAACTCTATCCTCAAACACCTCTGTAATACGCGGTCCTGCAGCTTTCATTGGAGTGTCGGATTCACAATTAACAACCCAGACATTGGCATCAAAAAGAGCATTAGATGTCAAAGAAGAAGTAATCTCACCACCTGCCAAATCCCCTCTCTATCGTCCTGCCAAATCCCCTCGAATTCATGAAATATCCGATGACGAAAAGCTGCCGCCTACGCGTACAAGATCCACGGCCACTAGCCAGCAGCTGAAGGAGGCTCGAAATCGACGGTCAAATGAGCGCGATTCTTTGCGGATTGGGCGTGAGATAACTGCTCACTGGCGTTGTCAAAAGATGAATTGTCATAACTTTGAGCAGGGCACTTGTTGGATGGCTTTTGATGATACTCATATTCAACTCCTGAGTAGTGAGATTGCCAGTTGGATAGATGATGTTGAACGTGGACATGCAACAGTTAAAAATCCGTCAAGAAAGATGACAAAAAGATTAATGGATAGAAAGGAGAAGAAGGAACGAAAAAGCGAACCTATCTCTGCTTCTAACCCTTCTATACAGACACCTCAGATGCCAGCAGTTATCTTCCCTCCCTCAACTCCTTCTTCATCTAATATTGTGTCTCCAAGTGAGATAATCAATGTGATGGTGATGAAATATATGATGGAAGGAATGGGAGGCATGGGAGGACTGAATTCAAACTTGCCATCGAATCCAAACCTGCCGTCGAATCCAAACCTGCCGTCGAATCCAAATCTGCCGTCGAATCCAAATCTGCCGTCGAATCCAAACCTGCCGTCGAATCCAAATCTGCCGTCGAATCCAAACCTGCCTCCTATTCGAAGTAGTCCAATCCCTCAGTTTGGTGAACACGCGGATCTGTTTATTGATGAGTTCTTCAACTGGTTGATGACAGAGAGACCTCGAAGAGCAGAAGCTCTTTTAACTGCAAAGAGCATTATTCAGAATGAAGGATTTGAACTGGATCATATACGGACAATGACAAATGAGCAGGTGGTTCAGTTGAATATTGGAATGGGTATATTCTCGATAATAAGAGATGGGTTAAAGAGTCCTATCTGGCAGTCACGGTTGAAGGAGATTAAATTGTCTTTATCTGCTGTTTGTAGTGATGGCAGCAGACCTCATACTGCTTCTGCTTCTGAATTTGAAACTTAGATATTATATATCATCATAATTGAATTGCAATCTGAATCTTTCTAGATTTTACAATACTATCCTATATGAGCAGATCTGAAATATCCTCTTGCATCTTCTTCTCCCATGAAGTTCTCAACTGCATGATGCAAGAAGGCTTCAAAATCTCCATCAAACTGATTCTCTAACTGACATCTGTATCTTCTAATCCATTCTTTCAACGCGTGAAATGACTCCTCTATAGGATTATAATCAGGAGAATATGGGGGTAAGAATAAAAGTCCAATGCCAGCTTCTCTGCAGAGATCTCGCAGTGCTTGTGAACGATGAGAAGAGCAATTATCCATCACTAGGTAGTGATAACCTCGTTGGCATTTGGGCAGTATCCGGACACGTACAAACTCATTGAACCTCTCTGTATTATAGGACCCCTGATATATATCATAATCAAGATATCCATTGACACTTATCGCAGGTAAGATTGACCATCTGCGAGATCGTTTACAGGGCCTTCTAATGCGACAAGGGAATCCTCTGCTTGACCATCCATATCGTCGATCTGCAGTACGTTCATTCGCAGCACTCTCATCTAAAAATATAAGTTGATCAGGTTGATACTGAGTAACTTGAATACGCCATTCAGCTCGAAGTTCTTCGTCGCGTTGAGTGGCCACGGGTTCAACCTATATCAAATAGAACTGACGGATTAGCAGGTTCTATAAGTGACAATTGCAATAATTAATCACCTTTTTCCGTGTCAAATTCAGTTTCTTCAACAATCTAGATATCGATCGAGGGTGGATATCAACATCAAATTCATCCTTCACAAAGCAGACAGCCTCATCGCGATATGCAGTTGGATATGCCTCAAAAAAATCCTCCAAACCTGACAAGATATCCGGTGTGATCTTTGGCTTTACACCCCATGTTGAACGAGGACTTCTAGCAGTTCCAAAGCAGCGAATATTTCGTTGGATTCGATATACAGTGGCCAGATGGCACTCAATGGTCCGCGCAATCTGAGCAGGCATATAACCATCGTTTAGAAGGCGTACGATCTCATTGGTGGTAAATTCGCTGAGCTGGGGGGGCATATTGGCAGATTTGATGATAAAGGTGCGTATTTGATGATAAAGGTGCGTATTTGAATGAATTGGATGATATTTGAATGATTCTAGAGATACGTGGATATTTTGGTTATTTTTGCGGTGTTTTGCTACTACTTTTCAGGGGGTGGCAGAAAATTCTGTTTTCGCAAGCTTTACGTCCGCCACAATATTTGCTCCCGTTGACCAGACAATCATCTCGCCCCTTGAGCTCCGGATCCCATGTTTCATCGCCACAGACTGGGATTAGCATCTTGCTTTAAAAGCTAATTTCTACTCTAAAATACTCCCTGGGGCCCATTTTACCCGAGAGAGCATTTCCCGATCTCAAAAGCTTTCAGGCAGGAAGATGGGTTTCTATTTTCGGATATTCATTCGAATGTCCATCACCACCATGGCATCGTTTCTGGCCGTTTGATACATTCGTTTTTAAAGCGGAAATGTTGCTTGAGCATGAGTATGGGGAGAAAAGATCAGCCTAAGTGCTCAGATCGTCGTCTCCTCTATGTTGATGAGATAGCACATATCTCCCACTTAACGGACTATATAACCATTCAAACGCAACTGTTTTCTGCTTCTGGATTGTTGCGAAGTGCATGCCAAAGGCTTCTGGCCAGATCGGTTTTTGAAGTTGGGAAACGCCATCGTTATCCTTCATCACCACCGCAACAATGACAACCAATACAAAACCATCGCCATTGCCAACCGCATCGCTGGTCATAACGACAAATAAGCGAAAGCCCTGCATTAATGGAGAAGAAATAAAGCTGAAAAAAAAATGATTAATATATATATATTCAAAAAGGTTCACACCTCCAAGCTGTTGGCTCGGGGGTGCTACGTCCTCTTCCCTACCCTGCTCTCGCAAAGCGCGCTGGGTGGGAATCGAACAGCCGACCACTCCAGCAGTCCTAAGCGGGGGCCGGCTTTCCCCGCTAGGCCACTGGGGTCAGCTGTTCGTTGGTACTGTACACATTTCTCGGGGTTTTGAGTCAATATTTTTTAGCTATTTTGGGCAGTGCTGGGTGAATGGACGAAGGAATGCTGTTTTTGGGTAAGGAGGGCGGTTGAGTGGGCAACCTACTACGCGTGGATAGGCCAGCTGGGTATCTATCTGGATCGAAACGAAACGACTCCCTACGTTGCTACTAGGAGCCTTTGGTATGGCTGGGCCGGCCGCTGGCAGGATACTCTGTACGTATCAGTGATACTCTGGCGCGCAGGATCATGGAGCGAGAAGCACCACAGAATCCATAGATAAAGCTATCTCTGCATGGTAGCCCCCTTCCCCCTTCCCCCTTCCCCCTTCCCCCTTCCCCCTTCCCCCTTCCCCCCTTCCCCCCTTCCCCCCTTCCCCGACCCATACATATTACGGAAGGAAGAACGAAAAAGTCTATATCGAGGACGCAGGGGAACGTGTGTTTGAGCTCGTTTTTACGGGCAACACATCCTTCTGAAGTACAATTAGATATTTATCCATGTCACAACCCGTTGCAAGAGCACGGGTACAACCCGAGAGCGGTGCGAATCATTCACCATTCGCATTATCATTTCAGTGCCTAGTGATATAAGTTAAAAACACCAGACGATGGGGTGGAGAGGGAGGCAAAAACCAAGATATATAAAGAGATCGAATGGACTTTGCTGTCACACAAACGAAGTTTTGATTCGTACCATATCTCCCGGTATCCTCTTCGCCTTTTCTTGATGTTTCCAATTACCGTTCCTCTGTTTCGAAGTGCAGTGAATAGAAGGGAGATAATAATTATGTCCATGCTGAGAAAATTTATACCTTACATCGCACACTCCTCCTGCGGCTACCTACAGGAAGGGCCATTGGTAGCGTTAGAAGCAGTCATCCCCGATTTTCGACCTCTACTACATATCCAAGAAAGTATTTCAGGTATGTACTGTCCTATCGCTTTACATTTCCGTATCCAGCACCGGCACCAACTTTACCAACACCACACACACACACACACACTCTCTCTCTCACACACGAAATCACAGAAGGGAAATCCTACGCAATCTCCACGTTCACAGCACCAGTCTCACGCACAGCAGCCCTCTTCTTCTCCTCTGCATCTGACGTAAACTCCAAATGATACAGCTCGGGACAGACCGCATTCCTGCGGAAAAATATATACCTACGGATCCACCATGGCAGCACAGTGAAGAGCTGGTACGACGCATGCTTACGGGTTGGGACGGCAAAGACGTAATCGAGCTCTTCTAGCGTACGCTGCTTGGTCTCGGGCATGAAGAGGAAGATTAGTACCAGGGCTACTATGTTCATAGCCGCATAGAAGCCGAAGGCACCCTGTGGCTTGAATGCGCGTAGTAGACGGCGGAATGTAAGGGCAAGCACGGCAGCTGGTTCATGATTTCTCAGGGGTTAGCATTTCATTTTCATTTCCTTTTCCTTTTCTAGAATTCCATTTGGGACCCTGGGCTGCTTTTTGGAAAACATGATTTCTTACCCCAGAAATTGTTCGTAGCGACTGCCCAGCTCATCCCCATCTCACGATGAGAGAGGGGGAATACTTCTGCGGAATATGTGAAAGGCACTGGACCCTCTCCCGGTGAATAAAAGGCACAGAAGAGGTAAACGAAGAAGGCGATGAGGCCGATATGTGCGTTATTTTCCTCGGGGATGTAGAAACACAATCCGGCCGCTAATAGGGTCCAAAACATCTGTGGGAAAGTGAAAAGCAGCAAGCCACGCCGTCCAAAAGTGTCGATGGTCCAGACCGCCGGCCAGGCAAAGACAAAGTTGACAACACCGAATCCGAACGAGGCCAGGAGCGCCGCGATGTTGCTAGCACCTGCTTGGATAAATATCGTCGTTGAATAGAAGGAGATGATGTTGACTATGTTTGAAGTTGTTCAAGGATTAGTGTCTACACGAATGAGATGCAAGTTTGTCAGGGATATCAGGGGCACGGTCGGTTGGTTATGAAAATTGGGGACAGAAGATGGAGGTCTCTATATGGTAATATGCCTGCCAATGACTCACTTCCGCACATTTGCTGGCCAATCATTACGATACCTGGAATAGGGAAGGTCGGTTAGCATAAATATGCACGATTGACACCAATTCGCAAGTTAGGGTAAAGTAACCGGGGTTTTGTACCAGAAGCTTGCGTCGCACGACGAACACGTGGGATGGTGAACAGTTCAACGAATCGAGTAACGAAGTTATCAGTTTTCGCAAGGCCGCTTTCTTCAAGCAGAACTTGCTCTTGGACAAGCTGGGCATGGATATAGTACAGATCTCTGGCAGCCTGAAGTGGTGTGTTACGAAGTCGGAGCAACGAACTATACGCTTTCTTGTAGTTCTTCTTTTTCAGAAGCCATCTCGGGGATTCCGGGCAGAAAAAGATGCCAATAACCAGAGGGACTGCAGGAATAAAGGCTGATCCCAGTTGTAAGCGCCATGTAATATCTCCAGCGTGGACAACCGCGAGATTGGCGCTGGTTCCCATCAAAATACCAAAAGCAGTCCAGACCTGCCATGACATGACAAGGCCGCCACGCACATTCGCCGGGGTATTCTCTGCTGAAAACACTGGGACAGTAACTTCTTTCAAGCCCATTCCAATCCCCAAAAGAATACGGCAAGCAGCTAGTTCACCCCATTTTTGCGTCAGAGCAGAGCCAATCGGGGCTAGCAAACTGAAGACAGCCGCGATGAAGATGGTTCCTCGACGTCCCAAAAGATTATTGATTGGGTCACTTAGCCAACCAGCGCTGTAGAAATTGACATCGGGTAACAAAAGAAGTTAGAAACATTCAAAACAAGCTATCCGTAATCTTTTGCAGAGGGGAGGAGTGGCTTCTTACAAAATGGCAATAGAAATGTAAGGTACTGAATTTATAAACCCAACAATCCATGAATTTCTGTCGCAAACAGCCTCATTTGCCGCGCTCAGATTACACCAATCGCCGCTATCTTGGATTCCGAACTCTAGAGGGAATGACACATTTGCGCCGTTGGATCCTGGAGAGTAACTGCGTTAGCAGGAGATAACTTAATCCCTAAGTAGTAAAAATACAAAATTTGCGTACCTGTTTGATCCCATCCTTGAATGGCTGCAGCAATAGAATTGAGAATGATGGTATAGTAAAGCGCCCAAGGCAACCTCCATCGGTGGAGGACCTCGTTCCTTAAAACTTCCTTGTCCGCCTCGTCCAGTTCCTCAAGACTCTCAAAGTCACGGGGGCTCTTAGCGACGAGGGCACCCTTTTTCATGTGCGGAAGGATGTCCATAAGGTCATTTTCCCTCGCGAAATGCTCGACATCCTCCAGCAGCTTGTCTTTGGGTATGTCAGACAAAGGATTTTTGATTCTGAAAAATAAAAAGTGGTCAGCGTGACGCGTAGAAAAAGATAATTTACACGACGCGTGGAGATATAGTCAAAATACTCACTCTCCCTCGACATTTTCGGTCATCGCAACGACGCTTTGTTTGCGAGCGTGCGGATCATTGAAGACGGACCCGCGTCTTTCACTATCTTCGACAACCCTAGACAAGGCAGAGAAATCAATGGTCATTCATGTTACAAGAGCCAGCGAGAGGACGCGATTCTCTGGTTGGAGCTACATACACTGCATCACCTTCCTTCGACATGGTTGGGATGAAGAGTGAAACAATCACAAAGGCGGGTTAGTATGAAGAGCTGTGCAATTATGGGAGAGCAAGTCGATGTGAACGAGAACGGCAATTGTTTGGGGGTGCGTTCCGTATATAAGTATGGAAAGCACCAATGCATGGGCAGATCAGCGCCCGCTAGTTGCACGACGTTTTCTCAATGGCTGGGAGAGCTGGAGGGAGCATGCTGAAAGGGGCTAATTTCGTCCGTTCCCGGCGACAAGTTTACTGCGTACAAGTTTTTAACTTTTTCGAGGTTAGATGTATTTCTTGTCGGGTTTATTGTTGCGTTGCGGCCCCGGAAACCGTTTGCAAGGCTTCGAGTCAATTACTAAGAGCTGCCAGCACCGGGGCTTGACTTCGCCTCCCGTCCCATCAGCGAAGTCGAGTTTGGGATATCCTTGGGGCATATTTTCCATTTTCCACTGCAGGACTGAGCTGAAGAACTAAACCCCGCATTGCTGCTCACGAAAGAAGAAACTAGCAAGGGCAATACATGCGTCAATCATCCGCTGCCCAGGGTCCTCCTCGCCCGTCAGCACGGCTTCGATTGACGACGAGGCGATCGTGGTGCAATCCACTCGAATGATGCTGTGAGTTTCCTCACGGGCATGGGCATGTAATGTGCATCCTAGCCAAATCGTCACTTAGGAAATGTCAATATGCAATATGCTATGATACTCGTGAGGTTGAGGCCGTCAAATCAAGGCTTTGTCATGTGGGGCAAGAGTTGAACTAGGATATCCCAGCACCAGCAGCCTATTTTAGAGGAAATCTGCTCGAGTTAAATTATGCCTCGGATCAACTAACGATTAGTTCAATGGACCCAACCCGCCTCTCTTTTCGTATCCAAATTTGTGGGCTGATTTACTGAGAATAGGCATGCGAAAGTATGATTCAAAATTTTCTTCCGCCGCGCATCGAGTTTCAAATTCCTCGCATTTTGCTATCTCGTCGGCAAGGTTGCCCTCTTTATAGGCCCAGAACGTGGTGCAGGGGAGAAAATTCTCCGCCAAGCCTTAACCTGCTCACTAAAATACTGACAGGAAGCATCCCTGATTCTCTTGTTGGCCTTGATGGTGCGCTTTCCCATATATATATAAATATATATATATCTATTCTGTTTACATCTCCTACTAGAGTTCCCGGTGCGGGGAACATTGAAAGACAACATGAAAATCGGCAAAAATAAGAGATTGCCAATAGCCAATAATCAACCTGGGATCATCTCACTTCGCAAGCGCCTTAGCTAGCTACAGTTCCAGGCACCTTAAGATGCCTCCTGCCACCCGGCTTGGGCCTGTCGGGGGCTTGAAAAAACGATCGATTCGGGGACCGCCAAATGGAACGAATGCTCTGGGCAAAGGCTTGCTTAGCTTGGATCGACCCCGCCGGGCTAACTAAGCCTTGAAGGCGTTTCTGTGGCTCTGTCATAAATCAGCCAACACAACTTGGCAAACAACCTTGGCCCAGGCAAAGAGGGCTCGGGGGGGAAGTGTAACGATGCCTGTACTGATATTTTCAATATGAGTTCGAAAAATTTGTAGGCGTATAGAGTACCTGTGCGCCGCCCGCTTCAAAAAGCACTATGGAGGTACTAGCTTACTCGTTCGTGTCTGGTTCCCGGCTCGTAACTGCACTGAGGCAAAAACAGCCTGACGCTTTTCCCTTTCAAACTCGCCGAACAAGGGCAGGTACTGTTTATGCACTCGTGACAGACTGCGGATTGAATGGTAAGACCACTGGTCCACAGTCCAAAAAGCTAAGAAGAGTGGCGCTAGGTATGTTCGTTTCGACAGGGTGCGGTACAAGGCCGTTTTTGATCAATTTTTTGTCCAGCGCTAAGGAGCCAGATGCTTCTGTATTTTGCTTGTCAACTTAGGCGAGGAGTGAGTGAAATAGGAAAAAAAAAAAAAAAAAAAAAAAAAAAAAAAAAATCCCGCATTTTGATTTTTGGATTCATTTTGAGTTAGTCTAGCTCCAACTTTCAAGCAGACCTCGTGGCGCAGACCCGATGCGCAAAGACAAAGAATCTTCTGCCGTTTCTTCTAGACTCGGTTTGGTAGCTGTTATCGGAATACGTGATCACGATTGGATAAGAAACAGTGGACTGTTAAGGAGAATATCCCCGTCCCCATCTAGTGCACTGGACATGTTGTTCCGATCAACCGGACGGCGATGAGAAAATCTTCCAGAGTGTTCTCCACATTCTCCATCAACCATCACCCGTCTCATCAGCAATATTCCAGAAGGATAGAATCCATGTATCCGTGCGTCATAGGCAGGGGAACTTTCCCAAGGTTTGCTTCAGCTTCGAGAAAACATCCTCGTTGCGACGGAATATATACGGCACCGCTCCTTTCTCCCTTTCTTTACTATCCGCTCATTTGCATCAGCGCGCCCAAATAAAGATCGATATATATATTATTTTATTCATTCATTTCACAAACAAATGTCTCCTACACTTTTGCTCTGGGAATTTCCTACAGACACATAATCACACAGCAAATGATGCGAAGTTCATAGATTTATTTACGAACAAGGCTCGTGAGTGGGCTGAGCATTTCTCCGTCGTTAATCTCTTCCCAAGACGGAGCACTGTACAATTAAGCTTGTTCCATTTTTTCCCGCCCTCAAGTTCCTCCAATTCTTTGACCCTAGATACTCTTCCGCTCACCCCACATTTGGCCCCTTAAATTCCCCGCAAACTTTATTATTTTTTCCTTTCATTCTGCCACGCCTTACTATCGTCAGAAACGAAAGTTTATCCAGGGTGGAAGGGAAAGGTTCGTGACCTTAGTCATTTGCCTGGGTTGAAACGACGACGCATGCGGCTAAATGTAGGGTTAAAACCAACGCTTGAAATCTCCATGTAGTCGGTTGGATGAGAGGTGAATATGGAAATATGAGAAGGCAATTTTTTCCATTCGACTTCAGATCACGCGACCAGGTCATTCCTGCCCGGTTGCGTCTAATAAATACCAATAGATGGCTCAACCAAGGTTTTTGACTTTCTTTTTTTGTTATGTCAAGGGAATCAAGGATCTGTCCTGATGATCCTCCGAGAAACGTGAAGCCGTCCATGGTTAGACATCGTACTAGTATCCACGGAAGCTCTAGGTCTCCCTGCTCCACGACATTCTGTTTGTCTTCCTTGAAGCCGAATTGGCGCAATGCAATGCAAACATTCGAAAGGGATATTTCGTCGTCGAAGAACAGTCGACGGGGATAGCGTTCGCAGTACAAACGACAGTTAAGGGCATATATATTGGGAGAGAGAACTGACGACCGGGTGTAGAACCACGGCTCATCACAGGACAAATATACAGGGTGCTCATGCCAGTATCATTTGGAAAAGTCGAGGTGGCCTATGGAATATCCAAGAATGAGCAGTCGCGGAGGAAATGGCAGCGTGGGAAATCGTCCAGCTCCACGAGAGGCACGAGAACAGTCCGCGATGGGCTTTCCTTGGCGGAATCTTTGGGGGAAACATCCGCCAATCACATCTCGCGAGCGCTGGCATCCGTACTAGCACTGTTGCCAGGACAACCATCGGCGCTTGTTTACCCGCATCGATTTTGCATGACGAGACGCAGCCCCATCGATCTCCAGATTAGCGGGAATGTTGCTTTTCCCCGACAAGATCTCACGATATGCTATGTTTTAAGAATCTGTAATTTTCTTTTCCGGGTTTTCCAATCTTATTTTATTTTATTTTATTTTATTTTTTGGAGGGTTTCTGTTCCCTGCATTGCTTTGTTCACACAGGCAGAAACGGCTTTCCATTGTGTCCTCTTAATATCTGAGACGACTGCGTTGTCTTTCAACAGGACAAAGGGCCGGATAACTGCGACCAACGCGCCAACCCGGCCTCCTTAATGGAGACCCTCCTAGCCCACTCCTTTGACTACTTGTCATCTTATGACCAAGGTAAAATTCGCAAAGGGCTCCGGCAAGTCGAAGGGCTCCTGGCGCAAATATGCCTGTCGAGATCCAAAGTCACTGCTGCAGACAAGCGCCGGTCAGCAATGCCATTGGGCGCGAATGGCATAACTCTGGCAACTGCGAAACCTCTGAGTGAATTGAGTGGAGATCCTGCGTTCCGAGAATTCTTTAAGCTACAAGAGGGTTTCCAATGGAACGGTAAGCTCCCGCCGGCAAATTGTCTAATTCTCAGTCATCAACAGTGGCGGAAGGAAATAGTAATTAGCTAACATATGTAAAACAACTTCACCAGTCGCTATGCGCCTGATATCTTGTCTCGAGCACCTTCTCGGACGCGGCAGCAATGGCACAAATGACCGCCTCATCATTTCAACCCTGGATCTAATCCAAGGAACCCTCCTCCTCCACCCACCCTCCCGCTCCCTCTTCGCCCGTGAAATATACATGAATCTTCTCCTAGACCTTCTCGAACCCGCCAATTGCCCTGCCATCCAATCCTCTACCCTCTTAACCCTCGTAACAGCCCTCCTCGATAACCCTGCCAACACCCGCACCTTCGAAGCCCTCGACGGCCTTCTCACGGTAACCTCACTATTCAAAATGCGCACCACATCGCGCGAGGTAAAGCTCAAACTTGTCGAATTCCTTTACTTCTACCTCATGCCTGAAACGCCTTCGATTCCCTCTGCGAATTCGGCGAGTGCGCCAAATACAGCTATCCTCGGCCTCGGCCTGCATCGGAGTCCGAGTAAGCTTGCTGGTGCGTTCTCGCGAAGTTTTCATGGGGCCGGGGATGGGGGAAGAGATGCGCGTGGAAGTGACACGAAGACGACAGAGGAGAAACAAGTGTTGTTGGGGAAGTATTTGAGTAATGTCGAGGATTTGGTTGAGGATTTGAAGGAGTCGGCTCCTTTTGAAGGCACAGTTTATTAGTCTCCTCATGTTTTGTTCTCTCTCTCTCTCTTCCTCCATTTTTTTTTTTTTCGAAATGATATGTAAGGCATGCTTCGATGTTCCTTGTCATATGTTTCTCTGATAGCAATATTTTGCGCCTGTTGGGCTTTTTCCGGAAATTTCCCCGTTTCCGTTCCTCTGTGTTTTGTTTTCAGCATGCGTCTTTCCTGTATTTCCATATGTCATGCTTTGCCCCAGCGCCACGTGCTTTGCAGTCTGCATGGCGTTTGTGGCGATTCTCCCTTATTGTTTTCTCTCTTCTCGCTGTCTTCTTCAAAATTTCTTCCTTTTTCTCCAGCCAAGAAGATTCAACAGCATTGTTTGTCCGTATATGTTATTACCTTCCCTCCCTTTTACTGTACTACTACCCGGCCGTGTCTTCCAGCTACATTTACCCTTCATTATTCTCACTTGGAGCTGAAGATGGGGAGGTGAAAAACATTACATTTTTGGACGGTCAATAGAGGCAATGTATGCTTGCATTGGAAACCGATCGGCCTATTTCCTCCTCGTGCTGCACTCATTGTATGTAATTATAATCGCTACAAATTTTTTAAACGATTCAATCAGTTGTATCTCGTTTAAAAAAAAAAAAAAATCTCGAAAACTTTGAATTTCTGAGAATTTATATAAAACATTCGGTTGATTAGTTTCAATTTAAAAAATGACCATTTTTCTTAATCGATCCAGGGTAAATATTGAGTTGATACAGCAGTTAATAGTTCTTATAATCTCAAATAATATGAATTTGAGAAAGATTATTTACCTAGCCTATCAAGATAAGACGCGGCAGTAACCCTAATCTGATAATTTGCAATTTAATATAGAATTTAAAGTGGTTGAGTGCAGCCGATGGATATTTATTAGAGTCTGGTATACCTAAGCGGAGATGCTGGATCGTCCCTGAATATATCTATGCATTGGGTTATTCGATTGGTGGATATTTTATTGATCTATATGGATCTTTATGAAAAATGAAGGTTCTTGTTCGGGCATCGGGTTCACAGCCCTACTTGTGAGCTTCCGAATTTAAACCTTTATTTTACCCCGTTTGCTCGGGGGGAGGGGCCGGGGAAGTGGTGGGAGATAGCAAAATGCGCCACTAAGGACAACTTGAATATGAAAGCATACCTGTTCTAAACTTTTCTCGATATTCTCCCTCTTAAATGAGCTTAATTATTTGAATTAGAAACTGCTGACTACTGCCTCTTTTCGCCACTAGTTATATAAAATTATGAATTGAAAGGTTATATCAAATAACTCCATCTTCCTCTTGTCCAATCTCTTAACTTTTTAATAAGGTATGAACTTGCATAATTGCCCCAAGTTAGAATTTCAAAGGTTGTTTTATCCACGGTTACTTTCTACTATATTTTTGTCGCCAACGCGATAAAGTTAATCTCTTAGGTATAGTTATATGCTATTCTATGTAAGGTGAGTGTTCTAGAAAACATTCATGAGATTTATTAGTAACTATAATTCGTTTTCATAGGTTGAAATTTCAATTATAAATAAACCCTTCGGACTTCTATCTGATCAGATTACAGGTGATTGGTGAGTAGTCAATAAATGGCATTTTTTAATCAATACTTTAATTCAAAAAATAATCGATTATACTAGTATTCTATATTTCTATTGTAACAAAGCCGCCTTTTGATAAATGGTTATGAAGTATTTTGCGGCAAAGATACTTAGTCTTGGTAGTCTGGTTCTCCTTGCGATGGCTTATACAATTGTAATATAATGTATTTTCCTTTTCCCATTCTTCCTATGATATAGTCTAATTTGGATTAACATTATTTTTCTGGAAAATAGCAGATGGGCTCGGATGTGTCTGAAACGGTCAAAAAGGTAAAATATGATCTCAATGGAGTACTACATGTTGATGCTGAAGGCGTTTTACGATCCTATGATCAAGAGGGCAATGTTATTGACTATAGAAGACTGGATTCTAATACCTTGAATAACATTGCTCAATTATACGCGGAAGAGAACAGCAATAAACTGATTGATCTTTGGAGCAATGTTGATAGTTCTTTAATTGATGAAGAGCAGGTGTGGGCTCCACCGAGTCATCTCATGCCGCCTTCTGTGTCAGAGGCAGATGCTGCTGAACAACTTCAATCAGCAAATCCCAAAGTTTTTCCACGCTGGTGGAATTACTGTAATCAGTACCGCTGTACTGAAAACTGGGAATGTCCTCGTCAAGATCCTATTTGTATTCGCTGTGTCCGTAGTGGAAACTTCACTGCTGGGATGTGTTTTGATGTATAATAGTTCTTATTATTGCAATTGTTGAAACGATGGAATTTCTAAATATTGACGCAAATACTGAATATGAAAAGAACATATGAATTGACTATGATAACTCTGACAATTACATGATAAAAAGGCAGTATTTACAGTTAAGGGAATGCTCGATTATATGAGCGAGGCAGTGCTCAGGTTTTAAGAATCAAGAGGTGATATAAAATCTCCGATATACAATATATTACGAGATATTTCGACACAATGCCATCGCTCTTTTGGATTGAATAATTCCAAGCAAGAGCAGATGGTGTGGTAAGTGGTTCACGACATGATAATGTCATGGCTCGCCACATCCTCGTTAACCTGATCACATGGTATAGTCCACTGTCAAAGCTGTCAATTAAATTACTCAGAGTTTAACTTCTTATATTCATACAACAAGAACAAGAATGAGGGAAAATAAACTTATTTTAGCTGCTTTGGCTGTCAAAAATCAAGGATTAACTCAGATAATAGCTGCTTTTCTATATGCTATTTCTCAAACAAGTTTAAGCGATCATATTACTAGCTATATGAACAAAAGACTCGACAAGACTTGCACCTCCGCATTGATGTCTAGGACTAAAAGCCAATCTGTTAGATAAGGGGTTTAAATAGAGTTCAATATCATGTGATCACACTAACCAGCAACGAGTATGCGGCTATGATGTCATGATGCGGGCCGGCAAGGGCGCCAAGGTGTGGAGATCTACAGCGGCTGGGCTAGCAAATTCCTAGTCAAATAGCTACTTCGTACGATTACCTCAGAAGCACTTCATTGTGCTTCCCTGTCGTGGCTAATCTTTTTCAGCAAGATATTTTTTTCGCTGAAAATCACAGGTTGCGTAACTGATCGCAATATGCCTGGGCTTTTTGGAGATTGCTTCCTTTTGTTCATGTTCCAGCGTATTCCATTCTAACGCGAGATCCTTGCTTGCAATTCCCTCCATGACGAGGAGGTACCTTTATTGTCCGTGTAATCCTCATACATTGCATAAACTTGAGGTACGCGAATCGTAGTAGTTTGCTTGGGAAAATAACATATTTTCTCCTTCCACAAAATGCTACCCAAGGTCATATTTGACGGCAAAATGCTGGCCAACTGCGACTATTTTGCGAGGCATCTGGTCACTGAAAACATGAGGAGGATTTACAACTCTCCCCGGTTGGCAGGAATTGAGGGAGGTCAGCTAGTCTCGCACTGTGGGTAATAGCGATTGACGACATGGTGAAAAGTAAATGGTGTGAAGAGACGGCAGTACATAATGAATTTGAACATGGGTGAAAGTCCAAGCATGCGTCAAATCGCGGCTCCAACCCCCCGGCACACAATCACAGCCCAACTTAGATATTTAGAAACCAAACCTCTGCACTTTATTATATATTCTAACTGCCTTAGGTAGATAGAACATAATTAACTACGAGGTGTGATGGGCCATTATTCTAACTGCCACTTTGCGTTTACAAAAACCGACAAGCCCGAATCTGTTCTCTGTTCGACTTATCTAAGTTTGTTCAACCTTTCTTGAAGCATCTTTCTGGAACGCCTCCAATCTCCCGAAACTGTGGTTGGTTACCTAAAGCTAACCAATAAACTTTGGAATAATCATGCTCATTTCTTAATTACTTCAGATATCATCCACGGATGGATAGATCCCTATCCTGATAGGCTGGAAAGCTTGATCCATTAAGGAAGAAGGAGACTAGCTACTGTGCGAGAGGGCAACGAAGACAACCACAACGCAATGAGTCAGCTCCCACGTTAGTGAATATTCACTTTGGTTAATGGTGACCTGACTCTCTGTCCATTTCTTCCTTTCCCTTTCCCTTTTCTTCCCCCTCCCCTTCAACAACTTGAAGGCTTTCCGACTCTATCAGCCCACACCACAACCAAATGATTTCTTTCCAAATCTCTATCATCATCAACAACGAACATGGCTACAGTTACCGTTTCCAGAAGAGCAGCGAACAGAAGCACTGAAGATTGTTATGCTTCTCCGGCAGTGCTACCCCTTGGACCTTCCACAACCTCTCAAACCCATCATCTGGCTCCCAAAAGGCAGAAAAGATCATCCGGATCTAGTTCTGATTCAGATGAAACAATAAACGGCATAAGAGTTGAAGATTTCCGTGTAGGGGGCCCATACCTCTGTGTCCTTCCGGCCAAGAATTTCACCACATCTCAGCAACATCCAGCCACCACAAAGTGGAATTCCCAGTTTGAATGGGATATAATCAATCTGCTAAACCGTCACTCAGTCCACTGCAAGTCTCTGAACCTTGTAGACAGACGATCTGCCAAATACGAGGACAGTGGAGAAACAGAAACTGTAGTGGTTTCGGCCACCAGAACCAACCAAGATAGGTCATGGCTGGATGCTTGCCTTGAAATCCGCGCCTTCTTTCAGTTTCATGGCTTGCCTACCCTCAACATCGAGATTATTGATGAACGCGCAAGCATGGAAAAATACACCTTTCCTGTATTTGAAAATGACAAAATCTATTCCAAGTGGAATGACTTATCTTCACAAATTTGTCAACTTATTGGGATGGAAGGTTGGCTATCTTTGGAGTGTTTTCGGAGAGGTACAAATTTAGACCGCCAAAACAACCCTCCAACCATTATTTTAACTATCCCAATGGATTCAACAAAAGCCTGGAAGGCCGAGCGAGATCAGATTACTTCTTTGCTAGATGCTGAAGGCCTGGAGGAGGTAGCAGTCGAAGTTCTAAGAAGCTACGTTTGGCGAGCGACTGATGTGGACCTCGTTGTCCTTCCAGATAATGCTTGGGAACAGAAGGCACAGCTGGGAATGAGCATCGGCCTGCATGGATCTGATATTAAAAGCTCTACTTTCGGTGGTTTTCTTCAGCTGTTGCATCCCAGTACCAAGCAGTGGCATACCTTTGGTGTGACGTGCTACCATTGCATCGAGCCAGAACAGGGGGGCAATGACTCTTCGGGGTTGTTTAAAGGTGAGAAGGCCAAAGAAATTACCCCATGCTAACCCCCATTTCGTAACAAGCTTAATCCTGTCTACATCAACTGTGTTTTGAGAAGGAACGCGTGCTAACCTATCAATAGATATCAAGAAATGGAGAGAAAAGGGCATGACCGTTAACGAGGCGACAACCGCCAATATCCGTATAGACCAACCGGCAATAAAGGACCATTTAGCAAGAATGAACATGATTGAGCAAAGAAAGGTGGATTGGATGAAATCACCACTACAGAAGCGTGTCAAAGAGGCAATGATAAACAATGAATTTATCATTCCAAGGGATGAGGCTTTCTATAAGCACTCAGAAGCTGCAATAAATCAGTCTCTTGTCATCAAAAACAAAGCTGAAAAGTTTTTTGCTACTGGAAATGCTCTTCTTGGAAGAGTTTTTGCTGCTTCTGGATATAGATCAACCCCCAATCCTGACAGAAGACAGCTAGATTGGGCTCTAATCCAAGTTGTTACACCTCGTATTGGTAGTAATAATGTAAGTAATGCCTCTTAATGAATGGTTTATGCTTTTGAGTGTTGCTAACAATCTTTAAAGGTACCACCAGTTGGTTCATATGAGGATGAGAACGGTTTCAGTGTCTTTTCAGGGGAACTTATGGGTCAACCCCCCAAAAAGAAAATTCTTCATGAATCATCTTTGTACAAAATTGGCCGTCGGACCAATTTCACCACCGGAAAATATCAATCATTACGCACTCTACATCTTGAATCATGGGAAACTGATGATAAAGGCAAGAAGCTTGTTGTTGTGACAGAGGAGGAGGCAATAGCATCCAAGAAGGGATCACTGTTCTCAGCAAAAGGAGATTCTGGGTCATTTATATTTGATGAAGAAGCAAACTTTGTAGGCCTTTTGTTTGCGGGGAATATGGATACGGGTGTGGGATACTTCACTCCTGCGACGATCCTATTTGAAGATATCAAGGCAATGACCGGGGCGCTCGACGTACGCTTACCTTTATCGTAACTGCGGAAATTTTCAAATGAATCTCGAAGCACTATTTTCTTTCTTTCTTTCTTTCTTTCTTTTCTCTTTTTGTTACGGATCTGGGCACAGGGTTTCTTTCTTCTTTCCTTTCCTTTCCTTTCCTCTTTTCTTCTGCTCATTTTTCATTTTTAACACTGATTTTGCTTTTGATTTCTAAATCGTTGTTCCCAGTTTGAATGTTTTCACAATAATGGCGTTTTCAAAAATCACGAGGGTGTTGGCGGTGTATTTACATCGGTGGTTAGTAACTACTAGGTCTTTGCAAGAATCAATTACGCCGCATCGCTAGCATGTCTGCTGCTTACAAGACCAATCATCTCTGAAACTCATACATGTATCTTTATATGTATTAAGAATTCTGCCTGTGCTAGAATATAGATAGTAGAACAATAAGAATGCGCACACGACTGTCGCTTGTTTTCAAGTGTCAGCTCACTTAAGCACTTTGACTCAGAATGCATAACTATAGGTACGGGCCTTAGGTAGTTACAGCAAGCGGTGCTGAGCGACTTTATATATGTAGGACTGCGAGCTAGGCTGCCAGCCAGCAAGGAAAGTTTGTTGGTAGTGGAAACAGCAGAAAGAAATATAACTTGCATGCCAGTTCGGGGTTCCAACTCTCAGACAGCTATGCAGCGTACAACAATAAATGCAGGCGTTCCCGCCCCTTTTCTTGGAAATCTAGCTATTCTTGCAAGAAACGCTTCCTTTCCACCAGAGCTTCTACTAAATAGTCTTCTTGATCGTTCTGTGTCTCTGCCTTGTCGGGCCCTTCCTGGCCCTCCCTAGCTTCTATTTACTGGTTATACACTCAAATGCTTTGGAGTACTGTGGACGGGACTGCCTGCTGCCTGGAATTGAGCTAGGAGTCCTATCGTCCTGTCCTCAAGATCATTTTTTTGCTGCTTGTGCTACAGCCATTGATGAGCTACAGAAGCGCTTGGTGGCCACGCATGGAACTTTGCCTGGCCAGATTCATTGTCGAATCCCCGATTTAAACTGAAGCGCATTAACCACCACATAACGGAGCCAGACCGAGACACTATCGAAGAAGAGGACCATGCGATCGGCCAGGCCAGGAGAACCGTGGAAAGCGGCTGCGACGATGTCGAGGAATCGGGGATGAAAGGGTGCAGCGACCGGGAATGGATTACTGAAGAGAGATGTAGGTATTTAGCAAACAATCGTCCGATGGTGGTTCCAAGGCCTCATAGATCTGCGCATTCTTAGCTTTCCTGACTTATTTCGTCCTCTCCTATCATCATCCCTCCTTCTCTCCGTCTTCCTGTCTCCTTCACGGACTGGATTTCATTTCCCCCTTATATGGAGAAAGAAAATAATAAATCATAGATAGCAAAAATTATACGTAAGCTGGGAAGCTCAGAGTTACTCGTAATACATCGGCAGTATAATGATGGATGCTCCGGCGGGGCCCCGTCCCCCCGGAGAGTGCTGCTGGCATCAATTCCCATGATCAGCGATCAACTTGGCCACTTCCAGATGCCCGCGATACTTAGCCCGATCGATGGCTGTATCGCCCAGTTCATCAACAAGGTCAGCCCTTGCACCTTTCTGGAGCAGAACGATAACTATATCTTTGTGTCCTTTCGCGGCGGCCCAATGAAGGGCAGTACCACCACTAACCATATGATTCAGTTCCACCCCCTTCTCAAGCAGAAGATGGAGCAATCCCACATGTCCAAACACAGCAGCAGTTAGAAGAGCTGTGCCTCCCCACTCATTGCGAAAGTTTGGGTTTGCTCCTTTGCAGAGCAGAATCTTGGCCACATTCTCATGCCCCTTCGAGGCAGCTTTCATGAGTGGTGTGTCACCATTGATGTCTGTGAAATCAATGTCAGCTCTATTCTGAAGCAAAGCTTGTGTTGAATTCCGATGACCATTTCCAGCAGTGAGTAGAGATGCTGTACTGGGAGTTTCAACTGTAAAATCAGCTGATCGCTTTTGGAAAAGAAGCTCAACCAGTTTCACATGTCCATTTTCGCAGGCTAACAGAAGAGCAGATCGGCTGCTCTTTCGACGGACAGCTTCTCCCTTACTCTGGAATGAGTATGTTAATGAAAGCTGTGCTGTGCTTTGCTGTCCCTTCCTACAGGCCCACAAAAGCGCTGAGCCTTCATTGAGACTGGAATTGAGCTTATAGAGGAGATCAACTATCCAGTGATAGAAAGTCCTTGATATCAAAGCAAAGGAGTAAATATCCTTTTCCGAGTCTAAATGCCACGCAATCAATCGAACGACCTCAGCACTTAGCTTTGCTAGGCCACCCATCTACAATCTGATCAGTGAACTTATCTGATGTGGTACCTTAAGATATCCTTACCTGTGGGGAAGGTCTGTCCGCCCGAAGCAAAAACCTGCAAGAGGAGAGAAGGGGAGCGATAAGGCGGTGGTGAAAGACTGTTCGAGGGCACAAGGTGAAGAGATACCTGCTAAGGGAACCTGGGGTAGATGGAAAGGTGGATGAAAATGTGACAGCATTCACGAAGAATATCCAGGCGAGAGAGTTGAGAAATGAGGAAAAAAGAACGGAGTGAAGGAAGGGCTTCTAGGACGTGTAAATGAAAAAGGATGGAAGGGAAGGCTTGGGTAGAAATGCGTGGGAGCACAGCAGATGATATATATACATGTGGCCGAGGAGGGGCGGAGGTAGGCTGGGTGCACGGGCCATAACTTGCAATAAACATGGGTTGAAGGTGGCAGAAGCTTAGGGTTGGATTGGTGATGATATCTGTGCTGCACAGCCATCGCTTTTGCCTTCTCTAACATGGATTGGCAGAAGCCTGCAGTCCGTCCCTTAAAAGCAATTACAGTAACATTTCCTACTGTATGAAGGTCGGCTTCTAAAAGTGCCACGATTGTCACTAGATCCTAAATTTTTACATGTAATTCTCACTCATTATCTTCTTACTAATCTCAAACAAAGCTCAACTATCTATTCTCTTCATACTGTGATGCACTTGTTTACTATTTCCTTATATATCTTTATTTATCTTCATTTATTCTTTCCTTTTCTTGCTATGTCCTCGCTATCACCATTTCTATGTATATGTATATATATAATATATATATATATATATATGCATGTACTTCGCACATCCTCTTTCCTCTCCCCTTCTCTTTCTCCTCTTAGTGATTAGCTACTACTGACTACACTACTATCTACTAATATTATTCCTATTACTAGGGGCAGCCTGCCCCTAGCATCCCCCTTCAGGGGGTGGGCAAACGACCCTCTAAACCCCAGGGGATGAAAGGCATCGTGAATTGCTTCAGAGGGTTGGACAGCTCAGGTACAACACTCTATATAGCAGGAGCTTCATGAAACATGCAGCTGGGCAGGGTGGAGCAAGAGTGCGATGTCATATTAATATCATCGATATGTATCATCAGTAGATATCATCAGTGGATATCGTTCATTCAAGCAGGTCAGTAGATAGATAGGTAGGCAGGTAGTCAGGTAGTAAGCTAGTATTGAGAGCTAGGTGGGTAGCTAGATGGTGATGTTTATTCTCATAGGGATTGACTGAATATCGACCAGGAAGGTTGGTTGGTAGATGGGGATGTAGATGGGCAGCTAGTGTTGAAGATCACGATCTAAGAAACTCTAATTTGAATGAAAAATTTACCCACAGTACACTGTAAAAAGATCACACAAAATCTGTACAATGTTTGGCTGGGGTGTAAATAATTTCTGGGGGAACATATCCACCCCTCAAAATATGAGTAGAATCAACCCTTCCTTCAAATATCAGAACCATTGAAAATTTTAGTCCTGGACCCATGCACGGTCACACAGCCAGTCTAGATATTCAAATATTTACTATACAGATGCCCCTGCAAAAAGTTTTGTCTCACACTAGGGATTTACAGTGAAATATTTTTACTAGTGTACTGAATGTTATGCCCACACTGCCTGGGATTTTGGCAGTGAGCTAGGGGGAAGGCTAGGGGCATGACCTCTATTTTTCCACCTGAAGAGTCCCTATTCTCTTAATTCGATGGAACAGCAATACTTAATACTGGTATCAATATTTCAGCTTAAATTCTTAGTGTGGGTCAAAACTTTTTGCAGGAGCATCTGTAGAGGGGTTGTACATTATTGTTGAAACACCCCCCCTCCCCCCCCGGCCGGGGGGGGTTTTTTTTTGTTGAGATGGCAGAACACCTTCTATAAAAAGGGTCCAGGCGAGTAGTTAACAAACTAGATGCTGATAGTGCGGAGGCACAATTAGCAGATAAAACACTAAATCAGCAGAATTGGTAGCGTGGTGAACAGAGGGCCGGGTTGCTATAGCTCTATGCATAGGCTACTGGGTCAAGAGAGCTCATTCACCATCTACACAGTAGAAGGGATGAACCAACTCAATCCAATCCCTCCAACAATAGCATCCGATCAACCTTGGCAAAACAAAAGAATGACGTTGGTCATCATCGAGATTACTCTTCCTACTTCAACGTACTCATGGAATCAACAGTGAGCAACAATCCACCTACTCTCGCACCTCTTCCTGCAACAGCAGCGGTGGATAGGCAGATTGGGAACATGGATACGATTAACACGTATGTTTGGTGGGCTGAGGAGAGGGTTTCTGTTTGGCTGCTTCCCTGCTTAATATCTTTCCTTTTCTTCGGTTTGAAGCTGTTCTCTCTATTTCCTAGTCTATAGTTGTACAGAACATACACCGCGGCCTGAAGAACAGGAAAAGACCTAATTAATATACATAATACATAAACAGACACGTGTATACCTATATTTTCCTACCCTATCACAGTAGAGGTCAAGGCCAGAAAAGCAACATTTTAGAAACTGAGGAACAATGTGTGCCGTCGTCTAATGGGCGGGTGAGTTCCGTGTTAATAACTTGCTCGACTTTGAGGCTATAGACGTGTTTTGAGAATGCAGGAAGTGTCATATCAACGTTTATCAAGGACTGGACAAAAGATGGGATTTTTGGACTCGAATATTGAGGTGAATATTCACTCGCCGAGTGATCCGTATATGGTTGGGAATATATTTGATGGTGCGGACAGGATTGGGTTTGAGATTCTAGGCGATATTAAGGAGGTACGGAATGATAACGAGTCGGCGGAGCAGTTAGGCAGGAGGGTGCGTAAGCGGAGCCAGTAGTTGGTGTGGTTTCGTGGCTGTTTTAGGAAGAAGCGGATGGCTACGCCAGTTACTGTGCAATGAACAAGGGTTGGAAGGAAGGAAGGTTAGAAGGAAAGGAGTGCAAATATGAATAGTATGATATATGTAACTCCTTTGTGTTTGGCGAGGGAGAACATTGGGGTGTCAAGCAGTTGGAGGTTGCCGGACTTCCTCATTTTACTGATTTGTTAATGTCATCATCGGGTATAGGTAACATCTAACACACGCAATATAGACAATCGAGATTGGCAACCAAACTCTAAAAATGTCTGTCTCGTATCCGTTCGCGATGTTGCACAAGATTTGAATACTTTTTGAGGCATCGTCCAATGGGGTTCCGCTTCCAATTTAGAGTGTCGTCTAGTAGTAAATGTGTATATGCAAATACACTGGCATCGAATAGGCCCGGATCCTTGCTTCCAAAAAAGTAGTTATCATTTCCTAGCAAAGAAGCCAGAGCCTCGAACGCGTTTTTGGCTTCCGCCTCGAGATCGTCCACATCTATAACGGATGATGATTTGAGGAGTTCATCTCGGGCTGCTTGTTGAAGCTGACGGGCTAATATCGTTCGAACGAGAGGATTAGATGTCGACGAGTCTATATATAGATTTCTCCCGATGGCGTTGAAATTCTGGCAGTCTAAATAAAATGTATATAACTATTTTTGGTGTCGGTTAATGTGCAAGTTTCAAACACCGTTATCAAAATATCCAGAGGATGGATTGACGTACCCAGGCATTTCGTATGTTATGATCTAGCAGAGATGTATACACATCAAACAGCATATTTAACTGCTGTTCCTCCTCAATATGGTATTGCTCAATAACCCATTTTTGGATCTTGTTTGAAGGGATTGGGCCCTTTGGGCTCGTTGGGACCGAGGTAACAGAGGAAGTTGGGATAAGGAACGGAAGAGCACCCGTTGGTGACGCATGATTATTAGAGGGCACGGTTTCGAAGGAAATCCCAACGAATTTGAGGTATGCCTGGTATAAGGTCGGTGTTATAACGTCAGTTACGCAAGTACAACGAGCGGTTGGGGGAAGGTTCAGGTTCAGGCGAGCCTCGGAGCTGGAGCTCGGACTGACCTGCCACTTTAAGCACTGCGGGTTAAACGATGGAGCACCCCGTTCTGCCGCTCTCGAGGTAGTAAATATGTACAGAGCATGGCGAGCTGAGCGGCGTGTGATACGCCGCGGTAGCTCATTTGCCGGATAGGTTATCAATGGGAATTTGTCGAAGATCTGTTTTATTGGGACAGGGACGGTGGGAAATCGGGCGGGAAAGCGCGAAGAGGTTTGGGCCTGGTGGCTAGCTGCAAGAGGATCATCCTCTGACATGATTCGAATCGCATTAACAAGGGCCAATTGAGTCCTACCAGCCGCGTTGCGTGTTCCGTGCCTGGGTTGATGATGGTTTTTCGTTTTGTGATATTTAGCTGAGGTAGAACCTTCTCAGCCACACCACTTTCTCAGCCACATATTCACATGACAATTGTCTAGTTTAGTGAGCATCAATTAAAATGTCGGAACTGAATGAAGTCCGAATATTGACCCAAATACTGAATATCGATAGATAAATTGAATTGATTATTCTAACTCCAATAATTACATGATAATCAGGAAGTATTTATAAGAAAGAGAATGCTTGAATATATGATAGAGGCAGTGCTGATATACATCAGAATAGTGATCTGGTTTTTGATAGCAAGATATTACAAGATCCTTGCTATTGCAATCGACAGAATCCTCAATATGATATATCATTTCTGACACAAAATAATGGAGCTTAAATCTTTGTACAGTACATTCATCTATTCATTTAAATACAAATCAAAATCGCTTTTAACTACTTTATCTAACTATTAAAAATCAGAGATTATGTCTGTGAAGCGCTGCAGTGTTATATAATATTCTTTGTTTTAACTGGTTAGTTAGTATAACTGTATGAGTATATTGCGAAGCACTAATATTAAAAATAAACACACTGTTGATTTAAATGATAAAGGCTACAATGCACTAAAGAAGCTACTCTTGTATAGCGAATTCCGTCTCTATATATATTTCGTCTTTACTCAAAGTTGTATGAAGTCTGTGTGCAACATCTAGGTTCTCCAGGAAGTAACTCTTGGAATAGAGTTTCATATCACGTGGATTAGTAGCCGAGGAAGTGCGCCAACTAATTTGGTTAGTCAGGCGTCGACTAGTGGAGTCGATTACATCAGCCCCCAGCCTGCGCAAGGCATCGCCACCAGCCCGCTTGGCCGCAGCTCTGAGCCCGTTGTGTCGATGTCGAGCGCCAGAAGTCAAGCTGCAGTCTAATGTCCATAGGCTTGCCAAACTGTTAGACTGCCAGAGACCTGACATCAAAGCTTCCTGCCTCTCGCTCCTCTATTCCCCCCTAACTGGCTTGTATTCTGCTGGCTCTTTGCTTTCGTGTACTATGGATGAAGACTGAATACGGATGGTATATCACATGGGTCCTCTTCTTCGACACGGGGGATATTTTGGCACCTCGCGATATCTGTCCAGTCAAAAGGAGCAGTTTCAGTGCCTCCCTGTTGGAAAACTTGCTATCATCCCTCCGAAGTGTCAGCTAATTGGCTAGCGGCAAAAAAGGAATATAGCGCTTGTACAGAAATTCCGCCTGCGCCACTAGCCGGTTGGGGCGGGGAGCCGAAAAGCGTTGTTGCTCTGTCGTTATTCTTACTCTAAAGCTATCATCTAATTGCTCTCGAGAACGTTTTGGATAGACCGAAGATTGAATCTTAAAAAACTGTCCTCAGCCGAGCGCTCTATCTTTTATGCCACTAGACGAGGAGGGAGCCAAGTGGTCGTGGTATGCTGCTTTATCTGCTACTGCTTTGCATAAGCAATTTTGATAAAGGAGAAATATGCTGACAGGAATTTCTACTCCCTTAGTGAACCATGCGTTCGGGGCCATAGATCATCAAAATGCCAACATTTCGATCGCCTGATGATGAAAGTGCCCAAGGCCGGTCGACCTCTTGCGAAATGCCCTCATCCTAAAGGCACCTGTAGTTGCCAGAAGCTATATGCGTTCATGGTCAGAATTCCGAAGGGTAAGATTCAATCGAAGTGGTTACTTTTCCAGTCGCTGTGGCTATCCTAACTCTTTTTCTTATGATGGATAGGTTCAACATGTTTATGTCGGCCCCTTTATCAAGTTCCCATGGTGGTGACAGAGGCCGGACCATCAGAACAACCGGCGTCTGTCCCTCCAGTTTCAATAGTCCCCACAATATCTGGTCGAAACCGTTCTCAAAAACGTTCACGACGCCAGAGCAGCCTCCAAACTGCTCCGGAATTAGTCACAAAGAGCTCAAGCCCGACTGACCCTACATGCAACGGGAATAATGGAGCCATGGATCATGGGGCTAACCCTACTACATCGAGTGTACAATCGCCATGCGATGAACAGTATTTGGAACCTCTCCCACGTTCAACTGAATTTCCTCTACACCAGATACCAAGCGGTGGCTTCAACCCCCATAGGGCTTATCCAACCCAGTCGCAATGTCAACCACTTACCAATAGAACAGGGGTTCAATCCTCCACCAACGGCGGGTGCTGCGGCGCTCAAACCACCAATGAATCTTCAACAAAACCGCACCAATCATCTGGTTCTTCTAAAAGCTTAAAGCTATGGCAATACGATACTACTCCTCAATTCAAGCTGGAGGAGACCTCACCTTCTGATCGACCAGTCGCGCAAAGCTCTGTCCACTTCGCACCTCATTACCGTTCGGCCAGCGAGCGCCGCCCATTTTCAACGATCGATGTCGAGAAACGTGACCACAATCAAGACAATACCCCACCAAATTTTCCACATAGGAATTCGTTTGCCAACCCCCGATTGCATGAGACCTCTTCTGTTCCTGTGACGGGCTATTCGTCACCGAATACTATGAGTCCCTATCGCTCAACAATTCATCCAATTGGTGATTTCCCTTGTTCGGGAATGAATGATTTTGGATTTCAAACGAATCACATTCCAGATGACTCTCACCCACATAACTGTGATTGTGGGGATGACTGTCAATGTTTGGGCTGTGCTTCTCATCCGTACAACAACACCACCCGACAATATATCCAGCAAATGGGCTGTATGATTACGTCTAGAGGCCCTGATCAGAATCCCGAATCAAAAGATAACGTCAGACCACCCTTTGATAACCACATGGCACATAATACACATTTTAACTACGGTCATGGTTGGCCACCAAATAACTTTCCCTTCCACCTCCCGGATTGGAACGGGTCACATCCAGGTCCATCATTCAACAATCCCAGTTCCTCTGCAGCGGCTCCAGCAGTCTATGACCCTCATCAAGATCAAGTGATGATGCAGCCCGCTGCGTATTACGAGCTAGAATACCCAGTTGGCATGTTAGACTCTTGCACAAATACCGCAGGTACCTGTCAATGTGGAGTCAATTGTAGCTGCGTTGGCTGCTTAACTCACAATGGACATGATGGAATTCCCCTTGAGCTCTCCCAACCCCAGGATAGCCAAGCAGAACGAGGCCCTGCAGCCACGGAGACCTCAAGCTCTACTCCTGATCACACTGGCCCGCCGGCAGTCTATACGAGCTCCTTCGGCTTAGCAACCCCCACTCGAAGCCCGATACCTATCACGCCGACGTCGCAACTATAGCTAGGAAGTGCAGTAATCCCCATTCAGGCGCCCTGCTCAAGTCACGCTACGTCAGCTCGGCTACCTCCACTATGCAAACGTTTTACCCAAAACTCGAAACGATAGGTCACAAGCGATATCAATGATGCCCCACTAATATCAATTGGAGATAGAGCATTGGGCTTGGACAGGGCATTTTCACTTTTGGATTGCTTTCCTTTTCCTTGCCCTCTTTTTTCTTAGATCTTTTTCTCCTTTTCCAACGCTGAAACTCATGAAGTAGATGTTGCAACTTTCTTGTTCATATGGAGCTCTCTTCTCTCTCTCTTTCTCTCTCTTCCAGTGTGTGTGTATGTGTGCGCGCGTGTGTTTTCCGTATCTCTAGTCCGCGTTGCTAGTATATATGATAGAACTGGATCGCCTTATCGCCTAATAACAAAGTAGAAAGGGGCCAACAGACGTGTTTTAGCGAACAGGAAGTCTCAAAATCTTTTATATTAGGAACTTGGATGAAATATAGATGTGGGAGCTGTGAAAACATCTGAAGGAACTTCATGTAACTATTGGAAACGTGAATGAGCAAAACTGTGGCCGGGTAATTTAGTGCTGCAAGAGAGATTACCAAACGAAAGAGAACAGAAAACACCAGGTTAATTCAAGTTCAACTCTGTATATATTTGGTTGTCTTGTAGTAATAGCATATCGTGTGATTGTGGTGGGATTTGCGGCGGTATAATATTACATTTCCCCCCCTCTCCTTTATACAGTTAGGCATTTTCCACTGAAGCGGATTTTTTCCTCCTCCAATGACATTTCTTCCGCCTGTGCCTCCATAATCGCCCCTGACCCTTTCCTCTTTACGATTTTGTTTGACGGAACGCATGCGTATTATACAACTGTTGGTCTCCTCGCCGGAATGATGCTGTGTAGTTGCACGTAGTTAGCCAATTTGCTATCGTATTTGTTCCAATTCAAATGAAGGCGGCTTCATGAAAGCAAAGCAAAAAGAACGCGGTTGCGTATATCAGGTAAAGGTATAATATGCAATGTGGTATATAAGCCGCCCTTGAGACTGTGGGAGCATTTCAACACAGCTCACAGAGAAATATAAAAAAAGGGACGTGTAGTCATTAAAAGGGAGTTTGATATTACCATCTGCTTCTTCCCATGCTCGTCCGGCACCGAAACCTAGCCCGACGAATGCTGGCCATGCTCTTCGTTTGAATAAGAGGACTGAAAAAATAACACCGAACGATAGACCGAGTGAGGAACGGATTATCATGGAGGATATGGCACGGTCCCACTATATATTGTCCAAGTTGATTTTGGTTCCACGGCGTTAGTGATTGGAGGTGTCAATTGAGAGTATATTTGGATTGTTTCGCACGAGATCATATATATATACGGGAGATCTTAGGGACATATGGTGTAGAGGGTATAGATATTTTCGGGGAATTTATCCGCGTCTATTTTGTCTCTCGATCCGTACCTTATCGTTCAGCAACGCTTCGCTCAGCGGCTTGGTTGATCGGGGCACCACCGACCGAGTTTCGTTGGAATCTGCCATCTTTGTGAAGCTAGGAAGGAGTTTGTTGGTTAACTGCTGGCATGTGGTTCACAACATAATTGGACTTACTGGGATGTAGGAAGCAATTGGGCGACGGGCACTGTTGATGGACTATAGGCCTGGTATCATTTTTATATACTGGAGGCATAATAGCTGATGCGATCGGATCGGAAAAATGTTAGGGCGGCGGTGGACGGCAGAATTAAAAAACATGCATTTGCTCGGGATTCGACTATACAACAGAATTACAACCCCAGACTGGGATTACTCTTTCGTTATGGCCCCGGCTTTGGAGGTGAGGGATCGTATATTTTTTGTGTTTAAATACGTCTGAGGTAAACGGAAGTGCTAACATGTTCCCTTACGGTTTGTGTAGTCCTCGTTTTTCGCGCATCAGGCTCTACTTGAGCTTGAGAAAGGCACGGGTGACCCAACAAGCCAGCTGCAGGAAGCTGCGCGGATAATTGGGGCGGATTTATCTTCTTCATGTAACCATGGAACGGGGTATACCGGAGTGTTCCAGGATGCGGAAAGCAACAAAAAGCAGAAACCTTCCGCACCCAAGGAGGCATGGGTTCTTCGATGGCTTATGAAAAAGTTGAAGGCGTCTTCACCACAACGGGAGGAGTTGCAGACCAACTACAGACTGCACACCCAAACATGGATTCTTCTTCGGCAGCTGTTAGAACGCATCCCCATAAAGCCTTTAGCATTTATTCTCAATGAACACAAATTTCTCCAAATATTGAAACATTCGTTGGCTGATATTATGGATGCGTCGAACGCGTCCCCCGAACGCCTTGGATTTCAAGAATCGCTACACTCTGAATCGAGCGCGACAATACAAGGATCTCCTGTTTCGGAGGCCTTGAAACGGGGCCAAAAGCGAAAGAGGACGGAAAATGGCTTGGATTCCGTGGAACCACAGGGGGCTATAAGGGGGTCATGGATTGATACGTTTTGCGCCGTGTTGAAATCAGTGAAAACTCTTGTTGCTTTGGGGCATGAGTTTTCTGGGGTTGAATCAGCATCCCATTCACACTTACAACTCGTCCTGAGAGGGGAACCCCAGACTGCGGCGGCGATTCTTGGACAATCCTTCGTATTGACCCGAAAAGTAGTGGAAAAGTGGGATAAGAGGTTTCCGGAATTACATGCGCAGCTAATGCGTGCGCTGTCTGCGACGTTGGATATTTGGAGGCTCAGTTCTGAGCGACTTTGTGACGCTACTAACTTGTCTAGCGATGTAGGTAGCTTGGATTTGTTTTCACCAGACTTTTTAGGTGTACTGACTTTCTTTGGGAAATAGAATACCTTTTCTTCATATTGCCTTTCCGAAGCGTTGCATCTGCTTATGGTTCTGCGGCAAATTGGAACCGAACCAGCCGAAAATACGAATGTGATACAGAGCTTGGAACGTATTGTCGTTCTTCACTTCGTCCTCCCTCTTCGCCAGTCATTCTACTCCATCGATCCCATGAAGACCATGAATACTAATGATAGCCCCGATCCTTCCGTAATCAAGCATGTCCTTAAAGGTGTCCATTCCCGTTGGGGCGGGTCTAATGGCCGCTCGAATACAGAGTTACTACCCATTTTGCTAGATGTTGCCGTTCGTGCTGTGCCTCGAGACACATTCAAGAGACAAGTTCATGAAGCGCCCTGGCTTGAAACCTTGTTCGTGGCACTCTCAACTATCGCTGGCTGCCCTCTATTTGATGAACCCTCATGGAGCACATCCCATAAGGATATCCCGGTTCTCGAGAACCTTTTCCAAGTGACCATTGATAGGAAATCAAGTCTTTCTATTGACACAATCAGACGATACGCTGTCCGATTTTCTGGCCTGGTTGGAGGCGAGGCACACCAGGCTACGGAATGGTCATTAATATCTAAACTTATACTGACGGGTGTTGATGTGTTTCTTCCCAACCCTGGATTTGACGGGATGGAAAACTTGCTCAGTAATCTTATCGATCGAATCACATCGTTTTCACTAGTTTCTAATATTATGCCAAACGAGACTTATGGAGTTATCAAAACCACCATTGTAATACCTTTGCTTCGTGGATTTGCGGCTGCCAGGGCTATTGGTTCATTTCTCGATATCTGGTCTGACCAGTTAACGTCGATCGAGGCTGCTCGATTGATTGGGAGAGATATATTCTACCTTTTTGTTTGGGAGGATGACGACCTTGCTGCCGCATTGAGGCCTTTGGTAACGGATCTCTTCTCTGAGAATCAAACTAAGGATCATCTGCAAGTCATTTTGTCACAACACTCGTTTGACGACGAAGAAAACGCCCCTAGGCACTATGCAGACATTTTGCTTCTTGATGCTATTTGGGAACCACGATTGCAGGAAGGTGACTCCATGTTACAAGGCGAATCTTTGGCTCAAGCCTTCCGTATAGTATCTAACTTAGTCTTGTCAAAACGGCAACTGGCCTGGAGGTGGCGCCTCTGGCGCCTTTCCCAGCGCTTTGTTGATCATCATTCTTCTACGCCGGATGATGTATCTGTCGACCTTAGCACCACTTTGTTACCTAAAGCAATCGACGTATTACAGAGCTTCCACAATCAAGAGTTCCCAACCAATATATCTAGAAATGATTGTCTCGAAGCATTTGAGGCTTTCAAATTTGTGGTGCTCGTTGCAGGCAGGAAAGACTTCGCCGAGTACAACGAATATTTGAATGCAATAATGCCACGAATTGTACCTGCTTTTAATCAAGTTACGAGATTCACAGGAGCAGCATGGGATGGACGTGTGGACACTATGGTTTCTCCTCAAACCGTCTGTGTTGGATATCTCGTTGTGTTGCTGGCAACACCGCTGGCTGTTACTCGCCTTACGTCTGAAAACCGTGGCCTTCTTTTCAATAACCTTCTCACATCAGTTGAGCGTTTTGAATATTATATTTCAAATCCACTTTCGAGGCAGGCAGTAGGCTCGAGCCTTGAATGCCAGTTACTCGAAATATGGCAATCGTTCACTTCTAACGAGTGGCTCCTGGAGACGCCTGCAGCGGTATATGATCTTGTCAATACAATTCTCCATCACCTCAAGGAGAAGAAAGTCCCCAGACATCTCTCAATTGCAAGCCTTCTAGGTGTCCCTACTAGGCTAATCCCGCGCCACCAGAGAGGAATGCTCTTAGACTTCCTTCAACAAACAATGCTTACGGGTCAATTAAGCTGTGGAGAAATGTGTACTGATATCCTAACCTTGATGACAAGGCTAGCAGATTTACCCAAGTCCTCAGCCCAAATCACAAGCGACTGGGAGGAGCCATGGAAACTTTCGGATGCTATTTCCATCCGAAAGGAGGATTCCTCGTCGACTCTTCTTCCATTCCAATCGTTCCGCCAGCTCCACAAGGCAATCATTGGCCGTATTCTAGTATCATCCGATGTGCAGCGGAGTTTATATTTCCAGAAAACGTTTGATAAAGTATGCGCAACAATACAAAAATACGATAGCTCCAATTTCGATACAATGGGGTTTTTTATGCTTGTGTTGTCTTTGGGGACACTTCATACTCACCAGCAGCACTTTGACTGTAACCTCAAGATCGAAACTTTGAATGCACTGCGCGAGAAGGTGTTAAACATCCTCATCTCCGATTTGCGGTCTATCGAGAGAGAAATGGAAAAGAAGAGTGAGCCGCCAGATGTGAACACATTAACTGGCATTCTGAATGCCTTAGAATATTTTGAAGACATGGTGAGGTCGCGTAAAGACGCACGGAAAGCCATACGTAAAGTTGAGGAGCTCTTGGATACAATGAGCTATGATCCCCCCACCAATAGGCTTGTCAAACGTCGACTCGTCTCGTCCTACAAACCGGGCAAGGACTTCGAGAAAGTGCTGATGAAGTGGCTTTCGTTGTTTCCTGTTGACCAGTTGTATGACCATGACCATCAGCTTTTTGTGCGGGACATCCGCCACAAATTGTCTACTTTATCAGAGAAGAAGCTCGTCCGCCTTGTACGCCAAATTCGCGAGTCGGGTTTCGCAGGCCAAGATGCGGCTCATCGACTATTACTCACCGGCGTTGCCATTTCTTGCTTTGAGCCTATCGAATCACCCGATACCCAAGCGTCACACGAGCTATCATCCCTATTCCCCTCACTATCACAATGCCTTATCAAGACTACGGCAATTGAATCATTTTCTCTTGCCACAGAATGCCTGGAAATGCTCCTCCGGAATCAATCCCGGTCGATCACGCAGTGGAACATCGACAACATCCTAGGCACGCTTTCCGTCGTGATATCTGCCCAGGGTCCCAAAATCGCAGGGGGATACGCGGGAGTTGTCTACAGCCGCATTTGTCATATCCTAAGCCTCGTTTTTGGCCAATACCGGAAAAAGCTAAGTGGAAGATTCCACTTGATTCTACCACTCATGCAACGCCTCCTTCGCCTCCTCTTCACACCTAGCCCGAGGCTGCAGAAGTCGTCTCGTTCCCAATTCGCCCCTCCACCATGGGTAGACAACCAGACTGCCAACTCCTTTCTCCATAAGCGTTCCCACGCAACCCAATATACCCGCCTCCTAACTGCCCTTTGCGACCCAACTGTCTCCGCTGTACAACGTGTCCAGCGATCCGACAGCGGCCTAACAGACAATACGAAAAAATTGAAGAGTATAGCCGGCCAGCATTTGCAATATCTTGTTATGGAATATACCGGCTGCCAGCTGCGAGGTCAACTTGCGCCGGAGTTGAAGGCTGCGTTGATGCCAGGCTTTTACTCGGTTTTGGATGTGATGTCGAAGGAGACAATGAGGGGTTTGAATGCGGCGATGGATTCGTCGAGTCGAGCGGTCTTTAAGTCCCTGTACGACGATTATGTGCGGTTTGGGAAGTGGAATAATGCATAATTTGAGTGATTGGGTGATAGCGTCGTGATTTTATGAAAGAGAAACTTAATACCTCTGTAAAGTAGAATGTTGGAGTGGGTGTGTACTATACCCAATATTTATTTAATTGACAGGAATGACTTATCAATGCTTCATGTAAAATTGGAGCTCAAGGCTGTTTTTTGAATCGCCTGTCTCGAGAAGGGAGCAATGATATCTGGGTGCAAAAGCTGCATAGTTTGCTGCCAAACATTGACCGCACTAATAAGACTAAGCTTAGCCCTTCGCACGGAAACGTAGCCTTGAATTTGACTTTTTGTCTCAAGCACTACGGTCCAAAGCTCTCAGCATTTTTGCCCTTGGCATGGCTAGGAGCCAGCCAAGATAATGAACCTGAGTTGCTCCATATTTATCAGATACCGCAGTCCTTGATAGGAAGAGACATTACCGGGATCTCGCCAGGACTCACCCTCCTCCATCCTAACTTTCCTTTGTGATTTGCTCCGTGTGCTCCGCGGATAGTTTGTCAATGGGTGACACATGCGACCAGTGCACCACAATAACACGCAGTAAAGAGACGGGAGCTTATCCCACGGATCAGAGTTGGAAAACTTGGACAGCGGGTCCATGAAATGTGTGACGATGCTGGTTTTGATATCCGTTCTGCACGTCGCATATCCACCGCGACCGAGGGACGAAATGCCGGGTATTTTCCTTCGTTATAACCGGAGAACATTTACACAACGACCATATGTGTCGATCGTCGGACAAGTATATGTCTCTCCTTGACTTCTAGTGGAACCCAGTTGCTGCGGAGAAAACTGAACAATCATAGCATGATAGGTGCAGATATCATACTGGCCTGTCATGTTGGGGGAGACTGTGCAGCGTAAATAACATACTAGATATATTCACCGCCGTCGCTCTTCCTTGCGTCTATGGCGATCGATGATATCACTTGTCTCCTCCCATTTTCTTTCTCTGTTCTATCAGTGCGAGCTTGGAGGGATTACAACCAACGTAAACGGCGTAATCCAGATCAGCAGCCTTCTCGTTCCATCGATCTGAAGCGTATTGTTGTGGTTGCTCTGGCACTTCGGACAAGCATGAGAACTTATCCATTCTGGTAGTTACCCGTTTGATTTTTGCTTCAACCTTGTTTTTCTTTCAATATGAATGTCCTATCAGCTTCAAAAATTGCGCACTATGTCTCCAAACTGGAGGTGAGAAATGAGGTTGGCTTGTCTAGTGGGCAGCGCATGCTAGTTAACGATGATTTGAAACCAGGCAAGTGAGCTTAGATACTCGACCGAATGCCGTTACTGTCTTGGTAATGCCTATCCTTACTGATGCGCCGATGAATAGTTAAACCGGAGCATCGACGATGGGGTCCTTGGAACTATGTTAGCTTCTGGATCGCGGACTCCTTTAATATCGTGGGTCAAAGCAGCACGAAAATTTCATGGAATCTATTGTAAAAACTCGCGGAGGTGCTGAACTCGTTTCTAATTCCAGAACACATGGATGATCTCCTCCGCGATGGTCGTCGAAGGTTTGTCGTGGTGGCAATCCTGGATTTGCGTGTGGTTTGGATACTTCATTGCTGCAATTTTTCTGTGCCTGAGCGCGCGAATCGGTGCAGTGTACCATATATCCTTCCCAGTGGGTATAAGGGCGTCGTTTGGAGTATGGGGTTCCATGTGGCCGGTCTTTAACCGAGTAGCCATGGCTTGTATATGGTATGGCGTGCAGTCGTGGATTGGAGGTATGCTACTCCCAGCTTCATATGCAGCAGGTCCTGACACGCCCGATCTTACGCGAGACTGATATTCAACTTCTGTTATGTTCTTTGATTAAGGCCAATGTGTTACGTTGATGATTAGATCTATATGGTCTAGCTATAACGACTTGCCAAACAGCATGCCAACAAGCTCAGGGACAACGACTAGAGATTTTTTAAGCTTCTTTCTCTTTTCACTCTGCAGTCTTCCCGCCATCTGGTTCCCTGTGCATAAGATCCGCCATCTTTTCACCGTCAAATCCTATTACGCGCCAACAGCTGGTATCGTTTTCCTTGCTTGGTCCGTTCACCGTGCAGGCGGACTCGGACCTATTGTTGACCAACGACACACCCTACAAGGTAGCAAATTGGCATGGGCCGTGATTAAGGGAGTCATGTCCTCAATCGCCAACTTTGCTACCCTTATCGTCAACTCGCTCGACTTTTCGAGGGTTGCCAGAAAGCCGAAGGACGCCTTGTATTCACAGCTTTTCACCATACCAATCAGCTTTGCCATCACTTCGTTCATCGGGATTATCGTTTCCTCCTCTTCTGGCGTTCTTTACGAAAAACCTGTCTGGAACCCACTTGACCTTTTGGGTAGATTTCTCGACGGTGCGAGCAAAGGAGAAAGATTTGGTGTCTTTATCATCTCCACCGCCTTTGCCCTGGCACAACTGGGGACAAATATTTCAGCCAACTCGATATCCGCCGGAACCGACATGGCCGCTCTCTTTCCCCGATTTCTCAGCATCCGTCGGGGCGGGTATATATGTGCAGCTGTTGGCTTCGCTATGTGCCCCGTACGTCTCCCCGCCAGGCCCTTCACGCCCATTACCATTACTCTTTGCTAACACTCATACCTCTCTCCCATAGTGGCACCTACTTTCCACCTCAAACAGCTTCACCACTTACCTCTCTGCGTACTCTGTCTTCCTTTCCTCCATTGCGGGCCCGATGATCTGCGACTACTACGTTGTTCGCAAGGGCTACATCAAAGTCAACGAGCTCTACAGCTCTCGAAAGCACAGCCCCTATTACTATACCTTCGGCTTCTCCTGGCACGCCTACGCGTCCTACGTCTCAGGGATTCTCATCAACATTGTCGGTTTCATCGGCGCTATTGATATCGCGGTACCCGTTGGAGCTACCTATCTCTATAATTTGAATTTTTTCTGCGGTTTTGTCGTTTCCTTCACGATGTATTATACCCTCACTAGGATTTGGCCAATCCCAGCGACAAGCAAGACGTGGAATGAGATTGATGCCGATGTCACTAATCTATCTGTGGCGTATAACCAAGGAAGCATCCCTGCTAGTAGTATTGATGAGGAGTCGCAGTCAAGAACACCATCGTCGGCTGCGTATGATGAGCCAGATTCTGCTGCGAAAGGTGGTAAAGGGCATGTTGATGTAGGGGCTAGAGTAAATTATTTGACACGATAGAAGGAGGATTATTAATAATGGATGTGCGTGATGAATTTCTCCAGGCGATATTTGTATTTTCTCCCTTCTATTACTTTTCTCGCGAATTTTCTTCTAACGTTACCGTCTGATTTAAGATTGGTTTTAGTTTCTATCTCTCCCCTAAATTCTATTAAAAGTCATTCTCGCCCTTTCGTTAAAACACCAAACTGTTACATATACACAGGTTTACCATCAGCATCCAGCTCATCACCTCGGACCCAAAACCTCCCCCGTAGTTTTGCTATGACATCATCGGAGAAGAATTGGGCTTGGTAATTTGGTTTCCAAGGTTTGGCTAACACAACTCTGGGCAATATTTATTTAATCTGCTTGGGTAGATAGAAATTAGGTGATTGGGACAATAGTTGATTGCATGCGGTCTTATATCTCCCCCATTTTTTATGCTATTTATAAATAGGTTGTATCCTTCCTCAGTTCCATATAGGAATGAGAGAAGAGTTTTAGCTTAATTCACAGACATATATACATCTATACTTTTACAATACAAATAGCCATAGATTGCATTGAACCTCTTCATTGAAGACATACGTGCTACATCCATCTACACAGGTTACTCATCCAACCCGGTTGCCCAAATCTTACAAGAGCCAAGATCGTAGGCTGGCTTCACGCTTCAATCGGAATTCAACATTCGATGCTGAAATAACCTTCAGAGCCGAGGCTGTCACATACCGGAATAATAGATGGTCCGAAATATCACGATAAACAAAAATTCCTCCCACAAATTCAACATCTCTTAACCCTGCAAGGCGCTTTATCCGGCCCGACTCCCATCTATGGCTCCCCAGTTCTGTCATGACTGCGGCTCTATCTTAGACATATCTGCCGCACCAAACATTCCATGCGATGTGTGTGGAAAAACAAATCCCAGTGAGCATTTCTCCTGCTGAACTGCGAGAGCCAGCAGCTAATCAGGACGCCCACAACCCAAGACAAGTTAATGGACCGTCCGATAACATCTACATCAAACAATTTCCCGTCAAAACTTCGTACCAAGCTGAGATCTCATACGCGTGAATTGGCGGTCAAAGACCGCGAGTCGAACCGCCGAATTCAGGTGGATTGCCAGAAATGCGATTCAAAGGAGGTTACTTGGAGTGAGATGCAGTTGCGAAGCGCGGATGAAGGAAGCACTATCTTCTATCGTTGCCCGAAATGTGGGCATAGGTATGCAGGAGCCAATTTCCGAAGGGTGTGATTTGCAGCTAACATTCTCAACCCCGTCCAAAAGATGGCAGGATAATAACTGAGGATTTTTTTCGTTTGTCGTTTCTTTTCTAGGGCTGGTGTTTCCTCTCTATTTACTTTGTACTATGCCATATGATTGAATGAGGCACGAGGATCTTATTGCCTAACAAGGCCACACAATTCATGCTTCCAAATTCTCAGCTATCCATCAGCAAGCTATAGACCTGGTACATAAAACACCGTCGATCCTTTCCAGAGTTGGTCCCAATCGCCATATGCACTCTCGCACAGTCTCCGCCTGCCGAGCCTCAATAGTTTACTCCTGGCACTTATCGAAAGGGCCGCCTTGACGCCAATCAGTAACCTTACCAAAGGTTGTGTGGTTTCACCCCGCATCGCGCTTCCATTCGACGAGTCTATTCACGCTATAACTTGTTTCTCAAGAGAGCGTGCGGAAGGACTTGTTCTGGGAATGTCAGGTCAAAAAGAGGCCCAGAGCAACTATGTATGTTGAGGATCTTGCGGAGTACTTACGGAAATGAAGGCGCTTTTATATCTTCACTTTTATGGGCCAAAAATCGGACCTGGGATGCACGGGGATCCCTCGTTCGATTGAAGGATGACCAGATGAAACTAAAGGTTGCCGCAATTAGGGTTATTGTCAGGGTTAAGGCGCAGCTTGCCCATGAATAGAATTCGTTTCGACTGAACGCCAAGTGACAGGATTATACTTTTGATAGGACAAGGCTTTCTTGGGATGGAAAAGGGCTCCTTCAACTGCCTTTCGCTTTGTACGAATGACCCCTGTCTGCCGTGCTAGGATTTGCCATCATGTACGCCTGACAAACGATTGCTCCTCGCAGCCAATAAGCACGCCTAGATACGTAGGTAGCACTTCCGCCTTGCACAATTTATGACATCGCAAACAATGGTGACATGATCCAGATTCGCAGACTTCCCGCTCCAGGGGTATGACCCAAGCTTTTGGTACTGTGCCCATGGTGGTAACCTCGTCAATACCGAGGCAGTCGGGAATGCGGTTGTATTTTCCCGCGGGATTCCTTTCCAGAGCCCAGCGCTTCTCAGTCCAGGCGCCAAACACTCCCACCTTTCAGAACTACCGGGCTATCCTTTGCCTTTCCACTCTCAATGTCACTTGCAACAGCATAAGCAACTCTCTTAACCGTCTGCCATAGGATCTTCATCTCGCCTTAATCAATCATGGCGTCCCCCCTTTTTTTTTGTTTTTGGATTCAAGGAATAGAGCAGAGGTCAAGATGTTTTTGTGTACGCATATTTATGCGAGAGATGATAGTCGAATGCCTGCTAGGAAAATGGAGAGCACCTGGGAGGTTCAAAGTAGATTTGGGCTTCAATTCTGCTCCATTGGCTAAAATTTAAAATGTCTTGAAACGCACATACGCTTCTCTTGGATTCTGGCCTACGAAACGCATGCGCTAGTCAGTGCAGGTCGCGATACGTCACCTCACCAGGTTGCTTTTCACTTAGGATCTATGAACAGGGCATAGCAGCGGCCCGATCATCACCAGATAGAGTGGCGAGCCCTTTGACCTCAAGCCATGGTGAGAAAGGGGTTCAAGTTGTTATGTAATTTCTGTCGACCTTGGCCCATATGGCATCGTTACGATCTCTCGATCGACCCCCACCGCAAGCGTACCGCGCCCGTTCGACAGCACTCCGATCAGATCTACCTCCTTTTCACAGAGGGGACCCGAGCAGAAACGTCGGTTGGTGGAAGCTAGGATAACAGTGTCCGTATGCGCTGAAAAGAGGAAAAGAGCATGCGCCAATGCTAGCAATGACTCGTTCGTTCATGCAATACTTTCTGAGATTCTCCTGGAACGCATTGCTTGACTGGCCGTGTGACTGTGCACGGGACCATGACCAAAGTTTTAGCCAGTTCCATTGTCAAATATATCAGTCCTGGTCCCATATCTTGTTTGATGATACCAGTCCTTCTACACTGTTTATAAACGTAGTTCTAATCAGCTTCACTGATTATAATAAAAATATAATCCCAGATCATATTCTATTCATAAATATATAGTACTGGTCCGATCATATACTTGGAATATGATACACATACTTCAATTATAATATGGAACATGTATCTATTACGATGTTGAAGATATTCATGGTTTTCTGTAAGCACTGTTTCTATGTGAGTGCACTTGGCACGGTTATCAATTTGTGAATCTCGGCCGGAGAAAACTTTCAGCGGCCAACACGCATCTCAAATCCACCACGGAGGACCCTTATGACTCAATCAGAACCCCGGAACCAACCCTCATCCAAACCTAAACCTAACTCCTATTAGATTGGGCAGTCGAGCTTCGGTTCTCCTCAAGTCCAGATTTCTTGTTACGGACGCCGATATTGCTGGCCTCAAACTTCATCTTAGCCATGGGACAGTGAGGCTTGCCTGCTAGCTGCCAATTTTGTCCACCGCCTGAAACATTTGTGTTGAGCGAGAAAACATCATCTCCTTCAACCTCCTCGTTTTGTCGGCGTCCATATTCAGACTAGCTCTTTGGCTCTTGTTTGGTTTCTGTTTGGCACTGGCGAAGCTGCTTCTCGCCCTTTTTCTGGATCTGTAGCCCTGATGGTCGTTCGCCGGTCTTTTACGCGTTCGACATAAAAGCTGTTCAAGCACCTTGAAATTTTCTTCAAATTTTGTAGAACCATTCTCAGTACTTGATGTTGAACACTTTCAAATTCCGACAGGTTTGGAGGACCCGCAACAATTACCCCTTGTCCGTATATTTTTCTTCGTCTTGTCTGCGCCCAGCTTGCTTGATCAAAAACGAAGACGTTTCCCGGGGGATGGCAGTCAGGATGTCGACCACTGCTGCCCTTCCTCAAGCTTTACAATCAATCACTGCTACGAAAATCACCGAGCTCAAGAAACAGCGTGCCCTGTTCGAGTCTCGCAAATCAGCGCTTCTCAAGGAAGCCAATAGCCAAACGGACCTTCGAGAAAGGGTGAGGATCCTTCTCGAAGGTGTAACAAAGATCCAGGGTTTTCCCGGTGATGGCTTGGACACATCCGACAAAGATGATGCGGAACGTGATTGGAATGACCGTTCGTGCGATGGGTTAACCAGGAGCCGGTATCGGAACATTAGACGGTTCTTATTCCAAAGTAAATATGACTCGTCAATATCGAGCGGGACACTGTCGTCGTGGGAAGAGGAGCTGAAGCGAGACCTTGATCTCCGGAGCGTAAAGCATGAGCATGCTTTGTTCTTTAGTCAGCTGGTTACCGAATGGCTCACAAACCCTAACGACCCAGCTGCAGAGGAAGGAACTGAAGGGCAGTCCGAGCATGTTGGGAGGGAGGAGATGCATGAACAGCGGGCGGAATGGGAGTCGTTGGTGTTTGATCCAGCTCAATCTGACACAGCCGCTATTGAACGGTACCTCGAGCAGCTTTTCGCTCAAACCAGGCTATCCCAGCAGGCTCTCAAGGACCTGCGGAGTTCGGTTAAGGCCTTTTCGAAGGAGATGCTTGCAGATCAGAAAGCATTTACACCGAGTACCCTCAAATGGATCATTAGCGGGGTCATTTCGAGTGATATTTTCTCCCCTGATAAGGTAGTCATACTCAAAGGGTTTCTCGAGAATGAGGACGTTGCTCAAGAGGTTGCGGATGTGTTGAACATGCGTCTTGCTCAACTTGATACTTGGAAATGGGGCAGCGAAGTTATACCGCTTGAGATGCGACGACAGCTGAACGGAAAATACCGTGTGTATATGGACGAAGACGTTCTTGATGCACTCTTCTTGCACTACCTAGGAGTCCAATGGGGGGTGAAGTTCAAGGGCATATTTGGAACGTTTTTCAATTCGCATGCGTGGAAGCGGAACGCACCACCTATTCCGAAGCGCGACCTGGAGAGGCGGCAATATTTTCTGCATGAAAACCCTAAAGGCGACAACGATGCACAAGCGAATCTATATAAAACTAGGAGAGAAACGTTCGAGAGATCCTACTTTATGAGCCAGCTCCCGTCTACCCAAGGCCAGACTCCTACGTATGACTCCGACATTAATGGGGATCTTTCTACTTCGCCTATTGACCGGAAGCACTCCTTGCTTCATCTCCTAATTACAGAGGCCCGGGTGGCCATTACGCTACATGGGAAAATAACAGTATTAAGGTCCGACTTCAAATGGTTCGGGCCTTCCCTCCCGCATTCAACCCTGCTGACGGTCCTGAAATTTTTCCATATGCCACAGATCTGGCTCAATTTCTTTAAGACATTTCTCGAAGCACCAGTGAGGTTCGTGAATGATGGGCCTGATGCTCCAGCGCGAATAAGGAGGCGAGGTGTTCCAATGTCTCATTCATTAAGTGACTTCCTTGGAGAAGCGCTGCTTTTCTGCATGGATTATTCCGTTTCAAAATCCGCAGATGGTGCCTTCCTTTATCGCCTCCATGACGACTTTTGGTTCTGGGGCCAGGAGAAACTGTGTGTTCGTGCTTGGGGCGCTATGACTGAGTTCAGCAAAGTTATGGGGATTGAGTTTAACGAGGAGAAAACCGGGACAGCGCGATTAATTGGAAAGAACCCTCGGTCTTCCCATCAGGAAACGAGCAGTTCCGAGAGCGAAGGCGTGGATGAGGGTGGTGCTGACAACATGTCCATCACTTCCTCGGCATCAGATATCAATAACAACGCCCTTCCCGCGGGTGACTTGCGTTGGGGATTTCTCAAGCTTGATGAAGGAGAAGGTCGATTCATTATCGACCAATCACAGGTAGATGAACATGTTAAGGAGCTCAAGCACCAACTGGATGCCTGTCGAAGCATTTTTAGCTGGATAAAAGCGTGGAACAGCTATTTTGCTCGCTTCTTTGTTAACAATTTTGGAAAGCCCGCAATGTGTTTTGGACGCGAGCACATCGAAATGGCAATATCTACGCTGCAACGGATAGAGAATGAGCTCTTCATGTCACCCAGCAACGCATACGCGTCCACTCCTCGAATCCACAATGCTATAGATTATCTCAGACTTGTAATTGCTCAGCGATTCAACGTCCACAATCTCCCTGATGGCGTCTTCTACTTCCCCGTGGAGCTCGGAGGCCTAGATCTTCGTAACCCACTGATCCCTTTCCTCGCCATTCGCGAGAATATGAGAAAGACCCCGGAAAAGACTCTGGAGAAAGCCTTTATAGAAGATGAAAAAGCGTATTCAGCCGCGAAGGAACGATTTGAGAAGCATGGACCTAGCCACACTAGCGCTTTTGTTCTAAACACATATCGCCGCAGCCATGGTGGGCGCGACGGCTCCTCTTCCCCCTCGTACAAGGCACCCGAGACCTTCATGTCACTAGAAGAGTTCAACAAATACACCGAAACCACCAGCAAGAACCTCGTATTGGCATATCAGGAGTTGCTCGTCTGCCCTGAACAAATTTCTGTCAATCGGACACCAGAGCTAATGAGTGAGCAGTCTCGATTGGACGATTCGCCAGACGAAAAGTTAGCTCCAATTTCATCCAGTTGGCATTCCATGAATATGTACTGGAAGTGGGTAGCGGAGTTGTATTGCAGAGAGATGGCAAAGAGATATGGTGGGTTGGCAATTGTAGAGAAGGGAGTTGTGCCACTAGGCGTGCTGAAGGTGTTGAGGGAAGGGAAGGTGAAGTGGCAGGGTTGAAGTTCCTTACATGAGACTCAATACTTGCTGTGTACTTTGGGGGAAATGTTTGTATCATGCCTAATAACGATCTGTAAGATAAGTCCATTACTCTACTCCGTTTCGCAGTTGATTGAACTCCACTCTTTTAATTTAGCTATGGAAATTATTTTTATTTCCAAGTTCATTTCTCAAACCTACATTTTTATTTACTACACACTCTCATCATGATAGCGGACTCCGGAGAATGCCACATTCTAAGGCGAACACAACGGGAAGGAAAGAAAAAAAAAATCACTACGTTAGTCTATTTCGGAGATAGTTGCAAAGGGTTTCCATGAAATTTAAGTGGCGAAAGGTTTCCTACAACCAGAATAATAGGGGTAGGATTCCTGTGCAAGGTAGCTAGAATTCAAATTGTAGTATCAGAGAACTTCTGGCCAAGTAGAAATACATTGATGGGATATATCGGTTTGAAAATAGCGAAGGGATTGTTTGGGAAAAGTGTTTGGAAAAGTGTTTTCTGGTCAATATTGACAGTTCAAGGCCTTTCTTTTTTTAATCCCTTGAGAAGCTCATCTTCTCTGTTCAACTGGGGGTATCTCAAAATTGCTCTATTTACTTGAGCACGTGTTCGTCCCAATATGTCTTGCATCCACAGTTTATGCAATAGGTAGGAAGGGATACGGTGGTGAGCAATTTCCCTTCCCACTCAATCTTACATTTGGGGCATTTATACTTTGTTACGTTTATTGAGGAATAGTTGCTCGCCAGGAGTTTCGCGATATCCGCTGCAAAGCGTCCGCACTGTTCGAGTGTGCACAGGAACTCATCCTTTTGCAACAGCAGCTCAAAATGGTCTTTAGCCGTATTCGCAAGTATATTGTGTAGGTTCCGATCCATAGGCAGGGTGCGTGTATAGACTTCCACGATGGCAATAGGGAAGTCATTCATGTTCCAGCAAGCACGCACAGCGACCTTGAACTTTGCCTTCGCCTTCTCTTTCAATTCTGGAATGCCATAATAGTCGGCAGCAACATACACTTTGGAAGCGAAAAGCATCGGTGAAGTGCGCCCTTGACTGCTACTATCATAATCGAGCCCGTACATGAAACGGAGCATCGCTTCGATCGTTCGAGGATCATCTTCTAACTTGATAATGTCGGTTGCAGTCTCCTAGTATTTTAAACTAACGTGATCAGTACAAATGTCAGCGACAGTGAAGTGGAGATCGAGACTGACGAACCTTCCACTCTGCACTAAACATACGTGAAAAATACTCCGATTGACCAGAGAGGATGAGCTTATGGACCTTGAATTCTTCTTCCCCCGCCTGGATTGTGATATCCGTGAATTTTGAAGAATGGAATAAACTATGGATTATCAGTTTTCAAACCCCTAATTCAGATTTATTGAAATCGACCCTTACCGCTTTAAGCTTGCAGAGAGGGTGTAAGTTGTATCGTTCAGGCTCGTGATATCCGTTTTCGAAGAGAGCGTCACCGCCATGGTTCAGAATGTTTGGAGATAGTAAAGCAAAATGGAAATAGCTAGAGTCGGCTTTCAAATATTGGCTGGGAATGGTGTAAGTTAACCATACCAGAAGATCGCAGGATTTGATTTACGATGGATTTATGGTGGCATTCATCGAGTTTCAGGTGAGGTATGTACAACATATACAGAGAGCCAAGCTCTGTACAAAACATGCCATGATTAGTGTCATGATTGCCACATGCATGTGAATGATGATATCACCACAGAAATGCTAATATTGCTGTATTATAACGCAGGGCCTCTAAAGTTCCCCTACCTACCTGGGCAGATACAACTTCCCCTTCCGTGCGTTTCCGGTCAGATACGACCGGCCTATATGCGGACCTGAAATTTGAAAATGGGTTCCTTTTTTGTAAGGTGGATCATCTGCAGCCGCACATATTGAAATAAAGAAAAGTAGATTATCTGGCTAGTTTTCGGCATCATCAACAAATGATGTCAATATTTGCGTCCATATTCATCCAATATTCAATGACAATAGAGGGTCCCTTATCGAGAGCGAGCAAGATGACTTTGCAATGCAACTGGATGGCGGACATCCACGGGTAGGGAAGGACCAAACATTTTTGAAATCTCAACTGGGCAAGGGAAAACTCTTGTCACCCAGAGCAACTTACATATATCGCAACTAGTATACTTGATTTGAGGTTCTTTTGTCTTGCTGTTGGTTTGCAACACCCCGCAGTCGTAGCAGGAAAATTACACAGTGCTAAGCTATCGATTGTCAAAAGGTAGCGTTCCATTACTTATAAGGGGGTCCAAGCAAATGCGACTTCGTCATTAGATGTGGTGATGAGGGTATGGTTACTCTGAACACGCTTGATAAGGTGGATGAGGGTGCAATCGTGCTGGCGTTAAGAGATGGCAGATTCACTTCGTTTTGATGGTTTCTGGAAATTATCGTAGAATTGCTTCCGAGCGAGTTTGATGTCATTGATATGTTGTTCGTGGAAGTGCGGTTGATATACGACACTCTATGCAATGGTTCTGGGTCAGGGCCTCTTCATGAGGAATGCGTGGACCGACTGCAAGGTTGACCGTGAGGGGTTCACATCATGCTTGGACGATATCACCCAAGCGAGGCGTTGTCGAATATATTCTTTGTTAATAAAAGCACCTCGCCGAGGTCCTTCAAAGTTCCCTGTATCGTTTTGTTAGAATCGTGCAAGCATATCGAGGACGCTGACGGACAATGTAGGTACGCACCTTCCTCGTTATAAAACAGGCAGATTATCATGAGAATTGCACCGGCAGACAGGTCCTTGCCATTATCGCATGTCACAATCAATGACTGTGAAGGATCACGAGATAAATGCAAAGCAACAAACTGTTCAACCTTGTTGAGAACCTTTCGTAGCTGCCGGCTCCCAAGTTTCCCTGAAGGGCACCCAAGGTTCAAGGCTTTCGCATCTTCCTCTGTGGTAGGCTCGGTTAATGATGTATCCGTATCTCCTGCGTCTGGCGCATTGCAAGAAATCCGTAAATCGAATAGTCTTTCCTCATTTATTCCCACACCAGCTGGCTCCGAGTTGCTCCCTCGGCCACTTCTCCCAATATAGATATTATTGGTAGGCCGTATTAATATGGCATCTTCATTTCCCATCTCCCGATGATGCTTCCCGATTAATTCATCAATCACAGCCGGTAAGTCTTCCTCTCCAGTAGCGAACAGGGTAGATCTATTGTCCCAAAAGATTTTCGGAGTAAGGCCGCAGGACCACGCCTCACTATCATCTCCGGCTCCCTGGATATAGCCGCCCTCAGACATCTCCGCCCCCTGAACGCGTTTCGAGGCAGAGCAAAGAACGATGAGGTGGAAAGCATCCATTTCTTTCTCAGTATATTCGGGCCAAAGCAATTCTCTCGTAGCCCAGGTAAGTCTTATGGGCTTGCCGAGGCGTGATTGTAGTCCTTGCATGTTGAGTTTGAGGGACTTCGATTGGTGTTAGTAGCTATATATAGAAATATATCTATATTTTTCACCTCCTTCATTAAAACCAAGAGAAAAGTGGAAATAAATTTTACATTTAGTGAAATAACAAAACCGTCAATTCGCTTTTCAATCTGTGACTCTTCAGAAGCACCCAGGAAGCCTGGAGGGAATTGGACGTCGTGAAACGTTTTTTCATCCGGGAAAAGGGCCCTATTCAAGACAGCGGTCCATATAGGAACTGTTTTGGATAGTGCATCGGGCATAGCTGAGTAGGGAATATCGTGTTAGACATACAGGGCGTGTGATGAAAAGCGATTGCTTTTGCTAATGGGATACTTTTGACAGATGTATATGTACCCATACTAGGATCATCATGGACATGTCGGAAAACGTATACATACATTTGCCTCTTCTGGTGGAGTCCACGATAACACACCTAATTAATACGAAATTAGGAAAACAAATCTTAAATCCAGGTTAGAATGTAGAAGTTCAACAAGGACTAAGTTTACCCTCCATTCTCCCTTAGAATATCTAGTAACTGTAAGTTTAGCCTGCGCAAACTGAAATCCCACTGCCCTTCGTGGCCATCAGTGCTCTTGAAATAGGCACTTCCAGCCTTCCTGTCTGTGGGGATATACCAGCTACCGCATCTCTCATTGGCGACGAGCGGTAAACCATAGTGATCCGCAACGTGTTCGGCAAACTCTGAATCTTCCTCAATGGACCGTAGCCTGTTGGTGATTGACAGCGCGGACTTGCGAAGCGAGGAAAGGACTTGGGAGATACTTTGATGAGCAGAAGATGGAAAATGGAGGGATGATATGGAAGTAGGGAAAGGGCTAGGGTTGGCCATGTTAAGGATTTTATCCTTTGCGATACTCGTAGTAACTTGCTCGCATTCGCTGAACAGTTTGGCTGCTGAAATTTGTTTGGTTTGCTAACTAATCAGTGAGGTTGGAAGCAGCCAATCAAATGCCAGCAGCGGTTATGTGTTGAATTTTAGCCGTGGGGCAGCCGAATAATCTGCAATCGACGTATGAATACTACAAATTTTAAGCTCAATTTTTGTCAAAATTGGTTAATTATTTGTTTTTTTTGGAAGAACATTATATTCCATTCATTGGAAATAATAATGAATCGTATGATGACGCCCTGCAGTGATGAACCGGCTTTAACACTGCACGTGCTACAAGCCCGGGAACGAACAGAATTACTAGTGCTTTCACAAATGAAATAAACCGACCTGCAAGGTATAAATAGCAAATACGAGAATTTCCATTCTTTGGTGCCATTTCCTGTATTCCGAAGGATCCAACACGTTGCCGAAATTGCCGTAATTCGGCCAATCGCCTTGAAGCCGATTGCCGAACTTAGTGGGGGATTCAAAATTACTTGAGAGTAGCTCGGCTAACTAAAACCGGCAAACCGACCCTCCTCCCGAGATTTTCTGGTTTTCGCCTTAGTTCTCTATTCTGAAGAGAATCTTTTGGGATGCAATTATTACGTCGCACGGAGAAGCTCTGAGCAAGAAGTCGACGGCGAACCCCAGGAGTACTGACTCTCGAGTGAATACTAGTGTGCTAGTAGGAATCAAAGAATCCTCCTGGTGTCTCTCTGGCTCCCCCGGGTCCACACATTACTATCTTCTCCCCTTCCCGAAGGAATTTAAGCGCATGCCAATAATCGAACTGCTCACTTAAAGGAACCTCAATCCTATTCCCACCCCCAAGCCCTTACTCTATATTCGCATAGATTAAGACTGAGTGAGGAAAGTGATAGCTCCAAAACTCAACCTCACAGCCCGGTCGCTTTTGCAATCTCCAAAGGGCATCCAATTTTTCGGTTAAACCATAGGAAAGTGTGGGAAGAGTCAGACCTTTCCTAGCAATCTTTATACATACCGCATATCACTTTCGTGGATCTAGCGTGCGCCATTGCACAATCCGAGTAGGGAAAGCGCAGCTAGATATATAAGCTCTGGCAGGCAAAGTTGTAAACCTTCCTGCATCCGCTTTCGACCAGCAGAGCGTTTGCCCCAGATCTTGTACCGGCAACTATGCCTGGGGCTTCTTTGCTTATAAGCGCAAGGTATAACTTTCAACCGTTAAAATTGGTAAGATGTTGGCGGAATTACAATCTCGGGTGGCTTGCTAGCTGGGAAGCAACCAAAAACCAGACTTCGATTTAGTTTTGATTCAATTTACCTTTTTCCAACGTGTATATGAAGCGCTAGTGGTTTAAGACGTTCATTGGTAGACCGCATATTGATGTCATTTGTAAAAATCCTAACATTCAACCACTTATATTCCAGAGTTTACCATCCCTTCCCCTTCCATTGCATCCTTTTATTTCTTTTTATTTTCGCATTCCTCATGTTCCAAAAATTTATCGGTCATATTATTTCTCATTCAAAAAGGAACGAAAACGAAAGAAATTCAAAGCTGCCAATAGAATAACTTGCCTCTTCATTGACTTGACGTAATACTATCACTGCCATGATAAAGCCGAATCGTCCTTCCCCAAAGGAGGAGAATCCACCTGGCAAATTAACCTTCCCTGAGCTTCGTTCGAAAATATTTCGATGCTTCCAAGTCAAATTTCCCAAGTCCGACGATCGCTGCACCCATGGCCCTCAGTTGACATGCAGCCAGTGCAAATACTCATCTTTTGATGGTGGTAAATATTGCCCAAAAATGTACCAACACTCTATCACACCTGGTGAGGTGGAAAATTCCAAGAAGTCGACCCTCCACCGCTTACCCCCTGAGATCGTTCTCCTCATTGTACAACATCTCAAGCCGTTTGAATTGGAGTGTTTAAGATATGTGTGCCGGCTGTTTTATCACAATTATCCTACCACGAGGTTGCTCACGACACAGGGGAAGTTCGAACTCCAATGCCTCCTGGAGCGTGAGCCTGGGTTGAAAAAAATGGCTTGCAGGATGTGCTGGAGTAAGAGGCATGACAAATCCATGTTCTACCCGCTAGACTGGGATCAGAATCCGCATTATCGCAAGTGCAAAAGATATCGGAGAGGGTTGTTGCAATTTTGTCCTTATCAAAGTGCGAGCTTTGATGATGTGGTGCACCTCAGCAAGTCTAGTAATCGAGCTTACCAGTTTCCAAAGTGCTCCCATGACGCATTTGATATGGCTCTTGCGTTACAGGAACGTCCTTGTCTTTTTCAGGATGAAACGTGGACTATCGTCCGCTGGGGTAAATGCAAAGTGCTTACCACAACCACCCTCGTGGCGATCTATCCTTCTGCCAAAATCCCCTCTATGGCGGACGCCGAAAGAGCGTTCTTGGCCTTGGATATTCCTCTGTGCCCCCATCTCCACCTAGGTGATCCGTGTGTCATAAAACAATATAGGCCCGACCTTGTGGCTCGTCACAAGGTCTGGCCTATACATCAGTTCAACACTGTTCAAAATTGTTGCTGCTTGCATTGTCGAGGCTTCAAGTGCCGATTCTGCGACTCCAGATTCAGGTTTCGCGTGCATGTCAAGGAAGAACCCCTCACAAGCACCTGTATTGGGGTATTGATAATGCGAAATTTGGGTAAATTAAAGGACCCCAATGATCCATGTTGGCTTAGGCAACTTTCAGTCACCAAATTACCAGAGTTTAGAACCAAGTGGTCCGATAGCATTGTTGCAATGTACCTAAACTCCATTGTTGGAATTCCGCAAGGCGATGTCGAAACCACCATGTTTTCAAGGGTACTGGAAAACAAGGCTAACAGTGTTTTGAAAGAGAGGGATGGTTGGACGACGGCTCCTCTTGGTAATTTACCTGTTGGGATCAGGAACCTACACAAACCACTATGGAAGCCTCCGTTAAGCAGACAGGACAAAAAGTTCTGGCACTGGTAAGTGACCGAAAGTTTCCCCGTGCTGGCCATTCAATGGATGCTTTTGACGACATGCTAAATTAATTTCTACCGCACAAACAGGGAAGGGTATGACTCCGACAGATATCTCGCCGACAAAGAATTTTTTATGTAAATGTGGCACAAGCGTGTCCTCGATCTAAAATAAAATAACGTGAGCTAGCACCGAATTCGACATCAAAAAAGCTGATACAAAAGGATACACGACCTTTTTGTCGCTAAGCACCCGTAGGGTTACGCACCCTACCCCAGACGGCTAAGCTAGGGGAGTTCAGGGGCAGGAGAACGTCGGTCCGTGGCAAATGGGTAAACCTTCTAAAAACCTTTTGTTAAACATGTTAAGATGGGTTGGCCCCGTCTTAAGGATTGATCCTTTTTTGTGCACGTGACCCCCGAATGAGAAGCAATGACATCATGTCCTAACTGTAAGATTGCGCTTACGCAGCGTATTATTTTAGTGTGGGAAGTTATCGCCGTATTATCTCTTAAAACAACGTCGTTGTAATGTGGAATATAATAATTGCATCTCAATCATTGGTTTGGGGGGTTAACAGTTGGCGTCAGTTGTCCTTGTACCCAAACGTTGGGCAGCTGCCCGTAAATGATGTACAGCGGGGTATTTTATCAATTGTGGGGCTTTTCGAGCGACGTGTTCAATTGCAGAACATCTTCCTATTGGCACTTTGAGAATGTATCCTTTTCGTCCTCATATCCAGCCGATCATGTTGGGTGACTGGAACAGGGTGATCAAGAATTGAAAGCGCTTAAGCGACACATTCATGGGTGTCGCTGTCACTTCCAAGAGGTCTTCCACAAAGATGTCGTCAAACGTTGGGTAGCAGTCGCATTTCGAAAATCAATACACTCCTGCATATGCATGTGTTTTGTGGCCCCATCCGTGTAGGGGGTGTCGTGTTTGCTGTTAGGGCTCAGGCTTGTTAACGGGCGAGAAACCTGAAGAGTCAGAAGAAAGGGGGAAAAAATGGTGCGGCGGCCTCGTCCAAGTCTAATCTCATCGCCGAATGCGGCCTGAGCCAAAAAATTTCGTTGTCCCCGTTTTCGTCTTGCAGTAATATCAAAAGTAGGTCCTTTTCAGAACCAGTTGTAATTGTTTTCATTGACTCTTTCTCCCTTTTTTCATGTCTCCACACCACTCTCCCCTATGCTTTCTTCTATGATTTTCATGAAAAAGGGGCATAGAAGCAAAGGAAAAGGTAGGAATGAGGGGCCGTGGTTCTCAGTTCTGGATCCACACGCCAACGATAGGCTGCGGCTAGTGGGCTAGCAGCATTGAGCTCGCCGCATCTTGTTCTCATCGAGCGTAGCGCCTATAGATCATTTGGTGCGAAGGTTGCTGGTGGGTTCGTTCGATTCGGCCAGAACCAGGTCAAAATGGCTTGTCACTCCTTGATGAACTAGCTGGAGGCGGGGCCGGAGGTGGATGCTCCCTCTGTTCAGCACAGGGACTACCTATCAATTGCTCCAAGGTGGGTCAGTCATGAGTCTTGTAACGATATTCTGTGACTTGAGGCAGAACTCAGGAAGATTTCGTATCATCCAGGGTACTAAAAACGGCAGATGCTGAACAAAAATTTGCCCCTCATGATAAAATCATAGGCTCCGCTTTGCTCCGCTTGATCTCCAATGTGATGGTGATGATACCAGTTGTCCGACTGCAAAGCAAGAAAATATAAGGATCCACTGGCCACTGAACTCGACAGTAACTCATTGCCTGGTGAAACGGTTCAATAATCACTGTCCTGGTGAATAAACTTTTGTAATTCCCTAGGTACCACTTTGTTGTCCTCTGGTTCTCTTGGCCAATCCTGATTCCTCTGATATAAAAAATCCCCAACCCCACCAAACAAACATCCATTTTCAACAAACAAATATTGACCCCCCACCAACACTCCTCCCACCTACATCAGGATTCTCTATTTGCATTCCGAAGAATATCCCTTTCGTAGTAAACTATCTCAACTACGCCACAATGCCTAAGGTAAGGTTTTCCACGCATTCTCCATCATCTGCGCTGCTGGATGAAGGGTGGATCCCCGCACCCTGTGCCCTTATTCGCTTTGGTTGTTCAATAGTTGTCCACGGATGCTGACTATAGATCCTTTTCTAGATCACAACCCTCCTGTTTGACTGCGACAATACGCTTGTCCTCTCGGAGGAACTCGCTTTCGAAGCATGTGCAGACATCGCCAACGAGATCCTCGAAAAGCACGGCATTCCTGACCGCTACACCGGTTCCCAGCTTATCACCGACTTTGTTGGTCAGAATTTCCGTGGTATGATGGTGGCCCTGCAGGCCAAGTTCAACTTCAATCTCTCTCAACCTGAGCTTGAAGCATACGTCAAGGAGGAGGAGGACCGTGTCATAGCCAAGCTAGAGGCCAAGGCACAACCCTGTGAAGGATCCACTGAGGAGCTAGCCAAGCTCTTCGCTTCGAAGAAATACGACATGGCTGTGGTTTCGTCCTCTGCTCTCCGCCGTGTGAAGGCTTCTATCAAGAAGGTCGACCAGGAACGGTATTTCAAACCGGAACACATCTTCAGCGCGGCTACCTCCCTCCCTGTGCCGACCACAAAACCTGACCCAGCAATCTACCTGCACTCCCTCAAGGTTCTCAATAAGACCCCTAGTGAGTGCATTGCTGTGGAGGACAGCAAAAGCGGCACGCTGAGTGCCATTCGCTCCGAAATCCCCGTCATCGCCTACGTGGGCTGTTACCACGGAAAGGCTCAACAGGATGCGGTTGCAAATACTCTGTTGGGCCTGGGCGCTAAGGTTGTTATGAGGCATTGGTCTGAATTCGAGAAATGCATCGCCGAGATTGAGGCGTTGTGATCAATGCCAAATAATATTTCAATTCAGCCAATCGCTGTAATTCAAATCCTTTTCATTTATCATTGGCCCAATTTCATTATTTTTTGCCATTGCTTCGTTTTTTCTTCTTCTTTGATATGTTTCGTCCAGGCAATGAATCTACGAGGGAGCTACACCTGAGGGAATTGGTCGTCTGGAGCGAAATTTGCACGTTTTGTTCCAATGTTCTTTTTCTTTTAATTTTAGCCACAAATCTTTCCCCCCCTTTTTCCAGCCTGGGCTGTTCCGCTTACAACGTTAGACAGACCGCATATAACGTTCCGAAGACGATAGCTAGATATTTCTCTTGATTTTTCTTGCCTTTTCTTATCACGCAAAGATCTGGGCCTTTCCGCGAACAAAAATACTTTCATGAACTAACCACTCCATGCCGCTCTCCCTTGGCATCATAGATAGACAGGCATACACACATGGGACATGAATGATAGTGATTGCAAAATAAAATAAAAGATTTTTTTTCCCCTCCAAGAATTTTGTTATATTATGATGAGTTCGGGCTCTACGCCTAGTCTTCTTATTTCATTGCCTCATTCACAGCTCTTTATTCTAGTTTCCCATTCATAGCAATTGGTATCACGCCGTCAGTGTCCCAAAGGATATCTTAACATTTGCGTTTAATAAATTAACGAACATGGCACAGCATTTCTTTTCTCCTTCGTAGATCCAGTTCTCCATGTTTGGCAACACGCAACAGAAATAATGTGATTGTGCCGTCAGAAACAACGAAAATAGAAGAACCGAAGGTCAAACTGCTTTTTGCTTTCCCTACTGTACATGGAGAGCAATAGAAAAAAAGCTAAACTGAAATTTAGTCTATTCTGATGGTTATGAAATTGCAAAATGTTGATGTCAGACTGGGAGTCAAGCTCGGTGTTTGCTCGTGAAGCCACTGAGACGCCCACATACAGCACACAAATAGCTCTCGCAAATGGAATCAAGATCAAGCTTACATGCATCATCCAAGGGCACTAAGAGAACACACTGGGGGAAAAAAAATGGAAAAAGAAATATATATAAAGATCCTTTCATCCCGCTCTCCCAACATCAATCCCAAACCTCTCATTTACATACGCGGCCCTCTCGTCCGTCCACTTCCACCATCCCAACCCAAACAACAACCCCTGCCCATCAAACACACTCCTCAACTCAGAATCCCCCATCCTCTCAGCCCCAGACGGCAATAATTTCCCGCCACTCTCACACAGCTCGCTGCCCGCCAACAAACTCATCGTCCCGGCAATTGAACACGGGTTGTGCGGGAGGGTTTCACGCAGCCGCATCGTAAACACAGCCAGACACCCCAAAATAACCATGACGGCTAGTATGAGCTGGAGAGCGAGTTTGGGGCCGAAATTGGATTTTAGCCGAGGTGTTGCGATGTGTAGCGTGCCTGTAAAGTTCTGCCGAGAGGGTGGGTTGAGAGCGGAACTGGCATCGCTATCGTTATCACGATCGTGATTGTTGTTGTTATTTCCAGCAACTTGCCGTCGCCACGATTGTTTCGTTTCGGGGGTACCCATTGGTTTGCGTAACGTAAGATTGATAACCTGCGCCATGTAAAGTCTGTAGTAATGGTTAACGACATCGAGGAGCTTATTTGCGTTTTCTGCGCCCATTAATAACTCGGGAGAGGTGTCACCGTGTGATCCATGTATGATCTCGTGGAAGATATCGATTGTCTCAGGACCGGGAGGCTGACCTTTCTGCGATGTACTTTTACTGTGAGTTTCCAGCGACGGTCGAAGAAGTTTTTGCACGCGAAAGGAGAACGAAGAAAACCCGTTTGTGCCGTTGGTTAGCAGCTCTATCGGTCGTGTATTATTATATTTAGGTGGATTTGTATGATCGACGAAGCCTAAATTTGGATCTCCAGCGAATGTAACCTCGGTGGGGATTTTCTGGATTTCTTGATTGCAGATTGCAGCCGTTATATTGGTCAACGACGTGTGGTTGGCACGCATATAGCCAAATGCGATGCCGATAGATGGGCAACCAATTGGGTTGTCTTGCCTTTCCCATATATCTACTAGATGAGCGGGATCCAGCGGTGGAAGGTATAAATCGAATAGAGAACCAACGTAGCCTCCGCCTGTTGAGAACCCGTCAACTTCCAGATAGGTAAGATTAAACTCCGCAATAGTCACATTTTCAGGTAGGGTGGCAAGACAGCTGGGCGGCAGCTTTGCGCGCACGGCTGCTGTGGTAACTGTTTGGAAGGTCCCTTGATGTGGCCCTGGCCCATAAGAATTGGCCAACGAGATATCGTCTGCTGTGAGGAGTCTGCAATTCAATGAGGGCCTCAATGCTGGAAGAGTGAACGTATAAGTAATCGGACTCTTGGGTACGTATTCGTCCCGATCCACGAGCCCAAGGCGAGCATTCGGTGCATCAACGTGGATTTTTGGCAATATAAACTCATTCCACGTCCACGGCGGTGTGGTCAGGTTGTGATGTCGAAGGAGTCTTAAGACTAAACCAGCATTTCCATCATTGGAACTGTAGTTTCTCAATGCCATATTCCAATTGTCTGTTCTGTAAGCAACCGCAGAATGCGATTGAAGGACTGATAGGTCTATATTCCATAAACCGGAAATAACAATAGTTAAAAAACTGGCCGCAAATGCTGCAATTGTCGATGATATTGCGCCGATATGGTTTCCTCGCACTGCATCCCAAAGAGCAACCAGAGGGATTTTTCCAAGAAGGTGCGTTACGATGCTGCGTCCTGCTGTCACGTTGCCTTTGCGAAGAGCCTCGAATGGTGCGAACATGGCAACGGTAAAGTCCAGGTTATTATAAAATGTTGCAATGACAACAGCCACGACAGCACAAAGGTACTGTGGAACATATTTCCATTTTGCCGAATGTATGGTCATCAATCCTTCATTACTATTTGAAAACTGTTGCATTATCTCAAGCGCCGAAATAGCAAGCATCGGCATAATAAATGTCAGGACGAGCATAGGCCTCCTTGCAGCGAGAGGCTTCCAGAATCCACTCGCTTCGACAACGTGATCATCGATAGAAGTGATGCTTTCTCTCAGGTCATAACGAGCAGTGATCCTGAACGATCGGTAAGTAGAAGTTCTGAATGTATAATTTCGAAGTTTGTCTCCGATACCACGACCCGAAAGATGACCAGCATCCTGTAGCAGTGGCTGAAGCTCATTGCTTCCGGCAAGAATCGTAGCTTGTGCTGCAATTGAGCCAGGATCTCGTGACGCAAACTCAGACGGCCGCGTGAAGAGTATAATTACCGTTAAGACCGACAAAATAACGAAACTTGCAAGCATTACCCAGAGCGAATTAATTGTCACGTGCAAGCGGTCCTCAATATAGACGACCTTTCCAGTAATATCCTCAGATATTGGAACGAGTAGATTTTGTTGCGCAAATTGGGATGCGATGCCACCGTAAACTCTTTGGAATGCTTTGTTCATGATCTCGCCGTCAAGAAACTTCTCCAACGTAGCTCCTCCTTTTGAGCTTTTAACCATCAGTTGAAATAGCGTGTTTACTCCATCATTTGAAGGTAAGGTTTCAGGTTGCGGATTGATAGGACGGAAAAGAAGAGCGCCTGCTTTTAAGGACTGAAAAACTGCCCCACTGAGTACCGAACTTGATATTCCATCTAAATTCACTATACTCGGATGTTCGTTGGGGTTTTGCAGTTGAATTCGAGGTATCCCCGAATCATAGTGTTCGTAAGTCAGATTCCTTCGCATGATAGTATATTGCGGTTTGCACAAAATTGCAGTTACCTGGTTCACATCCCGAGTCCAATGTGAAATATTCAGCCGCGGAGTAGAGCTAGGGGTAAATTTTTGGGAGTAACGGATGTCCGAAACGGTGAGTAACCAACGAAAATCGCCATTTTCATCATCAAATAGTGCAGAAGACTGACTTTGGGGATATCTCTCGGTGCAATTGACCCGTTGCATCTCGGCCGTTAGTTCACGTGGTTCGCATAGTTCTGTTCTTGGGTTCTTCATGTGCACGTAGACTTTAGTATAATTGTTGAACCCGAGGCGACATGTGGTCGACTTTATATCCAGGTGCACGACACCACCGCTAGTCACGTTCGAAAACTCATGAAGCGCAGCAGTTGACTGGATTGAGGTGTCGGTCAGCTCACAGATCGGGAGTGGGACTAAGACGTCTACATCAGTAGACATGCTCGTCACATGCTTCATTGCGGAATGGTTCTCGCGCAAATCAAATGTCTGATAAGCGAAACCATCCTTTGTTCCAGTGGGATCAGACATTCCAGCCGCCGAGACACCAAAATATGCATAGATTGAATCTGGAGTAGAAGAGCTTAAGAATTCTTGATGAGAAGCAAGAGCCTTTCCGGCCCAATCTCTCCCGTCGAGCTTTGTCTTCATGGTGAGTGGATAAGATATGTCGACCAGGGTAGTAGGTGTTGAGACTAAAAGTCCGGTAGAAAAAACCAGAGAAAGCTTTAACAAGAAAAATCCAAAAACCGAAGAGGCCACGGAATGATGACCTGACTTTATAGCTTTGAAGAAGGAGGTCACTCGGAAATCAGAGACGTAATCAAGAACCATACTTCTCGGTGCACTTGCGAGGCCCTTGTTCATCTCATGCCAGGGGTATGCGGCCTTGCAATGATAGTCCACTTGTCGCCAAAGACCACCCACAATAATCAAAACTGCAGCAGGCGCAAATCTCCAAACATAGTGATTAGAAGTCAGGATAATTTCCAGCCCATTATTACGCTTCACGAAAAGCCAAAGGACAAGGAGCGCAATCCAAAGCAAAGTAAAAAGGATGATGAATCCAAACAGTGTCGTTTTCCTGAGCCAAAACGGGGTCCAGAGAGATGCGTCATTCCCATGATGAAATGCTCTAGAGCTGGGTCGTTTTGAGAATATCTTCGGGGACGTTATTCGATCGGTGAATAGCAGAGCGTCATCAGTCAGCGCGGGTATAGGCACCGGCATGGGTACGGGTGAGGTTGTGGGTGTGGCTATGGGCGACGGCACGAAATCGTTCAACCTGGGCATGCGACGTGCTTCGTCTTGGCTAAGCACAGATTCCCACAATTCATCGCCGTCGGGATGTGAGAGAGGGGAAGGTCGCAGCGGCGTCAGTTCATAATCAGTCCTTTGCTGTTCAAAACGTTCCCCAACAGCTCTATCCCCATCGAAACGCATTTCGCCGCAAAACATGAACTGTGCGACAGCTTTTCTTCGAATAATTAGGTGATCGCCAACCGAAGTGCTTAGAGCAGCGCACTGGCTGGATGACAAGTAGTTATTTCTGATATATTCGATGTAGGATGAGGGACCATGATGGGTTCGTATCGGAAAAGCCCTCCGCTTTTCTATGGAGGGTGTGATTGCGATACACGATAGATCTCAGGTGTCAGAGAGGATGGAGCTTCAACAAATGGAATAAAAGCCAGCTGGATTGAGTATTATTCCCCTGGCCACAGCACGCCTCTTGCGCATGTTCATCTTTCCTTTTGGTTGATAGCACCTGGAAACTGGCTGCTACGGCACATCCTGGCAACTGGGTCAACTGTGATATCCAACTCAAGACTGAGTGGTCTCGGGGGGCTGGAAAAATATAAATCATCTCAGGCCAAGGACGCATAGGCAGCCCTGGGCGCTTTGCCATCCACGTCTTCCTGGGACCAATCCCTCCCTGCGCTGGGCGAATCTGAAGTTACTCAGTCACGACATTGGTGCGTTGGCCAATGAGACGGCACGGGACAGTAACAGTGGCTGGATTCCAAGCAAATCCCAGGCAAGGCTTGGACGTAGGATGCATAATTTGGGTCATGTTCTGCATTTTTTTCTCATATAGAGGAAGATCGCAGAACAAACGGCGCGTCGGTTCTGCGGCTCTTCGCGTATAACTCTTTGCGAAGCGGTAACTCGGTGAGAGCATGCCGTTCTTTGCCTGTGTGCAGGAGGTGTTGAAAGAGTACTCCGTACGATGTGCAGGATCTTCGTGGTGGTGTTGCGGCTAAAATAGGGGCTGGCTTTTTTGTGAGGCTCTGGTTGGCTTCCGGGCACCGTTTGGTTCCCAAGCGCGGGCCGTGGGAAGTGCTTGGCGCAACGTTGACAATTCGATGCTCGAGGCCTTCAGGTTTCCAACAGTTCGCTCTCCAGATTATAATCCAAGTCGCGATTGCCTGCTCAAACCAAGGGAGAGACAGTACCGGCCGAACCCATCGCCGCCAAGTTATTCAAAATGAAGCTTCTTTCGAGGGAGCCCCTGGTATGTTGACCTCGGATTGTATGCGTGTACTTTGCTAGGCCATAAGTATTGGCAACACCCACTTTTCTGCCACCAAAAGGCACCATGATTGTGGCGGGGGTTGTCAATATTTATGGCCTGGCACTGTATGTCCTGCACCGTTCAACTTGAATTTATACCTTCTTGTGTTGCTCTGTTTAAAGATACTTTTCAGCTCTCAACCCTGAGGGCCGTCGACAAAGATTGACAGGATATTACTATAATCTATCCCCAATGATCCTCGTTGCTTCTATTCATGAATTTTCATCTGCCCTCGGTTGTTTTCTTCAACTTGCGCATGATTAATAAAAACGGTTAAATAATTCCCACAGTGTGTTGGTGGTGCATACATTGACATGCCTCGTCCCTACAGATCCCAGCAGAGGCAAGATGGGTTCGCCTGATTAAGTCGACATACACGGATCCCGAGGGGGTGACGAGGACATGGGAGTCTGCTGAACGACAGGTACGAAGAATATGTTCCGCTGGCGTTCACTTTTCCAATGTCATGTTATTTTGCTTTGATTGATTTTTCCTATTTTATCTTTATTTCTTTATTCAAAGGAAATCGAACCATTCTGCCTCTGCCTATGTATGTACTGTACTTCTTGGTCCTATTATGTTCCCCGAGGATTTGCCTATGTTTAGGAACATAGTGAGAAAATCCGGCATAGGGTAGTAGGGGATATTGCATTGTTATTACCTGGCAAACGAAACAGGATCATTCGATCTTCTTGTTAACACCTTTTCCTATCGAGTTTTCAGACTAGGCCTAAAAACTGCCCGATTGATGGCGTCGGCATTGTCACGATACTATCCAAGCCCTCGGGCCCAGAACTGCTGCTGCAAAAGCAATACAGGCCTCCGGTTGACATGGTAGTCATTGAAGTGCCTGCCGGTCTTATTGATGAGGGCGAAACGCCTGAGGAATGCGCTGTGAGGGAACTTAAAGAGGAGACGGGGTATGTAGGCGTTGCGGAAGAGAGGAGCCCAATTATGTATAATGGTAGGCAAATTTGATCTGCAACTTCCCCCTTCATAAATCCCCTCCCCCCCGCTTCCTCTAGGCATCTCTACAGCACATATCCAAACCTGCGATAATATTTTCATGCCCCCTCTCTACCCGCTCTTGAAATTAACAATGCCCTCTCACATATAACCCCCCTCTAGACCCTGGTTTCTGTAACACCAACCTCAACATGATCCACGTCCGCGTCGACATGACTCTCCCGGAAAACCAAAACCCACAGCCCCAGCTCGAAGAGAACGAGTTCATCGAGTGCTTCAGCATCCCGCTAGCAACTCTGTATGAGGAATTGAAACGCCTGGAAGCGGAAGGGTATGCGATTGATGCTAGGGTAGGGACGTTGGCGGAGGGTATCGAGTTTGGGAAGAAGTTGGGATAGAATGAAACGTATTCACCATTTTTCATTTTTGTCCATTGAAACTCCTGTCCAATTATTTTGGGGTTTGGGGATATTACCCACATACTAGTATGTATGCATTGGGCATTTATTGTGTTTTTTTCCCGATGCGTGAAACCACAAAACCTTCCGATGCACGATTTTGCAGAGCCGCCGTTGGCCTGCTTTTCTATTTCATCTTCTCAAAATGCAAAGTATCCATATAAATGATACATAGATAATGACATTTCGATACTAGAGAGTTCTGGTCTAAAGAGCTTCGCTAAGTGTGTATTATTTACTTTAGCTGCCAACCACCAATGTGATTTCTAAGTGACAGACTGTTAGCAAAAAATCATATGATAAAAGCTAGATCTCCTTTGCCCTGCAAAATATAGCGATGACCAGCAGTACATGCTTGTACATGTAGATGGACCCTCTTTGGGAGAGAAACAGCCCATCCCCACCTGCTTGTGCACCACTTACAACATTCCCTCCTCCTTCAGCCCCCAATACAACGCCCAAGCTGCCAACATCTTCCCATCCCGCCACGCCTCCTTCCACACCTCTTCCAACCTTACAATCTTCAACGTAATCTTCTCCCCATCTTTTCTCAACCCCGTCAGTTTCCCCTGTAACTCCTCAATTTCCTTCCTAGGTATGCGTTTCTGACATAAGAAGAGTGGTATGAATTCATCGCATCCGCCTGGTGACGGGTATACACCTGTCTGTAACCTTTCTCCATTTCCATTGGTATCTCTTCTTCCTTCGTTTGCTCCTTCGTCACCTTCCGTTTCTTCACCTGCTTTTTGCTTTCGCCCACTATTCGGCAAGCTATTGACGAGTGCGGTTAGATCTATAAGTTCGTTCTCTGGTATAATTAGGCCAGTTTCCTCCTGTATTTCTTTCGCCGCACCGCCGGCGAATGTGCCGCTGTCATCAAGCATCCCTGCTGGTATTTCGGGGAAGGCAAGGGAGCCGGCTGGGATACGGGGCTGGATGGTGAGGATGGCATATTTATCGGCTTCAGAGTTTTGGGGGGTATCGCTTGGTTGGAGGATTAGCTACGTATGAACGAGTAGGTTTCGGGTTAGTTTCAATGAGAAAAATGATTGATAAGTAGAGCATATCAATGGAGTAAATTTGAATTATGAATATAATATGCCATATCACACCTCCAAGTTATCATGTGCACATTGTCGTTGATCAAAACCTCTCTGGCTCCAAAAGAAATGGTTGAAGAGCATCGTCGAAGGCCGTCAAGCACTCACCAACACCCCAACGCTCCCACCTCTCAAAAAGACACTTCCTGGTAGCTTCTCGCCATTATTGTTGGAAACATCAGCCTTCAATTTCACGAATCCCAAACGATTGCCGCCAAAGAAGTCCGCCGCCTGTATCTGTATACTGCGCAAGATGTAGGGAGCTGCATGGAATTCATGGGACGGATCAGCTTGTCTGGAAAGCGAGTGTTGTAATGTCGACAACCAGACTTTGAAGGCCGGGAAAGTAAGTAATTGGTCCTGCGAAAGATTGGGCGTTAGGCTAACGAGCAACTGTGGGGTGCTGTTTGGCAGAATGAAGGTCGACATCATCCTCTTGGGGAAGCTAGTTAGGATATGGATGGTTCGTATGAACCTTGTCATGAGAGGAGGAGAAACGAGGTTAGATTGCATAAACATGAACCACCAAGATTTTCCTGTATCAGAAGAGTTGCAGCTGTTTTCCTAATGATATCATTTCTGAAAAAAACTCAAGTCTGTGAGCATGATGTGCATGATAAAACGGAATACGCAAATTTGAATCCTTGCCTAAATTTAAATTAGATCTACATCCTAGACAGATGTTAAATATGCGGGTAGTTAGTGACACAAAGTGGAGCAACTGAAATGCTGCACGGTTGTCGGAGATAAGATTTTGTAGCTCGTATTCGCCTCTCACGTCTTGAAATCTGAGCACTGCGCCGTTCGTAGAATCGAGCTCCTTTCCTTATAAATACTCCCTTTTTATCATGTAATTATCAGTTATCATAGTCAATTCAATATTCTTTCGATATCCAGTATTTGGGTCAATATTCGGACATTCTATCGTTCCGACAACGGTCTATTCCATGACCAAGGACCACCTAGAACTTGATTTGCCTTGGACCAGCTGTTTCAAACACTATCCCTTCCTCCCAAAACTGCTCTCGGCCCAACATTTGCAGCACGTCAATGATCATGAACCGGGACCATCCAGCGGAAGTGTCATCTGAGTTTGGCGAGAAGCTGGCTCATATTTCTATCGCCCGTCCTACCACTGCAGCTTGCGAGTAAACACCATTCTGACCGGAACAATTAAAGTTTCAAGTTTCACCACTGGAGTTTTCAACATATGCTCTTCTGTCACGTTTGGAGATGGTTCGGTGAGGTTTCTTGGTGCCCTGATTTCCCCCCATTCTGCGTTGGAGCCGAGTTCGCTCAGAAACGACTCTCGATGAGGTTGTTGTGACGAACCTTTCCCACTACACCTGGTTCCTTGCCCACAACGTTTGTTAAAGGCACCTTGCTATCCAAATAACTCAACGACCTTTCTATGTCGATTGACTTGAAAAGCGCCTACCGGGGTATAGCTGAAGCGGTGCCGGAACGCTCGAAGGCAACCTTCCCGACCATTTGTGCAATGCAACGCAAAATGGAGAAATAGTGATAAGCGACCTCGGTATGGATGAGCTCATGGGCATTGGAAATCTTCCTGCTACTCCATTAATATATATATATGAAAATAGGCGTCTTTCAACAACAGTCAACTACTTTTGGGTTCTATAAACTAGTTCTCTAGCAGCTTCTTCATTTGCAAACCAGCACAATGACGCTGTGGAAAACAAACAGGGTGCTTAGAAAAAAATACTAAATGATGTCCTTCTAAAGAAAATAAAAGAGAGAGTTGGATAAATACAGATAGAGATAAAAGCAGAGCATTCAAGATGGAACTGGGTTCCTTTCCACCTCTATTCTGATGATATTTAGCCATCAAATGTCATTCATTCTTCTGGCTCAGATCTTGTAATCATTGGGATTATTGACTGAGAAGTTACCTATTATGACACCTGTGAGGTTTACCTGCATGGAACCCTAGTTGATTCCATTTGAAAGATGAAAAGAATGGATGTCGGATGTGAATGCCTTAAATACTGATAAGAAAACTGATATACACCCAAGCTCCAAATATATCTTGAGGTCCCCTAATATTGTGAGGACGAGCAGGTGCAGAATGAGAGCCGACAGGTTCACAATATTCATCAGAGATCGTCTGGTGAGAAATACTTTGAGTGTCTGAGCCTCTAGCTGCCTCCCAACCTTGTACTTGTTCACCTTGTTCACTTATCACACGATCTGTCAGTTTTCGGCTCCCTTGCCCTCCTTTTCCATCTCCTCCTTGGGTAGCATTCTGGATGAGCTGGATCATGGTGTATGCACCATGCAAGGGAACAACTGTGTGGACATCCGGGATGTCTATTCCAGTGCCTGAGTCCGAAATGCAGACAGTGGCTTTAAGCTGGCGACTTCGAAGTTGATTGATCAGCCTTTCTTTGTCCTGTGCTACTATGTCACGATCATAGAAACGTATCTCAGCGTCGGAAACCATGATTGCCCTTTTTCACAAAATTCGGATTGACGCAAGGGACACCGATGAACAAACTTTTGACTCGACAGCCGTTCGCATTCCGGACATCTACGCCGCCTCGCCTCCTGTCACCGAGTGCGCCTTGTCCCCTAAGGCCTCGTTGGCTTCATGATTCGTCCCAACACCCAAAACACCAACACTCCTCTTGGCTCCAGGTTGTTCAGGATCCAGACTGTCGCACATCACTTTTCTGTGCTTCGTCACTTCTCTATCTTCTTAAAGACTAAGCGTTCGATAAGCAGTTCAACGGGCGCTTTGGCCCTTGTTCTGATTTGTTATATAATCCCTGTTACTGTAAGTTAACCGGCCATATATATTGTGATTCAACCTGCATATGTACGTACTTATGACCTAGAAAGGATATGTGATAACGCTCGTTCAACCACTCGTGTTTTGCTTCTCCATCTTTTCCCTGCGACGGACGTGGAAGCTGCTGGTATAAATACGGCCTGCTCGACACAGAAACTCGCATTAAAAGTATCGTCTCTCTTCTAGCCGATATCGTGAGGTATGCCAACGGCCAACGTTTCTATATCATTACCCATAATACGAAAAATCCCAAACAATTCCTGCTAAGATATATAACAAATATTATTGATTATCGATCGCTCTACGAACTTCAAGTCTGTTGAACCAGGTCTGAGTAAATACCCTTACTTTTCAATCACGGACAGTCTATAGGTCTCTAGGCAAGACAGTGCTCATTGATTCATTAATTCAGATATCAACATGGCTTTCTGTCTCGCACCCGAACAATTCGACTTCTCTAGCGTTTATACCGAGTGCTGCAGATTAGGCTGTAAAAATCAGGTCAAGCGTGGAGAGGTGTGCAGCTGCGGTATGCAGAACTAGATCTGAGTGGGATCATGGTCCTTTTATTCTTTGATTTGGTTCATGTTGTGAATGGAAATCTTCGATCTTGTGATACCGTATCCATCCGACAGGGACGGGATGTTATCGTGGGCAGCCTTGCATTTAGGCTATTACATTCTTTCGCTTTGAGAGATAAAGAGTTTGTGTAGCTAATCCTCTCTAAGCTTTTGTGTTATTATTGTGAAGCATTTTCACTATTTTACTCTGTGAGAACATTCTTTGAATTCAGATAATCAAAAGGTTTTTGTTGATCATAGCGAGCAGTAGAAGCATGTAGGGGTCGCGACACCTGTCAACAATTTCTGACAAAGTAATTAAATTAATACAAGTCGGCAGCCGTGGGATACGCGAATATGACATTCCTAACTATGAAGAGCGATATAAGGCTACAGGCTGGCGCGCAACTTGTGGTGGTGCAACAACTGACCACGTGAAACGTGCATGAGACCGCAAAATACAGCCTTTGTTAATATAAGGCAGGGCAAGTTGCTTCACCACCAGTTTTCTAACCTACTGCATTCCCTTCACATCAATTTTGAGGTTTCAGCTGTTCTCATTCCAAGCTGAGCTCACATATCTTGTAAGCTCGTGAAAAATCCGTCTATACCATGTCTTGCACTGATTATATTCTGGAAGACGACGATGCATTTGCTGGATACAGGTGGTCCTACTTCTCATCGAACGGAGAAGGTCCACTACACTTACGAGCCCAAAAATTCCTTGAGTCCACGGATTGGGGTTCGCTTATCGAATACGCGGCTGCAGAACGGAATGGGATGAAATGCGGATTGCTACCCGACATTGGCCTTGGCTACAACCATATGGTCCGCATTGTGGAATTTGCAGATCAGGTGCGGTGGGTGGCAAGACTCCGGCTACCAGATCTTTCCCAGGCGAGAGACAGCCTAAGTAGTGCAAGAAGCGTTACGGAGTACAACACAATTCAACTGGTTCAGAAGGAAACCAAGATTCCGGTCCCACAAGTCCATGCTTTTGAAGGCGACCCCTACTCTAGGGTCAAAACACAGTTTATGCTGATGGACTGCCTGAGAGGTAACGTGGGAATGGATCTTAATATGGAGATTCCTTCTGAACACAAAACGTCCGTCTTTACTAGGCTGGCAGATATCCACGTACGCTGTGTCAACTTCCTAAATTCTGTGTGAAACGCTATTCTGATGTATTTTTTAAAATCTTAGATTGAAATGTCGACAATACAGCTGCCCAAAATTGGGACAATTGCTGGTATAAATGATGATGGCTCGTATCGTCAAGGCCCTATACCAGGTCTGGGCGGCCCTTTCGAAACAGCTGCCGAATTTTTCAGGGCATGGTCTGCTAAAGTTGAATTTGGTCTATCGCAGGATCAACTGAAAGAAGCCGCCGGCTCATTCGCTGATGAGCTGTCAGCCTCCGCCTCGTCCTTCAAGCAATTGGTCAACGATTTAGCAGGAGGATTATCCATCCGTAACGGCGGTCCATTCCCATTATGCCACGGTGATTTCGGTCATAACAACATAATTTTTGACGACAAATACCGCTTGCTTGGTGTTATTGACTGGGAAGGGGCATTCGCGGGCCCGTGGGAGATATCAGGCGAATTCCCATTGACCCTGTCTATAATCCCGCCTGTTATGGATGTACCATGGAATTACGATGAGAATGGTCTTCCAAAGGACGCAAAGGATAGGCAGCGACTTGTGGATAGGGAGGAGTACATTGCAATGGTAGCAGGTGGAGAGAGACGACGGGGGCTGGTAGAGGGATATAGCTTATCATTGGCGTTACGGGATACTAAACGGCAGTATTTAGCATCTGCCATGAGACTGTACCAAAGAGGTAAGCCAGGGTGGTACTCAAAAGTGATGGAATGTTTTGCATCACTTTCTGAGGTGGCGGATGAATAATGTTAGCCAGGCCCTGATTACCGATTTCCATCGATGTAACTGGATCAGCGACTGATGTATATGTGACCTGGGTCTGTAAAGAGACTATCGTACAGGACCGGAGAAGATGAGTTAAAACGGGTGCGCGTTGTTTGAATTACAACTACATACCGGAAGGACTACTATGTACGGAGTAAGTTGTGCATTGCCAGCAGACTAGTCCAAATATATGTTAAGGGAGCTAGTTCCATTTCAAAATTAATGTAAAGTAAAAGGCCAAGTACACAGAGGTCGTCATTCCAATGTCTATGTCGCTTAGTGGCCTTCAGTCGGTCTTTCCAGCCTCCGTAGCGAGACCGTCTGACAGAGTGAGATTGAACTTTGTAATAATAGGTGGCCGTGGGAATCCGCATGCGTGATGCCAAGACAAGAGTTGGTTAGAGCCGCCATAAACGGCCTCCGAAGTAGCGCTTTTCGGCTGCTAACCGTCACATCAGTATATGGGGTAATATTTGAATAACTTCTTTGATATACATTAACTAGGTATTTTCTATCATCGTTTAGATTTCAAACAATGCAATTTTTAGTAAAAAATAACAGATATATATATATATATTGATGACAATACGGGGTACTATAATCTGAATACATCTCTCACAGTTTGTACAGATTATAGTTATACAATTTATGAGTAAAAGTTACTAAATAATACAGCCTGTAGGTCGACAACATACTTATAATTTTAAATTTTAAATATTTCGTTTATCAACGTATGTACCCAAATAAGTAAAGTACATATATAATATAGTATTTTTATATGATGAGTGTTGAGCTATCAATAGCTGATCATTCTTGATTTGATATGGAAAAAGCTGGCATTGGGTGGAAACGAGGGTTGGGTGGTGAGCCTAGAGCAGCTGACTGCTTTGATGTGCCCAGGTGATGATTTTGTTAGGCCACCTGGGACAGAAGAGCTCGATCGCCACCAGCGCCATGTGAGAGGACGAACCAATCCAAACCCCCAACAGATTTTGATCAAATGGTCCAGGATCTGTCTCTGGGATGTTGGTGGACCTCGCCAGAACATAATCATCACCACAATGTAACTTTTATATGGTGGCTTCATACAATATGCGAATGAATTTTTTTTACAATATTTTATCTTCGACACAACATCAGATGCTGATAATATATTAAGAGTATAAATACAGTTAACTGAATATAGAGAATATAAGGTTATATTAGTTAACTATAACTTCAACTATAACTTAAGTTTTACTAATAAGTAAAAAGAAAAAATTCGCTGACAGAAGTAGTGTAGTTTACAGAAACTAAGAGATTAATATGTATTTTTAATAGAAAGCTTTGTATTACGATATTCTCTATATTCAAGTTTCTTTATCACCTTAATATAATATCTATATCTCATAACGTATTGAAGACCATAGGTACTTTGTATAATGTGCAATCCAAAAGATACAAGTTAACATTGTATGGTGTGGTGATTAAGCGAAGACATGACTAAATCTGCTATGTACTCTATAGAGTTATCAACCTAGCAAGACAGTTGCAAATATCAAATATGAAGTGATCAAGCTGAGTGGTATTTTATTTGTATGGTATACGCAGTGTTTAAGATGGGCACAGTGGTTTTTGGCCTGTTGCAATTAGCCTCTTTCCAGCTGTAAATCGCCATACCGAGAAATTTCGTGATTTCAGATGTATGGATTGGGAGACTGGAACTACTCAGAAGCAATTTTATTCCTTTATCCGATAAAAGTGCCTGGAATTGTCATTCTTGCATCAGAGGGCAGCACAAAACGATCAAGTCAGCTAGGAGTACGTTGACTAGCCATGGATACCCGGCGTCAGTCTGTCGCAGTTCGCAATTCACAGTGGTCGAGAGACCACCGTTTCGTACGCAGTAGTTAGTTACATGTAGCATCGAGACGAGAGGCAAGGCGAGGTAATCATAATCCTGGATACCGCGTTAGTTTTAGCGTTCATGCATCAAATATTAAAGTTCGTGATCGATAAATATGTGTATCATCGGATTTCCATCGAGCTGGTCCTTAATTGACTTCCGGAAACTAAAGGATGCATGGGAGTCCCATGAATCCATGAGTGTGGTGAAGGATTGTGCGTCCTTTTAATTTGTCGACAATACGCGGTAACTCACGCAACATCCGGCCCATCCTAGCGACGGCTATTCCTGAAACGGTATGTTATGCTGGTCCCGATGACGTCGCATGGTTCAGAGGCCTGGAGCGAATGCATCTTGAAATCTCGAGTGTGGAGAAGCCATAACTTTGGATCCCCATGGCGTGTTTTCCGGCAAAAGCACACCTCTGATTGGGTATCGCCAACTCCGGCCACAGAGTTTTGCTCTAGTAGGTCCGGGATTGTCGCAAAAATAAGCACGGACTTATCCATCAGATAATACGAATCATTTGGCAACTGCTAACCTCAAAGTACAGTACATACATACATGGGAACTTAGTAAGAGCCGAAACTCTGCGATCTGTTTCATTTTTCGTCCGGAGATATTTTCTGTGGCGGTTATGTTGATGACGGCGCGCTACCGGGTTGAGGAAGCAGCAAGCTGATGGGCCATTTTTTGTGGTTCTTCCATCAATCATGTAAGACCGATCACATTCCGGGTCTGTTACTACTGCCCCAGCATTGGCCTGGGCTGTGCCAGTTCATTTTTGCTCGGCTCGCGGCTTATTGCATGATACCAGAGCAGCAAATGACAAAAGAGAAACAAATAATGGGCAGGAGAGAGTCCAAGGGCCGGGAGCCTGCTTATTTAACTTTCGGGGATGCAGCACAGGACCTGGCCTTTTTGACCCTCTCGTCTCTGTCTTACTATTCGTTGGAGTGCTTGGATACGATGGACGGGCAGCGTGATACGTCTTCATAGCCCGAGGTTTTCTGACCAGCCCCACGTTCGATGGGTCAGCCCTCGTCCGAAAACGCAGCTTTTCTTCGTGGAGCTTGCTGGGTCAGGCAGGAAAGGTTCTTTTAACGTCATCTAGGTGTCCGATTTCCCTTTGAGGTCTTTTCTTGTTCAACCTTTTCTCCAACTTCCTCATCTCCCGCTCTGTCCCGTTGGACGTCAGCTTAGGATACCGCTTCCGACAACGAAAATCCATAGAATTAGAAACACCTACCTCCTTTGTCCCTAAGACCATTGTAAATATATACCTCTCTTCGACATTCTCTCCCGGACGGTGTCCGACGGCGGGAGTTTCACACTTAATTTTCACTCAGCCTTGGATGCTCCCGTGCTGGCAACATTCATCGAATTTTTGCTGCCGTAAACTGGAGATAAGCGGATCAGACTGCTCCACTTCAGAGATATATATACCTCTCTAGTTCACAGTTAGAACCAACTCACTAAAAATCATTTTTGCTGCGGGTGTTTATGGTAACCGCCTTCCTTCAAAGTTCGTTGAAAAGCTATCGAATTTGCTGACTCTGAGCTATATTGATTGACCTTCAACAGTTGTGTCCACGGCCACCGCTGAACTGCCAACAACGAGCGGTGACAAGCATGAGCCTGTGAAAGACAAAATATGTCAAATTGTCCTTTGCAAACCCTCATTCCGAAATGCATTCATAAACATGCCACTGGTTGCCAACTGCCCTGTTCCCATTCCTGTTGCTTCTGTGTGCGATCCCATCCATGTGCGGTGCCGGATACATCGAGAGACAGCCTGTCCAGAGAATCTCCTCCACATCCCAGATACTGCTCGAATTGCAAAGGTTAGTTTCCTCGGTTTTATTTTGTGTCTTTATGTTTTCATTCTAGATTTTGGACCACCTAGTGGCCTCGATGTTCCTTCACTTGCTTGCCTTGCTAGCTAAATTGATATACGTCAAAATCATAACCTACTTTCTTTCTTTCTTTCTTTTGTTATTCTTATTCTTTTCTTTTTTGGAGGGGTTTCTTTACCCCCTGTTCCCTTGTTTTTTGCCATCTGCTTATTCATTCGAGTCGGTTAGAATATTGGGCATCGCAAATAAATCGTCCTTCCTCTGCTAGCCCTAAACCAGTGTCCGGGTCTTGTGTTCAACAGCCTCAGCCTCACTCTCATTGTGCGCTGCCTCTAAACCTTCACTGGACTGCATCGCCATACAATTATCCGCAATCCCAAAACCGGCAGTTAAGTCGAGATATTTGCGTACCCGATTACCCCGGTAACGGCCAAAGACAACCCGCAGTTATCACTGAACCATCTCAACCCTTCACAAACCAGTCATCTTTACAACGGAATCAAGGCCATCCAAACCAAGACGAATTCCATCAACAGGTATCGTGGACTCCACGGCACGCCGCATCTAATTCCTATACCTTCGGTCAAGCTGCATCCAACCCGCTGATATCCCATCATCGAGCTTATATGCCTGTGAATCATACTGGTATGGCCGGGAGACATGAATACGCGTCTCCAGGCACCACCATACCAACAAATCTACAGGCGTCTATAGCTTCCGAACCCCCTCCTTATACTTTTTTCAGCAACCAGCAGTCTCAAGGCCAGACACATGATCAACCAGGGCCAACTAGCTTCTGGGAACCCGGCATCAATCACTTTCTTGGTAGTATGTGATCTATGTCAACACCTAAATGCCTTATTTCATAGCCGGAAGGACTAACAAGTTTCTAGCCAATTTACAAGCCCAGTCTAGAGAAACCAATCTCAATTATGGCTATTTTCCCACCGAGCACCAGCAAATCTACTATTCAACTTCGCCGCCTACCGAGCCCGTAACTAGGCCCTTCGCCACTGTGGAATCCCGCCAACAAGGAAACCCAGAACAGAATGGCGAAGCTCGAGCAGATATTCAAAATCAGGGGCCGTTTAACCAAACCTGTGCGTTGTTCTTCTAAAGCTAGTGCGGCTCTCAGCTTTTAGTGACTTCAAGCTAACAACTGATTAGCTCTCAACCATGCTGAGCCCTTTATGGTGTCCGATTCGAATCTTCCCCAACCCGAAGGACAGCGCCTTTTTTCCAGATTATCAGGCAGTTCAACAATGACAAATAGTGATAACCCTTTACATTCGTTTACGTTCCAAAACCTACCAGTTGACTCCCACAATACACAGTTTAACAACCGCGGTTCGGTTGATAACGAAGCTTTGAATGGTTCCCATATGCCTCGCAACACGACCTTTCCATATACCACGGGCTCACCTCCGATAGAAAGTCAGGCGGACTTATTCAATCACAACTCTCGAAGGAGCCTTTTTCTGGGGGCGGTCTCGACCTCCGGGAGTCCTCCTGGAAATGGTAGCCTAAATGCGAATATTACCGCTGCGGGGCGTCGGCGTCCCAGACGTACCAACGAAAGTGGAATGTCGCAATCTGGCCCAATGCTACGAGGCGACCAGAGACAACTACATAGACACACCCACCATTCCGCATCCGGGATAAATATAGGAGTTCCGGGAGTTGCCCCTTCTACTCGTGATCAGGGTTATGTAAATGCCCACCTGGCTCGACTCTTGTATGCCGGTAACCTTGTGCGCTATCCCAATGATCCTGACAGCTTTTTCTTTGGAACTGAAGCGGGGCGTAGGAGAAGATTTCTTGAGTCCCTTAACAACAATAACTCGGAGCCAGCCACTCCGACTAAAGGACTCGATAACCAGGACGATGGACGTCCAGAGCCTAAAGAAACTGAAGATCTCACTGTTAATTTGGAATGCAAAGCTTGCATGAGCCAACTCATCGACACTGTAGTACTTCCCTGTGGGCATGCCGTTCTCTGCCGCTGGTGTGCGGATCAACATATGCCCTCAAGCAGAGTGGACAAAACAAAGCCTCGTGGGAGTGCAACTTGTCCCATGTGCCGCAAACCAGTGAAACAAAAGGTATGTATTTGCTACTTCAATCCTTAACGCACTGAGTGAACTGAGCGATTTGACTCTCATTGGGAAATGCTAACTGAATTTAAAGATTCGGATCTATCTTTCTTAAATATCAATACCAACGTGTACCCTGGGCAGAAATCAAACTCAGATCTTACTCAAACATGGCCCATTCGATTTCTCTTCATCCCCCGCCTCGCCACTGTTTTTGTTTTCCAGTTCTTCGGGCGGCTTCTTCGATTTTCATATAATATCCTACCTTGCGTTCCATTCCCCTTAAGCATAGCGTGGCGTTTGTTGGTGGTACCATGTTTCGAGAACTTCTTATAAATTTTCATCCTGTCTTTCTCATCATGTTATTTATTACACCCGGCAATAATAAGTCTTGTTAGCCCGATAATGTTCCTTTATAATCATATATTCCTCCTTGCAAATACTAGTATGGTTGCACACCCATGTCAATAAACAACATCCAGCTTTTTGGCTCGGTTTTTTCCCTCGCAGCAAGCATCTTTCTGGATCAAATTAGCTCACCAGCTGACCGAACCCGTCCACTCTCCCGCACATGTCTTGCGATCCCGCGTCACTTGTCTGCCATATTGTATACCCCACTTGTTGTCAATAATTAATGTCAAATTTCATTATCTCATCCTAGTCATGTCGTTTTTCTATCTTCTCTCTTGGCTCATGGATCTTTCATTCAAATAAATAAATACAACAATTACAGGTGGGTAATAAAGTTGCCTTCTTTCTTTCTAATTCTTTCCTTTACTTATTTATTTATATTTTATTTTTAATATATGGCCCACGTGGGGTGCAACCGACTGGGTGATCAATAAATTTACGAAAATATATATGCTCGCCTTGGGGTATGTTGTTCCTATCCATTTGGCAACCCTTTTTTATCGCCCAGGTTTAGGAGTGTCTTATGTTCCCGATGACGATGTTTACTTCACCAATCTCTCCGCGCGTCCGTATCCTGTCTGGAGCAATATTTTCGCCACCAGCCAAATATAGTAGATTAATACACAATCTGTCTATGGCGTCCACAATTCCCCATACGAAATCGGCATTAGTAGACCCTCTCTGACGGCAAAAATGGGTTTATTGAGAAGAACTGGCAGCGGTTGATCATGGTAGTAATGCAGCATTCTTCGTACATACAGAGTTCCGCTCAAGCTATGTCGGATATGGTCTTCCGACTTTTTGAATGTAGCCTTCGATCAAAACTCTCCGTAACCTGTCGTGTTGGAGCGCTAGGTGGTTCGTCTTCCCCTGCTTCTGCTGCCGTTTCTTTTAGGCAACTGACTATTAATAACCACTATACCCCCACGTCCTTAAACTTCCTCGAAGCAACGGTGCTATCTGGGATGTAGATTATTGGGAAGAGGAGGGGGGAGGGGAAGGCAGGTATAAAGGTATAAAGGGCGGAACAATTTCAAAAGCAGTTTAAATGATGATGTAGCCATGGGGTCATACCTAATAGCTATCCAAGCCGTCACAATAGGAACCTTGTAACCGCTCCAGCCGAGTTTTCGATTGCGTGGCTAAAAGTCAGCGAGCTCACCATCCCAAAAAATCCGCAATTGTGGATGTCAGGTCCTCCTCTAGCGCAGCCTTGTCTCCAGTTTCATACATACGGAAAGATTCCTCAATTTGTGTTTTTTTTTTTTTTTTTTAAAAAAAAAATTGCTCTGCGTTTTGCTATGTTAATTCCAAATTTCAAACCCTGAAGCTTCACAGCCCCGGTGTTCGGATGTAAACTACTTGAAGGCGTGTTGAGTATATCGCCTGACGAATCAGTGGGATATCCCTATAGCCACAATCTTGGAACAGGAGCTTTGCCACTTAAATTTCACGTACGTCGGGCTAGTCGATAAGGCGATGTTGGAAATTCAGTGAGACCTTTAGCTGAGGGATGTTGTTTTCAGTGATGACATCAATACGCGACGACAAATTGGATAACTAACCCCTCGTATACTATATCTTCCCAGCCAAAGAAGCCTCTATCTAATCGTTAGGCTAGAATCGTAAGCGGAGGGGGAACATGGTGGGCTGCGTGAGAGCAGGCTGAGGAGATGGTTGTGGGGTGTTATATGTACCATACATTCGTTGTGGGATGAAATTTTAGGCTCAAGAATGGGAAGAAAATCCGATATTTGACAAAGGACACAGTGTATCTGTGGTGTGTATGTATGCACGTGCATATTTGTGGTCACTTTGGTAGGGGGCGGTTGGAGAGGAAGTTATGTTTTCACAACCCCTAAGCCTAAGTAAATTACTTTTGTATTGCATTGGACTTTCAAGCCAACAAGGAGATAGGCACAGAACCCCATGGAAAAATACACGGATCGTCAGGCAAGGAATCATTGACGGCATGTACTAATGTGCCCGCCACAATGTACTGTACATTTGCAGCACAAGGGGGTGTAAAGCACTGGGCCAATTGCGATACAACTTGTGTAATGGCCTGCTAGGATGGGGATATGCTATACAATAGAGAAACGGTATGCGTACAAATAGCTGGAGTGTTTGTCAAAATGTATTGTTCAGGCGCACATTCGTTCATTTAGTAGATAGATCCTGGGGATAAATGGAAAAGTTCCCATATAAATTCCTTGATTTGCAAGCCTAGGAATTGGGAGTCGTTGTCTTGTCCTTGGATTTGATGGGATTTCCCATCCCATATACTGTGAGAGTATGAGTCAAACAAGGGGGGATGTTTTAGTAGATTGAAACTGACATATCGATGAGGTTTAGTTCGAATTGGAGAATCTACGCGGAAATCTTCAGGCATCAAAAAGGGCTCTTTGCACCATTTTGGGCAGTAAAATATGCGATACTAGAAGTGTTGAGAACAATTCTAGAATATACAGTACATGTACATGTACCTCGAGAGAAATGAGCCGAAGTTCAAATTATTGGCGATAAGACCGTGCTGTATTGCGAGGTTCCAATTTCAGGAGGAAATTTGTCCACAAGCTATTGGATGATAGGAAAATCAGGGACCATTAAGGGGGTTCATCCGGGTGATTGCAAATTGCAAGGATGCGTTCCGCATCACAGGCAAATCCCAGGTTGCGACGGTTCATGCCCTGTGTTTGGAGTTGTCGTGGTGAGAAATGGTCAGAAAGAAGCAGGAGCACCAGTTCAGAAGAGCCGGCCAGCGAAAAAGTCCAATATGATGCCCAGATTTAAAGAGCTGTAATTTGGATATACATCATTGGGGGTTGGGGATATTGGTGAATCCCCAAATAGACATAAAAGGCGTCTGATATGCGGAATGTCTGTACGAATCCCTTTCAGGAGAGGCCTTTTTTGTGATAGGGACAATTTCTCCCACAAAGCTCCTTTGATCATAATTAGAGTAGAAGGGTAGGCAGGGGCCGGATAATGAAGGCAAGGGATCATGATAACCTGTGTTGTCTCTGGTCCTGGGTGTTCGATATGCACCTCGAACCACATAACAAGACATCCAAAAAAAGTTATGTATACTTTTGTACTGTACACAAAATACGGGGAGCTGTGTATGAAACAAGGAGATCCCAAAGGCTTTCATGCATACCAATTTGATCCCCGTTCATAGGGCATTCTGCCGCAACATAGGCAATTGCCATTGGTGATGAAAATCCCGAAAGATTGGGAAACGGAGGAAAGGATGCATAAATATGCTCTTTCCAACAAAGAAATATATTCCAGGCCGAGAAGTCGTATTTCTCTTCCGCCTTCGGTTTGCTTTCTCTTTGCTTTCTCTCATGATATTGGCTGTAGCATTCCCTGGGCCTTACGCACAAAGAAATCACAAGTTAGTCACTCCATCACGAGGAGGCTTAGCAAGTCACCACGTAGGCAGCCGGGTATCGGGATCTGCCATACCTCGCTTGTTTTAATCGCAAGTTGCTTTCCGTTAACATGCAGTTGGAACAAGGGCCTCACATTATCCATGAAATATCCCTTGGAATGGCCATCCGTTCAACCGCTGGAGTGGAACATGCTTGAGAAGAACCGAAAACGGACTCTGCAGTAAAATTTACGTAGTCGAGGCCAATAGTCATCATGAGGGAGAAAATGATCCGCTGAGGATAAGTGTGTCGGGAGAAGTTATTTAAAGCCTGGCTCGGTCGGTGATAATCGGACAAATATGGCGGCAACTACTGTCATTTCCCGTATTCGCTTCATCCTTAGCGTTCCTGCGTTTCAGGGTTTGCATTACCAACCTTGTAAAAAACCATATTAATGAACATACTATTGCATCATCCTCCCGTATCCAAACAGGAGACTGAGGGGCAGCCGTTGTCGTTACCTGCCAGCTTGGGGTTTCGATTCCTCGCAACCACCACCCATCCATTGAAATTATGCCACGAATAGCGTCCAAGATCGATGGAATGGAGCTCACATCTCGTCCTCCGGAAATGGTATCTTCAAAAGTAGCATTATTACTAAATTTTCAAATCACAAGGCCCATTCACAGCGAAAATTTGGGGCCAGCCAGAACGGGTACTCGGCATGTAACGATTGAAAATCCGGAGGCCATCTGCCACACACGCATCAAATTTGTGCATCGAGTAGAGGCCCTATTGATGGCAACATATTTTGCTGCATGAATTGAATGCATTCCACCACAACACTTCATTGTTGTCGGTGATTCCCAGTGATCAATATCAAGGATGTAAAGAGTCTTTCCCCACGTTTCCTCCCACGGCATCTGGCAGTTGTCCTTCATTGAGTGTGCCACAAATGATGAGACACTACAAGGTCTCGCTAGAAAAGCTGCCAAGGCATCTAAAAGAAGCACTATAATTAGAGTCAATCAAGTGCAGTGGTGTGCTACAAACTCAACACAGAAACGTGAATTTCCTGTACCTTCTCGAGCCGCGATCTGGTAATTGCACATATGCCATTGGTATGGACGATTATCAAGGAGTCGAGAATTTGTATGCCCTTCTGACCTGCGCGTAAAGACATCTGAATGTTTAATAATGATGGGGGCCCCGCAAATTGAAAACTTAACCGATCGATAATAATTTGCACTTGCTTGACATTAGAACTGCTTTTAGGGCCGTGCTGTGAAGACTTTGCGCTGGACTCCCGCAATTAGCTTTTCGAGCAACAAAGACGGGTATTCAGATGGTATTCACGGAATGGCGGTGTAAGGGTTATGTCGAAGGGTACGAAGAGTAGGTACAGCACATACTGACCTTAATGAATTGTACGTATCAGAAATACCCCTTCTCCCGCACAATAGCACAATCCAGAGCGTCATAAAGTCACGTCATCGCATCCAACTAGAGCATATTTTGAACGAAAATTTGATACATTTTTGCAGGCTTGCTGGTGGCTGGAGGTACGGTCTATTACCTCTCCCCACGAAGAGAACATTAAGCATGAAATGTATACCGCAGATGTTATCCCCCGCACCACTAATTCTCTTGATCTTCGGCCCTCCTCGCCTCTGGATCTAGGCACTTCGCAATGAATACCAGTTGTCCAACGCAAACGACGCAGTTGCCTTTAGCTTTTGCAGGGAGGGAACCGATTCGCCCCCACAGAAGAGGTGAAATTAAGCTAGCGGCTAGCGATGCGCTAAGTGGGTCTATACCAGAGCTCAAAATTACTACAACTTTGAAGCTAATCGAGTTTAATTCTTCCTCGTGCTGAAGTATGGTCGCTCGTTTCAAGTCATATAAAATGGACCTATACTTCGATGTATCAAACAATCCGTTCCTCGTTCATTTCTCTGTCAGTGCTGCTTTCAGAAAGCTTAGTGCAATTATACACTCTCCGCGTCGCACACCTTGAGTGGCCTTGGGGCCGCCAATGTCAATTTAGACCTCGCTTACCTACAGAATATCCTACGTATCATCCCTAAAGAGCGGTACACCTTATAGAATGGGTCGGGATTATTTAGTATGTAATAGAATGCATCCATTCGTTCATTCATTGGTGTCTGGAATCCTGGAGATAAGTGAGATTCACCACTCCCAAATTCAAGTGCGCTGAAAGAAGATGTCTCTTCAATATGGCCACCCACGCTAGTGCTCACCAGGAAGTTTGCCTTATTTTTTTCCCATTTTTCCCATTTCTTTTTCGATCGACATGAGCAAGAGGGTCGAGTCTAGCACCTAATCTGAACTGCCGCATCGATGTCCTGTCCATCGTAAGCGCCAAATATGCATCTACGAAACTATCTTTTATTTTCAATTCTCCATCAGCTACTTGCAAACGGCTTTCATAACCAACTTCGCCAGTGGCCCACTAGCCAATCATGAACTCTGGTGCCGGATGCAAAAGTGGCTTCGGGAGGAACTTGAGTCGTCGGTATTCATTACTACGTGGAAGAAGTCAGCGCTCGCAGTACCAAATACTTCGGTGGGGTGGAATGACGCTCACAAAAGGAATGTGAGAAAGTTCGACTGTACGAAGCAAGTGGATAAATTTACCTCCTACACCGCCAATTTGCCTGCTCGAAAATGATTAGCCGCTTGAACATATCGAGGTTCCGCCAGAAGTTATTGTTGGATTCACGGATCCAACTTTTCCAAGCCAAGACCTTGTCGCGTGGGATTGTCCGCCATGCTCATCAGGGCCGAGATCTGTTGAAATTTTGGCGGGCCTTTGAAACTTTCTTGGAGCTTAGAGGCAGCCCCTTTGGTATCCGGAACAGATGGTATGCAGTGGAGAGGCTGGCCACATGGCTATGGTAATAGACTGAAAGGAAATGGTTAGAGCCTTAGAGGATACTGCCAGGCTGACATCAGCGGAAACAATATCAGGAGGCCTGATGCTGAGCAAGGCAGAATTCACGTTGCACGCATTCAAAGTGGCCGGGGAAGCGTCATATCTTCTGAATCCTGATTTGTCACTTTATGTAATGCGTTTGTCAAATACAGCCCCATATCGGAAAATGGTGAAGGTGATGCAACGTTCCTAGCCCGTCAAATGCTTCCCTGGTACGCCCACATTTCCAAAATAGATAGAATGCGGGTGAGTTTTTAATTAGAAACTGGGCACAAACCTCAGAATTTCTCGATAATCTTGGCAGACTGCTTGTTGAGCAGAGTTGATACCATTTTATGCTGACAACAACCCAGGCATGGCGGCGGCAAGACAGAGTTCGCTGGTGTCGGTATTATTAATCCCCTGAGGGTCAAGCACTGCCACAAGGATGTGAGGCGGGACGATTGCTTAACTCAATAAGATGAAGATTCTCATCCAACAGGTGCGTTATACATTCTCAACTTGCAGAGTCATCATGCTTCAGTCTTGCTTGACAAATTAAGTCGACTCTTGTTTGCATCAGAGATGTCAACTGACTAAGTGCGGTTGCGGACCCGCTTTTTAAGACGTGAAAACCCCCTGACCTGAGGCAGGGAAGCACAATAATCACCCATTGGAGGAAATTCCGAAGTCGAAGGCTGCTGTATAGAGGCCCAACGGACAGGGCGTTGCCAATGCTACTCCTTTTTTCATGTCCTTTTCATGTCCGTAGTTGTTCGAAGTTTATCACTGAGTTTGATGACCCTGTTTCTTTCGGCGTTCTCTCACTCTCGCCTTACTTTGCTGGTGGTTGGTCCAACGAGAGTTGTCTCTCCTTCCAGTCACTTGGGTAGGCTTCGGAGGTTTTCATGGCAAGGAAGACAACATACTGTTCTTCTTTCCTGAGGTAATGGCGCGAAAGGGGTGGGAATGAAATAGGTTTGTGGGTCCTATAGGCTTGTCGATGCTTGCTTTCAGGGCGTTCTAGTCATTTTTAAGAATGATATATTTGCATTAGGAAACGGTGGAGCGCATCGTCGAATTTTGGATTATTTCATCAAGGGCGAAAATGATCCATCCTGCAAACAAATTATTTGTTCCTATTCCTCTTGGTCATCCAATGAAAACAGGATGCTGATTTAGAGCCCAAGATAGCAACTGCCCAGCCGTCCTTGTTTGGGAGGGCAATTGAGCTCCCCCACCTCAGCTCTATTCGTGTGCGCTTCAAAGCCTTGGATCCTTCGCTAGAGTATCAGATCACCCTCGAGTGAGCGGAGGAGGCGAAGGCTGAGATCCTTGGCCGTTATTTGCCTGTATGACAAACAAGCAGAGGCAACATTGTCTGGCATGCGGCTCGAACACTTACATCATTGTTTTTGAAAGGTGGTGTTGCTGAAACATTGGGGTAGCGAATCACCCATTGCAAAAGGAATATGCTCATTTGAAAACAGGGATGGGAATGGGAAAAAGATTGCGCAATTCCAAAATGACTAACTTTAATGAATAAATCTGCCTTTCTATTCGGCATCATCCCCTCACTGATCTTTTTGTTTCAGCTCCGGCGTATTTCCGACTTGATGGATCCATGCGTTGTTCGTTGATATTGATCCTGAGGCTCCAGGAAATGGACAAGGCAGAACACAAACTACAAACCACACCACACCAGCCATATTCGGAAACGCGGGGTAATGCAGAGGCGGGTCTGATGGGCGTGATGTCATTCGGCAAATATCCCTGCTCTTTCATACATGTTTATGCAGCGACTGATGTTGGCGCGTATGGGGGCCTCTGCGTTTTGTTCTGGAAGTCATGACATTATGGGGTAGTTTGCAGTAGAATGAAGGGGACACTGCACGGCAAGCAACGCCTACAGGTGAAGACGATCAAGACTAACTACCTCCCCGAGGCTACACACGAAACTAATTGTGAACAAGGCGCATGGCGCCCTGGTTACAAGAAAACTAAACGCCCAGAATGAATTGTCATGGAATTTCCCAATATCCTTTTCCTTGCGTTATCACATTTATTCCGGGATTTTCGATCCCATGTACTGCACATTGAGGATTTCGTTCCTGGCAGACATGCACTTTTGAGTTGATCATTGTCAACTCAACTCGGTAAGGCTGTTATTGATTTAGCGCCCATAAGGAGGAATTTGGGTTAAAAATGGGTCCTCAACAAAGGGTCCTTTAGTTTATCCAGCACGACGGACAGCGGCTTTTGCAAGGGCATGCATAAGTTGTGCAAAGAGGAGCCTGGTTCATGTCCACAAGCGAGTGGGCGAGGAAACCTGAGCTGATTTCAACGTTGGTGGCTTCTGTTAGATTCCAAGGCATGAAATTATGAACTTAAAACCCTGTTAACAGGGGAATTCTCCTCTTTAGTCTCGTGGTAAAGTCCAATTCTACAGCTTCTCTCACGCTGAGGGAAATTGAAGATGTGCAGAGACTCAGATCACATAGTGAGAGTAACTGCTGAGAAATGGTAAGAACCAAGAACGGAGGATGGGGGGGAAAGGGAGAGAGGGAACTGGAAATCGAGGCTGCATTAACCCAGTTAATCAGTATTTCACACCAGGCAACTGACTAGTAACAAGGTCGGCAGACCAGCAAGATACCAGGAAAATGGGTCCATTCCAATGATGAGGGAACTCGCCATTTCGAAAGGCAGGGAGTAGCATTAAATACCGGCGAGACCCGCGACTGAAGGTCGGGAGATTGCACTTCGCTACTGAAAATTTCCAAGTTGATTCTTTGTGCCAAGGTGTGCGTTTTTGCAGATAGAGACTTCTGGGTAAGTCCATGTGATTCTGATGGAGCTGCGACCTGATAACATGCCGAACCTAGACGTCTCCTAGAACGAGTTGTTAGTTATACGCGAGGAAAAAGTCGGGATTCTTCTCGTCGCGAAGAGATTTCGGTTGACCAACTTGGACATGAAAAAGTTCCGCGACGGCGATGGCAAAGTCTTTGGCTCCGGCGTTCGCAAGTGGTTCGCCCTTCATTCAGGCAACTTTTTGGTGCAGGGTGTGGGGGACACTAGCCCGAGTTAGTGGAGTGCATGTTACGGGTGCGGAGACATCCATCCAGGATATCGTGTTCCCCACAAACACGATATCAAACTTCCATATCAGACAGGTGTAGATAAAGAAGAGTAACACCCGGTTGAGGGTACTTTGGGCAATTGGAAAATTCCGTGATAAAAATCTTTTAAGAGGTGGTTTTAAATAGCCCGAGCAGCTTCTCAGACCTCTCCTTGAAGATGTATCCCTAAATCCCACACCATCGTGCTGATGCCTCACCACATTTCTGCCTCAACTGAATTTCAGCTCCAGCAATACTCCCCCGAGTCTGAATCAAATTACATTCTGTAAGCGCCTGCGATGGACAATCAATCTTTGAATCAGGGAAACACAAGAATGACGAGGTTGAGGACACGACCACCCAAGCCACAGCCGCCCGCACAAGTCGAGGAAGGGCCAATGGGAAGGTAAGTGGATGCCGGAAAGCGATCCAACCAAGCACGGTTTCTTACTTGGTCATTGTTAGGGTCTGACTTGGGCCGGTGTCAAAATATATAGCAGATTCCACCCCACCCAACCGCCAGCGGAGCGCCGAAACCTCGACAACAGCCACGGAGCCCCAGGCCGATCTAACCCACCAGACACCGCTGCCACCGAGACAAAGTCCAGGAAACGGTCTGCCGCCGCTGCAGAATGGGATGTGCCCCAACGATCTGGAGGAGCTGTTATTCCAGCGAGCTATTCACGTGGGAACGCGGTTGATCCAAACCAGCCCGACGCTGGTTGTCCACCTCAAACTCGAAACAATGAACAATGTATTCTGGATTTTACTATTTTCGATCCGGACGCTCCAGTGATATTTCCTAGTGATTATTACAGAATTGTAGATAAGGAAAGTATAGACCAGAAAACCCCACAGGAGGATAAAAAAGTAACACAAAAACTATTTCCCGCTGGATGGCAGCCAGGTGGAAGTATCTCAAATGAGATGAAGGAAAGTTTGATTGTCAAGTCTGCCTCTCGTGGGATCAATGCCGACCCCGAACCACCACAATTTACAACCATGATTCGCGAACGTCGAATTAATGAGACGCCGCAGCCCAACAAATTGTTGTCCGAATCCGCCAAACTATATGAGGCTATTTCGGGTATAGAACTGACATGCGCCTTAGAAGCTGCAAAAATCCAAGCTCTCGAAAAGTTGACTGCACAGCAGTGGAACAATCTGATCATGTGGCATCAGCGCCTGATTCATCGCCATCATGACCTATATGTGTGCACACAGTATCCAACAACCTGCGGAGATCTCTTCAAGCTTCTTGTTGCACACAAAATGCCTCCTCGAATGTTGCACCATGGCATCTATGCATTCCTGGAAGTTATGAAATCTCGACTCCCAGATAGTCGGAATTACATGATTCAGTTCGTCCAACATGTGTACGACCTGATGCAGGTGCTGGTAGAAAGTGCCCCCAGATTTAAAAATATGTGGTTAGAATGTCTTGGCGACCTGGCCGCTTATAGAATGTCCCTCGAGAGTACGTTTTCTGAAGAGAGAATAACGCGGGCTAAGCAATCGACGAATTGGTATTACGCGGCTGCCGACGAGAACTATGGAAAGGGAAGCCTTTACCATCGACTTGGTAATCTTGTGGCGAACGATTTGGGTCGAAAGTTCTTCTTATACTCTAGGTCTCTTATATCTACCGAACGATGCGAAAAATCTAAGAGCGGCGTTGAAAGCGCCTTTGTCGTGGCCTTACAATCAATCAACAGTCGTGGACCCATCGACCCAGGAATCCCGTCCTGGTTTGTGAGTGCGCATACTCTGCTTCTTCGCGGTGACTCAATTAGCAAGTTCATTGCGTATTCCCAGGAGTTTTGTGCTCTCTTACACCTTAGAATTGCTCAAAACCTCAAATTGAATGGAGCTGGAATGTACCTGGGAGTCCCCAACATAGCAGCAATGTTACAATACGGCGAAGAGGAGGGAATCCTTAGGAACATGTTCATAGATTCTCACAAGCTGAGCTCGGAGGCCAAACTACAACGCGCGATGCAATACTGGGCCAAACATTCTACCGATCCCCCGCGAAACACTCCGGAAGATGAGATCTCATCTCCTACAGCAACTTTCTCTACTCCTTTGGAAAAGCTTTCTTACAGCACTTATTTAGCCTTCTTCACACTTTCCACTGTTCTTTCACATACCCATATCGATGAAATTATGCCCTTTGTTCACATCTTCCTTGCCTTTATTTGGAGTTTGGCATTGGTTCCGGATGCCATGATATGCGTTGAGAGAGAAATTCCCTGGAGCAAAATTACTAAATTTTTAAATTCGTTAGACCAGGACCATGCCAGCATACTCCGGCTTGAAAGTACTAACTTCCCCATATATGATCGAACGCTTTTTTCGCAAATACCCGATGATTTCTCCATTCGAGGACAAATCTGGTCGCAAGGTATATATCCGGACAATTTCTTTCTGAACCCTCTGCCTAAAGATGAGCGCGGATTCGACACGAAATCCTCCAAGGATACCCGCAACGAGCGTTGTTTATGGTATGGATATCGTCTAGCATCGGTAAGACTTTACTCCTTATTCAGTCTTACACGTTTTAACTCCCTTATTCTCGCCATTTTTCGCTTTCACCTTCATTTTCCATTGTTTCTTATTAATTAACTAATCGGATCTCTTTAGTGTGAACGTTGGATTCAGCTGTTCACCGACGAAAAAACAGGCGACAGGGACTTTAGACTCACATCCCTCGCTGAGCACCTCGAGGCGACTGCGAAACATCCTGACGTGTTTAAGCCCACACAAGGGGCCATTCCTTCCAGATCTGGAAGATCACAGCCGGCTAGAAAAAGGAAAGACCGTTGACACACAAATGGTCATTGTAACGCCCAACGGGCCCTCTCAGGCTTGCCGTACCAGTGAGTGCACCAATTTTAGGGCAGATTGAGAATGACAGAGGGTTGGAGCAAATTTTTATTGCAGGATATACTGATACATTAGTGAAACCACTGTGTCGTGGGGCCCTTATATCAGCTGCCGGTTTGCGGGCGCACTCGACATTGCTAGTTGCGGAGGTTCCAGCTTCTCAGGCCATTGCATGTTTCCTATTCTTATTTTACAAGCACAGCGGCGCCATTTTATCAACTCGGTTCAGCATTTAATTAATTAATAAGATAGACAGTTCTCCATAATGTTATGCGGCGATGCCACGATTTCCGATTGCTGCATATATTTTTATAAAACCAAATAAATCGCGCCACTGATTTTAGATTCGGGTAACTTCAAGGTAATGGATGTTATATTTGCCTACTTCATCCTGCTTCCATTTCATTTTCTATCACTTCATTTACGCTACAATCGATCCTACTCTAGGGTATGTTTTAATGTACAGTACACCCGGGACTATTCCTTTGACTTTAATTTAATTCCCAAGCCTTTTCCGGTGGTGCTAATGGAGGGTCCAATCGGATGAGGGGGATATGGATAGCACAGATAGATGCAAAAGAATATGGTAGCCCATACATAATCTCTTAATGTCAAAATCTGGCAAGGACTCTCGCCTTTTCCCATATATATTCCCCACAAACACTCATGGCCCATGTTTACCCGACTCCCTTACGTTCCTTGGTACGCCACTTGTTTACCGTGTCAGCGCATCCTCAATGACTTACCACGCGCCCTTATCACGCGCCACTTTCCCAAGACAGGAAAGTGCATGGAATAGAAACTATCGTGACTCGGCCGTGGACACAGAAGGTCGATCCGTTTGTTGCCATCGAGAGGCAAAGCCACCGTAGGTCATAACTCTTCCCCCGGCTAATAAGCCCATAATTTTGCAGTATTGAAGAGAATACATGTATGCATGTCTGTAGTCAGTATCTGCAGATGCTCACAGATAATGGAAGGAATATCTAGTCCCTTATCCTTTCGCCCGCCGACATTTGTACATGTACATTACTCGTTACAGGCGGGCGTCAAGTAGTCCGGTCAAATTAAACTACTATAGTCTATCTGGACCTGGGAGAATTCATCACATTGCTTGGATGGAACGCGCGTTGTTTAATTACATTTGTGCAACTATGCTTTGCTCGAGAAATCAGTAGTCGAAGGTAAGGCGGATGTGACTGGCCTTTTACCTGTGATCTCCAGAAATAGCCAGTACCACCTGCGGGATCTTCAAGGGTTGGAATTCTGATATCTTGATGCGGCAATTCCCACCATCAGAGATCGCGTTCTCCAAGTGAAGGGTGGACCGGGCGCTTTTCATCTGGTCGGGAGTGTTTGTGAGGCTTGATTTCGTTCTTCACGCTGGCAACCGGTATTGGTTCAGGGGTAGACTGTATAGATTGTGGGTCTCAGCGCTCATGTCGTGCTCTCGATGTGACGATGATGATAGGAAGTATCTCGCTCTGCATGAGGCTCGATTTGAAGGGGATTGGGTTTATATCTAGGGTGTTGACAGGAGGCAGGGCAACCCCTGACCTGAATAAAAGTTGGAAACATTGACGGGGATTTGATTCCGCGGAAACCGATTCCAGACCAGTCCTTGTTCGTGTTCAGTGAACATCCGCAACAAAGCAGGCCCAGGTAAACTCGCATTAACACGAAAACTGCCTGGAGTCCCATAATTCAGGCGTAATGAATTTATGGTAGGGTTGGCGTAGGCATCCACTTTATGCTGCTTGAGCTTTAGAAACCAGGATCAGCTCTAGTCAGCTAGCTCCGCGTAATGTACAAACCATGAAACCATGCCAAAACAAATATTGAGGCATTAGAGCCTTATCAGAAACGGGTCAAACTTGTTGAAATATTTGTCAGAGTCTTCCATCGTTCCAATCCGGCTTGTTACGTGGTGCCATTTAGGCGACCGCGCCCCTCCAAAACCCCTGCAAACCTTGCAAACCCAGACAATATTACAACCCCAAAGGAAATCCCTTATTTGATATTTTCAATCCTTGTGGGAAAACGTTAACTGCAAATTTTCCTTTCGACCACACACTGGGGCGAATTTAAATCAAATGAGCTGGCCTGGATGTGTGGCAAAATCAATAAAGCCTTGTTGATTATATCACGTAGTCCTCCTTGGTCAAAGCGAATACATTAGGCCACTGGGGCAAAAAAGCTCCATCACCACCAGCGCTATATGGTCCTCCAACAGAATACCATAACGGGCCTCATGAGCGTTGGTCCTGGGAAAGGCCCCGATCATACTAACATGGGCTATTTTCCGCCTTTTGGAATTTCAGCTCGCTAACCTGTGTGCCGCGTTATACACACATTAATTGCTCGTCTGCTGCTGAGGGAAGTAGGAAAAATGACTCAGATAAGGCCACTGACACCAGCTCAAAACGGAACAATGCTGAGAGAGTCGGGAGCACAGATCAAACACGGCCAAAACCTCGCGGTATTCGACACAAAAATCTGCCTCCGGGCCGTGCCCGAGTGCCTTGCCACTGGCGAGGCACTATAAATGCCTTCCCTGTGGCATAGACGCACATCTCAGCCGTTTTTAAAAGCGATCTCTCACATTTTTGGTCGTGGCCGTTAAGTTAGCTCTCTGAAAACTTTCAACTCTCCAGTTGGAGCCAATGAGGAAGCCATTGTGCCCATTCGTGATTCAATTGGAAGTTGGTACTGCGAGATTCCAGTCTCCTGAACTGATCACAAGGATTAATTGCCTTCATCTGATTTTTCCTGCAAGGCAAATATTGCGGGCAAATGCGAGGTGAAACATACACCATTAGAGTAACTCTTGGCTCCAGAAACTTGGAAAACAAGCTGAGTGGAATAGTGACAGTAACGTTCAGTGTATGGGTGTGCGAGGGTTGCCTAGAATATGAACACAACTAGCTCCCGGGCCTAGTCGATATTATAACTGTGAAAGGGTAGACGGGGCAACATCTTTGCCTGGAACCCGATACCTTGTAACCAGAATAAAAGCACTAAAGACGGAGCCTGAGTTACATTTGTTCCTTAGGCTTCCAGTGGCTGCGCATGTGATATTCTGATGCTGAGTTATAGGGTCCCTGAACAATAACAGTGGAAGGCTGAAATATCGTAGAGCTGGGAGAAGTGAGGGTAGGCACAAAGATTGTGCCATCCCAGTTTAGCATCCACCAGAGCTGCAGGAAATGGCAGACGACCATGCGGAAATTCAAGGATTGAAGCTGTAAATCTCGTGTGAAGGGACAATCACCTGGTTGGGTCATCGGGGCACACCACAAGCACAGGACTGGAAAACCAAATTCGAAAGGCCTTGTTCGCAGGTACTCTGTTTCAATGCAGGGCTCTCTGGAACGGGCAAAGATATCCCAAGATGGCTTCGATAGCACAATGGATGATAATATGCCCGAATTTGTCGCCGAAGGGCTCGGCGTCTTGCCCAGCATAAATTGTTACTTAACAAAGTTCTTCTCACGCAACGACACAATGACAACTCGATATTTTGGCATTTCTGGATGACTTGGGGCGTCTAGATATGGGAGGGCATTATGGCATCTCCCTCGCCAGCGTAAGAGTAGTGTTCTTCGTATGGTGGCATTGCTCTTCCGTGAAGAGCACGACCTCTGACCTAGCCTAGGCTGTGGAAGACGCGGCTGAGGAGCAGTGGTATGCTGACAGAGGCAATAGGCGAAATTCATCCCTCATCGGACCTTGTGGCAGACGGTGTGTCCGTATTGCCTGCTTAGCAATGCATTACAGGCCCTCCAGTAACATAGCTGGCGTTGCAGTGGTTTCAATGTTCGTGGTGGTTGGTGGTCGAAAGAGTTGAAGATATGATGGTGGATCCACTTGTTGGTTTGGTTCCAAAGTAGTAACTAAGTAAGTAGATCGACAGGAGCTTAAACCACCAAAGGACACAGTGGCGGCTTGACAGCCTTCCAGAACCATCGCTCCCCCAACGCTGCAACCCCAAAGCCAATCGCTAATTTCTCACGACACCGCACGCAGGCTGCTTGAATGAGGGAGCAACCGTATACTCGTCGCTCGTGTCTTGGTCCATAACCATGGTGGACCTCAAAGCACTGAGCGCGATCTGCAGCCAATGCGTGGAGCTTGCCAGCAGGACTCCCCCCTCGCTGTGGATTATTTCCCTGCTATCTACATTTGCAGGTTTCATTCTTTTTGTAGGTCTAATTCCAACTGACTTTTTCCGCGTCGCTCAATTGACTAAGCCTCCTCCAGGGATATACTCTTCTCATACTCGTAGCACCACGTCCCCGCCCTCCGCTTCCCCCGGAGAAAAGATACAAAACTATTGCTCAAGATGGATCAATTACGGAGCCCCAATTGCTTCCTTGCTGGCAAGATAGCCTAGGAAACCCTACGACTGATAATACAAAAGAAATGGAGAAGGCGGAGCTGTTTATGTCCGTGGTGGTTCCCCGCATTTAACGAAGAGGATAGGTTGGGCGGGATGCTGGAAGAGGCTGTGAATTATCTTGAGAGGACTTATGGGAAACTTGCGGAATGTCAGCAAGATGGAACTTTGCTTAACGAGGTTACGAAATGCGAAAGGACTCGTCGTCGTAAACTCGATGGAGGCGCAAATGGAAGCGCAAATAGAAGCGCGGACATGCCACTCAGGGGATGGGAAATACTCGTCGTGTCGGATGGTTCTACAGATGGGACCGTAGAAACTGCATTGGCCTTTGCCAAAGACCATCAGCTTTCGCCACACCCCAAGAGCCATCCAGGACCATGGTCAACTGTCGTTGACGCGGACGGCGTACATACCCCCCCGGGGACAATCCGGGTGATCACCCTAACGAAGAATAGAGGGAAAGGCGGGGCTGTCACGCATGGTATGAGGCATGTACGCGGCCAATATGTCATCTTCGCGGACGCGGATGGTGCCAGTCGGTTCGATGACCTAGGGAAACTAGTATCAGCTTGTCAACGGATTGAAGATGTGCAATCTCGAGGACTTGCCGTCGGATCCAGAGCACATCTCGTTGGCAGCGAAGCGGTAGTTAAGGTATAGCACCCATACGCCCAATACCAATGTCACTTCTCTTCTCCACGTACTCTTCACCCACTAACAGATATACTCCGACCCAGCGCTCCAAACTCCGGAACTTCCTCATGCACTCTTTTCACCTAATCCTGCGCATACTCACCCCACCTGCCACAGCTTCGATAAAAGATACCCAATGTGGTTTCAAGCTCTTCTCCCGTGCCTCTTTACCATACATCATTCCTTACATGCACTTTGAAGGATGGATTTTTGACGTTGAAATGCTTATGCTTGCTGAATTTGCCGGTATTCCTGTGGCGGAGGTACCCGTGGGTTGGAGAGAGGTCAAAGGGAGCAAGTTGAATGTCGTCTGGGATAGTTTGGGGATGGCGTGGGGCTTGGCTATCTTGCGGATGGCTTGGGGGTTTGGCGTTTATAGACGGACTTGACCCATAGAAGTTTTGGATGTTATCAGTTCCCCTCACATTTCCTCTTTCTTGTATTTTGAATTGGTTGGCGTTTCTCACTGGGTTTGGTTCAAGTTTCCCTTTTCTTTTAGTTTCTCCCAGATGGACTACGATACGGCTAAAGATGTATAAAAAGGATATAAATGATTTGGCTCCACGTTCGATGAACGTATGGATGGGTTGTAGAGATTATCCTCATAATGAAATATGTTTGTCACAGGTTCAAAATACATGACCTCACTCACTTAGTTTGATTTTGTGACGAATGGCTTGAGTACCTTCGTGCAGCATTTGGATCCTTTATTGGAATTTTTTTTTCTCTTCTCTCCTCGTTTCACCAGGTTTCCCTCCTGATATAGCTCAACACGAGGGATGAACAAATAGAAGAAGTTTAATTCATAACCCGATTCCCACCAGAGGCAAATAGGAAATCCATTGTCTGGATTCGGACTTCAAGGGGAAATACTTGAAAGATTTAAAAAGAATGGTACTAGTATATCCTGTCAGTTGGATTCGGCTGTATCCGGATTAATGGTATTCGTACGACATAGTAGAAAACTTGATTCCAAAACAAGTTAGTAATATCAAAAAAATATTTTAAGGTAATGAGGTACGCCATTGCTCATGCTCGCCCAGGTTCGGTAGATGGGAGGGGAGTAAATCTTGGTATATTGGCATAGGTGAACTTATATCCTTCTTCAGCCTATATAAATTAAGTCAATGTAGGAAATAGAGACAGTTTGATATATTCATGCACTCGATCCGAAGCAGTGTGTTCTCTCGGATATTCCACGATTTGAGGGGGCGATTTGAACTAAATATATCAGTCAAGCGTCTAACCAGGCTAAGCAAATAGTCAAGGGCATGACGTCCCCTAATATAGTAACTACCCGCGCACATTAGCCCTAAAATAATCCCGGTATTCAAAGATAAATTATCACCATCCCACCGTCGCTGCTCCTATGTTTTGCGATGCCATGCTCGACGATCCAGCCTGCCACTGATTTACCTCACTCGTATCGGAGGCAATACGACTCTAGCCTGCCACCTCATGAGCACATACCTAAGCTACAACAATGTTGGCAAAACTGACTAAGTCGTATCGTTTTACCTCATCACCGATACTGAGTCATCTTTCCTGGTAAACATGGCCCAGATCCGTGCAATTCCACAACCTTCAGGTTGTGGCGAAAGGCTTGAATATACGCACAGGGACACCGAGGAGTCGTCTACGCTATCTCCAAGTCGCCGTCCAACTTCACCAACTTCCGATAACTCTCGTTTGAAATGGCCAGATGGTGTGTCAAGCACAGTGTCGACAGATTTTTTCGGCTTCGTCGAACAATCCCGACTAGCGCTTCAATCGCTGCGGTTCAGCTTTGAGCGTGAACGAGCGGCGTTTGCAGAAGAACGGAAGCTGTGGGAGAAGGAAAGGTCAATCATGATACATAGGATTACGGAATTGGAACAAGAACGAAAAAGGGGATCTTCTAGAATCGAGAAACCCCGGATGGCATCAAATCCCAGCGGAAAGGAGGGCCGTCAGACACAGGATGTCCATCATGTATGGGAAGGATCAAGTCCGACTCTCAACCCAACCAGAGTATTCTGGCAGGGAGACGAAGAGCAGAGCCCCCAAAGCTCGATACACTCTAAGAGCAACAACCATGGACCCGAATTAGCCCCGTCGCTTGATGAAGCCCTGTCCCTTACGACCCGACCCGTCGATCGGTATGCTGCAGTTGGAGTTCCCATTGAATTAGTTGATAGCAGTTTGGATGGGATCACCCTTAAATCTACTGCCCTAAGCCCGGATATTCTTACAAGGACCACTTCAACCTCCCCCTCAGACGCCGTATCCCCATCTCGAAATCGAGCCCTAGACCCCAAGTTGGTAGAAACCAGGAAACCCGCGCAACTCGCGCTATCGGAATTGGGACCCTCCGAAGAAAATCTCGTGAGAGACGCAGGACATACTCCAATGATAGCCATTAAGCCAGACGTAGAAACAAGCGGCGTACCTACCGAGGTTGGCACATTGACGACGGATTCACCCCTTGCGCCTCAACAAACTCGCGAGTTGGGGGAGACCTACTTCTCCACAGTTGACGAAGACCCGGCCCTGCAAGGTCCTCTAGGCTTAAAACATGACAAGGAGCAGGACATCGAGTTTCTTGAGGCCCTGGACCAGAAGCTATTAGAAGAAGCGAGAAAAATAGCTAAACCCGGGTCTCTCTCGGGTTCTTGTGAACTCGAAAGGAGTGTCTCTGGCGACGAAGAACCGCCCACGCAACCCGAACCAGAACCCGACATCAAATTCAAACACAGCACAAATTTTGGTTCAGCTTTTGGGACTTTATAATTTATTTTTATTACCATTTAATCTGCATCCCTTTTTGCGCCCTAAGTGGGAAAGAAAACTTTTTGTTATATCTAGCACGATATCCACTCACGTACAGAAGTATCCTCTGGAAATCTTGTTTCCTTTTTGTTTTTTACTTTTTACTTTTTCTATTCTTCTACCGCATATTTGGAATACTATTTTGATAGATTGGATCATCTCAATAGCTAATTTTGGTCAATCTCAGCTCCTTTCTTCTTTTCCAATGCAGCCAGCTCTTAACTGTGACCTTTGTCTCGAACGTTCTCAATCTTACTATCTCTTCGTACCTTACTCCAGGTTCGGTGCAATACATTATCCTCCTGCTGTACTTAAAGCATCTTTTCATAAGTGCTATTGCAGAAGACGCGTGGAGCCTATATGATCTACCTCTTTATCGGTGTCCCCTCTGCGGTATATACCACAATATCAACGAGGGTAAAAGGAAAAAGGGGTACAAGTAATCGCAAAGGGTCGCGTGCCTCCGTAGCTCTTCGGGGACACAGTTGAATACGGCCTCGACAAAGCGGGCATGGCTTTATAATAACCCTCGTTCGATTTCCGCTCAACTAAAGCGGAAACTCAATCAACCCTATGCGCTCTCTATACACAGGATTATTTACCACGTGTTAGTGTACTCTCAGCATTCTCAACACTGAGTTGGCGGCCGGGTAGGGTTAAAAGAACAACATTGTTTCAATGGGTGTTACCCATCTTTTCCCAATTCGATTCCTTGGATATAGTTTATCTATATGGTTTGAACCTCGTAGATATATTTGAATGAATGTGCGCAAAACTTCATTTGCATAAAAAATCAAAATCAGTGTATGAACGCTTTGTGGAGAGAGAAAGAGAGAGAGAGAAAGAGAGAGAGAGAAAGAGAGAGATAGGAAAATATGGACCGGACGCCAAATATTTGTAAGATTCCGTTGTTTTCGTGCAGGAAAAGGATTTGAGCCTAACTCCAATTTCCAAAATAAAAGTAAAGAAGGGATCCTGTGCAGGGCGGATAGCATCATAATGAATCAGAAAGAAAAGAGAATGGACATTGGAGGTGAAGTATCCATAAATCAGAGAAAAAAGAACAAGGCAAATATCAAACTGAAGTCAAAAGAAGCGATTCCATCGGAAATCAATCCCAAAAGAGAAGAAACGGAAAGAAAAGTCGATTTAAGATACGCGAAGGAAGCGAAGCAGAATTAGTTGTTCCTAGAGTGGACGAGTTCCTACGTTGAGAAAAGAAACAGTCCATCGATCCATTCATCCATTAATTCATCCCTCATATCATAACTATCAACAAATGAATTCCAAACACCGAAATGATCCGCTATATCTGCCGCCTAAACGCCCATCGTAAAATCATGCTCAATGCCTGGGGTCACGCTCGCAATAAACTTCAAGAATACGACCAAATACTGATCCACCCGTATGGCCACACGCTGCTCTTCAGCCTCTTCACCACCCTCGTGCTGCAACACCTCCCACTCATCGCCAGCATTGCCGCCTGAAGGCTGCAGTGGATGTTGCTGTTGCTGCAGTGGGGGTTCGGGAGAAAGTGTCAGACGGGCCGTATCATCCACTAGACCCTCCAATCCACTCTCAACTTTCGAGGGCACAGTTCGGGTTGCGTCTTCCGCCGAGATAGCATTTTTCAATTTTTGGCGGCGGAGCTTTAGAGCCGCGTCTGCGCGATCGAGGAGGACTTTCATCACGCTTGCGTGGCGACATGGATGCACACTGGCCATTTTTACGCCACCGTCGAAGAAGGGGAAGTCCTCTAGAGTGACGGTTTTGTCTTTGTAGTCGCCGACTATGTCTTCCATCATGAGGTGCGGGGCGAGGGGTTCAGATGGAGATATGTAGCCGGAGAGGTAGAGACGGGGGGTTCGGTAGTATGGGCTATAGGTTATGTAGAGGGTGTAGGTGCGGAGGGGCCTACAAGACAAATGTTAATACACTGGGTATATCCTGATCAACCCACGGAGGAGAGGGGCAGCTGTGCTAGGATAAGGATTCATCCCAATAGAAAGACAGGTGCTCACGATTCAGTCCCAGCCTTCCCCACCGGGTCCCTTATAATAGCCTCTTCATCATCGTCGTCATCTTCCATATCCGGAATCTCCTCATCCTCCTCCTCTCTCTCCCCAATATTCCCCGCTTCATCCACGGTCCGCACGTCCTTAATCCTTGCCTCATGACTATCTGACATTCCACCTCCGGCTCTCAACCACCCATCATCGTCATCACCACCACTCCCACCACCACTTCCAGCACCACCACTTAAACCATCTGTAACCATTACATCTTCCCGACCAGCATCTCCGGCAAAGTTATCATCGAGCCGACGATGGCATGGTACCCCGCGGGTAACTAGGAACTGCTTTCCAGGTGGTAGATGCGGCGCTCGCTTTGCCGGCGACACAGCGTCCTCCCACGACCATGTGGGAAACTTATACACTAGATAATCGCCTGCGAGGACGAATTCTTCAGGCGTGATCTGACCGGTGGAGCGGAAGGTGGAGGTGTGAGATATCGGAGCGAGACGGTCCCGCCAAGTACTCAGCGTGGAGCGGACAACGTTCATTGTCAAGACGTCTATCAGATTTTAATTTTCTTATCTAGAGACACTACTAGTTTTGTGTTTGAAAGTAATAAGAGGAAGAGATAGTCGATAGAAAACCAATCTTGAAATATCGGTTGAGACAGAACTACAGAGAACTGGACCAGGCTTCCTTTCACTACTTGGATACGATGACGTGAGGGGAATCACGTGGACTGGTCGCGAGTGCCTAAACGGCCCAGTTCGCAGGTCACAAAACAATCTAATATAACAACAACCTGTGGACGCGGCTACTGAAAAAACACCTGTGAACGGCAAATTGTTGATGGAAAACTTAGTAAAAAATCAGGTGACTGAATCACCGGAAGATCTCCAGCCTTCCTAGTATGATGAGAAGTTAACAAAATTGTGAAGGTGATCTTATGGACCCTGTGACTTGAATATCATGTTGATGGATCCATAGATCTACTGCAAGCCGTACTTTTGATGTATGTGCTGGGGAGCTTCTGTGAAGTTGAATGCCTGGAGAGACAAACGTGGCTAACCCCCGCGAACTACCGTCAACAGCAAATCCGACAGTGAATAAACCCAAAATGGCCTTCCAGCAACCACCAGTCCCCTAAAATGGTTGATGCAACGGGACCGAGTTGAGTATTCGAATAAATACTAGTATCGGTCGACCTTATACCGCCACGCTTAGAGTAACAACGAGTTTTAGGGTCGTTCCGGGCTAGATAATGTCACCCCAAGTCTCTCAAATGAAAAGTATGTAGTTCGCGATCATAGCGGCATTTCAACCCGGCCTAATAAAATCTGGTTAATCCGTGAAATGCGGCCAGGATCCGTGGCCGTTGGACCATCACCGCACTAGCTCGCTTCGCTGACAAGCAACGAAGATATTGTCAGCTCATCGTGGCAGAAGATATAAGTGTACCAGCCAAGAGCGTTCCACAACTTGGTGATGATAAAACCGGTATATATAAAGGTTGTTCGCAATGTATGCAAAATCCCGCTCATTCCCCTTCTTCCAGCATCCTCCTCGTCTCCAGCTCCGCCTCCAGCTGGTCAATGGTAAGTGGCACGGGCCGGCCCTTCCATTTGTCTTTTTCAGCCTTTGCAAAACCCTCCATACTCCTCATCCCAACAACCAGAAAGCCCAACTCTTCCCTATCTACGTCGAAGACTTCCCACCATTCATCATCCACGAGTTTCACGCCCTCCTCCCTAGCTGCAAGGTAGATAGCGGAAACCGCCAGTGCATTTGGCTGGTGTGTTGAATATAGTAGCTGTGGGGAGAGTAACGCTGCATTTAAATGTTCAAAGACTCTCCTTGATAGTGCGGCGGAGGACGTTCCAAGGGTCTGTAGATAGGTAAGCGCAATAGTATGGGGCAGAGTGACATGTGTGTTGAAGGCGAGAGTGCGCAGAACGGTAGCCTCCATATTCATTAAAGCTAGTCGCCCTGCCTGGTAGCTCCCTTCCGAAACGTAATAGGTTTCCGGAATCGGCTTTCCGGAGGAGTTTTGCCGGTTGATAAAATCCAGTGGCGAAGCTTCTGGGGAGAGAAGAAACGCGTAAACATTGATGACTGAGCGTGGAGAAATTGGCGTAAAGGAAAGTTTGGCCACAAGATAGAGCGATGCAGCAGATGCATCCTAGGTAGAAAGCACAAATATGATTAGTTTCGTTAATTCACCCGACTCCTGAAAAGAGCATTGCTATTCTTTCTCCTTCTGGGCGAAGGTGGGGACCACCAACCTTTGCAGAGTGAACAGCCAGGCTTCCTCCTTCAGGGCCAACCCAGAATCTCGTGAAAATCACAATAGCTTTGGCGATCACATCCTGCGGAAGCTGCAAAAGGACTCCAGCAGCTTGTGTAAGTCGAACAGCAGCATAACGAATGGATGTCTCCAAATCCGCAGGAATGGCGTCGAGGGAAGAGGATGAGGTCGCCAGTTGAGCAGAAGTCACAAGAGGGTTTGATAAATTGTCCAACGAAGCTGCTGGAGCCATTGCTATCGTGAAGTTATCTGCTGTCAATGCCGATGTCGTTTCTTCGATGGAGCTCGAGCGCAGCAAGCGTATGCCCGTTTCGGGCTTAGGGCTGAATTTCCTGCTTGGGACATCGTCCGAAGGTTGACGCCAGATAGCAACACAATACTCCGTACGGAGTACGCAGCATACATATTCCCCCCAATGGAGGTTTGATGGAGGCGTCCGTATGACTCATGCTCTTATCCCTTGACGAATCCTCAAGTCCTAACCCTAACCCAGCCTTAGCCCTGCTTGGGGTGGTGGGTGGGTGATGGCGGGTACATTATTGCGAGCATTTTTAGAATGGTTCACCGTGGTCTCATTGCGCCGAGCCATGTTTGACTGCGTGCTGACTCTCTACTGAATATCAATATCAAACGGACAGAACAATGAGCAATCCGGAAAACCATGTTTTGCATCAGTTATTGTGGCAAGCAAGGAGTTTGGCACCTCAGCGGGCATGCGGATCCATCAATAGACAATTATCATATAGATTTATCATCAAATGAAATTTGCGAAGGCCGGCAACCAGATCTGAGCTTTCATCACTTCCTTGATTCCGAATTCCCGAATTCCGATTAAGCGAGAGAGCTCGTCCTTCAAATGGATGGATGATAATTAAAATATCCCGCTTTCCCCCTGATCTGGTGGTGACAGGCTCGTGGGAAAATTGCCAGGTTGCCAGCCACCGAGGTATTCATCCCAGCCACTCTATTACCCACCCAACTCCATCGGTATCAGAGAGGAAGAAACGGACAAGGAGGGGGAATAAGGATCTTGTTCCTTCCATTTTATTCAACCTCAAATATAATAAGTTAACTGCCGCCTATTTGCCGTGTTTTTCGAGCTCTTATCGTTGTTATCAGAACTGCCAGCCGCCGCCAATCATCATCGTTTCTTGGCGGCTTGACCACCGCTGATCGTTTTGGCGCCACAACACTCGTGAATTCTTCGAAACATCGGCAAACCTGGCAAACCATCCAAGGAACTTAAGGAGGAGAGGTAGTACCCTGGCCATAGGAAAGCTGTGTGTCAGGTCGTCTCCCCCAACCTCGAGACCTCAACCTGCCTCGGAGAGCAGGTTCTGAACTTCGCTAGCTGTTTATATACTCGTTGAGCCAGAAAGCGCCGCCCAATCGAGTTCAACGGCTTTCGACCCAATACGTGGTGATTGCAGGTTGGCAAATAAACGCACAACTAGTCTCGGTTTTGAGGGGCTGCTAGAATCGTACACCAACATCTCACCGTTTCAACCAACCTCTATATCCAATGCTCAACACCGAATCGAGACCAAGACATCCTTCTCCAATAGTCCGCAACCTGACGTTTGCCCACAGCCACTCTACGAGCCAACTTCCTAATGGCAAACGATCCATCTACCCAATGCACGGAGATAGCGCAAGTTCAATAGATGCTCCAACGGCTTCCAAGTTGGGTGCATCCTCCAAAACCACAACTTGTTCGAAGACAACAAATACGTACCCTCGCCCAATCCACCATAGAGCGAAAACCGAAATTCTTTCTTTCCCATCTACTAAAACCAGCCCTAATGGCACCGGATACTTAGACCTTGAAGAGGTTAATCTGGAGCCTAGCATTGCAGAAAATCCTACGTCACCGCCGAAATTAAACCGCCAAACGACGCTATTCAAAGGTCTTTTCCAAGGGGGATCTGCTTTAGTTCCCTTTGGCCAAATACCTTCTTATAACGCTAAAGATACCTGCAACGCCGACAGGACCGACAAAACAACGCAAATGGCAGAACCACTCTCTTCACAACCTCAAAGCAAATTCACAAAGAAGATAAGCATGCCTTCCCCACTTAGACAAATGAGCTACACTTCTCGATTTTCGCTTTTTGGCTCCAAAACTCAGGACTCGAAACAAAATCAACTACCTGACCCTGCAGTCGATGAGTTTCTAAATCTCGATGCCGGCTCCGAGCTTTTCCCAGAGGGCTCGACCGATCTTCCGACACCTGAAGCCCTCAAAAGTCTCCAGCATAACGCAGAGCGTGTAATTAGACGACTCCAGTCTGCATATAAATCACGGACGTTCGCACTTCACCAAACACTAGCAGAAAAATCGTCGCTAGGAGAAGAGCTACAAGAGACGCATTCACGTCTACGTAACATCAAAAATCAACTGGACGGGATGGCAGAAAAAGTACACGAACAGGACAAAGCTATGAAAGCGATGGCAGAGGAACTTAAACTGGAGCGCCAAATGCGCCAAGAGGAAGAGGAAGCACGACAACGAAATATTATTCTTGACACGGAGTCCGAACCGTCACAGGATCACAACAGTGACCACAGCTGCAATTGCACCATCCGAGAAAGAGCCAGAGACGGCTTAGAAGTCAAATCTATAAGTCGTCATAACAAACGCTCTAGCGGGGTCACATTCTCCAGCGACTCAGGCTTCGAATCCAGCGACGAGAGCATCGCTGAAAGTATATTTTCACGAAAATGTGACAATCCGGATTCACCCTCGACATTAGCGACGAGGGCCTCCGGCACCTCATCGCCAGATATCAGCGTCTCTGTTGGGACGCAACCTCCAGTGCCATCCAAATCGCCAAAACCCGCGCCAAAACCCGCGCCAAAACCATCCGCTTATGACAGAATGCTCAGGAGTATCTCGTCAGCAAACCTTGGGGTTTCTCTTATGGGTTCGAGCGCGTTTTCTACATCCAAATGCTCCAACTGCCACGGCGCCACCGCGTCAGATGCGTGGGGTGTGGTTTCCGTGCTTCAGGAGGAAAATCGGGGGCTCAAAAATAGGATTGAGGAATTGGAGGTTGCTATTGATGAGTGTATTACGCTCGCTGGTGGTTGATATATAAAAAGTGAACGCTCGCTTATGGTGCTGATAATTTTATTAATCATTTTTCACTTTTTCTTTATCGGCAGGGATATAGACTGATTTGAATTGGCGATGACATGGCAACATATGTCGGGTAGTATATATATTATTTATATGAGGAAAAGATTGGATGAGATTTATACGGTGATTTCTCACTCTCTTGGTCTTATTTTTTTGATAACTGGTTTTATGTTTATTATTTTGCTAATAAACCTTCAACTCTTTCTTTATTCCATGTGTCAAATCCTTACGCTGCAGGCAGCAAGGATTTGAATTGGGGGTGGCTCTAGTATAAAGAATATTTCTCTACATTCTCTTATTTTCCATTGCTTAATAGAAAATAAAATCGATTAATCGCCTTCCTCGCCTTTATTCCAGACCCTAGACCCCTATTTTCCCCCTTGATTTCCCCCTTTCCACTCAGAAGATGATTCATTCGCAACTGTAAGCCGTACAATTCCTAGCTTGCCGACGCCCATGACCCACATTCCCATCATTCATAGCAAGGTTGTGCTTAAAACACCTCCGAAAGAAAAACAACGAAGCATAAAAAATACAAAATAACACAGTAGTCCAGAACCTTTACGCCACAGCTTACCGCCAACCCCCCTCCTTTTTCTTGTGTCAATTTCAATCTCCGTCTCCAATACCAAAATCCCGTTGCACTTCTACATGTCTCACGCCCCTCGCCTCCGCAATCAATCCCATCAATCCCTGCCCAATATCCTTGATCTCGTTGTACTCATGTAAGAGACGGATATGTCGCTGGACAATGGCAGCAGCGTCCTTTCGCACTGCTGTATTCACGTCTGCGCCTTCGGTATTTGGAGGACTAGTTTGGGTTAGTTGTTCAGGTGTGTTACGTAGGATTAGTTGACTGGTAGGTGGAGTTTTAAAAGAGAAAAACTGAGAGGTGGGGTTTGGAAACAATAGACTGCAGTACACACTTTAGTTTGTTCTGAGCTTTTGAGAGGAGATCTTCCGTTTTTGATATTTCGGAGTGGAGTGTTGAGATTTTGGAGGTGAGGGTTTTCTGGAGAGTGGAGGCTATCAGAAATGGTTTGATAGGGGATGTATTAGCAGTAATGCAGAGTACTGACAATTATCTTTTCATGCTTTTCACTGTATCGAGGGGCACTCCCTAGGCTGGTGTGGTTAGGATCAGATCTGTCTAGCGGAGTTGCTTGTGATGCTGTCGATTGTAGGCTTGTGGCATCCTGCTTGGTGCTTTCCATTGCAGAATCGTTCTGGGGTTGAGCCATTGCTTGTTTTGGCCTATTTACCCGATTCCAAGGTATTTTCTTCTGTTTTGCTGTATTCGAAATTTTGTGTACTTTGCTGTTGGATTTCAAAACACAGATCTGAAAAATCGTGTTCAGACAAGCCTGAACTTCATATTGGAGTGGGGAGAGATATTTATCATTTAGTCTCAATTTCTAGAATGGAATTCGACATGGCATTTTGTAGTGAGTGGGCACTTGAACAAAACATTTATATTTTCAGAACAGCTCAGATGGCCGTACATACATGGAAGTAGGTATCGCGATTTGCTCATGTTCTCCATTCATCGAATGAGCAGAACTCGCGAATAACGGGATAGTGAACCAATTCAAGTGCTGGAGAATATGGTGATAGATCTCATATTTTGTGATGCCCGGATCGATTATGAGAGAGAACCCTTGAACGCAAGTGACAAGGCTGTGGTAGCGCCGTTCAAGTCTGTGAGATGCAGTCTCCTCCACGACCAGAATGTCAAATTTGATATTTCGGGCCCGATCTCATGAGGTGAAATTCCCGGCTACTCGTCCTTACCACCAGCGCCAATTTGTAGACGAACCCAACTTGAATCCAATCTAATCCGATCTAAAGGAGGGTGTAATCACGTGTCACTCCGCCGCAACCCGTGAAAAGGAGAATTCGCTACCTCAATCTTCAACAAGATCTCGACGACTCCACGATGGCGGACACCGGTTTAATTCGCACCTAAATCCCCGGGGACACCGCAATGAGGATTCCTCCTCACTTCCATTTCTTTCCGTGACTACATCGGCGGAGGAATGACCAGCCTTTATGCGCTAATTTCAAATAAACTACCTTATCCTCCCGCTGATCGGCTTTCATCGCCGTTTTTCATACGTTGATTTAGATCTGTAACAGATCGTCATTCTTATCGACAATGTCGAGATTAAGTGTTTCAGCGCCAGTTCTGCTCTGGTGCTTCGCGAGGCATGCGCTTGCTCATGGAGACCATTCTCAGCTTTCGGATGGCCAGGCCATATCAGGGGATCCGATCGTACGTTGGCGGAACCCATTTCCCTGTACCCAGCTATAGTAGTTTTGTTCTAACGAACGATGAATCGTCCCCAGGATTCGATATTATGGGTACACATCATCCTAATGACCGTTGCGTTTGGCCTTATTTTTCCCGCTGGCATGGTACTGGGTGTGAGTTCTCCAATTTTCTCCGCAATACCACGCAGTTAGATCTAACAGTACTTTCTTTCTTAGATCACTCGGTCTCGCTGGCATGTTCCCGTTCAGATAGTTGGTAGTGTGATTGCGTTTGTGGCGTACTTTATGGGCCATTTACACAAGGGACGGCAGTTTTCCGAAAATATCCATGCTTCATTCGCGAATTCGTTAATGCTCATGCTTGTGGTGCAAATTGTCCTAGGAATTTATCTCAAACTTCACTTATCGCAGGGTATCCATGGCAGAATACGGCCATATATCGTTGGGAGTCATGGCGTGGTGGGCAAAGTGATGCCGGTGGTGAGCTGGGTGCAGATGATATTCGGTGGGATAACAGCTCTAGGATTCTGTCGTGCAGACCACCTTGGACAATGCCTTGCGCATTTCATAATGGGCAGTGCGTTTATCGCGTACGGAATACTTCTAACAATTCTTCTCCTTGTCGGCCAATATTGGCTTCGCCGAACTGGCCGGAGCCAAGAGTTCTTTGATTCCCTGGCTATTGCGATTTGGGGATGCATAAACACCTTTACTGAGCATCGTTGGGGGCAACCCTGGGCTCACAACGATGTCGAGCACACAAGCATGGGTATTATTTGGTGGTCTGCTGGATTGGTCGGCATTTGGTTGAGCAGGAAGAGAAATGGCCAGCCGAAAAGAAATTTGATCCCAGCCGTTGTGATTCTGCTTACAGGATATGCCATGTCTTCCCACCCGCAACACCTGCCGATTAGCACCATGGTTCACGCTTTTTTCGGCTATACGCTAATGGGCGCAGGGGCGGCGAGAATTGTAGAAATTTCCTTTGTGTTAAAGGACCGGAGCACCCTTAGCCCTGATGGAACTGATCCTAATAGCTTCCAATATATCACGCCATTTGTAAGTACTTCTAATGTTGACATGGAACCGCACTGAGCTCAGTGGAAGCTAACAATTTGTAGCTGTTATATGCATCCGGCTTCCTGTTCATGGGCGCCACAGAGGAACAATTGGCGCTCATCTCTAAGGCGGGCATTTCTCACGTCGCCTATGTCCTTATCCTCTACAGCATCGCATTCGTCCTATTCTTGTGTAAGTTAACACTCATTCACTTTCATTCATAAAAGTTGTACATTAAACTTATCCGGATTGTTAGTTGTCAACATCCTCATCCACGTGTATGCTGTCCATGCCTGGCCCGAAACTGCTAAATACAACGGCGGCAAGCCTTCATCATATTCTCGGCGGCTATCTGACCGCCGTTCCACCTCCTTGCATAATGGTAGTATCCACATGGGAATGAATGGCCATATTCGTCGCCAGGGTCAAACCCAACATGTTCACGATGCAGAGGAATTTGAGCTAGAAGGCCTTATAGGCGCGGCTGATAAAGAACAGGGTGACGATAGTCCCATCAACACCCCGATTGCTACCGCTGCCAAAGACCCAGAACGGGCACTATAAACAGAAGGAAAACTTTGTTTTGGCCGCTAGCAAAATGCTAATTCCCCGCCCTCATTACCGACCAAATAAATACGATTTGAAGATGCCGTGACGTCTACTCGAATTTTGCCGTGTCGACTCTACCCGACTGGTTTTTGCAGTATATAAATTACCATTCTTGATTCTGTTTCTTCACCTACGCTAGGAGTTATACGTATTTGGACCTACCTTTGATATATATGTATATATTTAAATTTCTCATTCAGATGGTCAGGAGATGAAGGATTGGAAGGATCTATGTGATTCCACCCTGCAACAGCATACCGAGCTTATTACCTCTACCGTCCCAGCCATGGTGCACCTGCTGAAATGGAATTAACGAACCATGGGTGTGGTTGCCAGTACCCACATAACCACTGGTACCTGCATTTTATCATCCTGTTATGTTTCCCATCTAAGCGATTGTTTTTTGTATGTACATCACTTGCCATACTTTCTCTACCTTTTGTGGGGCATATTTTTGACGGAAATTAAATTTAAGTGTTCTCTACTCTTTGTTTACGCTTTTCGAATTTGCATTATATATTGATCCTGTCTTCATATTTTTCATTGATATCATTAGGCATGCTATGGAGAGGGAATGTGAGGGTTATTATTCCCATAAATACAAGAATTTACGTTTTTTCCTTGTTGAAATAAATATCAACCTTCCGAAAAAGAATTTCTAAAGCCTATGTTTTGAGTCTAGATGTTTTATTAACAGTAACCGATCGTGCCCAAGGAACAAAGAAGGGCTGAAAACCTGTCACCATCCGTGTTCTGCTTATTCTAGTTCCGGCTTCTGTTTTCTTTGAACGCGGCTATCCGCCCTCCATCCTTTGTTTATCCCATTCGCATTTTTCAACAGGCTAACACACAAACCGATTTCCCCTGCAAATAAAAAAAGCAAAAACAAAATCACATAACAATCCCCCCTCAACCCCCGAAACTCCAAGGGGACTGTTCCGTATTTCCGCAAGAGAAAGTAGAGAATTGAGATATAGGAAACATAAGTCATCTGAACGACATCACAGATCATGATAAAAGGGTATATTTTGAGTTATTTCGCAACTGTCCGCTCAATATCTATCCCATTGTTATTTGGAATAGAGAAATAAATCCTTCGTGAAACTCCATATGGCAAAACACACACGGCGTCTTCTTTAATCGAAATTTTACAGCAAAAAGAGGACCTTTAAAAGCAGTCGACTGGGTATGTATGTAAAATCGGTTTCCGACATTTGTAATATGGAAAAACACCAAGAGAGCAGCAAAGGCCTTTAGTCCAGAAACTGAATTGGGAGGAAAATCTTAGGTCTTTTGCAAAGGAAATCTCATCTGAGGGTCGTCTCAAGATCGATGCTAGAACGGAATCGGTACAAAGCTGATTCATTCCTCAGGGAAAATAGGATGAAGCGAGTAAATAGGTGCAACGCTCCGTTCGCCATCGAACAATAATAGATTTTGCAGTGGTTGCTCCCTTGCACCTAACACGTTGATAACATCTTGGGCAAGTGAGCCACCCAAAAACGCCGATACGGGGCTCAATTCACTGCCTAGGTTGTCAAGAAAGCTTCGTATGAATTCCGCAGTGAGAGTGGATATGTCCAGGCGTAGTTCCAAATGGCGATCATTGGCGAGTCGAATAAATGTCTCCAAATCATCTTTTGTCGGCAGACTCCCATCTTTCTCTCGCTGAAATTCCCACAGAGCACGTAGACAGGTTAGAAGCGGTGTTACCTGCAAACGCTTGCGGCGGACTTTGGTAAATTCCTGAGGCAGAGGAGAGGTATTGGAAAGCATAAGTGGGCAGTAGACTTCGCGCTTTGTTATCATTTCAATCGTCTTATCGTTTTCTCTTTTGGTTTTCACGTCCAGAACGGTCCTAGTGGGCGTCTCGATTGGTGCAGAAGCGACGTTCGATTTTTCTCGCTCGATCACGAAATCGTGGCTGATGAGATCTGAGAAGATGTAGCCGTAAAAGCCATGGACTCCTGCAGCATAGAAACGACGATTGGCAACTCTACAGGCATTGTTCATCCAGCAGATTGTGTCATAGTCAAGATCTGTTGCAACAGTAACATCATACGACGCAAAGAATGCTGGAGGTTTTGATCTAATATCAATTGCTTCAACAAGAACTTGAACCCTTGGGTTCATCTGCAAAATTTGGGCAGCTGCAGCTTCTGCTCGCTAAGCATACGTATTAGCTCAAATTTCCTATCCGTAAGGTATTCAATGTAGCATGAAGACCAACATTTTGGTTGATATGTTCATCTGATAGGAAAAATTGAGCATCAATATCTCCTTGTTTGACGACCGCATTATCTATAATGGTGAGAGATCCGATTCCGGCTAGCACAAGGTTTTTGGCAATTTCTGCCCCAAGTGACCTGAGGGTCACGAGAAGGATATTCGCGGTTCGGAGTCTGGCCCGATTTTCCCAGGTCAGAACTTATTATACAAGGTACGGGCAATGAACGCACTTTTCCTGTGCCTTGACGCCCCAGAGCCGAATTTGGCGGTCATAGAGGGCAATCTCATCTGGGAGTCGTTGTTAGCAAGAATGCTGCAGAAGTCCCCCGAAACAAGTTGCGAAACTTACCGGCGGTTATCTGGTTATTTGCATTATCTGATGTCATAGTGTACAAGTATAGAACTTCAAATGTAGAGAGTCCTACACAATTGAAACCATAAAAATCAGGTTGATTGAATTACATATAAGAGGATAGGGGGTTTGCATACAAGATGAGACGAACATGAAAGCTACTACCAGAGAACCAAAGAAAAGTTTAGATTTTTGAAGATCAATGAATTTGCGCTTTTGCCCCAGTCAGGATATGCCAATTGTAACAATGGAAGGTACCAGCAAGCGCATTAGTCCTGCGGACTGGAAACTGTGTGCTGGTTGTGTTGTTGAGTTTCCTCTTGATGTCCAAAAAGTTGATGTTGAAACTTGTCACGTGGACGAGGCGGCTGCACGGCGGCAGGGTTGATCTGCTGACGTGAGCCTGGTGATTGGCCCGTGCACCGGCAACCTTGTCCGCCTAATCGGCTTGCCAGATGAGGCTGACCTGTCACTCTTCCATCAACCGCGAGGTCAGTGTCTATCTCCATCCACCATTCCATTCCCACCGGCTCTGGCCACGCCCATGCGATTGTGGCATGAGCAAATCGCACTGTGTCGTATCCATGTTAGAGATACGGTACCCGTAATCCTCCGCGTCACATCTAATGGAATTTTTGTCCGCACCACGAGCTGTTCGCCCTAACCCACTAGTATTCCCAACCTGGGGTTTAATCATCGCAAACACTACTCATTCACCTTCCGTATCCGATATTCAGTTACGACTCAACGATCTGCTGTTCCATCCAGCTGGCTTTCCCCACAATGGTAGGTGGGCCGCGGTGCCCCTCTGCGAATACATGCCGATATTTTAATGTTGCCAAAGAGTTAAAAAAATACTCTACTATTGAAATACCCTTGATCCAACAATTAATTTATTATGTAGTCCGGCAACTTTGATCTCCCTGCGGCCTCTGATCGCAATAATCAACCTAGAAATCCCGCAGATCGTGCACAGTACCGCATGCGTTTGAACACACGACTGCACCATTTGCAGAACCTACTTGACGCTCGCATGTCCCACTGGAGCGATCCTGTCCGCGAATACACCTATAACGTTCTTCGGCGCGAATTGCAAGCCTTGGATGACGCGTCTGATCGCCGCGCTGAGGTTGACGCTGCTGACACGGGAGAGCGAATAGGATTTGAAAGGGGGTCACCAGCGGAGAATCCTGTTCCTGCAACAACCCGGTCTGGGGCTGTTCTGGACCGATACTCCTCTACAACGGGACAACGGCGTCCCCGGGTCTATGCGGCGGATCGATTAAACGTGATAATTGGCGCAACGGATGGTGACAACCGGATAAACGCAGACCACAGCGAACTGGATAGCCAAAGACGTGTCGCGGCACGTCTTTCGGGACCCGGGCTCTCTTTGGGATCTGGTTTTGGCGACACTGCCTCGCCAGTTGGGTCTTCAACTTTGGCAGCCCAGGGTCCTCCCACTGAAGACCGGCACGGTCGATGGAGACATAAACGGCGTAAATTGGACTCTGATGATAAGCGGGAGGGAATCTGTCGGTTTAGATACGGGCACTACGGTGAAGTTGTTCCGGGAACTTTAGAGATGGAGATCGTCAGCTGTGACGGAGGAACATACGAAGCGTCTGGTGAAAATTCATATCCGGAAAACGTTCTGCTTAACGACTCTTCAGTGTATTGCACAAAAAATGATCGGTGCAATTTGATTCTTCGCCACCACGGGGAGACCCCATTTTGCCTACAAAAGATCGTTATTAAAGCTCCAAAATCAGGATTTGATGCTCCGTAAGTGATTTCAACCCAGCCCAATAAAAAAAAGTAATTAACCGCAAAATATCCACTAATACCCATCTGTTTTAGCATCCAAGAAGGGATGATATTTGTCTCAATGGCGCTAGATGAATTCCTGGAACGCACCGCCCAGTATCAAATTGTTTACTCCTCATCACCTCTCAGACCTCGTCGACGACGACACCCAAGAAGCAGTTTTTCCCATCGATATCTGTCTTCAGCAAGATCACCCTTACGATCTCTGGAAAGGCCAGCCGTGTCAGGGCCAGGAACTTGGTCCGACTCGGAGAATGAGCTCACCCCTTCGTCTTTCGACTCTAGACCTATTGTTTATCGCAGCTCCGCTTCTGACTTCCGCGTTACGACCCACTTTGATGATAAATCCGACGATGATATTAATGATGAAGATCCTGACGAGGCGCCTTCATCGACCGACGTCGACAGAATGCGCATGGACCAAATCGAATCCGAAATGCGTTGCCCGGATTTGGACGTCGATAGCGATGAAGCTTCTGAGTGGATCAACGGTTTGCTAAATGGAGAACAACGTCAATTTCGACGTCGAATGAGGCGGGCTGTTAATGATATTGAAGCAATTGACAGTCTTGACGGCGGGAGCAGCCGACGGCTAGTCCCTAGTCTAATTGAACCCTCATCAACATTCCGGAACAGAGACGCCTTGACTGATGGAAGTGAGCCAACCGCCTCTGATCCGGAAATCATGAAACCACACGCACGTTTCTTTATAAAAAAGGAGAAGAGTATGGTTAGCATCAAATTTGACCCACCTGTGTATGTAAAAATTTCGCGCCCAATCCCTATCTTATAGGCGTCATTTGCCGTCTCGCCATCCACATCTTATACTGATGAGTTGATATACAGATCGGGAAAGTTCATCCTTATCAAGCTGTGGAGTCCGTTTAGCGGAGGTAACATTGACATTCAAAGCGTAGTTGTCCACGGCTTTGCCGGCCCCAGGTTTTTCCCTTCTATGCGACTTAGATAGCTAGGCCTCTTTTTTTTGTTCTTTTTGTTATGCATCACTTTCCTTTTATGTCTTTTTGTTTTGCTTCGCTCCATCTTCTTTCTTTGTATCTTGGTATCGCCCCAATTAACTCACGTTGCCAACTGTCTAATTGGATATAATAACCCCTACGGGTACAATTTACTTAACTATTCATTTATAGCATATCATAACGATTATACGGAAGTATCAAAGGAAATACCACTGTGATTCTCTGATATAAACCATCCAAATAAAATTCGTGGCGTGAGCTACCCGAGGCTAGAGAGGAATGGATATCTTGGTCCATGCCGCCATCCCCGGTCGGGCTAGTGCCTTGTCGGGTCGGGTTTAGCGCCGCTCCACATGCCCCATTCAGGGATGGCATCATTCCAGCTCGACGACCACATAAAAGGTCGTTCGTGCATCCCTCCAACATCAAACTCACTTCTTCCCTTCTTTCCTCCACAGTGCCCTTGAACATTTCGCCATTGTTTTCATCCCCCGGGACCCAGTTGTCCCGCACCTCCCTACCTCCCCCTTGTCGCGGACAGAAGATACCCACCCAGGTTCCCATTTGCAATGTGGACCCTTCTCGTGCCTGGTCACATCATCCCTGTGACTTCAATTCCACCCACAGCTCACATCACATGTCTGCAAGTAAAGGCTCAGAGGCATAGCTCTGGGAGTTTGACTTCTGAGAATAATTCTCACACATCACAGAGGCCACCAGACCGAGCTATTGACAGGTTGCACTGATTTCTTGAATCAGCCAATTTCCAACCATTCTACCTTCAATAGTGCTCACTATGTCTCCCCCCCATGGTGCCTTCATTGTTGGACAGTTGCCTAGCTGTTGGCCCCACCAACTGAATCAAGTAATGCAGCACACCGCGTGATGCCCTTTCCAGCATCACCCAGATCCTCTGTGCGAAGTGGCCCAGCCAGCATCAAACTTCCCTTCTCACCCTTTCCCTCCTCACTTTTATCAATGCAACTCAACCACATATGACCGGCCCCATCTTCCTCCTTTTGCTTTTTACCAATCAGAATGAAGGACAGCCAAAATCAAAGAGAAGAAATTTGCCAGCAGCAAATAAGTCGGTGTCTCCAGTTCATATAGGATTCAGAGGTGCAGGGAATGTGTGGGCTGGACAGTACTTGATTCCTGCAATGTCCAGCCTTGCAGTCTGCCTTGGTGATTTTGCACAGGAGCAAAGAATGTGGCCACTTGGGAGACTAGAAGCAAACATGTTCTTACTGAGCACCATTTACACCTCTGATTTTCACAGGTGTTTACATTGCACTGCAGCTGGCCAGAGATAGAATTTTGAACATTCTGTTCCCCTCAGATGGTGGGAGGTGGTACTCAGACAACTGAGGTCATCTGTATAGTGATTGGTGTCGACGATGTCGGCGACAGAGTCCCCTTAATAATAAAAGAGAACTGGGCCGCCCCGTCCGTCCTGTTCCATTGACTGCCATATCATTCACCTCTGTTGTGTTTATATCGTTGGTGTCTATTTCGACTATAACCATGTCAATATCTGTTTCCAGACTGATCAATCTCGATAATGCGATCCCTTATGTCCCCAAGACAAAGGCCACCCAGTCTGCCAGCCAGTCCAATGGTCCACCATTGAGATTTACTCACTGCATGACTTCAGCGACTATGGCCGGACCTGGCGTGTGGCTCCCAGGACCAACAGCTCCTACTCATCCCACTCCCCTCCAATCTCAAGACTGCTTCGCGGCAACCTCGCACAGCCTTGCTAGCTGGAATAACATTGGGTTCTCAGTGGGTGACCAGGAATCGCAGAATGATTTCGATTTCGTATTAGACGAGTTCGGCGCCGATGGATCACCACTAGCGGTTTCGAAAGACATCGACGGTGCTGACTCTACCGTGATCGGCAGTGGCATCAACCTCTGTGGAAGTTCGTCTGACTGCGGCTTAGTGTTGACGGCGCATGGTCCGGGAGGCGCATCGTCTCAATCGCCATGTTCCGCGGTCGGTCTGAACACTGAGGACAGCGGAGACAGTGTAAATGGTATTGATGAAGAGCAAGGTAGGAACGATCAGCCTCTTGACTATATAAGTTATCTGCTATACCTATTAGCTGACTGGTTCGTATAGCGATTTTGGACCCTGATGGATGTGAAATGGCTAGCATGAACGACTTTCGTCTCAGTCCTACGACGACGAGCTGCCAGAGTGGCAGCGACCCCACTTCCTCTTCACGTCTTGCGGTGGTCGTACCAGTACGGCGTCGAGCCCCTCACCGGCGATGCAAGAAGTCTGAAATCAACTACATAAGCGACAGCAGCCCTGACAGCCCTCTAGAGTACGTGGAGCCGTATGCGGCGCGGTGTGACACGTTACAGCGGCCGACAGAACCCAGTCGACCGTGTCTCAGCCCGCTACCGCGCCGCAGCCAGCTCTCATCGCCCTCCCTCGTATCCGCTAACGCGACTGGCGGCATACCAGTGTCTGGAACGTTAAACTTAGAGGTCTGCGGGTCGGAAGTGGTATATTGCGTGAGGCTCTATCAGTCATCCGGTCTGAAGACAGGACAAAGCGACGCATCTCAAGACTACTGTGAGGCACGCCGAGCTAGACAACGGTCGCCTGATCGCTCTACACCAAGACGCGTCAGCCCCAAGATCCCGTCGGCGCGACACTCGAAGCGCCGCCGATTTACCCATGAGGAGGAGCAACTCCTTCGTAGGCTAAAGGAAACGGAGCGTCTGTCATGGGCGCAAATTACAGAACAATTCCCCAGTCGGACCAAGGAGTGCTTACAGGTCCACTATTGCACCAAGCTCAGGAAGCAGCCCTCCAACAACCGGTACTCAGCCATGCAAACGCGTACAAAGCGGCATGTGGCGCAGCGTGATGGAGCGGGACTGTGGACAGATAAATGATCTCTGTTTTGGGTATAAATGGGCTCCGAAGGAGAGGCTCAAGCCATGGTTCAGAGAAAATCAAAGTTTTCTATGTTGAAAGAATGTGATCTAATTCTAGCAGCTTTCCGATCACTTATAGTTGATCTTGTTTTTGCTTTCCAAAGTCTTTCTAGGCTTGCCATAGGAGAACAAGTGTCGTGTTAGATTATGTGAGGTCATTGGGGTCAAAGTGTCGATGGAACAATCTAGAAATTTGTATATTTAATCATCATACGGCCATATATTATTCCAGGCCTTCATTTCCTCACTATTTTTCGCATGTGTTCTAACTAATTATTTCCTTCTTTACTCTTGTAAGCCCTTCTTTAGCCTCTTCGAAGAGATTATGGTCTAATAGGCCCCGAGCCATAAAATATCTATTGCCTACCCGTTCCTGTACTTCCCTTAACAATCCTTGAGGCGTCAAATAGCGCTCGTTATCATATATATAATGGCATTGTTGTCAAAGCTCCCAAACTTGCAAAGAGCTTGTCAGTTTACACGAGCTCTCCTGTCGATGACCCCTTCAGCCTTCGTTTCCACCTGTCACCAAACCTATTATAGGGAAGCATCAACAGCAGCAATGGTCCCAACGGATACAGGTCTGATTGCAGTTTCTAACTTTTTTAATTTCCACCTTTCATTCCCAGCTAATCATTTATCCTTTCTAGATTGGAATGCCCCCGACGATTTATTCTCGTTTACCCGTGGTCGTTTCGTACTAGACGAAGCAGACCAGATTGCTAGCCGTCACATCAGGTTTAACATGAATGAGCTCGCCCGTATTGCTGCTGAGTCGGTAGGGGCAAAAGTTTGTGTTGCCGTTGAAAAGTGCCCTGATGGCATGTATAATAAGAGTTTTGTTCTAGCGATGGATAATGGGCAAGAGGTCATTGCCAAGGTACCCAACCCGAATGCTGGCATCTCTCACCTTACCACAGCGAGCGAAGTAGCTACTATGGACTTTGTAAGCATATGAATCGTCGATTGCATTTTCATAATCCCAGCTAATATTCACGAGGTGCGCAACGTACTTGGAACACCCACCCCGATAGTGTATTCTTGGGATTCTCGTGCTACGAACTCAGTAGGAGCTGAGTATATAATTATGGAAAAAATGCCTGGAGTCCAGCTCAGTCAAGTTTGGGACAATATGAAACTTGTTGATAAGATGAATCTTCGGCTTGATGTAGCTCGTTATCAGTCTACTTGGCTGTCCGTTACGTTCTCACGGTTTGGCGGACTTTACTATGCCAAAGACCTGGAAAACGCGCAGCGGGAGAAATATCTTTACCGTGATAACAAGGGCGATAAAATTTGGGACGAGCGTTTCGCAATTGGCCCTACCACCGGCCGGGATTGGTATGACTGTGGAAGGTCGCTTTTGAGTTGTGACCGAGGGCCATGGGAGCTAACTTGCCGCCTGGGCGAAGAATTATATCGTTAATCGTGTTATAGGGCACTCTGTGTACGATTACTATAAAGCGATTGGGCTTCGCGAGAAGCTAGCAATTTCAACGCTAAAGACATTGCCAAAACAAACTGTAATGGTGTGCGGTCCGGGTCTATATCAGCCCGAACGCAGCAAAAAGTTATCCGCAGTCGAAGAGTACCTCCAAATTTATGACGCTCTTCTCCCTACCGAGAGTAAGAATATTACAACACCTTGTCTCTGGCATGATGATCTCCACGACGAGAACATATTCGTTGATCCAAAAGATCCCTCCAAACTTGTTGGGATTATTGACTGGCAGTCCGTCAGCCTTTTACCGTTACTTGATCACAGTCCAGACCCTGTGTTCATTGACTATAGTGGCCCAGAACCAGAGACTTTAGACCGCCCTGAACTTGAGAATATCGAAGGTCTTTCGGAAACAGAGAAAACAGAAGCAATCAGTCAATATTATAAAAAAGCTCTCTTCGTCGCCTCCCGAAAAATCGCATTAAAGAAGACTCCGGCAGCTTATGAGGCTATTAAATACCGTCGAACGGAGGGTTTTGATTTACTTGTGCTAGCCCGTCGCCTGCTAGAATTTGGTGAAGCACATTTTCATGCCCTAACCATAGGTTTACGCGATGCATGGCCTGAGCTGCCAGCAAATAATTCTTCAAACCCCCGACGGCCTTTTCCCATTATATTTGATGATAGGCGTTTGGCAGAGATCGAAAAGGATGGTGAAAAGGCAGTACGTGGAATGCAGATCATGAGCGATTTCAAAGCCCGATTAGGGCCGCTCTGGCCTGATAAAAACGCAGTTGAGCACGGAAAATATAAAGCCGCCAAGGTTGCACTTCGAGCACTAAAGGAGGAGGTAGTGCAAGAGTTTGGGAAAACCGAAGAAGATAAGGCAGAGCTGGCGCGACAATGGCCATTTGACGACTAAACCCTAACCCTAATGTGCGGTCCTATCATTATTAGGTCATTCAGCAGCAAGTTAAACCAGCAAGAGCACTATTTTCAGCAAACCTTTTCCCAGGGCTATCAATGATTTCTGGAGTGGGAATCCAAGGCCTTCGCTATTTTTCACAATCAGTAAAGCGGAAGGGGATTGTCTAACGTGTCGCGATTCCTTTATAGAATTTGCAGAGAAATTTGTCTCTTCGATGCGATTCTTTTAGAGTTACTCATACTCCTCGGCGCTCAACCCCAAGCTACGATTCTCGGAAATTAGAGGTATTATGATTTTCGAGTTGGTATTACCTCAAAATTCGTTAGTGGACAATAAAAAGGCCAAAACATGGTCGAAAATAGGTCGAAATTTGGATAAATAACTCGTTCGGTGGTTGAAACTGATTTTTAACGCCGACGGACTCCGTCCATCCAATTATAAAACCAACCAAAGTGCCTCGGTCGCGGCCCTTGATTTCGTTTTCTTCGTTCATCTATAACACAAGATGAAAAAAAAACAGCGCTTACTCTGTCGCCTGCTGTTAAACGCTTAGGTCGGCTGGATTACTTAATTGCCTTTCACCCTTGCCAACTGTCGCTGATGGCCTACTGCGGGGTTTCGCAATAATTTTCTTCAAAATTTGGCATCAGAGGAGACGTTATGTGGGCCAGGGGGTCTGGAGATCTTGGAGATCTCCCGAGGCCCCACTTCGCCAAGGGCGCGAAATGGCTTCTGTCACCTTTTCTCGAATTCCATCAACTTCCCTTCCTATAAATAAACCCTTTCACTTCCAGCTTTTCAATGTTATTGGGCGACCTCAGCGGCCAAGAGGCCAACCAGGACAACGGCCAGTTGTTGCTAGAGAAATAAATGTTATAGTAGGAATGACTCCGGTGAGGTGACCAAGGTCCAGCGGTAATTCAATTTAGCACGAGAGGAGCCATTTATTCAGATAAGTGGCTATTCAAGACTCCCTCCTCTCTCCGACTCGCCAACGGTCTCCACACAATTCCCCTAGGGACAGGATTCCCCTAGGGACATATTTTCCTTAGGGGATGTAGTCTCCCCCAGGGACAGGATATATTTCCCCTAGGGAGTATGGTTTTCCCTAAGGGACCGAATCCCCCAGGGACTTATTTACCCTACGGGCACCGTGTCCCTAGGGGAGCCACCCCATACCACCATTATGGTTGGTTAGTGCTGTGTAACGTAGTGGCTCAAACTCCTATGCTTTCGATATTGTCTATTCTAAAACGTAGTATGCCACAAATTACTAAAGATAAACGATGGACCATTGGTTCCTCCGACATGACTCGCCGGATGATCGACCGCTGACCTCAGCGGCTAAGAGGCCAACCACACTAATGAAATACGCTAATCTTGGTGGTGCAGGGAAGACAAAAGAACGAACTGATATTGAGAATCTCTACTGATTTGGCTGGGTTTTCCCACATATTTATGTACATCTGTCAGAACCGAATCCCCGCACCCTAATCTCTCTCATAGCCGAGGAATTCGGCCAATTTTCTTAGCTGATCTGCACGTTCGTATGATTATAATCTCGTACTATCCTAGTCACGTGGACAGGATAGTCGACAGTCTTGAACTGCGGTCTATGGACCCGATGGGTCCGCGGCACCTGTAGCGAAACCCCTGGTCCCGAGTACCCAGGTCCATTGGCATCAGACCTTGGAAAACGTTCCTATAATCTAGTCATTTTGGTCATTATTCTATGAAAAACGGCCCAGTGACCCAAGTGGTCCATGGACCGCAGTCCAAAATTCTATCGGGACTAGTGGCCACTGGCTGTTGACCTGGATGGCCCTGTGTAGACTGCTGAGGTCATCGGTCGTTATCAATACCCCAATGTAACAAACCGCAACCTGACCAAGCTGCAACTTTATTGCAATACCAGAAACGGCCAAGCCAACAGGAGAAACATGATTGGTTTGTAAGTTATAAACTGCACGAAAGATCTAATCTGCGTTATATTAATAGCTTTAATAGTCTTCAAATGGGGAATTATATATATGGAAATTACAGGGGCGTCCGCGAAACAGCACCATGCTTAGACTCTGCATGATTCATAAGATGCATCTTATTTTCCAGAATTACACCGCAAACATTGCATTGAGAACCTCGGAACCCTGACCCAAGGCGGTCAACATGCTTTCGCCGAAAATGCCTAGTTAGAGACCCTGGGTCATGGTACTTCTTGGTCCTCTTGGCTAGCTGGAGGTTAGGATTTCCAACACAGAGGAAACAGATCTCCGGCCGTTGATCCGGTGAATCTACTTGCACTGATGCGATAGCTTCGCGGAGAACGACAGCAGTTTCATCTTCCAGGGAGTGCTTCTGTTTCTTGCTGTGCGTGGAAGAAGCTACATCTGGAGCGGCTCGCTTTTTCGGCAGGCAGATTGTCCTCTGAGAAGGGGCGCCCTCTTCCACGTCACAGAATGCTGTCACCGCGTTGATAGCAGCTATTCGCCGCCGGTACTCGGCCTCAACCGTGGTCGCTGGTATAGTGAGGACTGTGTCGATCAGGATAAGGTGCTGTGGCGTCATATACCCTGACCGCTGTAGTACATCGATCACCTCTTCATCCACCATCTTGCCTGAAAGTTGCCTTTCACTATCGATCACCGGTTGGTCGTTCTTGTACCGCTCAAGGTTTTCCCGCACCATACGATTGCGTTGTTGCCGTTTCTCACTCTGCAATTCCCGGAGAGTACGTTGATAAGCTTGACCCGCACGTTTGTGCTGCACTTCTGCTCGTTTACAACGTTTCCGCAATTTACAGTAGGTACATCGACGATTCTGGCGTTTTAGGTTGGTATCGAGGGATCCGTCGTACTCATTGCTACATTTCTGACATGGTATATCATCTTTTGTGTCGTCGAGAGCCTGTTCGAATTGTTGTTTAGCCTCTTCATATTCGTAGCAGCGCTGGTCCCGAGACTTCCACAGCTCGTTAACCTTGTCCTGTAGCATACGTACGCAGTCTAATTCATTGACGGAATCAGACTGTTCCTTCGTCAGCTTGAAGGGACGCCGAGGATCGATCGACCGGCTCATTGAGCAAGCAAAACGCATCAGCTTCGTTTGAGGAGTGAGGCCGCGGACAATCGCTTGGGCGTCGACATGTATGCCAACACTATAGTGCCGCACAAAGGTGTTGATGTTACTGTGCTGCAACATCACATTCTGGAGCTCGTTGGTCACATCCGCTGTCAATCCAAACTTCGTCAGGAATGCTCACGTCAGTTCATTATGGATTAAGGAATACCTACAACTATCGTTAAACGCCTTAGCCGATCCGTATCGAATACAGTACGGCTTTGTAACCTGCTCAAAACCTGTGATCTCGCCTGCTCGCTTCATGCGATAGCGGACGCTCGCTGCCGTTAACTGTTTTTCCAAGGCAAGGCGAACTCCATGTGCTTCCTGGACTGCCTGGCAGAACACAAATCGATCCAGGAGCTCATCCTTTAATTTTAGATCCTGTTGATTCAGCCCCTTTAGAATGCCTAGTTACTTCTTCATCCCTGAGTGCCAAACACCACGCTGAAACACGACGCTGAGCCAGGTTTCATAGTCATAAATTTGATTACTCAGAAAGTGAAACCAAATACAGAAGCTGAACGCAAAAAGATACGGGTCAAACGTACGGTTCTTTTTTCCCAAGGAACGTTTTGGTAAATTCGGGCGTTAGGTAGATAAACAACCTAGGTCGGCCACCATCTGGGTCACGAATCAGCCTTAGCTCTAGATGGCGATATCGAAGGTCTAGCAATGCCTGTGGTCGGCTTGCCGTGATTGCTGCTAGCTGACAGAAGAGGAGCATCTGGATTCGTAGCCAGCCGCTTACAAATGTCATCTCCGTCGTTGCTAGAAGTACTCGGGCGAACTCTGCTACATCCTCAATATACATCGTCGCCTTTGGTCGGCGAACGAGGAGAAGCTTTTTTTCTTCTGCAATGATGCCGAGAACCTAGAGTTGATTAATTAAAATTAGAGACAGTAAAGGATTAGCCTCTTACATCTTCGATCTGTCTGATGGTTTCTTGAGCGAGGCCATTCCCGGTTTCTTGCTTATACACAAGATGCCAGCATTTCCAGAATGTCTCTAATGAACTCTTATATCGGATGCCAGGTGTGTGTCGTCCATTCTTGCCTCGCCGTAGGTCGCAGCGCCAGCTGAAAAGCCCCTTGAGGTACCGGACAATCTCCTCTGCTGTGGCCAATGAGTGAAAGCAGCTGGCTGGATCCCGGCCCTGAAACAGACAATATCTGTCCAGGGAAACACCGTGAAATTTGATCAATTCCTATTCAATAATATATTGATATCAAGGTCTGTGCGTTCTTACCGATCCCAATAGCCCCTTGCCTCTTCTAGCCTCTTCAGTGTCTTTGGACTGTATCTCTGCTGTCGAAGCCGAGATACGTCTAGTTGGCTGGCCTCCGCAAGGTAGTGTTCTGGAGGATATAACACCCCATTATCATAAGCCTGGTCACTATCTAAGATGTTCTGTAGTTCATCCCCTGAATCATCAGTCTCTGAGTAGGGGCATCGAAGAATCAAGGTCAGAATCAGCATCTGGCGGCAGCATCGTAACCTGTGGGTCAGCAAGAAATTACTGGTCGTTGAATGTGCGTGGTTATTAGAACGAGGGCCGTGGGAATGAACGCACCTGACGCCAAGATAGGTTTTGGCAGCACGACAGGGGTGTTTTCGGCCGCGTCCTCACCACAACATTGACTTTAGTAGCATTAGGTTTTTGAGCAAGGATAATCTTTAAGCATAAAACCTTATTTAAAGCGTCCGTTCCTCGACAAATCTTTTGATGGAATCAATCCAGTTAAATTCAGCGTATCTCGTCTCATTTTGTCGCCAATGTGATCCCTCTGGCCCTGCGAGGGACGTCCGGTTCAGGGAACTTCCCCACAATTTCGCTTGCGTGCTTTCTTCAAGGCTGGATAAGGGTCCATTCCACACGTTAGAGTTCTGATGTTGGCTGTGTAAATACCAACAACGTTGAGAACGGGAAATGTGACAAATTTAGCGATCTAGCTAGGTCGGAGGGTATGTCCCTAGGCGCTTTCGTAGGTAGTGGTTGCGCAACATTGGGGACTCCTGGCAAATCAACCGTGACTGTTTTCCTTGTTCCCTCTCTCATTCTCCTCTCTCACGTTGTTATTGTCATTATCGTTAATTGACGAGAAAATAAACAGCAATAACCCGCTGCCGCCCAAATAGCGTAGGCGGAGCATTGATAGTTTAGAGAACGCGGGGAAGTGGCGGACTTCTAGCATGAGCCATATAGAGCCAATAATGACTTCGAGCAATTTTTTCTTTTCCAAGAGGGCATCAATGTGTCACAGGACCACGACACGGGTTGAACCATGGACCGTCCACGGGTGGTACATACATGTACATGTAAAGAATTACACATGTTGAAAACCGCTGCGCCCACCAATTCGGCTCCGCCCAAGGACAAGACTTTCGAGATCGGCCACCGCGGTCGAATCAGCTTTGCTCCTCAGCTCGCCATCTGTCGCACAAAGCTTCTCTAGCGGCGTGGCTTTGTGCAATTTTCGGCGTTCGAATCTTGGTTTGCACGCTGTGCGTTTAATTTAATTCTCAGGTTGTTCGGACCCCATTCTTTTCAGCTTCCATATATTACACGCTAGCCGCCTCCTTCCTGAAGCATCTATCGATATTTCGTTGCTTTCTTTCCCCTGTGTTTCCTCGTTTCTGCTCCCGGAAACAACTTACTTCACTTGGTCCAGTCATCGTTAAATATCCCCTCCTCCCTCTAGAATCCTTGGCAACGGACGCAAGCAGCTGAACGGATCGATACCTGAGAAAACACGTGGAATCGGAGAATGATCCAGGAGAGCAAAGGTACATCCTTGAGGCCATTGTGGTCGCCTGTTCTATATCACTTCAATTGTGTTAATTGTGATGCATAGAAGATGTGGAGTCCGGAGCCTCTTCCGTCGCCGCGCAGGAGGATGGCTTCGATGCCACTCTCGTAAGCACCACAGAAAGACGGTTAATGACCAAAATCGATCTGCACCTGCTCCCCGTGCTCTGTGTGCTCTATCTGCTTGCGTTCTTGGACCGGTAAGTCTCACAGGCTCTTAGGGAGCTACACACTTTGAAGGCGGCTCTACACTCTACGGGACAAGAGAAAGCTGACGTCCCGGTCGCATGCAGTGTCAATATCAGCAATGCTGTCATATTTGGGCTGAGGAAGGATCTTGGTATTGAATCAGGCAACAGATATAATACCGCCCTGACTATATTTTTTGTTCCATACATCTTATTTGAGGTAAGTATGACAATATTCTACTGGCATTCGTGGAAATATGTGTTGCTCCCTGTCCCCTTCTGGGAACCTAGCTAATCTAATTATGGCTTTAGATCCCATCAAATATTCTACTGAAGAAATTGAAGCCTCACGTTTGGCGTAGGTTTCCATTCAAGCTTAAATTCTTCCATATTTCATGATTGACTAACTCTTGTATATTATAGTGTCGGGATGCATGTTTGGCTTCGGGCTTGTTACTCTTTGCCAGGGCTTAGTGCAAAACTATGCAGGCCTCCTAGTCACACGATTTTTGCTTGGCTTATTGGAAACTGGCATGTTTCCAGGATGTATGTCATTGCATTTTAGATGATGAATTTGACCCCTTGTTTCTATTCCAAAGACCCCTATGGACGGTGACGAAGCTAACTTATCAAAAGGCTTCTACCTCCTTGGGATGTGGTACCGGCGTACTGAAGCCCAGAAACGGTTCAGTTTCTTCTTCAGCTCCACTACTCTTGCCGGTGCCTTCGGAGGCTTGCTTGCAAGCGCTATTGGAAGGTTGGATGGTGTGCGTGGTTTTCTTGGATGGCGGTGGATTTTCATCCTGGAAGGGCTGATAACATGCATCGTCTCCTTTGCATTTTTCTTCGTGATACCTGGCTTCCCAGAAGAAGCGAAATGGTTAAACGAAGAAGAACGGGCTTTCATTCGGGGCAAACTTGCCAAGGATGTTGGTGCTGCGGGCCATGAGGTCTCGCTGCATTGGAAGGACGTGCTTGATGTCTTCAAGGACTGTACGTAATTCGTCAGGGATATAACATACCCCCTGATAATTGCAATGCTAATGCCGTCGCAGATAAGATCTTTGTTGGAGGACTTATGTACTTCGGCCTGGTTGTGCCTGCTTACGGTAACTAACGCCCCTCTTTTCCATCACCAATCATTTTCCTGTTTACATGTATTAACCAACCTCTTATGATAATAGGATACGCTTACTTCGCTCCCACCATTATCAGGACATTTGGTTATGGGCGTAAGTAGCCGCATTTCGTTCATTTCGTTGCCCTGACACACAAATATCGATCAGAGCATTTTGTGCAATACAAGCAATCTAACCGCACCTGCTCACAGCCATTCAAACCCAACTCCACTCCATCCCTCCATGGGCCGCGGCCTTCGGCGTCTCTCTTACAGTCGCATACCTATCCGACCGCCTGCGTAACCGCTTCGCTTTCACTCTCATCCCTATTTGCATAGCGATTGCGGGGTTTGCCATCCTCCTTAATGTCCACGGTGAGGCTAACCGTGCGCTTCAATACGGGGCCCTGTTCTTGATTACGTCCGGCGCATACAGTGCCATGCCAATTATCATTTGCTGGTACTCCATGAACCTCGGCGGCCATAAGCGCAGATCTGTCGGCATCGCGTGGCAGATTGGATTCGGAAATAGTGAGTTCAGAACCCTTCATTTTCCCCCTTCCTGTCTATTTGTTTTGATAATAAATCAACATAAACTCCCTCCAAATTATGCGCTTTTGAGCTACTTGCCTAAGGCAAGACGACTAACAATCTATACAACAACAGTCGGCGGAATTATCGCGACCTACTCGTTCCTCCAGAAGGACAGCCCTCAATTTAGGCCTGGCCACGTGATCAGTATATCCTTCATCTGTCTCTCCGCTGCGATGTGTGTCGTTTATTTCTTCCTCCTTCTGCACCGTAACCGTACCCGCGACAAGCTGGCAGCAGTTGATTCTTCAGGTGCTCTGAAGCAAGCCGCGATAGATCCTCTTCAGGGAGACTTGAGTCCCTCATTTAGATACCAGTTGTGAAAGCGCTGTTTACTTCTTCTTTCAGCTTCTTCTCCCCCCTTTCTCTTCACTTCTCTTCTCTTTTCTTTTCTTTTCTTTCGGTTTTTCCGTTTGCGCTTTGGTTACGTGGACATTCAGTTTTGCGGATATGGCCATTTGATACCAAACGTATCCAGGTTGCATTACCAGTTAACTATTAGAACTATACCCTTCTTACATAATTGCTAATGGTGTCGTAATGGCTCGTTGGATGAAATTCTTCTTCTACCTTTCATGCATCCATCCCCTTAAATTCGATCATATAATTGCCCATTATCAAGCTTCAATTTACAAACTAGGCATTTAAACCTTCGCAATCCTCCAATCCAATCCACGAAAAAAAAAAAAAAAAAAAAAAAAAAAAAAAAAAAAAAACCCCTGGCTACTTCAATATCGCCATACAATCAAGTAAGCATATATAGCACTTGTATTCCGCTGCGCTATCTCTTCCCTTGTTGCAATGTGTGATATTTAACCACAGAAACACATCCCATATATACTGTATTTTCGTTTCATAATTGAGCCGTTCCACCCAAGTTCAAACAAGGCTTCTAGATCTGATCTAAAATCATAAAAAAAAACTTCAATGACCTCAAACCCTTCCCCAAGCTGAAAGTTGAAAGTACCCCTCGCATTGTATCATATCCTGCCTCGATTACATCTATAAGTAATAAAGGGCTTGAGATTCTCTGATATGGGAAAAATGAAGAATGGGTTGGCAGGCAACAAGTTCACTTAACTGATTGCCTCGAGAATAAGTAGATACCAATTGGACTGAGGCAAGGGATGGATGAATAATAGGGAATTTGTACTTCTATCAAAACTTATGCTCATATCCAGGGGGGGGGGGGGGAAACAGGTCTCAAGGTTCATCCTCATCGTATTTCTCATACCACATTAAAAATAAAACCAAAGGCAAGTATAAAGGGTCATTTGGAACATAAAAAGATGCTCATGAATATATCTAGATCGCATCTAGAAAAGGAGAGATCACCATCACAAACTACAAGATAATTTATACGTTCGGACCAGCCTGCACCACAAGCACACTCGCTTGGACGGCATTCGATGTTGACGTCATCGCCTCGCCAAGCGCACCAAGTGCCCTCTTTGCTTCCGAAGCGATCTCTCCTGAGGAGGACGACAGTCCTGCGGATGTCAGTGTGCCAGTGGCCACGTTACTACGGCCGACGATGACCAGGTCGCCGGTATTTTCCTTCGAATTTCCAACGTCAGCTTTTGCGGCGTCTAGGACAGCAGTGACTATAGTTGCTGGCGCTGTTGTAAGATCCTGGAAAATCACACGGGAACTGAGTGCCTCTGGTATGGAATCACGGAGGGTATTAAAGAAGGAATTATCAGTATCCTTATCCTGACAGGTTGAGGTTGATGGCGTATTGGGACCTCCTTGCGCAGGAGAGGCGGCGCTAGTTTCATCGTTTGTATCAACATGCAAAATCGTAGCAGTTACGGCTGTGTTTTTAGCCAGCTGGAGGACGAGGCGGAGTGCAACTTTATCATCCGCACCCCCAAGGTAAGGAAAGAAAATATGATGTCCTTGGTTCAGAGCCGGAGACAACGTAATGTCGGTTGCTTTATAAACACTAGTACCGCTGACGGAACGGCTCAAATGTCCAGGTTGTGGCCTGGTTAACTGTAGTCCGCCAAACCCTTTGTTAACAAAAACTCCAACAGGGCATTTCGCCTGTTTCAGGACATTAGACACAAATGCAGCATGAGGTCCGCTCGAGAATTTTTCTGTTTTATCGTCGAAGAGGAGAATCTGATGTTCACTCATGACCCCTGTTTCGCTCCAAGGAAGAAGAATAAAATCTGATGAGAGATCACGAGCCTTGTTGACAATGGTCTCGGCGTACGCGTGCTCAGGAGAAATAACGACGGCACCAGACACAGCAAGTGTGTTCAGCTGGCTAAAGGTCCTGAACGTATTCAGGATTGGGTCGCTGAAGCTGTAATCACGAACTTCTGATACCTTCATTACACTAGAATCACGGTCTGTAAGTTCAATCAAACGAAGCCCATGAACTTCCACAGGGCGTTCTTTGCTGGCGGGCATCTCGTTTTTCCGGTCCTCGTGGCGATGGTGGACCTTACTGCTAGTAGTTTTTGTATCATCTCCAAGACCCAACAGAGAGACAAAGGTAAACAGCCCTGCCAAGTTGTCGAGTCGTAAATAAACGAGGAACTTCTGGGTAGATGAACCTCGTGCTTTCTGCTGGGCGATACCTGAACTGCCTGAAGGGTCACTCTCAGACGAGATTTCATTTCCATCCCAGTCGATCTCGCCGCGCCTCCACCTCTCCATTCTATCTCGATACGGCTCCGGGTACAGATAAAGAGTAAGCGGTGTCGTAGCAAATGTAGTAGCAAGCGCCATGACGACGAATATCGTAAAAGTTCGGCCGCTGAGAATTTTCGCTTGAAGACCGATGTTCTACCCAGTTGGTAAGCCAAATCGTTTCCGAACAGATGGAGGGACAATTATGAAAACGGTTTTACCTACCAGGACAATAAGTTCAACCAACCCCTTACAGCTCATTAATACGCCGATAGCAGCACTTTCCCTCCAAACAAGACCATTCAGTCGAGACGCAAGCATCCCTCCAGAGACTTTAGCTACAAAAGCAATGACGATGACAGCGATCACGTAACCCCAGATTATTCCAGTATCCAGCAGCCCAATATTAGTGTTAAGCCCAGAAAGCGCAAAGTATAGAGGAAGGAAGATGGCTCCGATTAAATCTTCGATCTTCTCCGTGGTCTTTATGGCAAACCCTCCTTCATGCGGGCAGATGAGTCCGACTAAGAACCCACCAAAAATTGCGTGCACGCCTATGACCTGAGTAAAGAATGCAGCACCCAGTGCGAGAAGTAAAGTCAGCGCGACCACAGACTGATCAGGGCCGTTATGTAGGCTGCCAGTACGCTTCAGGTACCAGATGAACACGGGCCGAACAGCGAAAGTTAAGAATAGGATGAATCCAACACAAGTCAGCAAGACCCAGAGGGCAGTCAGTCCAGTACTTGCGTTGACAAGAGCAACGCAGAGGGCGAGGAGAATCCAGCCAACAATGTCGTTACCGACTCCAGCAGAAAGCACTATCTCGCCTACTGTCGTGTTGAGGAGTTCAAGCTCCGTTAGGATACGGCAAAGGACAGGGAAGGCCTAATAAAATGAAAATTAGTTACAAATATGAAAAAGCGATAGCATTGGAAACGAAGGGGCTTACCGTGATAGCCATTGCGATACCAATGAAGAGAGCGTAAGTTCCAAAACTGATCGGGGACAGAGACGGGTCGTCTCTGAATTCGTTGTACAAGCCATATGAAATTGCACAGCCGAACCCGAACGGTAGGACCATACCAGCTGCAGATACACTTACGGCAACCCTCCAATTGCTCAACATGGAGCGCATATTTGTTTCAACGCCAATAATAAACAAGTAAAGAACCAGTCCTAGGTTGGCCACGAGATTGAGATTGGGTATCGATTCATCCGGGAAGATCGCAGCACGGAATCCAGGTATCCTTCCCATGACTGACGGACCTAGAATAATGCCACCAATAACCTCAGATATGACTCGAGGCTGGCGAATCTTTGAAAGAGGGTAATGGAGGGCCCGGCATATGATAATGATAATGCCGGCCTTATCGAATCGAGGTACAACAAGCATTAGAACGGCGGCCACCAAGTAGTATATCCTGGATGAGGAACGTATTGCGAAGAAGGCTTACTTGAATGATGAAGAGAGTGATGGGGTTCTTGGGGTCATATTTCGAGGGATTATAATGGTCAAAAATCCCTCCCTGAGGAGTTGCCCTCACTGTAGGTGTTGGGGAAGCCATCGCAGTCGCGGGTGTAACTGAAGCGATGATCCACCAGCGACGACCTCGAAACCCTACACAAATTCAGACCAAAAAAATTGGATTAAGGGAGACCAGAGGAAGAGATCGGAGAATAAATAAAGCATCCCTTTCCATCCCGCCTTCATACGGGCTCCTGTTGGGGGTGGGAGAGCGGAAGGAAGAAAAGATATCGGGAGAACATCAGCAGCTCGATGACCTCCCTCCATCAGAAGCTTCAAAGGAAAGCTGTCGTCGGTGGCTGGTGGTTAGCTCGGCGCTAGTCACGGAACCCGACCGATAATGATGCCACTATTTTTCGCATCAGGCTTAGAGAGAAAGCTGAAACCCATCCAACCGTGCTGCATACCCCACCATGCGATAAGGCGTGTGATGGTTGGCTGGTCGTTGGTAGTTGGCTTGCGATGTCCATCCTCGTGGAAGAGTCCGAGGCTCATAAACGCCAAGCCACGGCTCACGTTCGGCTCTGCGCCAAGCCTGGCCTTCTCCCGCCTGACTTTGGGGACTTGGCCGCGGCGGGACTTGGCTAGGTTTATGGCGGGGGATTTGTTTCGATGCCATCCACAGGTGGACTTGCGCCCATACATATGGGCGATCGTTCTCTATCATGTGCCATGAGCCAATCTCGCAAGGCGGGGCATCTGTGTCTGTCTCTTGATATTGGTCATTTCGCTGGCCATTTCCGCCGTATTTTATCATGGCAACGAGTTCTCAATCTACCATGCTTCGGAATGACGTGATTGCTCCTATGTCGCTCGGTCTACGAAAAACCGAAAAACACCCTTAGATTCATATGTCAATCACGATGGACGAATCCGTGAGATACCATTGCCTCCCCCTTCCCCCCCCGCTGCGCTCAACAACGGCACAAAAAGCCACACAAACTCACACAAAGCGTGTTTCGACTGGCGTAACGTGACGTTAACTCACTTCATATACAGGTAGGAGAATGGTCCACAGAGATAAATCCAAAAAACCAAACTCAAAGCTATGTGATTTTTCCACATCCTCTCTCTCCTCCTGAGCCTGTACAGACCAAACTTTTTAGTCAGGGGTTTAAAGCAATTGGGAGAATGCGGTAATATAAACCAGATAATGGAGGAATGGATGCAGGCGACAGGTTCTAAATAATAGTTCGCTAGGATCACCAATTTAATGGATATGTCTAATCCGTATTGCTGGGACCAAAGAACCCCACACCGAATGGGGAGGGAATGAATGAAAGGTATATATATATATATATATATATATATGGAAAGAAAAAAGAATCATAGAAGTTTACCCAGTACTAATAATAGGCGTAGAAATTGCTTTTTACAAACGCGGACATAATAAGGTAATGATAAGGATAATAATAATAATAATAGTCAATGAAGATATGAATATATGAAATAAAAACTAAAATAATACCACGTCACGACGACGAACCCTGCTGTTGCTGCTGCTGTTGCTCAACCGCTCTCCCCCACACTTTCTCAAAACTCGGAGTGCCATCGCCGTCACCGTCATCATCACGCCCACCAGCGGGCGGCACCGACGGATGCTCATGCTGTTGGATCCCCAGGTCATCAGTGCTCTCCTCACCCCCTATATCCGGCACGTCACCTTTCCCGCCGCTGCCCAACTCGCCAACGTCCGCCCTCGGTGCAGGGGAACCAGTTGAACCCTGGCGCGACGCGTTATTGGCATTGTCAGCATTACCATCAGCAGCTGTCGCTGAGGGCGAGCGTTCTCCCCACCAAATCGAACCGTCCTCCTTGTCCGGGCTGCGGAGAGGCAGCGTCGCGTCAGCGAAGTTGGTGCTATAGACAACGGCGGCGAAGGCTTCTAGTTCGCGCACGCCTTGTTCCATGGCTGTGAGGTAGTCATTGGGGGGTTTGGCGCCGTTTCCGATTACATGGGCTTGGCGCGCGATTACGGCGAGGATAGTTGCGAGCTTGGCCTTAGAGGGTGTAGTGGGGGCGGAGGTGTACGTGGCTGGAGTGAGGGTCACGGATGAGGAGAAATTTTGCAGGTGTTGTTGTTGCTGCTGATGGTGCTGTAGCGTGGAGGATGAGTGGTGGTGAGAAGGAAGGGGATTTTTGAAGGCTTCGATGGCGCAGTTTTTATCGATTAGGGTGGAGAAGGCTTCGTTGTTGAGAAGGGTAAATATTTGGCTGAATTGTGGGGAGTCGATGAGGTCGGAGGTCTCATCTAGGAGATGGCGGAGGCTGGAATTGCTTTGTGGGGACGAGGCTTCCGAAGCCGAGAGGACGCCAGATTCCTCCAGGACGTAATTCTCCTGATCCCGCGAGGGGAGGAGATATGGTAGCCACATGGTAGATCTGTAAACGGCGTTTTTTTTCGTTTAGTATGCAATCAACCAAAAATAAATAAATAAATAAAAAACGAAGTATCCTAGGTACTATGTTAGAAGGGGCAGAATGCGTGGGCTCACTTTCGCTCTTCCTCCGTAGCACCTTCAATCCTCTTCCGTACAGCGAGTGTCAATTCGGATAACCTTTCCTGCGTGATATCCTCTCGTGGATTTACTGGTCCAAATACATCCTTGACAGCTTCCTTTGTCTTTTCCATCAACTGTCGCCAGCCACGGTGTAGCAGCCACCAACTAAATGTTAGATAGCGACGATTTGTTTCGAAGTCATTGCCAAAGGCATGCCCAATGCGTTCGTCATCATGGTCCTCAAGATTGATAACTGACTGGTCCTGAGGAGGGGACGCGAGCGATACCACGCTCGAGAGGTAATTTCGTCTGCCGAGGAGGTTGAGCTGGATGCGTGTGAGGAGGGTGAGGAGGGAAAGGGTGTAAATAAGGGTAAATGATCTCGTCAAAGCTATAGATATCTTCTCCGTTAGAACATATACAGATAATCAAGGTTTTGATACACCTCTTTTTTCATACGGGGTCACTCTCACAGTTTATCTTCAGGTCATTCCACAATTGTGCTCTACTCTTCGGTTTCTGGGTCTCCGCTTCCGAAGAGCTCTCCATGGTATGAACATACCCCTCGCTCCGGAAGCTTGAAAGACTACGTCCATCATCCTCCGTCGCGCTTGGGACACCTGAGCTACTAAGATCGGATCCCGTTGTCTCGCCAGCATTGAGTTTGGCAAGCCGCTCCGCCTTCTTTTGCTGCAACTCATTCGTCAGCTCCTCGACTGGTAGAGCCTCGAGAATATTCTCCGCGGCCGTCGGCAGCAAGGCAAGCACGGTAAAAGTGCAGTCCGTTTGGTTTTGTTCGAATCTCCTTCGAAGACTACCGTGGCAGGATGAAAGGAACATCAGCTGAGAGGCAAAAAAAAAAAGAATTGTAACTGCCAAGGTGGGTAGAGTCATTCAGGGAGGGTGGTTAGTAGCTGCATGACATACTTCTCTCGAGCAATCCGTTCGCTACTCATGCGCTCTCTAGTCTCCGATATCTTCGATAGGACATATTGGCCGGCCAGGTATCCCGCTCCAACAACACCAACGCCAATAGCTATACCGTTGCGATGGCGGCGAAGCCAGCGTCTCGTCGCGCTTATCATTTTATGATTGCGAACACGAATTAGAATTTGGGATGGCGATGAAATATCCAGCCAGATGATATCATAACTCTCTCATGGCCTAGCCCTCCCAGTAAAGACCCAAGTCCTGGCAAATCTCAGAAACAGCGAAGAACAAGAACGCTCACTGGCGAAGATATCGCTGTCCCTTCAGCTCCAGAGATCCTCGGCTCAGTGTCATAGCGGGTTTTTGAGTAAGGTCTTGGCATAGATACCGGATAAACATTTCCCCTTTCTCTACCGGCGACACTTGCAGAATGGCAGCTGAAAATGCAAGAAGTGTTGGCTCAAGTGTGTGTTAATGTGCCCATTCAGCTGCTACATAGCCACATGAGCGTTGGCATTGTCTGATCACGCTAGCTAGGATAACGCTCTGGTGCCTGCTGTACCATAGTAGAGAAGGACGCCAATAAGACTTTTGTAGAATGCGGGATGCACGGCTGGACAATGACGTAATTAAGCCAGAATTCATTGTGGCAAGTTAGTTAACTAGATGATCGATATCTTGCATCAGCAACAATCCGATCTGTCTGGATGTTCAAGATACGGAGATGCGTTTGCATCTTGTCCGCAGTGCATCCCAGGGGAATCTCTTGCCACCCCTTGGCCACGGGGAACCCATACAATAAGAAGTAGAATGCTGCTCACCGCCTGGACGGGAGGGCAGCTGCATTGGATGCCCTGATGACTACGGGGCGCTTTGCCTTGCTAAAAGCAATTGAAAAACAAGCCGGGCCCGCGGGGTTGGAATATTCGAGCCCCACGTGGAGCCACCAGCAAGGAATCATCCATGAATGTATACTGGAGGGGCGTATGCATGTGGCAGGGCTAGCAGCAGCATTTACGGGAAAGCCCACTTAGAGGAATTGGGAGGGGTCGCGGAATGCCTGGAACCTCCGCTGCCTGTCGATATGGATCAGATATGCGCCCACCTTTGAGGGTTCATGCTAGGGGTGAGTTTGGGGTGCATCGATAGGAAGTGACGTAGAATGTTTATTTAATGTTTGTTGAAAATATTGAATGTTTATTTAGTTATACATTTTTATACATTTAAACGCTCCAAGGCTATGTGCGATACCAAATACGCATGAAGCTGGCCAGGAACTGGGTTTTCCTAAGTCTATTTCTCCATTCATGTGCCTTTCGATCACTCTCTGGTAATATGAAAAGTCAAATTCTCAGAACCGGTGGAAGCCGGTGGAGTGGCACCGTTGCTAAACGATGGGCTAGCTGGTTTCCCCCGGATCCTGTTCCAAGAATAAAAGCATCAGCCCCAGCCCCAGCACGAATAGCAAGACCAGCACGAAGCGCGCTCAAACCCGGCAAGCTGCCAGAGGGCTGAATGTTTGTTCGACTTAACATTGCTCGTCATAAGAATGCCAGAGCCCTTCGCCACGGTTCCTGTTCCACTCACTCCGCCGCCCTCCGCGCTTACGCCGCGATTTCTGCGAATGCCCGCCTGGTAATGGACGTCTCGTTTCTTCGGAGTGAACGTCACTTTCCAAAGCAGAGTTCAGCTCAACGCAAACGAGTTTCACCTGCTGAACCGTCGCAACTTATAAGTTAGTCAGAGAGCTCGTCAAAGCTACGGGAGCGTTTCAGTCGAGCGGTCGAAACACCAAAATAGCCACGGACGCAAGAACACACACACCAACCAACCAAAAAAGGGGGATAAAAAGGAAAAGCCCCGCTTTGTGGAAAATCTGGCTTTTTGGGAACAGATTTCTCCCCGCCCCTATTTCTCTGCTCGTTGCACAGATACCACTTTCTGCTCCAATGCAAAGACTTCAGCGTTCAATATACCAGCAGAGAAAGACCAGAGTATAATATTAGAAATCAGAGGGAAACGAAAAAAGATTCTAGTCGCCGTTCGTGCCCCCAGCGGGTCCCAATCAACTTCTTAAAAACTTCCCCGCATCACCCACAAACAATTGCATTTTTTTGCATTCCGCATATTGATACCTGAAAATTCCCTATTACGATCTTAAAACCCTACGCAACACACAAGGAAGCACAAAGCAGAAAGAGGGGGGGAGAGAGGGTGAAAAAAACAAAACATAACTATATCATCGATTTTACAGAGCAAAAACGCGCAGCCGGAAACCATGCTATCGCAAAAGATAAACTCTCACAAGCCGCCAGAGTATATCCTCGAGGTCTTCGCAGATCCCACATCTGTCAAGGATATTGTCAAAGGTGAGTTAAATCTCTAGACCACCTGCTCCCTACCACTTCCACCTCTTACAAAACCGCCCCTACCAAACCAAATTATATAGAAAAAGAAAAAGAAAACCACTAACACAACCCACAACCCAACAGGCATTCTCCACACAATCTTCTTCCACCGCTACTTCCCCTGCATCCGCCCCACCTCCCTTGACGTGCTCAACCTCACCTTACCTGCCATCAGCGACGTCGAGCTCGAAACCCTCATCGACGCGCGCGTCAACGCGCTGGTGCGCCACCATCTGTCCTCGTCGGCCAATTCGCCGAATGGCGGCGTGCGAGGGCGAATTGCGGTGCAGTTCTTTGAGAAGCGAAGGCGGAAGGTGGCTGGTGGGTTTGGGGCGGGTCTTGTTGGGGGCGGTAGGTGGTTTGTAGGCGGGCTGGCGGGGAGAGGCGTGGGCGGCGTTGGTGGCGGCCGTGGTGGTGGGGCTGGGGAAGTGGGAGCAGGGGGGGTTGGTGGTGGTGCTACGGGTATGAATGAGGAGGAGGTGTGTTGGGAAGTGTGGACGGTTGATGTTACGATTGCGACGCCGCGGACGGAGTCGGGTATGTTCTGCTCTTTTTCTTCTTCTTCTTCTTCTTCTCCTTCTTCTTCCGTCGCCGTCTTTATTTTTATTTTTATTCATGCCACGCTTTCCAAACGAATGTTAAAACTAAAAGAGATTCTTCCGTGTTTATGTCTAGATCGCACCAAAGTCCGCAAAGCCATGGAAAAAATGCTACAGAACGCCGTGTTTAAGATCGTTTCTGTCGTCAACAAGGACAAGGATCACATCCCGCCCATTACCACGAGCGATGCCAATCCATTCCCATATCAGATCGTCCTGAATCCCAAGTTGGATAATTGGGGGAATAAGTTCGGGCTATATTGAGGCCCTCCCTGCCCCGACCTGCGAATGCGAATGCGATGCGATACGATGCGATGGTTCGTTTCAACACACGAAATTTGACCGAAAGACTGATATTTATTTATTTATTTCCCGCGCCCCTGTCGCGTGTAAACAAATGCACCCCATATTTACCCGCTGTCATCTACGTCGCCCGATTTTGTTGGAGCGGAGAGCTGTGGCGAGTATTCAACACACACCCGAGTACAATAGGGGGAAGGGAGTTCCTTGTGTTGAATGCCCCCCCGAAAGAAGAGTAGAAAAGCACTCTTCTGTTCCTTCCTGTTATTCGATCCTAGGATAACAGTTGTTTTGCGAATTGAAATAAATAGCGGCAAAGATATTTCATTCAGGGATGAAGAGCAGTATGTATCTTGATTCAGCAAAACACGGATCACCAAAGGAAAACGAAAGGGTGGAGAGATAAAAATATATTATGCCTCAAAGAAAGGGACCAACAAAAAGACAGAAACAAACAAAAATTGGTTACCCCGAACCTCCAGGATCCCGGATCCCGAATTCGCGTCGCCTCTTGCGCTCCACCCCATATCCCGTGACGTCAACAGCCGACGCTCCTCAAAATCATCTAAACGAACGATAACGGAAATACAGAAAGACCAAAGTTTGCAGTTCTCAGTATCCGTGGAGGTCGCTAAATATAGAGAACCACACTATGCACAAACAAAAGCCTTCCACTGTTACAATTTTTTTGACAAAAACTTGATCATGTCTCATAAAACTAACGGAATTGAAAGAAGACTTGAAAAAATCTGTCAAGGTGCCGAGGCAAGAGTTTAATGGCAGGGTACGGCACACGAAAACAGAAAATTTTTTATTCTGTCGTCCATTTCAACGTCTTTAGGACGAGTGGGAGTGGGCCTTGGCGGCTTGCTCTGCCTGGGAACGGAGGTTGGAGGCAGTGGATCCACTGGTGAAATACCGGGCAAAGATTGGCTGGAGGAAGGAATGGAAGACGAGTTGTGCGCCGCTAAATGGTTTGATGGGTATGAGTTAGAAGGGTGGACGTGCAACGAGATAGGGTTGACATATACACATATGTATAGATATATATAGATATATGGGGTACCGCAGAAATGAGTACATGCTTACCTGGTCTGGGGAAGAGCCATCCACAGAATAAGAACAAATTTGAAAAGATAGTAGAATGCTGCGCCCAGCTCGTCAGTATTTACGATGGAAAGAACAGTATACAGATATTATTGGGGATAGTAGGGATAGTAGGGACCTACGAAACCAATAGGCAGCACTGATAGCGCTCTCGACAACAGTGAAACAGGCATAGACAACCCAGTACTAATTGCAGGTGATCAGTATTACATCATGTGGGCGGGAGGAATTATACGGGTGTGGGTGTCCTGGAAGAAATTGGCACGAACCGTCAACCACTATATTGTGATTACGGCATGTCAGCAATCATGATCATCAAGAAAAAAAGCAAGGCGTGATAAAATGTGACAGAAGTAGCGATCACTCCAAAGATTGAAGGCATAAGGATGATAGTCATACCTGAGTATCATCTGTCTTTGTGGTTGTAAACAAAGCCTGGAGAGAGTAGTATCCGGGAACAACAAAGCCAGCGAGGTTGACCAGGAAAGCTCCACCAATGTTGAAGAAAATCAGGAAAAAGTAGATGCCGACCAGGCCGAGAAAGGCATAGACCTTTGGAACTGATGTCTGTCTTTCGAGATTGTTCAGGACCGGGTATTTGGAAAGCTAGAGTTGATGATATTCGAATCAGCACAAGAAACCGGAAGGATTAGGAAGATCACCCCATTTGTGGGTTCAACCAGCTGGAAGAAACGGACTCCGGACACAATAGAAATATGATCAAATCGTGCTAGGACATTTAGGATATATATATATATATAATAACGACAAATGCACATACCTCCTTATCGATCTGAGCGATCTGGTGCTGGACACGATCTTGGAAGGACATGATAAATGCGGTGTGTGTCGGTTAGAACAGCTCAAAAGCCCGCAGAGTGGCTAATATAGGCTGAACCGCCGGGTTAGATGGAAGCAAAAGACGTCAATTCGTAAATGAAGCAGAGGAGTGGTTGATAGTAGCAATATGTAACTCACAAACAGACGGTTGAAGAACAGGAACAGATTGGAAGTTGGCAGATTGGAGCCTTGGATGTCGATGAAGTGAGGATGGCAGGGGCCGCTTCCAAGGTTGGCGATTCGGCTGGAGTAACATGCGACGTAATGCGTGGCGTATCGGCTGGTCCCAAAGGCTTGTCAATGGCGTATCGGGCTGTACGCCGCGTATAATTACAGGTCAAGCGTGAACGACTGACTCAGCAAGCAGGCACTTTCACGTGATTGATTGTGCCATTTTGTGGCTCAGCAAAGTGATGTGGCTGGGAAAGCGGCTTGCTCGTCGCGTGACCTGCTGTGTCCCAATCGGGGAATAACATTCAAAGCGTTTCCCCATCAACAACATCTTGTTTACACACACCTCCAGCACCACACACACATATCCATCAGCATGATTCCAACGACGACGGCAATGAGAACAACGACAATAATGAGCTCTTTGTAGCGTGATTTTATCCGATTTGTCTATACGTTCCCTTTCTTTGCCTGAAGTTGATGCCACCACGATTTACAGCTTCCTCTTCACCGACCAACCCCTGTCTCGCCTGGTATTCTCGAGTCTCAATCAAAACAGTCGCTGGGACTCGGACCCCACAATAAACTGGCGGCTTTTTGCCAGTCAGCGACACAATTGGATATGAACCATCCAAGCATGGCTCCCGATATTGGTACGTACTTCTCTCGTCGCGTTGGCCGGGACTTGGTTTCAGTTCGTTCACCTTGTTTGACACTGGCCACTGGGTTCTAAATTGCTGAAAAAGATGTCCGACACCGTCTAGTGCAACATCCTTCCCAAGGCTCCAATAACCTGCCACAGAACTCACAACCGCGATCACGAACCCGTCAAAGCACAGCCGAACACACGCGGTCATATTCTACCACAACTGCTTCCCGGATTAGTCGGCCATCGAGATCGCGTGGTTCGACCGCGAGCATCCATTCCAACACAGCCCAATATAATCCAGATCAACATGTCACGGAGGGATATCAGTCGTATATTAACCCAGAGCCTGGCCCAAGCCAACATATATACCATTCAAACCCTGAGGAGATGATTATCCGCTTTGGTGACCAGCTGGCCAATTCGAATTCTGGTATTGTTATTGACCCTGCGCTGCAAGAACACCCAAACAATGTCGCCGGACCCGGAGCTGACAGACCCTTTCAAGGCAACGAGCTTCATACTCACAATCTGCCAATTCATGGACTACCAATCGAGTTACCCCCCAACGGTAATCCAAGCGATGTTCCACCTGGCAACTATACCCAACTGTATGACAGTGTAGATCCCCAGCTCCCAGACCACTTGTTGGGCGAGAACGAAGGCTCTGAAGCAGGACCTCGGAAACGAAGAGGCACAACCACAGCGATAGCCAATGATAATGAACTACGTCGTCTACTGCGTCAATATGATGGATATTCCTTACACGAAATGGCTGCTGAAGTTCAGAGACATGATGGCACTGGTGGGAAGTCGGAGAAGGTTAAGCAGGTTTTCGCGATGATATGGTATACCAAGAATTGACACTGCTCTTTGTTTACGATGCTGACTTCAGTATTAGGTTGAGAGAAAATTGTCAGAAAAGTTTTGGATCAGTTCGACGGGACCGCGTTTATTGCTCCTATGCGGAAAAGTGTGGAACTGAGAGAGTTTCCGTCTTAAACCCAGCCTCCTTTGGCAAGCTTGTCCGCATTATATTTCCAAATGTCCAAACTCGACGTCTTGGGGTTCGCGGCGAGTCCAAATACCATTATGTCGATTTGACAATTCGAGAACCTAATCCAAACCCACCAACGGAAATTCCAGAGAAAAATGCGGAAGCTACTCCGTCTCGTCAAAAGATGGCCGATAAATCCCAAGAAAGGTGTGACTTCATTACCTTGAAAGTTCTTTTACTTTTTGTGTCGTTCAAGTCTAACATACCATTCCAGTACCTCGCAACAACAGAGCACCACCAGTACTGATTTCACCTCATCAAGAAAAATTACTTCTCCCACACCCGATGTCCTTCAACCTTCGCCGAGTGATCATTTGTGCGACCATTTGCAGCCATCAGAATTGAATATTATGGAAACGGTAGAAACACCTCTTATCGAGACCCAGCAACTGATGAATCAACTGCTGCAATTCAGCCGTCCTAATGAAAGCCCACCAATCGACAATGATTCCCTTCAACTTCCCAGCATTCATGGTTATCTGCCAGCCAACACCGACAGCGAAAGCGCCGATGCACTTGCAGCTCTATACCGTTCACATTGTATATCAGTCATCGACAGCTTCCGATATTGCAAAGAGAAAAATCTCTTCCGCCATTTCGCTTCTTTCCAAGGCACCCTTACCGTTCCGGTCCATAAGCTCCTCAATCATCCGAACGTTGCACCGTGGATTAAAGAATGCGATTGGCTGATGTATCAAAAGATGATTGCTTTTGTGGCTCCTTTAACCACTCAGGTTGTGCCAGATCCTGTGCTGAATGCATTCGGGTCGATTTCTCGAGGCCTAGTCTCCCATATCAAGGAAACTTTGAAATCCCATCCAGACCATGTGTGCCGGGCTAGACTTAGCCCTGCGCGGATATTTTGTCGCCTCCTGAAGCGCATGTTAGACGTTAATCAGTCTGCAATTGCTGCTTCTGCCTGGCTTTGTCATGCTGAAAATCGAACGAAAATGTGGGAAGACTTCGTTTCGTATATAGAACCGATGGACATTGTTGCCATGGCAAAAGTTCCAAATTGCTCTGTTGGAGGGGTATTGGATATCATGAAACACCAAGTAAAATCACTTATTGCCCCCGACGATGACAAATCTCCGGATACACAACTCTACGGGGAGCCATTTAGCTATCAAAAATTATCCTATTCGTCTACAGATACCTCAGGATACGCCCCATTCCCCGACCGATGGATCGCCTTCATCTTAAACCTCCCTGTCTTGTTTCCCAATCACAAGGCCCAGTGCATAATCGACAGGGCAGATGCAATTTGGACTCGGTTGCTCCATCGACTCACCCTTGGGGGCGCTCAGAGCTTTAGTGCGTGGTGGATGACAAAGGTGTTCTTTTCGGAAATGATGTTGTGGCAAGCCGAAAAAGGAGGATTCATGGGTTGCACCGCTCAATCCTTCGAGGAATCGTCGCTTGCCCGAGATCTTATCCAAGGGGTAGTTGAACCACGTTCGGTACAATCAGCTTCAGCTAATTCTGACACAAATTGGTCGCAGAACTCTAGGCTGCGGGCATCGCGGTCCCAATTGCAACCGCAACTTCCCAATATAATCCCAATAGTCCAAGCTTCTCCAACTGCAAACCTCCCAACCAGCGACATTAGCGCTTCGATATCAAAAATTTCCGGCAACGACAAGACAATTGCTGCTACGAATGGCAGTGTATCGCCAAGTAATCGAAATTTGACCCATGATGATAGTGCCATCGACCTCGAAGATGACTCTGCACTTCTCAACGCTAACAAATACGGAGATATGATGGCGTCTGACCCTGCTGATGCAGAAGGTCAGGTTGTTGTTGTATAGAATTTTCCACTTTATTCGTGCATAACATTTTAACTTACGATACTGGTTAACGACACTTTGGTTTTTCGAAGTACATATTAACATCCAGAAACATGGGAGATTTTTGTACTTTTTACACATTTTTCTCATCCTATTCCTGTTTCTTTCCCATTACCATGTTTAGTGATTTTGGCTTGGTCGAGAAAGGTCTTTGGAAAATCAAATCAAAAACAGTTTCATGACAAAGGGGATTACTATTATTTGTCACACATATGTATGACTAACCGACCATTTCTTTGCTGGGTTGATGTAACCATATCATTTCATCTGAGATTGGTTATACTCAGTCAAGCAAGATTATCCAAAATCTTTTTCGGTCAGCTCATTGGAATATCCACCCACTTCTGTTTTGTTCAATAACACCTTCTCATGGTCAGTGCTTGGGTCTTCATCTTTCCAGAAAATATGTTTGCATTCTGGTTTCCACTTTTCAAGTGGGTGTTCTTTCTGTCTTTTCTGAATGACAGCTGACTTGATATCCACTTGTTTTTGCACCTCCCTGCTCTGGATTTTCATTTCAATTTCTGTTACAGTTTTCGGGTTTCAGTTTCAGTGTATATGGCTCGATTGATACTGGCTTCTGCCAATGCTTTACACACGCATCACCACAAAGGAGGACTTTTAAAGTTACAGAAGCTGTTCACCTATCCCATGGATGATGAAGTCTAATGCAATTCCTCTCTATTGCCTGAATCTTCTGTTCTGCTTATCATGAACACTATCTTGTTTGTGTTGAGGCCTTTCTTTCTCCATTTGACATCTTTGCCCCATTTGCTTCATGCAGATGAAATGAATGTTCATTTATCTATCAGTCCTTGTTCTTCCTCTGGAATTTAGTTCTATTTTGTATTTTGCCTGGTGTCTTGTTAATGTTTGATTGTTATCTACTTGTTTTCCTTTCCATCCATTCTTGTGCATTTTCCTCTGTTTGGTGTTGTGTTAGTTTTGTTGTTCTCATCTGTTCCCCCTTGGTCCTGCACATAGTACACTGCACATTAGGCATGTATATGGATGGAAAAAATCATGGTATACACCTCACATCCCTTATCAAAGGAAGTTTTTTCACTGTTCTTATTTTTGTGTTGGCTTGCTTTTCTATTTCCCCCTGTGTCTTTGCAGATGTTTGTGGTGCGGTTTATTTCCTGATATGTGTGTATGGGGCTGACTATGGTTGTCTATTGTTTGGGCGCGCGGGGTTGGCTGTTTTTACTTTTAAGTTGTTTCCTCTATCTTCTTTACACAAAACATAAAAGAAAGGGTGGATAAAGGGCAGGCTTTATAGGGTGTTGGCTTCTCCTTTTTGTTCATTGACTTTGTCTCGTGCCTCTGTTGATTCTGTCATAGCTAACAGTTACCTCCTTGTTATTTATTCTATCAGTCGTCTCCAACTGGAGCTGAATGATAGGGGATGTACTGTACGTATGTATGTATGTGTATGAATGGTATAATGTTTATTAATTCTTTTAATCCTCACTTTCATGGCAATTTTTAATGTCTGGAATTGCGAGTTTATGGTATGTACAGTACATGACATTATTATTATCTCCCATAGATAGGGGATTAAACAATTATAGTAGAGTTATATCGAAAGGAGTTTGAACTCTTCAAACCATCCATCCCTCTTCGTCAAAACGATCCCATTTTCTTCCCCAGTTTCTAAAGGTTCGAAGCCCACGTCTCTCTTATCATTCATTCCCTCTTCTCCCTCCCCTTTAAATCTCGTCTCTCAACCCCTCTCCCAAGCCCGCTCTTCTTCACAACCTCACCCAAACTCCGAAACACCCACAAAAACCCAAAACAAACAACGATCAAAGTCACAATCTCAATACTATGCACATCCTCAAAAAGTCCACCACCGTCCCCAATTTTCAAAACTGGCACCTGTATCTTCTCAACCATCATACCCCTCTGCTCCACACCCGCATGCGCATCCACACCTGTCGCAAACGCAGCTGTATCGGGATGTAATTGGTAAAACAGCGTCCCAGGCACAAACAACGCATCCCACCCTAGCCCTACTCTGTCGAACGGGTTGATTCCCATCGTCTTTCCTCCGCCCGCCGTTTCACCTTCTCCTCCGTCTTCAGGTGCACATGCCCAGAAGACCACCGGCCAGGGGACGCTAATGTTCCTGTAGCCGCTAGGTGAAGGATGCAGATAGCGCAGGTGTAGGGGTATGGTTATTTGCCAGTCATCTTCGTCGTAGTCGTCGTTGTCGTCGTCGTTGTGGTTTCCGTTTACGTACGTGGTTTTATGTTTACGCGACGGACGTGATAAAGGCGTGGCGAGTTCAAGAAGCAAGCTTGAACCCCAGCGATCTGTTACCCAGTCTGGAGCTTCGAGGTCTGTTTCTCCAGCAATGGCGCGGAGGGAGAGGAGGTTATGGGATTGCAGGAAGAGCGGGTCAGTGGTGGATAGTTGGTATTTGTCGGCGAAGAGGGAGGATGGAAGCGTTAAGTAGGTGTGTAGGGAGCATTCGGAGTCTGGGGGCGCACGCGGGGGTGGCTCTGAGAGGGAGGAGCGCGGGATTGAGATCTGGAGGGTTGGGTGGAGTCCTGTGGGGTGTCGGAAGGAGATGGTGTATTTTGAGGAGTACAGGAGGGGGTGATGGCGGGATGGAAAGGAAAAGAGTGCTGGTTCTAGTAATATGTTAGCAAGCAAGAAACGGGAAGGATGAGGAGACTGGGGTAGGTAAAACGTACTTAATGACTGATCCTCACCTAGGACGGCTAGGAATCCACCCACGGAGAGGTCTTCCGGTTTTATGGCCCGTTCTAATGCCAAAATGCCCACTTCTACCTGGTCCGTGGCTGTCTCGCGTTTTTCGATTGTTTCTGTCCATCCACCTTTCTGCGGAGGTTTGGACCAGTAGGCCGCTACTGTAAGCGTCTGCGAGATGCTGTCGTAGTCGATATCTAGAGAATCCGCAGAAAGAAACGAGTTTACGTGCGATTGACAGGTGATTTTATGTTCGTCTCCCCGCAGCGAGCAGATCTTGTGTTGGACGTAGGTGACAAATTCGTCAAGAGAAGGGACTAGCTGGTGGAATTGGACTGGTGGATTGGAAGTAAACCTTCTAGCGAGCATTGGTGCCAATATAAACGAGGTCTGGTATTCGCAGTTGATCAGAAACAAGATCCTATGGTCAGGAGGGATTTTCGGGGAGGGAAATGCTTTACCTCTGGAAGATAGCATTTCAACTTATCATCGAATACTTTGCGTAGCAGTGGGCACAGTCGCGCTCTATGGTTGTAAAGCCAATGAATAAATAAGCATGTATGCCACTATCAAACCCCAGCTAATAATAATCGACAAAATACAACTCTTACGCAGGACGACCCTGGTCAACTGGAGTGTAGAAAACGTGCAAGCCAGGTGACACTCTACTTGGGAACGGTGGGACAGCATTGTAAAGATATTGCGACGACCAGCGGACACGCAGTTCATGACATTGTCTCAAGACTTGCCAAACCTAGGTTAGTTAATTATGACGAACTTTTCCGCTCTCTAAGCAAGGAATTACTGAGATGCCCTTTCCGCAATGCAATATCACGGAAAGGAATTTTTTTTTTTTCGTAACTTACCTCCTGGGGAAGCTCATTGAAGGTGAATGTGTATTTTTCCTGGAGGGCTGCATGTAGGGATTGGACAGTGAGCGAATCATTCCGCAGGATGACTTGCTTCGGATCGAATTTCCCTTCCCCATCATGAATGAAAGTGATTCTCTTTTTCATTTTCTATGTGTCTGGAACGGAGCCAGAGTTGTGGTTGTTGATGGCCTGTGTAACAGTATGTTGGGAGAAGTTGAAGTCAACGGGTTTGAAGGTTGCTGTCCCAATTAGGAATGGCGCGCTTCAATGCATGTGAGCCACGGCATGGAGCTTCTATTAGTTCAGACCTGGTTTTAGTTACAGAATTGCTTGCTTAACAGTTTTTCAAGCCAACACCAGCAGAAAGTAGCAAGACTAATAATAAAAAAGAATTTACAGTAAATCAAACAGAAATTTGTGATAACTTCTCGCAAAAAGAACGTTAAAGAATAATAATTGAGGGAAGAGTGGGAATGAGGAGGAATCATACTTGGAGCATAAAAATGGGAAAATGAAAGCTGGTAAGAGAAAGAAGGATAAGAAAATAAAAGGGAGGATCGAAAGAGGAAAACATATCCCGCTGTATAATACGAATGAAACCCCTGTTGTCAATATTGACAATAGAAACAGCAGAAAGACAAAAGAACGCCAAATGCTTCGACCCATGTCTCGCTATTTTCCAACGCTGTCATTTCGTTATCTCCACAAAAAACAAAAACAAAAAGGAAACAGGGAAACCAAATATTCCTGCAGCTGGAGATGGTGAGAAGAAGAGCAGGGGATCTGAGGGAAGTTATAGGATTTCCTTCAGCTTCGTTTTCTGCGCTTGAGTCAGTATAGTTGGGAACTTGATCTGGACCTTCACAATCAGGTCCCCGCGTTGACCGGGGAATTTCGATTTTGGCATGCCGAGGGATGGGAACTTCTCCTCGAAGTTTGGCTGTGTCGGACCCGCTCCGGATACTCGCAGCTGTTTGCCCTCGATGGTGGTTACTGTGCGGTTCCATCCCGTTAGAGCTTCTTTGAGGGGGATTTCGATGGTTGTGATAAGATCATCCCCCTCACGTTTTAACGTTGGGTGGTCTTTCTATTGCGTGGATATGTGTTAGTGAACGATTTGCGAGTGCAATGTAATATTCATGTATTTCCACTTAGACAAGAAGAGAAAAAGGAATAATATCAAAATCGAACTTACCTCGGTAATAATAAAGTGAAGGTCCTGCGTGCCCCCTTCCTCCTGATCTCCCACCCCAGTATACTTAATCTTACTCCCTGCTTTCAACCCAGGCTTGACATCAAACTCCAAAATCTTATCCTCCACACTCCTCTTCCCCGTCCTTTCATCAAAAGTCTTCCTCTTAATTTTCATCCGCTTATGCACCCCGGTAAACAATTCCTCCAATGAAAGCGGCAATGGCCGCTCCACTGTCGTGACCTCGGGCGTCGGTGCCCTTCGCTGTGTCCCAGTTGAACCACCTTTACGCCTTGCCCCAGTTCCCCTTGCACCACCACCTAAACCACCCAGGATCGAAAACAGGTCGTCGTCATCCATTCCCGCACCGCCAGATCGGGCAAAGTTGGAGAAGATATCCTCCGGGTTGCTGAAGTGGAATCCACCAGGGCCACCACCTGTGGAGAAGTGGAAAGTCCGCGCACCGCCGCCACCAGGCATGCCTCCAAAGTTCGCGAAACCACCAGGCATGTCACCAGCGCCGAAAGGCATGCCTCCCGCTCCGCCAGGAGGAGGCTCTGTGGCGCCCCCACGCAGCAGGAATTCGAGGCCATATTGGTCATAGACTTTGCGTTTTTCAGGGTCGGATAGAACTTCATACGCTTGGGATACCTCTGCACAAAATGTGAATTTTCTCAGCAACCTTTAATAATTCCACTTCAATGATCCTGACTTCTTTCGTCCTTTTCTTGTGTGTAGATATATACAGGAACAAACTTACCTTTAAATTTCTCTCCAGCACTTGGATCGTTCTTATTCTTGTCCGGGTGGAATTTCAGTGCTGCTTTCCTAATGTTATGCTTAGGAGTCAGCAGAAGCCGTTGTGGAGAACTAGGAAAAATGACAAAGGAAAACGACTGACACAAACGGAGTACAACGAACGAAAAACTCAAGGAAATGCTTAATGTGGTATATTGAAAAAAAAAAAAAAGAAAAAAGAAAAAAAGAAAGAAAAAAAAGCAGAAGGAAAAAACAAGGGGAAAAAAATGAAACAAATGATGGGAGGAGGGGAAGAGACATACTTGTAGGCTTTCTTAATCTCATCCTGAGTAGCAGTTGGAGGGATGCTTAGGGAATCGTATAGCTTCGTTTCCACAACCATGTTTCTTAAACTGCGTTAATTAATGAGGAATGGAAGAGTGTCGTCGATACGAGAGACGAGGCGAGAGCGGATGGATGTGTTAATGTTGAATGAACGGACAGGATTGGGAGAGGAAGATCGGTCGAAGCAGGGTGGCCGAGAGCTAGTGGCAGGTGTGTGTGAGCACGCTGGTCTTTTCTGGTATTGCACACATGCAAGTATGCGTGATTGTGGGAGTATATAGAATGGGGCTGCTCCCAGTGGAAGATCCAAACGGAAGAGAAAGTGGGAGGATGTTGGTACTCTACTTACCTTTACACTGCTGTGTGTCGAATCAAGGCACGAGAGAGGCGACGAAGGAGGTAGGAGGGATATGTGACGTGTGGATTTATCAAAAATCCACAGGTGTGGTCGTGTGTAGACGGACGATGGTGGTTGTAGAAAACGAACGGATGTTGGTTAATGGGCGGTTTCTTCTGCAGTCTATTTCTTGACGCTGTGATTCTATGGTTTGAAGTTGGCGGTCGCAGTTCGAAGAATCGACACAGCAAGTGATGGAGTTGGATCGTGTGTGAAGCAAGTGACGTTGTCCCGCTCAGCCTTGGTCCCCACCGGATATGCAAGCAGGAATGGCTTTCTCAATTCCTGCCGAAGCTAAGCCCGAGCACAAGAAAATCGGTTGCATCATGGCGGGAACTCAATTCGATGGAAGCTTCGCGAAGCTTCCATCAACTACTTCGGTGGTCCACAGGAGCTGGGGTTGAGGATACTTCGTTAATTCCCTCTTTTGGGTGTTGAAAGTGGAATTCTTATTGATATTTGTATGTATGCATGTAACAATGGAGAATATTCACTTGATCCAGTTGATAAACCGCTGTCCAACGCTTTGTTGTTTCTGTTGTTTCTTGTTGTTTCTTGTTGTTTCTGGCCAAAGCTTTAGTGGGGTGATCCAGCCCTAATCAGAAGCCCTAATTGGCCCGATTCGGACGGTTTGCAGGTTCCGCGATATGCTTTATCTAGTACCCGCTGTGATTTTAATGATTCTATCTATATTGTCACCTTTGTAGCGGCCGATTCAGGAACCAGTCATCCATGCATCTAGATCTAGGTGTATATGATTTCCCCTTCACTTCGTAGCTATCGACACCACATCCTCATCAGCAATGACATGTCCCAGCCCCACCCGCTGTGGAACATGGCGTGCACTGGCCCCCCAAACCAACGCATATTTAAAATTATCCTTCAGTGTCCGATGAATTTGATCGCACACATCTTCGATCGTAGCGTTATTGCGCACAATCAATGCCTCTGAAAAGTCGGGATCGACTCCCTTTCTGTTATAATTGCCGAGGTTTGTAATGAATTCCGAGAGAACCCCATATGTGGATGGATAGAAAGAACTTACCGTTTGGTGTATACCCGCATAAGCTGCAACTCCTTCCAGCACCGATCAATCACGTCCTGTATACCCAGATCCAGTTCACAGCTCATAACGCACGTGTTGGGTTCTCGGGCTAGTTTGTCGAGGAAGTCCAGGCTGACACTGTCTATTTTGTTGTAGACATAAAGGCTGGTGGGCAAGAAAAAGTGTGTTAGTTCGACAGATGTTACGGTTTTAACGAAAATCAAGAGAAACGAAACTACCATTTAATGTATTTCCTGTGGTCTTTCATAATAACGTCGATAAAGTCATCGACAGTAGCTGAGCAAGATATCCATTAGTTCTCCTCGCCTCTCGTGCAGCATATTTAGGAAGAAAAAGGAACGTGGAAAAAGAAAGAAAAAATCCTTGAATCGACAAACGTACCATTCTCATCCCGGACCAAAACTTCGCAATTCAAAATCTTGTAGTCGCGTAATATATTGAAGACCATTTTTTCATCCAGATTTTTCGGCGGCGTCTGGAATGTGATTTTCATACCACCTGCTTTTTTCGCTTTCAGGTAAATATTTCTTCCAACACGTAATGGAGATACACATATATTAGCATAGATGTTATGAATAGTGTACCGCATTAAAAGCAGCAATAACTCACGGCGGTTGCCGATTTAACCGGATTCCCACTGCCTCTAATTCAGCTTCCAGTAGCGCCCGCTGTTCAGCACGTTTTGTAGCATCAAGAACCATCATTATTAGATCGCTAGTCTAGAAGTAGAGATTGTGTTAGATATACGAAGTTAATATATTCAAGAACAGAGGAAGAGAGCCATAATGAAAAACACCGGGGACAAAATGCCTGCACACCTTCGCGGCAGAAATAACCTGCCTCCCTCTGCCCTTACCCTCGGCTGCGCCTTCGATAATACCAGGGAGATCAAGGATCTGGATCTCGGCACCGCCGTACTCCAAAACGCCCGGGATCGCCGTGAGCGTAGTGAATGAATATGCTGCAACTTCACTCTTCGTCTTCGTAATCTTTGATAAAAAAGTTGACTTGCCAACGGATGGGAATCCCACCAGGGCTATTCGCGCATCCCCGCTTTTGCTCACATCGAATCCTGAGCCACCGCCAGACCCCGCTCCACCCGTAGGCTCGAGAAGCTGTGCTCGTAGTCGTGCAAGTTTTCTGCGTATGTCAAGTTAGTTATATTTTTTTGTCCGCGAGCTCAGACCTAGTTGCTATCGGGACTTCTGCTGTGTATGGAATGCAGACTCTGCTCCCTTCCAGTCTCCAAACAGGAGGCATATGTTGTCCGAAGCCCCTTTAAACAGACAACCTCCAGGCTTGTTGACTTGGATCAATTGGGTATGAGACAGCATTTTATCACAAAAGGAGGTTTTTCACACATGGAAAGGAATGTTCGCTTTGCAGTTAGAGAAATTGAAAGAGAAAAAATACGATATTTCACATATAGGACATACCCTTTGAGGAGACCAAGATGGTATTCTAAGAGCGATTTTGATATCAATATACTGCCACCAACAGATCGTCAGATTTGAACAGTTTTACGAACCCGTTGCCTTATTCTCTATTCACCAGAGAGTCAGCCATAGTATTATTTGCAAAGAAGGATAGAACAGCTCACTCTGCGTCCTGCGCATCTCCTCCTCGATCCTATATAAACAGAAACATCACCATGTTAAACTGGCTCATGAGAATCCAGGGTTACGGTGCTCCCTCACTCTTTGATTTTCTCTGTGATATTCACCATTTTTGCAATGCACCCCTGTTGGGTGAAGGGATTGTTCCTTAATAAGGCAAGATGGAGTAGATAATTTATTATCAATAAAAACCAGTTTAGAACAAATGCCGTTCGCAGTTACAGCGGCACGCATTCCTGGTGGGAGGAGCGAGGGCCAGCCGTTTGGCTTATATAATCCTTTTTTTCAACCTCCTGCACCTTCACAACCAGGCGGGCCAGAGAGCTACATAATTCAACTCCAACGCAACAAAGACCAACGCAACAAAATACCAACAAAAAAAACTACACCTTTAGCCATGGCCGATGTAGCTGCCATACAGCAGCTTACTGTTCCTTCTACCTCCCCCGGACCCGACACTAGAATACAAGAAGCCTCAACTCCCTCCATGGATCTCGCCGTCTCAACTGGCGCCGACACCTCACTCGCGACAAGCTCTACTGACGGAGCAGACCCTGAAAAGAAAACAAAGAAGATAATCCGCCGAAAGCGAAGACCAGCCCGGCCACAAGTCGATCCAGCAACGGTAAAATCCGAGCCTCCACCGCAAACAGGCACCATATTCAACATCTGGTACAATAAATGGTCTGGTGGCGATCGCGAAGATAAATACCTTTCACAACAACCTGCTCCTTCACGCTGTAACATAGCCCGTGACAGCGGCTACACGCGTGCGGACAAAGTTCGTGGTTCATACTTTTGCCTCTTCTTTGCACGCGGCCTGTGCCCCAAGGGTCATGAATGTGACTACCTACATCGTCTACCCGGCTTGCATGACCTGTTCAATCCAAACGTGGACTGTTTCGGCCGTGACAAACACAGTGATTACCGAGATGACATGGGCGGCGTCGGGAGCTTTATGAGGCAGAACAGAACACTATACATTGGGAGAATACATGTCTCAGATGACATCGAGGAAATCGTCGCGAGACATTTTGCTGAATGGGGCCAGGTGGAACGCATCCGTGTGTTGAATTCTCGAGGCGTGGCGTTTGTGACGTATACCAATGAAGCAAATTCACAGTTCGCCAAGGAGGCAATGTCGCATCAGAGCCTAGATCATAATGAGGTACTCAATGTGCGGTGGGCCACGGTTGATCCGAACCCGTTGGCTCAGAAGAGGGATGCACAACGAATTGAGGAGCAGGCGGCAGAGGCAGTGAGAAAGGCGTTACCAGCAGAGTTTGTGGCAGAGCTGGAGGGGAGAGATCCTGAGGCGAGGAAGCGGAAGAAGATTGAGGGGAGTTTTGGGCTCAGTGGTTATGAACCCCCTGATGAGGTTTGGTACGCCCGTACTAGGGAGTTGGAACAGGAGAAGGAGGCACGACAGATTGAGGCTTCGGAAGCTCGTTTGATTGAGGATGCCCCAGCAGCGACGCAGCAGCAAGTGGAAGGTGGTAGTTGTGGAATATTATGTAGCTCCACGCTGAGTGCATTGAATGGGTTTACAGATGGAAGTTTTATCACAACGCAAGCAGCTCCAGCTTCCAGTGGTCCACTAGTGGCTTATGATAGTGATGATAGCGATTGATTTTGTAGGTTAGATTTTCAAATATGATTGTATGTACTGTACAATAGTCTTTTTAAATCCTTGAGGCACTATTCTACATATTGGCAAACATTAAACTCTCTTCTGGAGGGGGACCATGCAGGAGTTCCGTAGAAACAGAGGCGTATCATTCAATCATGTCATTCATGGTTCATTCATTTAATATTCATCTCTAATAGGTTCATTTCTCATTACTACGTGTGAGATCATAATAGATACAACTACCGGTCCGGTAATTGTAGATAAACGCGTTCTTATATTTTTCTTTGCCGTCCTGAGGGTCTCGACGCTCATTAGCAAGGTCGTTGAGCATTTCATGCACCTGAGCCATATACTTCCTTTCCGTTAATGGGCAGTTCTGTATCAAAGTCCGCCACCTGTCAGGATCTGAAAGACGAATGTCCCGGAGGGCTTCCAAAATATCGTCTCGAGTATCAATTGCTGCAATAGGTCCATCAAGCGCTCTGTCCATTACGCTGCGTGATTCACGAATAGCTATAAAACGAAAAGGTAACCGTTAGAATAAGGCCTTCCTTGCACCAATTGTTTGCAGTCTTCAAAGGGGACATAACATACCGGCCTCAATGATGTTTCGCCTGTTCATTTTCTTGTTCCGGTGGATCGCGGTCAAAATCCTGACATCCGGATCTTTTTCTCCAGCCAGAACGCTGGACTCTCGATGGTACAGATGTTTCAGGGGTTTTCCAGCATTTGTTAGACGCTCACGTTGATTTCGTACGCGGATTTCACTTAGAAGCCACGCCGCCAACTCAGAACTTCTCACCTCATACTCTTCCTTGGCGCTAATATTCTTAACTTTCAGGCCCCGCTCCATGCTATCCTGCTTGACGATGACGACCCAGCTATGATTATCATTTTTATATCGCGTGATAATCTCCTCTAGGGAAGAAGCATCGACGGAAAGTTCAGCACTTATCCCATGCGCCCACAGGTCTTGAACGACCCCAACACCCACGGTACGAAGGACCGAAGGGTCGAAACTAGCGACGAGGACATCACACTATTTCAATCAGAATTCGCCAAACTCGAACTTCTCTAGCGAAGGTTTCACTTACCCGTCTAGACCTCCAGATTCCGCTTATCTCCGTCTCTCCTTGCTTGAGGAAGGCCTTGTTTGACCCTTTCAGATAGTTCGACATTGAGAGGTACAGTTTTTCCCATCCGAGGTTGAATCCGACAGCATGACGCTGGTTGCCTGAATACAGAACTTTAGGGTGGAATTCTTGAATCAGGCTGTCGTACCTTCCTCCGGCCGCAAAAACATCCCGACGTTTAGTATCGGAAACGCATTGAAAGAGAACACTTCCGCGAAAAAATTTATCATTAAGACTGCTCAGCGGGTTCACGTAGACCTTTCTCTTCACGCGGAATCCTTTAAGATACGACACCACGGCATTTAGACGGGCGAATATCGGGGCGAGACGGTCTGTAAACTCCGTTCCTTCCATGATGGTACGAAGCCGCTTTAGGGCTTTGTCTGGACTATCTGTTCTTCGGCATCAGAAAACGTCATATGTTTAAAATAAGAGTTAGAACAGAAAAACAAACCTCGAAAGTCGAACCTAGCAAGGTCGTCGACCGATGTAGAAGCGACCCCGATAGTTGGAGATCGAAGCTCACTTCTAATCTTCTGTATTGAGTACGGCCCGATGTTCAGTTTGCTAATGATTTCCTTCACTAGGGGCTTTTGCTGGGGCTTGATTCGACAGAATGACAAAATCGCGTCCAGGAGATCTGAGTGGTTAATGTGGAAACACATCGGGGCTGACCTCAGGGAAGGGAATTCATTCAAAATTTCATCCAAAACTTTCATGACCTCTGCCTCTTTTAACGCCAAATCCAAAGTGTTATGAGATATCATGTCAAAGTCAACCTCATGATGGCCACGCGGTGCTCCCCCGTGTATAGATTCCCGATAGACGGTGCCAAATGTGAAGGTCTTCTCGATGGAAGAGTCCAATCTAGATATAGAACGAGCATTCGGAAGAGTGAGGTCATAGGGTAGCTGGACAAGGTTGCCTGACGGGTCTAAAAGTCGCACAACCCCTGACGGGTAGTGCTCGGAACGTGGAAAGAGAGTGCTGCGTGTCGTCTCAATAGCGCCGTGTTTCCGGAATATCGATGATAATTTCTCTTTTACAAGACTTTGAAGCAACACTTCAGTAACAGGTGGCGTCCCGCGGGCGTCCATATCCCACGCGATGTCTTCGAATTTTCTGGGGGGTTGGGAGAAAATGGCTGATAGGATTTTATTATAGTCCGGTGAGTTGCGATCAGATAGAATTCCCATAATAGCCTTTCGAAACATTTCTTCCTCAACTTGTAGCGGTATTTTGTCGCTTTGAAGAAGTTCTGCTGCGGTTGGTCGTTCACTTGGACGGTGGCTCAGAAGTGATTCAATTATTTCTCCTTGGATGGCTTTCTCTGGTACCTCGAATGTCGACGGGAGCGTATGAACTTTTTCTCTAACCATCTGTAAAGTACGATCGCGTTCCATCGCCGTCTGGAGAGGATGACACATTTCCAAAAATATTATACCAAGTGAATACATCTACTGATATTAGTATTCCTTCAATTGGGTGTAATTCCACAAGGCATTAAAATATTACGAAAGGAGAAGACTTACGTCGACCTTCTCATTGTACTGGCCTAACGACACTGATTTCATTTCAGGAGCAACATAGTAGGTGGTGCCTACACTCCTGGTATAGTTCCCACCGATATCTGTAACATTTGAAGATCGAACTGCCATTGTGAACTGGCCGGTCGTAGCCAGGCCAAAGTCGCCGATGCGCGGGTTGTTCGCAACATCGATAAAAATATTATCCGGCTTCAGATCCCGGTGAATAATACCATGGCTATGGATATGGCTTAGTCCGTCCAAAATCTGTCGGAACAATCTCCAAGAAAACTGAATGTCGTCATATAATCCGTTCCTAATTAAATCGCGAAGGGTCTATAAAAAATACGGTTAAATCATCACTTTTCGTTCAGTAGGATTCTAGGACTGGAATGCTTACATGCTTTTCACAATATTCCATCTGAATATAAAGCGTAGTTGTCACAATATGGGATGATGATCCCGATCTCTGCCTTTGGAGGTTTGACCCTTCATCTGTTTTCGAAGGGCTCTGCGGCCGATGGTGGCCCGATTCTTCTGAGGCTATATCCGTGTGGTCTTGCCCATCACTTTCGTAACCAAATTCTATATCAGGATACCCCTTTGAGCTTATGAAGTCAAGTCCACTTGCGCTATATCCAAAATCGACGTCGTCTTCAGGATGATGCGAATTTGCTTCTGTAGATGATACTGCCTCTTCGTCAATAGCGTGACAGTCTCGTTCGAGCCATGCAGTAAAATACCGTACGACGTATGGATGATTAAGCCTTGATAGTAACATAATTTCGGACAAAGTATCTTTGAGAGCAATTCCTGATTTTGAAGAGATTTTCTTGATTGCGTAAAACCCGCCGTCAAGTTTATTTCGCGCTTTCACAACTTGCCCGAATCCTCCCCTGCCTAGACGCCCAGCTTCATCGAAGTCCTGTCCATATCGAGAAAATGAAGGAAGGGCGGCTTGGGAGTCAAGGCGGCTTCGTCTTCGGGTTGGGATTGAATTCGATGCGACCGATGGCTCAAGCAGTGGCGCATTGATTCGGAGGAACTCTGATGGCTGAATTTGGAATGCGGTAGGTCTTTTTTTGGGGTCCGGCCTAAAGATCTCTCCAAGCATTTCTTCCAAAGGCATCGAAAGATCGATTGCACGCATAAGAGCATTGGCAGATGTATACCGCTGCATTATGTCCTTGCCAAAACTCATTTGCAGAAAAACTATCCCCAGATCCCATACATCAGTTTTGGTGCTTGGCTGGGATCCTCTCTGTGTGAGCTCTGGTGGTATCCAAAACGGAGACTGCGAGGATGTAAGGGTTCTTTTGGCTCCAGATGGCACTGGAAGTGCTTCCTCCACACCACTCAAGAGTTTGAGTACCGTGTTATTGGACTGGGTTCTGAACAACAACACTCGTCCGGAGTGAATGTTGCCGTGAACAATACCGTTACGATGGTAGTACTCTAAGGCATCAAGCAACTGTATCATCCACGGCCTTGCGGTATCTGCAGTCAAACTACCGACCATGTCAAGAAGTTCGGATAGCGATCCTTTGTTAGCATACTCGAACAAAGTATAAATATGCCAGGTGCCTTCGTGAAACGCCTCGGGATCGGGAGGACGATATATCTTGAATCCGATAAAATCAACTAGGTTCGGATGTTTCAGTCGCTTTAAGATTTCAAGCTTGTCCTCGCTCGCTCTAATTTCCTGTCGGATGTCATGTCCTGAGCCCTTTTCGCGAATAAATAGCTCTTTAAGGACGAGAAGTGGAACACGAGTCCCATTGCCTGGAGAAACGGGCCGAACTGTGAAAGTCGCCTTGTGCGGAGCGCTGGCAATCAATGTCTTCCCAAGTACGGCCTGGAAAGTAATGGGCCGTTCATCATAGTCATTCATTACTAACGGTGGGTCAAAAGAAATAGTATCAGAACTATCTTCAGATGAATCAAAAGACTCATTATGCTCGAGAGCCACCTTGCTTCTCCGCCGCGATACTTGTTCTTTCACTCGTTGTCTCTGTTTGATTTTACTCTCAATTAGCGTTTGTAAAGCCTTCTCCTGTTCAGCAGTGGCTTGTTCCTGCTTTCTCCGCTCTTCCTGCTTCTGTTCTTCTGCTTGTTGGATTGCTGCGGCTTCCTGGACAATCCGCTCTTCCTCCAGGCTTGGCATATCTTTGTCCTCGGCTTGTGATATTGCGACATCTTCGAGAATATCCTGGATGGATAACGCAAGTTCGTAGATCATTTCCGAACCCAGAAGATTTTTCGGTTTCGTATCAATGACATCCTTGATCCTGGATTTGGCGCCCTTCCGGAGGTCATCGAGGCCTTGGACGGTCAAATTTGGGATTGTCTTGGGATATGTCGCAGGCAGCGAAACTAACAGGACAACACTCACGTCCGGGTTCGAGGACGCTCTCAGATGCAATTTGAAAGCTACTTCAGAGGCTTGCTATTACCAGACCATGAGCACACTGTCCCGTAGATGTACGCATATCCGTATAAATACAAAAAGACTAGCGCTTGTTGTACGAAACTTACATGCCAAGCTGCTTGTCGAACCTCTACATCTTCAAAATCGGTCGAATAGATTGAGCGCAAAGCATCAGTCTCGTTTTCACGGATTTCTTTGTAGTTAGTCGCAGGGAGGATAGCGGGTGTCTCAGGAGGATTCTCCTTTTTCTCTATTCCTAGAGCGTCGTTCTTCAGGACATTGGATTTCTTGTGTTTGTGAGGCATGGCCGGCTTGGAAACGAACATCAAAACACATTGGGATGAGATCGCGCCCGTTGCTCCCCAGTAAATGTGAGCAACAAAGATGCAGCCGAAGCTGCAGCCCTCTATCTAGACATGATTTGACTGAACGCGGGGGGGGATAAGTTGAGAAGTGAGGTGCTAAGTCAATGATGTTCTTCCCCTGTGGCGCCTGTGAGGCGGTTGATTACACTGGCCGCGCTAGGCCGAATCTTGAAAGCACCGCGTTTTCCGCGCCACTTGGCGGCGGTGACGTCGAAGTAAACAAACCAAGCCATCTCCACGTTGCAAGACGGACTGGAGTGGCCATTCCCACAACTCCAAGTCAATGAACATGGTGCGGGAACAATGATTCTCTGATATCCACTTGCTGACCTCGTTTGCCCCTTCTACCAAGTGATATCCAGCCGTTTTGTCAATATGTTGGGCTGGTTTGCTGGCTCAGGACGCGGTGAGTACACTGGCTTTGCAGGTATGCAATCTTTCACACCGCCTCTATACACTTTCCTACCAATGACAAGTTTACTTTTACGCTCCAATTGCTAATTATTCCGACTATCTTTAGACGATTGCAAAGCCCAGGAAGCTCCAGAGACTCCCGCTCCCGTATTTGCTTTTCGGGCATTCAAAAATGCCATTGTGGGCACTCCAGGGCCTGATGCTACCGACGATGAGCTTACTGTCCCAATTAGGTCACTAAAGCCTACCGTCAATCGCAAGGACACCAATATACATATACCGCCAAAACCAAAAAATTCCGGCCCTTTAGATTTGCAGCCATCGCTTCCAACATCGGATGTATCTGCACAGCCAATGGCTTCACCCACAAAGAGCATTCTGCTGACGCCAGGGACTGCGGCAACACGACGGAAGACGGTTTCGTTCGGTGAAGGAGTTGTGGATAATGAACGAAAAAAATCTCTCTTCGAACCGATTGCTTATAATGGTAATATAAGCCGGCAATGGACAGGCAAACAACATGAGGAAACCGGCAAGAAGAGAAGCAAACCCACCAAATCTCTCTTCGAGGCTCGGAGCCAAAAACTAGGTGGGGAAAAGAAACAGGATGAAAATGACGAACTTTTTGATATTACCGATCGAATACACCCCTCACCCGATAAGGAGGCCGGCCAACCTCGGATGAAAGAAGAACAACGCAAGGGTGAGGATGAAGAGGAAAACGAGGAGGATGTGACGACAAATCTTGATGAACCGCATTCTCAGTCGGGAATGTACTGGAAATCTGAGTTCGATAGTTATAGAGCGAGGACTGATCGAGAGATCAAAAAGCTAATCCAATACAGATCGGTCGCGAAGTCTTACGCGAAGAAAAAGGATTTGGAAATGCGCCGTTTGTCGGATAAATTGAAACGAGAAGAGGCCAAAGTTGCGGAAATGGAGCTTCGCGTTTCTAAGCTTGCAGCTGGAATGGTAGATGGTACCAACCAAAATCAGTCGAACGAAGATATGTTTAAAGAGCTATCCGAACAAACAGCCTTAGCTGTACAATACAAGCGCAAAGCCGATTCGTTACGGAAAGCCCTAGAGCGACACGGGGTGATAGAGAGCGATGGCGAGTCTCAAGAAAATAGTGCATCCTCGGAGGACCTTCGCCAAAAACTCCGAAAAATGGAAAAGGCACTTGAATTGGCCAATTCCCAACTCAAGGAATTCGAAAACAACAAATTGGATACCAACAAACTTCAAGACTTGGCTGAGAGTTCGGAACGCAAGGCGGTCGAACTTCAAAAAGAAAACAAAGCATTAAAACTAAGTCTCGCCCGGTTTAAGGAGGAGATGACAAATTACGAAGACAGGCGGAAAACTAAAGAAGCAAGGTTGAAACAAAAAGAGCAAAAGCTGCAGGACCGGGTCCAGGAATACAAAAACCGTTTAGACGAGGCAAAACAACACCACCTAGAAGCGGAGCAAGTATTAAGACAATCCTTTATCGAAGAAAAACAACACATGCAGGATATGATTGATTCTCTCCGGCACAATATATCAATTGCAGAACACGCTTCTCATAACAATGTTAGACGGAGAGGTGAAACAAAAGAATGGCCCAACCGTTCGGGTCTGAACGGGGAGCACAACATGGAGGATTGGCAAGATGGGAAGCATAGTCCTCGCAAAGGGACTGAAGCGGCAGTTCGAATCACCCAAGATTATAAAGTCATGAAGGCGGGAAATTCCAGAAAGGACCTTGTTAAAGATGAATATGTTCCTGGAAGCGACAATCTTGAAAATACCCTTGACGAACATATTGATATGATGGAACCTAAATCACGCCCGTCTGAGCGAAGTGAGGCTAGGCTGGGGGTCACGAAACGGAGTCGAACGGATACCTTGACTGATTGCAACGAGGACGACAACGAGCCACCGACTAATCCCCAGGATTCTCCCGTCCTGCCCAAAAATCGCACTACGAGGACCATCCCATATCGAGATGATCCCTCCATTCCACCCTCTTCTCCACCAACCCTTCCGCCAGTGGAGAACAGCCCAGTGCCATCACCTGAGAAGCGAAGGCCAAGACCAAATCTCCAAAGCCGCTCAGCATTGTCCCCCAGACCCTCTATGGTCCACATCTCCTCAAACCCTACACACCCCCCTTCAAGACTTTCAAGCCAGTATCACAATCATCTCAGACGGAAGATCAGCGGGACTCGTGTACTTCCGAGGACTTCTGCTAAGGCTGCAACGGCGATGGCTAGCTATTCAGGCATGAATCGTCAGGGTCCCATCCAGGGAGATGAGGCTAAACTCTGCGGAAGCAACTCGCTTCATAGTCCTGCGAGCTTGAAACGCGATTCACTCCCCGCGGATAGAGTGGCAGCAGCTATGAGACGACTCAAGCTCAGGGACCAGCGGCAAAGAATTAGTGCTGATGGGAAGGAAAATGTTTGGTCGGCTTGATCTGCATTCATCTTTTCCTTCTTTTGTGGTCACGTTACGAGCTGGACAGGTTTTATTCTATACCCAAATTCCATACCCATGTCTACGTATGGTTTTTCTTTTTCCTTTTGTCTCTGAACGTGGCTTCCTTTTAGGACAGGTGTCCACCAAACTTTCTGGTTCCTATACATCCTCTTCTTTCTGTTTCTTTGTGGAGACCAAGTTTTCTATTGAGTTGCGATGTTGGTGTTTGAGGGTGTTACCATTATTTCCTGTCAGTTTCGTGATGAAGTTCGTTTTCTTTTCTTTTCTTTTCTTTTATTTACTATCATTCTACCCTTTGAGGATGCTGATGTGATGTATCATTGGCTTGAGCGCTAGAAGTACCAACGACCATTGTCACTTTTGCTCTACCCTTTTTTTGGGCCAGGTAACTGTAATTCTTAGATTGCTTGTAGGTAAACAATGCATATCTAACCGTAATCCCATTCACGCGTTTCGAATGTGGATATATCGCTGATCTTTTATCGATCTTGGGGCTAAGGTGCACGACGGTGGAGCGTTATTTATGCGCTGCTCACTTCCTCACCAATACTGAGAATATTAAGTAGTCTATACATCCATGATTATTATATCCCGTCTATATCAGATAAGGGAAAACAATGATACCATGCGACGCCATCATGCATGAGCACATGAATGAATGAGTAGATGAGTAATCTCCCGTGCGTCGTTCTCTCTCCCTAGTCATCTCCCTACCCCCCAACACCACGTCTTGAAGCGGAACTCTATCTATATACCAGGTGACCTACCCTACAAACCACGGCTCAAGCTTTCCCATCCGCAAACGAAACAACCGCCCACTTCCCACTCCAAGCCCATTTTCGCTCCTTGTCTCCACCGCCATCAGGCAATGCACGGAGGCGCTCATCCTCGCCTTCTGGCAGACCCACAACGGTGTCTGCCTTGCAGGTGCGGAGTGCTAAGACACGGATACCCGACGAAGAGCCCAATGGGCCGATTGCGGTTGTGAAGGGAGTTGTGGGGGGCCATTGCGCCTATAATTTGGTGGGCGTTGTAAGATATAATGAATCCATACTAGGAAGGGGAACGGGTTGATTGGAGTGGGGCGTGGGGGAGAAGGGGGTTTGTTTGTTCGAACGTACGTCACCAACTAACTTCCTGTAATTCAAATCGCCCTTGAAAATCACTAATTCGCTCTCCTTGAGATCTTCCAGCAGCTCGGGTACGTCGTGGGGGAGCCGCCAGTAGCTAGACGCAGTGGTCCAGAAGCGGTTTGGCCGGATGATTAGTTTCCCCTCTTCATGGAATCCGCTCCATTGCTGGAATAAGAACTGGAGCTCGTTTACCTCCCGCTCCGAAAGGGCTTGTGGTTTGTTGCCGTTGGCTTTGGGGTCCCCGGCTTCGTCAGGAGATGTGTAGAAGGCTTGTGGATCTGCGAGAGCGGAGATGAGGTCCATGAAATCACTAGGTATTACGTCTGAGACGAACCAGGGGAGGGATTTGGGGTGCAGTACGATTGTAGTCGCGAGTCCCGCAGAGAGCAGGTATCCGGCCAAAATCAAATCGACGAAAAGCTCAAAGCCAGCATTATCAAGGACTATGTCGACGCGGCGCTCTTCTAATGGCCTTGCATTCTTGGCAGAGTTCAATATTTCAAAGGCAAGAGGGAGGTCGTTAATAAGGATGTTTTCTTCTGCAGCCTTGCGTGCTTTGGCACCTTGGAGTTTCTGGATATCTTCGTACGTGAGGGAGGTCAAGAGGGAGAGGTCGGTGGCGTTCCCCCAGAGACATATTTCGCACATTTCCATGAAAAGCAACTTTTCCTCTTCGTTGATTTGTTCCGGTGCTTTGCCACAAGCTCCTTCACCGCTTTCGATCTGTTTGATAAGTTCCTTGTACTTTGCGGCCAATTCCAGGACAGCCGTGCGGGACGATTTAAATGTGGACATCTTCTGTCGTGCGAATATGTCGTAGGTTTTCCAGTGTGTCGATAGGGAGAACGAAAGGTTTATCCTCCTATCTTTTTCTCGAAGTCAGTATATCCGGCTCGAATTGGCCAACACCTCCCACCCCTATTTGTACTTAAATATCAGACAAATCACGAACAAAGATAGCACTCCGTGTAGAGCCATGGAGCATTGAACCAAACGAGACCACCTCTTTCCTCAAGCTCCTTATTATATATCGCGATATCCGATTCACCATCATCCTCCAATGGTCTGTTTCTCGTATCGACCGTGCAATTGTCCCGTCAGCTATCCAATTTAATTCATACTGGTATAGATCTCAGCAGCTTCCTCCGACTCCCCACGTAGGATCCAGCCGAGCTTCAAAAAAAAAAAAAAAAAAAAAAGACACGTACGTCAGTTTGCGATTATGTTGTAGCTCGTACTTGAGCTCAGCAAGCTTTCCCACGATTATTTTGCCCTCTTTTCTCTTTTCATCCTCTGTGACTTCGAAGAGCGTACGGGAGAGGTCATCAATTGCGCCGGTCTGGGTTATTATTTCAACGTAATTTTCCAGTCAGCAAGTGCCAATGGCGCGGACGATATGTAATTCCTATCCATTGTATATCGAGTATACGGACCAAAATAACCGGCCATCTGTCCCTGGCCGATATGTATGCGAACGAAGAGGTGTCATTTGTGCTATAGGGAGCTGATTGAATGATAACATCTTAGCTCTAGCGCGTTCATTGATTACCCCTCCATTGCCCCGCATCTATGATCTAGGTAGGCGGATCAGATGGAGGGAGAAAATCGATTAGGGACTTACACGTTCTGGTGTCGAATTCCATGTTGCTTCGTCTGCCTCTTTCTTTTGGCTGGAGGTTTGTTGGAAGAACTTTGAATGGATGGGTTTGGAAAAGACTGGGGATAGGAGGAAGATTTGCGCTGTGAAGTAATGTATGATAGGTTAATCGCCAGCTAGCGCCCTGACCCTTTTCAAGGGCTTTACATAGTCATGGACTTGCAGTTATATATTCAGGATGCAAACATCTTGTATATCATCGTCAGGTTTTTCCGCTTTTGCTTGAAACCCAACGAAGTCGCGCCAATTTTGCACTTCGACTCCGCCTTTGGGGCCCTTGAGACGAGACTTCCACTCTACACAACAAAGTACCTTACACTCGGCCAATCATCTGAATTTCCATTTTCTTAAGCAACCCCTCTATATAAACAACCAAGGCAACTATGGAGCGGCGGGCAAAATGCGCCCTTCAACCAAATTCGGGAAGAAACAATGACGAAAACATGATCTTATACCTTTCTACTCTCCCATCGCTATGCAGGGGAAATGATATAAACAGGTAATAGAAAAGACATTAGAAATGAAGACATAAGGAAATCTCCCCGCTGAAAAAGAACATGACAAGACTTTCAAAGGAGATGATTTGTGTTCCCATTGAAGGCCGGGAGGCGGGGGAAAGAGCCCCACGTCCAAACGAGGGACCAAAAAAGGATATATAGACAAATATAGACAAAAGAACAAAAGGAAAAAAAATTCGTCCATGGTAAGTCAGACAAAGTATGTTGGGGTAAGTCGGTTTAAACTCTCATCATTTGCTTCCTGCTAAGTTGCTTGCAAAAATTAAGCCAAAAAACAAAAAGGGAGATGAAATGGGTCATCATATATATGCCAACCTGAACTTTGCACAACATAGCAGTGGAACAATGAGCGAAGAATGGCGATTTATGCAGGCCCTTGCTCACTTTCTTCTTCTTCTTGTCTTCCCTTCCCTTGTCAATTGGCCTCTGTCATTGGAGGGATGAACAAGACAGCCACCCATTTTCACGTTTTCCCTTATCCAAGCGGCATCACATTAGCGACATAATTGAGTTTGAAGCGTACGCCTAAAATATGGGTTAGCAGACCGCGGAAGAATGTGAGAAATGGGGTACGTATAAAATATGTATTATATAAATGGATACGCGTTCTCAACGTACCATCGGCTTAATATCAGGATGAGGCACAGCCTCGAACTTATGGAATTCTAGCTTTAGCTCGGGGCCGATATTGATATACGCGCCTTTATTTTCTGTATTGTCGCAATATCTAGGAGCGGAGAACACTAGAAGGGAGGGAAATTCAGTCAGCAAGGAACAGATCGATGGGGTCCACTACCAAAATTTGAATATAGAAAATAAACGAAGAGAGAAAGAGAGAGAGAGAGAGAATAGAATAAACTCACCAGTAATACACCTCCCATCATGCTCAACCTCATATCCTTCCATTCTAACCTCATGGCTCCTAATAACCGCCTCAAGTCCGTTATTCTCACAAAACCTCTTCGTCACATCCGGTCCAAATTGCATCCCAACTCCTCGCTTGCTCGGACTCCTCCCAGGCGCCGTCTGTGGATCCGCCCATAGCATCTCCATCATGAGGCCTGACTGCCCCGGCTGCCGTTGGTTATGCCTGTTCAGCTTCCGAATATCATCAAGCGAAACCTTATCGTCCGAAAACAGGCCCCCGTGCAGCGTGAGGAACTTTCCCCCGATCAGTGTGGCGAGTGGCAGCGCGGAGAAGGACTCCGAGAAAGTCTTGAAGAGGCGCTCATTGTATTTGGCCTTGCATTCGCCTTCAAAGCCATATGTGCGGTTCATGTCGTCTGTCTCGTGGTTGCCGCGGTTCATGAAGAAATGGTGCGGATACAGCCACTTGTACGCATAGAGCAGGAGAGCCACTTCGGTGGACCAGGAACCGCGGTCGACGAAGTCACCGTTGAAGAGGTAGACGTGTGTTTCGGAGGGGTAGCCATTTAGGCGGAAGATTTCGAGGAGATCGAAAAATTGGCCTACACAGAAAATTTTTTTGGTTAGCTGGTGATACCGGAAACTTTTGACGATGATATTGTTTTAGAATAAAGGCAAATTCCTCCCAAAGAAACTCTTACCATGAGTATCACCACAAACCGTCAACTTCGTCCCCTCTTTAATCCCAATCTCCACCATCGTCGGCTCATCATAAACAATATTCCTCGTCGCCCGCACAATCTGAAACGCGTACTTCTTATGAATCTTCTTGCCCGTTCTAAACCGCTCAATCATGTCATCAACGAACTGCTGCGTCATCGACTCTCCTAACTGTGCGCCATCATAGCTTTCTTCAACGATCATACCATCAACATCCAGCCCTTCAAAGGCCGAGGGCGGGTCCGCGACCTCAATGGCCTTCTCGAACTCTATACGCCGCACCAGTTTTTCGCATTCTGCAAGTTTTAACTTCGCGTCGCGGTCATTTGGGGCCTTGCGGACAACTGTTTTGAAGTCTTTTAGGGCCGCGCGGGGGTTAAGGATCGCGGTATTGGCGACTGCTCGTCGCCAGTATGCCTGTTTTTGTTTGTGTAAAAATATTGGTTAATGAAAAGGTATGGGAGGGAGAATGTGGGAGGGCGATGTATCCCCTAACGTATAGACTAGGATGGGCATGGGGGAAGGGAGATATGATCTCACACCTTTACATAGTCGGGGTCGAGCTCAATTGCCTTGGTGGCATCGGCAACCGCATAGCCATATGCCTCCAGCTTGATATGTACCTGTGCATCGCAAGTTTTAGTTTAGTTAGTTGCTAAGTTTTATCCATAGCATTTTCGACTTGCTGAGTGTTCCCCCACTTCTTCTCGCGACAACCGAACTGGACAAGATAAGGGAACGAAGAGGCACGAGAGGCTGGCCGAAATTGGAAACGAGAAACATACCTGTGCGCGGTTACAAAAAAAAGAGGGGTCCTGGTCATATTCCTCAATAGCCTTAGAGTATAAATCCAATGCTTGAATCCAGTCATGGCTTGCGAATGCTTTATTCCCCTGCAGTTTCAGGGCCGTAGCAGCCTTCTCCCCTGCGGTCGCCATCGGAGAGCGGAAGGGAAGATAGGTCCAGTGGCGGATACAAATTTAACCGTAAGCCGGGAAAAACCCTTCAATGTCTCTCCTCTCTCTATATTTCTCCTCCCCCTAATATTATCACCTAAAGCTGGGTGGAGCTTCCAAACTCCCAGCAGTGGCTGCGTGGCAGGCGGGGTTATTTAACGAGCGGGGTACGATAGAATGTTTGATTTTCTAATTCTGGATCGCGTTTGTAGCGTAGTTATATTCTGAGACTTCAGCGAAGGTGCATGTTCGTATGTTATGGGATGTTGAACAGAACGCTGGAAGAAAAGATGTTTTATGTCGGGACAAGGAGTGTCAGATCACTAGTGCCGCGGATTGGAAAGTGATGGAATGAAGATGAGAAGTCGAAATGTTCCGTTGTTCGGAGCCAGGAACACGCTGCGCCTAATCCTTTTTGGGACTAATAGGAAAGTTTCAGTCGATGGCTTATGTCAGCGTTGATCTCGGCCATGGAATCATTGGTTGTTGCGACGTCGAAGGAACAGGGCAAGAGAGCTCAACTTGGACCGGCACACACACCCCAAGGCGGAACCGCAAGGGAGACAAGACTAAGAAGAAAACGGAGGCGGAGGCGGCGAATAAGAAAAAGAAGAAGAAGAAGAAGGAAATCATCATGTCTTCCTTCTACGTCCCCACGGGTCAACAGCGATCCCTCCGTGCCTGCATGGTCTGCTCAATCGTCCAGGTGCACAGTGTACGCCCAGATACACCTCGACCTCCCCCCATATTCTCTCCTTTCCCCTAATACAAATCACTAACAAAGCTCTCCTCAATTGTGGCGCTTGCACTACCAGAAATTCATGCGTGAAGGCTGCCCAAACTGCGACCACATCCTCGGCTTAGCCGGTAACGGCGAAAAGATCCAACAATGCACATCCCAGGTGTTCGAGGGCCTGATAACACTAGCGGACCAGCAGGCGTCGTGGGTGGCGCGCTGGCAGAGGTTGGAAGGGTATGTGCCTGGCACGTATGCGGTTAAGGTGACGGGAACGGTAAGTAGAGTAAACGCCGTTGATATTTTGGGAGGATGAGATATTAGGGGACATGGAGAGATGGGAACGGTTGTTTTGTGATGAGGATTTGAGGATGCTTTTTCGTGTTTTTTTCTTTGTTTGGTTTTGATTTTGTTGATATGTTGAAGAATGTTGACTGACTGACATGTCTCTTTTGCTTGTAGTTGCCGCCAGGTGTCCTAGGTGATCTGGAAGACTCGGGGATTCGATATATTCCGTATGTGCTCACTTCTTTCCTACCCTCCGTTATCCTTTCCCCATCCACCCGCGCGTTTTGCCCTTTTCTGTCGTCTCAATTTAACATTTCTGTCGTATTTAGGAGAGACGGAAGCTCGGTTGACGAGGAAGGTTGAGAAGCCTGTTTTGTTTTGTATTTTGCTTTTTCCCGTGCAGGGGGTTGGATATTTGGGTGAGACAGGATAGAATTTTTTTTTTTTTTTTTTTTTTAAAGCGATGGCTTTTGCAATTGGAGTTTGCGGTTCTAGGGGGATATATATCCTGTGTTGCTTTTATCGCGATTGCTTTTAATAGACGGTGTTTAGTTTTGACCGGATTAGGAAAAGGTTTTCAAAATTGAGTATATCTCCTGTATTTCGATATCTTGGATTTTGGTGTCCTGTACAGCTTCGTTTCAAAACAAATTCGCCCACCACAATTTTTTTTAACTACAAAAACTTAACAATATGGACTTTAGTCCGGAGTATTATAACCTTGGGGTAAACAAAATTAAACAATGCCAACTACCAAACCCGCGGAACAAAGGGAGCGGGAAAAGCAAAGACAAATTTACCACCGGGAGGTAAGCAATATTTTTAAACGCAAAACGAGCTTAAGAAGCATGTTCCAGGAAAGTTAAATGATAATAAACAGTTTGAAAATAAATATAAATATGAAAATAAATATAGACATTAAATATTGGAAAATGGAAAGTCACAATTGCACAAATTGCTTTAAGACTTCACGATCTTTTCCAGCGACTCGAGAAGTATATCAGCTAATTCACACACAGACACACACGCGCACACGGTATATGTTAGCTTCATTCCTATCACCAAAACATGGATACTAAGGGCCACACAGTTTTAATATCTTACCATGATGTTTCTGGAAAACCAACATGGGCCGCAATCGCACGGCCCGGTCGCCACAGCCGCCAATGTTGATACCAACGCTCTTCCCCTTTTTTAAGATAGCATCGCGCTGCGGGCTATCCCAGGCAATGAAAGTGCCCTGGCCCTTGCCTCTCAGATTCTGGAATTCGTTGGGGTATTGCTTCGCTAGGCGCTCGAGGCCGGCATATAGGTAGTCGCCCGTGGCAGCCGTGTGGTTGACCAAATCCAAGCGCTTGATCTCCTCGATGATTGCGCGGAAGATAAGGGCACGAGCTGGGTCACCCATCCACGTGTTGAATTGACGGTATGGCTTGTTGGGGCGAAGGAGGGAGTCTCCGTAGAAGTATCCAGCAGCCTGGGCCTTCTTGGAGAAAGTGACGATATCTGGTGGGGTTTGGAGGTTCCAGTGGTCGTGGGCCCAGAACTTTCCAGTGGCCCCAACGCCGGTTTGTACCTCGTCAACGATCATGAGGACGTTGTTTCGCTTTGTAATCTCGCGCAGGCCCTGGAAGAAAGCCGGGGAGGCATGGTTGTCTCCACCTTCGGATTGAATAGGCTCAACGACGATAGCAGCGACAGGGTTATGGAATTCTTTGATGATACGTTCAACTTCTGCCAAGCATCGCTTCTCCTCCTGGGCGTTCTCCGCGGCGAATTCCTCTAGAGGGTATTTCAGGACCGGGAATGGAGCCTGGGGCCAGTCGAATGCAGGGATATCTAGTTTGTGGATCGGCTTGCTTCTCGTGGTGGAAAGGGTACCAAAAAGACGGCCGTGGAAAGCAGTTTTGAAGGACATAATAGACAGGGGTGGGGAACCAGGAGCCTGGTTTAACATGGTGGATGCAATCTCGGCCTCGGTGAATTCGACCTCGGGGCCACCACGTACAGATTGTCGGTGGTACATAAACGCAGCCTTGTAAGCGGTTTCGTTGGCATCAGAGCCAGCCGTGGCAGTGAACACCTGGTTGAGGCCTTTGGGTGCGACAGTGAGCATACCGGACTTGAGGATAGCTGCCCAATCGTGGGACGGGAAGTTCCCTAGTGCAGGACGATTGACCAGAGCGTTCACCATCTGTGGAGACTTCGCAGCGGCAATTAAGGTAGGGTTATTGTAACCAACCGGGATTGAGGCAATTTGGGCATATCTAGGGGGGATGTGTGTGTGTTTAGCACAGTCAATTCCCACGACATTTGGAATGTGATCTCAATTTAAAACGGTTAACACACTAAGAACTTACACATCCAATAGAATATTTCCGTCAAGATCAGCAATACTACATCGTAGCAGAACAGGTTAAAAGAAAAATGCTTCCCAAAAGATATATTCACCAGTTTAGGGTGGTCTTGGGGCATGCTCCACTTACTAGTTTCCGATGCTAACATCATAATTTGAAATCATATTGATGCTTCTAGTATCGAAGACCTCTCCTAGTTCCGCAGATGCCTTTTGGTTTTGGGGGCCAGGGATGGGTGTTTTCACAATGGGGCCGGTTGGCTCGCCGGGGAAGAATGGTTTGGTCGCGGCAGCACTGGCACGAAGGTTCTGTGTGGTAGCGAACGACCGGCCCGATTGAAGCTGTGAAAGCCTCTTTAGACCGGCGCCCAAGCTGGAGACTGATCGAGAGATGGCGGCCATCGTGGGTATGCAGATGGAGAAAGAAAGGATTTCGGAAGCGTGTAACCACCAGTAACCAGTCACTTAGCTAACTGGCCAGCCAACAGCGCAGTCGAAGCTATGCCAGTAGCTATGTCTAAGGGCTGCAGCGATAAGATAGGAACAATGTAACAATGTAGATCGAGCTTGGCGCCAGAGGTATCAGCCCGTATGAAGACAGATGGTGAAAAGGTAATGCCAAAAAGATAATGCCAAAAAGGGAGGAAGGGGAAGATCTTGGAGATATTAATATAAGACGGTTTGCCGCAAAGATGCCGCTCCGGAGCCGCAGCTCCCTCGGTGCCAAGACAAGTGGGTCCGGGCCAAAGCCATGGTCCAGGGCTGAGAGCCGCATCGGAGCTCTAATTGGAGGGCGCTCCGTTCCAAGGTTGCTTCCCCGCATCATGTGCCTCAGCCGTTTCGGCGATTCTGTCCATTCATTCTCCGTGTGAGCTCCCACCTCATCGTCGGCCAGGTGAGTAAGCTTGTTGCAAAGTCACCGGCTGTGGTTGTGGCGGTGTGAGACTGTAAAAGACTGGAGCTTGGTTGTCGGGTTAGATACTAACTTGGTATTCACCAATGTCTCATAACTTCGGCCGTTGAAGACTGGATTTGTTTGGGGGATGTCCATTGAAATTTCTCGTGTACTATGTAGAGGGACTTTTTCCTGCATACAGACACCCACAATTTGGTTTTCCCGTTCTACAAACTTGCCGTGCTACTAACATAGTAGATTCAGTGATTTTGACATACCTATTGCAGACTAGCGCCCCCCACAGTCTTTCTAGCACATAACAGTTTACTGAGATATCAGGATTTTATCTTTGTTCATTTACAGCCGAATTTTCAGCTATCTATGGAGTAGTTACATATTCTTCGACGCTCCCTACTGCACCTGCGAGTGCTAAGTACTTATACGCCCTGGCAAGAGTCGTTAAGAACAACCAGACATGAGCAGACTGTACCTCCAACCCATCGTGGCATTCTGCACCCTCCCTTACGTGGCTCATATGGAGACACTATGGTCACTTTTGATGTGATTCATGGAATCCGGGTTGGGGAAAACCACTGGGCCCAAATTCTTGCTGTCAGAGTTGTCAATGCAAGCCCCAGTTATCCAATTGCCACTGAGGGTATTACGACTGCAGTTGCCAGGCTGTATGATCCTCTCTACTTTGATCACACTGATGATGGAGTGGACCCTTTTCTTCTTGCCAAATACCACATTATTCACGAACTACCCACGGATGAGTCATCCTCACACATTGTTCGGCTCGTTCTGATTGAGTGCATTCCTGGCTCTTCAACCCAGGAGCTTCGCTCGCGGGGTTTCTCCCAGCCGGAACGGGAACAAATTATAAAATACATTATTGAGGCTGAATCCAACATTTATACCAAGCATGTATTCCTTCGTGATCTTACACCCAAGAAATGTCTTGATTGTGCAGGATCCCGAGTCCAAAGAAAACGGATTTAAAAGGAATTGTTCTCTTAGACTTTTTGAATGAATGTATTGTCTCGAGACTATTCTGGGAGGCCCGAGCAAGAGCAGAAATATCTACCGGGACTTATATATCCCTTTGCTTCGTTGGCATAAGATATTGAGGCAGGTGGATGATTTCCCTGGCTGGGTTGACTGGGATTATCAACGTTGGCTTCGCGCTCAATTTGCACATACAGCGTGCTTGGTCACATCACTTATGAAATCACGGTTCCTTCCAGATTTTTTTTTTTTTTTTTTTTTTTTTATATTTGAAAGAGCGAGTATGGAGCTGGGTGATGAGGGTCTGTATTAGGTTCTCGAGTACAAGAATATAAAAACTTTGCGATTTGACGGTCGGAAACCCCCGATTGCTCCTCAGACACACGCTGCTGCGACAATCGACGGGCGCCGTTGGAAGATTCTTCGCTTCCGAGAGGCAATGCAATTAAACCGTCCAAACAAGCCATGAATCAATCACTCCAAGGAATGCAAGGACATTGCACTGTTCGATTGGCTAAGTATTCTTATTTTCGACTTCGATGGTGTGAACGAAAACGGAGAGCAACCCCGTACCAACAAGGATCACTTGCTCCAATAATTCAAGCCAATTTCGATGTTTTCTCCTCGGCATGATCTACATGAGCCTCAGAAAGGAAGAAACTTGCCAAACTGTGGTAATTTGGCATTGGGCCTCCGAGCTCCTACCCTGTGCTGGGTCTTTTTGTTACACAGTTGTGGCAACAAAAGTCTCTCAGATTGAATTCTATTTTATTAGAATCTATATATTTTTTTTTATATTTTTATCATTTCAACATTCCCTGTGCAAAGTGTTGAATATCTCCATTTGCTGTAATCTGTTTATTCTCTACTTCGTCTGTCTTGTTTGTTCGTTTCCTTGTCTACCTTGATTTCCCTTCTTCCAGCCTAGGAGCTTTTGTCCGCTGCTTTGTATATATATATAAGATATTTACTAGGAATAAAAAAACGCGACACTAAATTCAAAGAACAAATGGGTCTTTAATTTTATATCATCATACTGGGGGAATATCCAGCCAGGGACAAATAATATTTCTGGCAATGGGACCTGTTTAAAAAAAATTTTTTACTCCTGGTCCCCTAGAATCATCATACGGGCCAGTCTATAATCTGTAGTGAACATGCATTTGTTTCATGTTTGTTTCCCCGTTTTATTTTTATGATATCTGACTTGTATTAATTAATCTATCTCCATGTTCCATATATTGGTTGGAGTTTGTACAGATGTCGTGAGTTTGCTCAGCGTGCCTTTCAGAGCAACAACTACCTATCGTGATTCAAACAAGGCAAATGAGGGGTGTGGGGGGCGGATGGAAAAAAAAGGGGAGAAAAAAGAAAAAGAGAATGGATGGACAATCAGGGAATCGAACCCTGGACCACCCCCAATGTTTTTACAGCAACCTTTTTGGAACTGCTAAGGGGGTATTATACCACTAAACCAATTGCCCCTGTTCTCTTATTGATTTGCGGGCCGAGAATTCCATGTTCCAAGTTGTGCGGTTAGTTTATTGATTGGTTGACTCTTGGCATTTCACCCCAAATTGCATCTTTCTCATGTAGATATAAACTATATTATACTAAGAACAATCCTTTCTAAATTACATTAAGACAGTCAATATTCCTGTTACCACTAGGCAAGTGTTATTGTGGTTGCTGGTGGTCGGCATGTCCCGAGCTAGTTGCCAACCACGGCGCAAAATATTTATCATACCGAGATCTAGATGATTCTGACCGGGATCAGCTAGATGACCCGCGGCATCCACTACACTACTATCATGAAGTATACAAGAAAACAGTTGCATATAAGTACTTGATATGAACTAGAAAGTTGGAAAGGGAAAAAAAAGGGGAAAAAACAGAAAATTGCTCTGATGAGATATGAAATCCCATGAATGGACAGCAACCGTCACTCAAAGCTCATATGGCATCACTCTGTTCCTGCAGCGCAAGAAGATGACAATGAGGCAATCTTCGAATAATAGAGGAAAACAAAAATAGGATAAACATTCGCCCAATCAAAAGACGACAAGGAAGACCTATTCTATATATTCTATGTGTATTGACGTCACATTACGAGAGTGAAAAAAGATGGACGAGAAGTGCACCATATAGAACAGTTGTTATATCATCCTCAGGTGTCACTGCAGCATCCAATGGACCATGGATATGGATAAAAGGTGGGCGAGTGCTCAAAGCGGACGACGGGGGTCCAAAGATTTACGACCCGTCTCTGCAGTGGTTATCCAATCTGCCTAATATTCAACGTCTAATATGCCAGGGCAAGTTGTCCCCCACTTAACAATGAGCTGTCCAAAGACGTCATATGACTCTTTTGACAGCGTTGAGTAAATGCACGCCTTGTCCACAAGCGTGCTTAGGAATCCAGCTTGTGGTTATTCTCGAGGCTTCGGAAGTGACTTCATAAACTGTCCCTCCCCCCCCCAAATCGCCACTCTCCATAAATATTCATCCATCTTATTAGGCTCTGGCTGCGTATGAACCGTGAGTGAAGATGTTAACACTCAAGAAATTTGTAGAGTAGAGATGGGACCTGGGGTAGGGACCGAAAAGAGCACTCTTCGCGTGCTTGCCATTAACGTTGGTCGAACAACATTATGCCATACGCCTAATCTGCATTCTCCCGGAATGTCTGCAGCACCGCGCCGCGACTCCCATAGCTCAGCGTAGTTTTGAGCTATCTATCCCCACAGATTCCGATAGAGTAGTACGTCATCTAGAAGTATGGGCCCTCGAACAACGTAGCCCACAACCAACTCTGTTCGTCGTTTAATCAAACGGAACAGCTAAATCGCTTCGACAAGTCAGGGCGCGAATAGTTCTTTCCCAGAACCCCCAACTAACGCGCCTAAAAATCCACCTTTCGCACGGATCCTCCAGGAAACATTAGTTCCTTTTTGGCCACCGTCTCCAATCCAAGAGCTAACTGCTGCTACTACCGCTGCTGCGTCGTCGCGAGGAACACGAATCCAGAGTATATCTTTATCCCGGGGAGTGGTTTCTATCTTTAGGATATCAATTGATATGGAGGTGCCGGATACACCGAGGAATTGGGAGAGGGCCGAGGTAAGATATGTACGTGCTGTCAGCTCATCCAGGGTTGACGATGACAGATTTGGTTGAGTAATTCTGGGTAATATTTGAAAGCTAAGTTAGCATCTCGGAACCCTGGGTTCTAAGTATAGTGGAGAAGCGTGTGCATGGGTTCTTCTTACAGTTGAAGCCGGAGATATGACCATGGCGGCTTGCGGGATGTGAAATTGATGGGGAGGCCATTGCTAACTGCAGAAGCATCAGAAGTTCTTTGCTTGCTTGTATTATTTTCAGGAAAAAAAGAGGATTTTTCTCCGAGGGAGCTTGTCATTGTTCTTTTAAAGGAAGTAAAGGTAATCCTATTGAAAGGTTTTGCTCTGACATCTGTGAGAGTTGGACGCGCGCATTGATTATTTTGATGGGATGATTGGATTGGGGTGGTTCGTCCCTCTCTTCTGGTTTTCGCTGTCAGTAACTAACTAGTCGCTTAGAAGCTTTGTGAAGCCGCCACAAGAAATAGCCGCGCCTGGGCACGCTAATTCAAGTTTAGTAGCACTTTCACCCGAAATTGTTTGGTGAAGCAAAAGCCTGGTTATTGGATGAATGAAACAATTGAATGGTAAAAAAAGAAGTGTGATATAATCTAACCGCGTAATTTCATGTTTTGGTGATTGCACAACGCCAACCAGAGCATCGGAAAATCCCATTTTAAGCATGGGCACATGAATGAGAAGCATTAACTTGATACTTTCTCCTAGAAGGGGCTTTCAAATGGTGACACTGGTTTTCATCAAAGTTGCAAAGCTAACCTTTGCTAGCACTTTCATCGCAGTGAATCAGATGGTGAATGTTGGCTTCCCTTGCCCCTCTATCTTTCCCATCGCAGGGTGTTAGCTACTTCGGCACTTAGGTACCTAGGTGGCCAGCAACATCTTCTTTCCATCAGTCTGGCCACTCTGCTTCTTAACTGTAGGAAAGTAGATAGCAAGCGTTTTTTGAGATAGTGAACCCAACTGGCTGCAGACAACTACGAATCGTTCACACCATGCGCGTGTTAAAAGCTTATACACATGAACGGAGAAGGGGCAATCTGAATGTAGGGGGAAAGAAGCTTCCTACCACCTGTAAAAAGAAGCCCACAATGCCGAGAACGCTATGGATGGTTGAAGAGACACCGAAATATATCGTGCAAGTATATGTAAACGCTTGGAGAAAAAATAACTATACTGTCAATACATAAAGACCATGTGCTTATCCATAAAATTGAGATTTTCAACTTCGGGCGAAAATAGTATTCACTGTCCATTCAAAACTAGCAGAATCAACAATGGCAATGGCTATTCAAAATTCATCCTTTTCCCTGTGGAATGGCTTGGTGGAGTATACTCTCCTTCACTGACTCGTATAGCCGGCCTCGTCTTTCTAATGCGAGGATGAAAGGGCAGGAGGTGGTATCCCCTTTCCTGTGCAATGTCATTCTTTTTTCTTTCCGTCCTTGGGCCTAACTCATCTAGTAGCTTCGAGGTCGTCCATCCATTCTAGTTCTATGCTAGAAAGCAAGGCTTCTCCTTTTGTTTGAGCAAAGGAAGCAGGTATTCCGTTCTGTATATCAGCACCCATCTGTGAAACTGGTTTCACGGTAGACGCTACACTATTAGTTCCTGATACATCATCCATCTTAACAATTCCGGGACGAGAAGCAGGTCTTTGGATCCCATTTGCCAATTGAATAATCGAATTACCGAAGCTGGTCGACGGTACCGATAAAATAGAGAAAAAAAACCATGGCGTCGAATCCTAAACGTAAGTGTCACTGACACAGGAGTACGATTTTAACACAGGAAGCTCTGACAACCTGACCCAGGACGGCCACCACGCCAGCATAGTGCGGCATCTCGGTCCAACGTGCTGAACATCACCGAGCCCATGCCCGGTCAGACAGACTGGTCTGTCGATAATCTCCCGGAAATTTTATATGTCTTTAGACCAACCGCCCCCCAAGTAAGGTCACATAACAAAATGCCTATGAAACCGTCGCCTTGGGATTCCGGGCAGGACCTGCGGATCTTTGATATTCTGCCGGACAGAATATCAGCCAATGTGGAAGAGTTTCGGGTTGAAGCCTGGATGCGTCTGGATCGGCGCATCCAGCTTCATGATATCACAGATCGTATGCATCCTGAATTTCGCATAGCAAAAAATGCACTCCAGCAGCGCGGAGTCAGGTTTCGCCAGGCTTTCAGTATACTCTCCTGGGGATCAGGAAATAAACAAACTCAGGTTGTTGCGGAGCAGCTTGAGAAAGAAATGGAAGCTAGGGGAATCGATCCAGCGTTGAATTCCACTCGCGGTTTGACGCCAGGTTTAATCAACTTGGCTTTGGGTGAGGCAGGCGGGAGAATCCCTGTGCCTGAGGCATACAAACAACGCTTTCAGGCGTTTGCTAAAGAGCAACAGGAGATGATTCAGCAACTTCCAACAATGGATACGCCCGTATTGGTGGAGCATACCCTCAGGACACCGGAAGTGCAGCAGTTGTTCATAGATCTGCCAGTTGAGTCACCCGACCATATGCAAGACGTTCTTCCAGGATTAGCGTCACCAACAAATCCGCCGAGCCAACTGATCAGCCATGACATTTTGGATGACAATGTCTCTCATGATCGCACCTCGCAGGAACCTATAGAACAGAGAGATGCTACCCCTCAAAATTCAGATGGAATATACACGAACGTCAGCCAGGATGCGTGCTCAGTTCAGGAAGAAGGAAATGTGGATTGTCCAGAAACAACCGCCCCGGGTGCGTCAAATGGTGTTCACTTGCCGCTTGAAAATGGTCCTTACCTTGGAATCCCTTGTTACGGAGATCCCTTGGAGATCAAAGAGGAGCCGCCGACACCAACTAAAGTTCGAGTTTCTCGAGTGCCTATCGAACTCTTGATGCAGCAGTATGTCGATATCCCATACTGCTGGAAACTTGAAATGTTTGAAGCAATGCATAAAATTCATGCTGTAATGGCTCCAATAACTCATCCGGACGACCCCTTCCAGGGAGAGATGGTAGCCGATGAATGGGAATTATTTCCAACCATCCCTAACGTCCCTTTTGACTATCTGGATTTCGGAGACTCAAGGGACCAACCGATCGAATATGAGAAGATGGAGAGAGCAATGAAATATCAGCGAGAATACGACATCGATATAGACTATTGTGAGCAGTTGCGGGCTTCGTGCGGGCTGAATTTTGCTTGAGTGACCATCGGATCAATCGAGATTTTTTTTTTTCCGTGCCAATGTGCTTCGTGTGCGTATATCACGCAAGATACGTTTTTCGGGATACGACTGGAATGTCATGGTTATGATTTTGATGACCCAGCCAGTTTCTCATTTGTTATGACGTGGATGAAAACGTTTGAAGATCTAGGGCTATGCTGGACACGCCCATGTACTGTACTTAGTTATTTGCTAGAGAGCTGTTGAATTGTTGTGTCGGACAAATCCAATTCACAACAACCGATAGTCATTTTAGAAGTCTTGTACTTTAGAAAAACATCAGACTTTACCGGATATCAACGCCTACCTAACTTCCGGTCATAATGGGTGGACAGGGTGATGTTATTTGTGGGGCCGCCAAATTTCGAGTCCCTTACCGTGGCTGAATAGTGGAAACAGAAGTAAAGGGACACTCAGCTCAAGAAGATGACTGAGTATCGGGTCCGCATCCGGAGGTTAAAAGAGCTTCATAGAAATCCACTAAACAATACCGAGATCATATCGCACCCTTGATCGTTATGATTAAGATTATCGAAATATGGTCAAACGTTGTATGTCAGAGAAAGTAGATTAGAAGCTGACACACGAGTAGAAAAATGTCCCGGTAAATCCGTTCGAGGAGATCAGGGAGTACGGAGGTCGTAGTTAAAATAAGGTTAAGGTTGCACTAGCCATGATGGGATCGCGGTCCACGTTGCACATTCCATGGTTGGCTTGCAGAGCCGCCCCTTATCTCAACCAAGGTCGACCGCGATCCAATAAATCTAACATTTATTAACACATTGACGATGGGGATTCGCTCTGTAAAGGCGCATGTATTTCACTGATATTCTCCTTGGAGGATATTACCCTGGGGGGCGTATTTTTGTATTGCCCCATGGAGATGTCAATGAGCAAGCTCTGGGGATCAAGTCTGCAGTTATGTCTCCTAGTTTGTAGGTCGATTCGGCAGACACTACTGGGGAATGAAAGCTAACTTAACTAGGGACAAAATGATACATTCTATTTGCTCGTTAACTCTGACTTGGGTGTTCTTTGTCGCTTATCGGGTTCGGGATTTGTCCCTTGAGGTCAGTGGTCCTGAACGGCAGGAAAGTTTTGCGGCACATACGGCCCCTTATACCCTAAACGAAATGCTGTTCATATATTTCAAATGTACGACCTAGCATTTGGAATATATTTTGTGGCCGGATATGCTCTAGTTCACTCTGTTTCGAAACCTCCAGCGCCTTCGTTGCCTCTCTTTCACCCACCTGATCTTAATGGCCCCCGTTCCTCCTTGCTGTTGCAGAGTTTAAGAAGCTGCTGTTGATCTTTATTTGGCGTTTGTGTATGTGGTTTTGTGTTATGAGCAGTGTTAAGTGAATTATTCGCGACCAGGCTTCGCCGTTTCAAGAGCAACTGCTATCTCGCTTCGGCTCTCTTAGATTCTCTCCTTTTTCTTCTACTTTCTTCTCATCTCGCAATAGAAGTTCTCACCTTACCTTCACCTTTGGGTCTTCACACTCTATATCCTTCCACAAACCATTCAATCCCAAAATTTGTTGTCAGAATTCATTGAATGCCCTCTCTCAGCCAACCAGAGATTAGAAACACCTGCTGCACCAAGTTTCCTTATTCTTCATGCTGATTGCAAATCCTGTAACAGGCTCTTGTTTTGTGAACTGATTAAACTTCAAAAGTTAGACAGATTTCAGCTGTTTGCTTATGAGCTTTATCACTCCCAGAAAGTTTTGTCAAGGATTGTGAAAGTAGGCATGGCTGAACAAGGAGAAAACCAGTCAGCTCCTATATCAGCTGTAGTCCCAGGTCTGTTGATATGGTTTCATCACTCTTGTTTATATGCTAATATGATTCAAGAAACCGCATCTGCAGTGTTTCAGTGTCAGCGTGAGTGAATTAGCCTTCTATCCCCTTCCTTCATCTACCTTTGTATTTAAGATTGTTTGTCCAGATCCATTTCCACCGGACACAAACCACACTTGCCAGAATGCTGCAACTCAGGGCTACAGTGCCGAGAACCTCCCACCGCTTTTATTCCAGCTGGATCCCCCAATTGAGCGTTCGACTACTGTAATTCCCAACTTGATCGAGAATGGCCAAGAGGTTCTAGACTACGACGGAGGTGTGATCCACGACTTCCCTTTCCTGCCACGCTACATATCGACACGGCCATCGGCCTGGCAGCTGGAGTTTTGGATGAGGTTGGATCTACGACTGACATATCGGGACATTAAGGCCCGAATGACAGTTGGGAAGAACCTCCTACCAAGCGACAACTCCCTTAATATGCGGCGAGAACGGGAAGCTCGCGCGCCTCTTGGGTTGTCATGTTGGACAACCCGGCGCGGAGGGGTGACGAGGACTGAAATAGAGCGGGTGGAAAAGCTAAGTCAAGACCAGGCCAGTTTGTGCTTCCACTTTCGCACGATTAAAACTGTATGGCTGTTAACCGGAATATCCTTCAGCAGGTGTCGCTCAATACCACAATGGACGTGGAATATTCTGACGAGCCCGCCAATGGACGGTTATCTGTGCCAAAGTGCCTTCGGGCAAGAAACCTTGTTGGTATCCCCGCAGCCTGTTACCCTTGGGACACGTTTCTCATGAACAAGCGATTGCATGTCCCGAGTGCCAGGCTGGCGGAAGCGTTAGCTCTTCATGAACAGCTGTTGGAGGCTGTTGCGAACTCCAATGTCAGCGACTGGCGGGAACTCCCGGGAGACCAGCTTCCCCTTTCCTGGAACAGAAAACGGGGAAATGATCGACGAACAAAAGTATCTGGGCCGAGCAGCGTTTCTCGACAAGTAGCACCCCACCCAACAGAAGGGGTGGGCGAAGAAGCCAATCCGGATCTGATTGATCCCAGCGATCGTGCAAATAACGACAATGACCAACAAGTTGGGACTACCAGCCTCCTCAACTCGTTCCAGGGGCCTCATTTCTCAGAACCCGCTGCCCTCAATGACCAAGTTACTGAGACTGGTCAGGCCAATATTCCGAGCAGTGTCGATTTCTACAATACCTGGGGAGAGATGGATCAGGGGGCTTCACAAATCCCAGCCGCTGATGGGTTTCCAAATGATTTTCAATTGCCGGTAACTGGGCATGAGCTTGGGGTTATGTACCACGGGCCACTGGCGCCAGGAGCGACATTTAGCCCAGCCGGTTATGTCGGTTATCAACCGAACCCGTTTGTCGCTCTGAGCCCCCATTCCTATCAGCAAGGGTATAATCCGTACGCGGCGCACCCCATCCCTGCGTCCACCTCCCATCAGTACAACCATTTTGGTCCTCAGCCGCAGCCTCAGCATCATCACTTCGACCAGCAACAGCAGCCACAACTCTTTGTTTCCGTGACCCAGACTACCTCACAGAGCGGCCACTACCAGCTTGGGCCATCAGCACCCCAGACGCAATTCCTGAGCAACCCGCAGCACTCGCTCGGGCAACCCGGTTCACTTGATCATATAGACACCGGGTTTGATACGTCATCAAATCAAACCTTGCAGAACAATCCGTCGACACCAGTCAACCAAGGACAGGACGAAAATGAGTCTTACAGATTCAACGGCTCCGGGTCACACTCCATTCGTCAAAACCTAAATCATCGCCTGAATACCGACATGGATACTGTCATGCAGCGAAATAATCCATTTAGATCTATTCACGAAGGCTCCGGTCCGTTTAGTTCGTTCGAAGATTTCCTGGAAGATGAAATGTGAAGTCAAGTCGACAATCAGAGGGCCACTGCTGGATTATAATCTGCAACCAAAGATTGCACTCAAACCATCTCTATACGTTACTTTTAATTTCGGGAAGTAACAGGAAGGTGTAATTGGTCTCTTTTCTCATACCTCGCATTCTCCCTTACTCTACTGTGGAGTATAGGAATCAGCCAGCGCCACAAGTTCTAAAGTTTTCTTTTTCTTACTTTTCTAAGGGCAGCTGTATGAAATTGTGTTTCTATCATTTTCCTTTAAGATACCCAAAACCAAGTGAAACTAAATCTCTCCTTTGCAGAATGTAATAATTTTTGCATTTTGCGTTCTATCCCTTGCAGATCGTTTCCGATTTCAAAATTTCCAATTTCAAAGTTTCTCTTGTGGTCCAAATGAACCAATTGTTGCCTCATGGATTTTTCCGGCAGCTCATGGCCATTCCACCTAAGGACAGGATACCCGGACCAGCAATTCCAAAATGAACAGAGAAATGATTCGACATTTTGTATGGTGCTTACGAACAAGCCTCTTATACAGTATTGATTATCTCTGTTTTCTCTCTGAATTTTGTGATGGTTTCCATATCCCATTTCTTTCTATTTCGGTTATTTCTTCCTATTTGTTTTCAGTGATTATGTTTTGAATTGCTTCCCCATGGACTCTCCAGCTGGCCACGGATGGACCCTGAGGTCGGCGTTGTTGACTTCTTCCCGGGGTTTCTTTCTTTCTTTTCTTTTTTTTTTTTTTTTTTTTTGCTTTGCAAACTCATAATGCCGTTTACTCTTTGTAATGTCTGGTGGCCTGGATCTCAAGTTTTTGTATGCCCTGGTTCGGATTTGCTACTTATAAAAGGACATCTCTCCCAAGCTTGTAGGTGTGGAATAACGAACTGAAATTCTAAGTACGATGGATTTCCCTCTAACATCTGGTTTCCCAGGCCAAAACATATCGGGCAAAAAATTGCGGCCAACAATTTATAAGACATACATCATGACACAGTAAACTATTCATAAACTATTATCACTTACCTCCACTTCAGTCAACTACCATGCACGGGGGGTAGTTTGATTCAAAGAAGCAGAAGGCTATCCAACGACGAAAACCCGGCCGCCACCCCTCCTTCATCACTTTCTTTCCCCTTAGTCCTCAACAGCCAGCCTCCCTGCTCATTGTGCAATATCTCGCCGTTATTCCTCCAAAGGACAGTACCAAACATTCCTAATTCACTAATAACATGCCCACTAAGCACTGCCCCATCACTGCGCAGCATCATGTTTTTAGCCGCATCAGGCGGCTGAATCAGCTCCATAAGAATCCATCCCTTCCAATCCTTCTCCGGGATGGAACGGAGGAATCCCGGAATCGCATCGCGGTAGACATTGTTGCCACCTCCCTCACGCTGCGGTTTCAAGACGTGGTGAACTGCCGTTGAGGGGTTGAGGGCAAGATCGCGACCAAGACCGGAGGTCGAGAGGTCATATTGCGGAGCGAACGTTGCGCGGATTTTCTCGATTGTTTGAGCGTGGGTCTTTGGGAGGAAATGGGCCAGATGGTCCGTCTCTGCGTGGGGGTCTGCGAGTTCTTGTTGCACTTTCTTGCTGCCAGAGAGCTGGCTGAGGACTGAAGGGCATTTTATCGCCGCGGATCGCTCTAGGTGCGTTCGGGCAGCCCACGCAGAGTCGTCTGGGTAGTCAGCCGGTCCGTAGAAGCCGCGTAGATAAATTGTTGTCACCTCGAACGTAGTGGTGACAGCGTGGGGGGGAGTGTATATTAATGGCCTGGCAGGGTTGGAGGAGGGGATGGAGGTTAGTCCCAGGATATCTGTCGTTGTGAGTCGGAAGACGGGGATTTTGTGGAAATCAGTAAGACGGGTGGACAATTCCAGCTGGTCGAATAGGTTTCGCTCCCCGGCTTGAACGACAAATAGGATGCATAGCAGTAGCGGGGATTCTGATTTCGACGGGCCATATGCAATATGGGCCGATGCAAGACCGTTGGCTAGGGTCGCAACGGCGGTATTTGGTGGGGGCTTGTGGTCTTTCAGGATTGGATGTGGCGGATATGTAATGGGATTTCCAGGAGGTAAAGACAAGAGATCCGTGTGTAGTGCGGTGACAAGTGTTGAGAGGCCCCCAAATGAGGAGGAGATGGTGTTAAATTCCACTTGTTTGAGAGATGGCTCTGCCGAGCCAGGTGGTCGATGGGTGATATAATCGGATCGGAAAAGGCCTAGAGCGAGTGGCTGAACGTATCCTTCCCTTTGTACGCTGAGATGAACCTTCCAGAGGTTTGCGATGAAGTCATCCACGTCCTTGAGTCTAGCACATCGTCTCAGTCAGTAATCGGAGAGCGGTAGCGGAAGCTTAATATAGAAATTTTCCCATTTTACTTGTTTCTCTAAAAAAGGGTGCTACGGAAATAAAACAATTCAGCTCACTCTTCAATAATCTTCCCCAACCACGTTTCATCGCAGCTTATCCTCGCATATAATTCGTTGTACTCTCGCTGGATTGCTGTCGCATAGTCAAAGCAAGATTTGGGGAAAAGGCTGGGGAAAAGAGTGACGGGCGCATTAGTTGCTAACGCGCGTTGGGAATCCAATTCCGTCTCTATAGGGGCTAGCGACGGTTTGACGCAGAGTCCGTGATGTAGAGTCCATGCTTTTACCGTGGAGAGAAGGTATTCTTGCTGCTCAGGGGTTAATGGTGGGGGATAATTGACATATACGGAATTGTCCATTGGGAAGAAATACAGGCTTGACAACGACAAATTGATGAGAGCGCTCTATCTGTCCACCTGCATTTCCAACGCCAAACGAATGCGGGGAGAGACTCTTGTATATAAATAGGGCCAAAGAGAAGTTGATATGTAATGCGCGTCCTCCGTTGTTGGTCAACTTTCGGCCGGAAAAACTTGCAGTGGGGGTCCACGAGCATCCACCAAAAACCCTTGATATATTCAGTCAACCACGTCTCTGTTCTCTCAATGCTGGTGGGTTAACGTATTTCTTCCCCGCAACGATCCCGCCTAGCCCAACCATCACCGAATGATGTGCTGGGAGTGAGCCGTCTCCATTGATCTGATTACTAATGCTGTTGATTAACTAATTAAACGCCCCCGCCTCACCATATTGGCAAAAGAGTCGTCGCAGATATTCCGCTGCCAGCGTCATTCACTGGGTTGGCGTCAAATAGATCCAGTTGGAGAGCTTGTCAAGCTAACTCCTTCGAAGCGCTGGGTAGACAAGGCACAACCCATGCCTAGTTACTATTCTCAGCAGCATTCTTTATCTCAATGCTTTCTTTGAAGTCAGCTTGTACTGCTCTGAATTGGGCGCGTAGCGCATCAGGGTGCCAGAAGCGCCCAGCCCTTTCTTTCCAGTCCCAGAGAACACAACTACTGTACCTCTGCGCTCAGTATGAATGGAGCAGTATTCATTTAAATTGGAGTTAATTTGCCGTTTAACTCCTTCCCTGCCCATTTTCCCAAGTTGCAACTCTGCTTAGCACCGCTGGCCGATATAAAACTGATATCCTGAGAGCAGTGGTACGCCATGGACGGTTTCGAGGATGACGATCCCTTTGAGTGGTCAATCGATCAAGTTATCGCTCACCTTTGTCATTCCTCTGCGCCGTGGGCTCGTTCTTCGCTTCCTCGTCCCGACTCAACAACCCTCGAGACATCCCTTCGAGAGAATGATGTCACGGGAGAAATACTACTCACAGAGATAAACAAGGTGACGCTGGCTCAAGATTTAGGTTTGAAATCACTTGGGCAGCGCGCTACAATATTTAGAGCAGTCGAGGAACTACAGAAGCGGTCGCGAAAATACGCAGAATATATACAGTCACGCCAGGTCAACCCATCTTATCCTATCGAAACCACACGCCAAACCGCGCCCAGCTCGAGCCGCCCCCCCGAGACACCGTTTCATGCCATTGCTTCTGCTGGGGCTGGCCCCGCTGCGCACAGTAGGACAACTGCTGTATCCCAAAGTCCCAGCAGAGTATCGGAGGCACAGAGGCAGGAAACAGCTTATTTGGCAGCCACAGGCAGTGCTTCAGTGAACTGTCGGTCAAACGAGGCTTATGTCATTGATAGGACCGGGAAAAAACGTCGCAAGTTATTCCTGAGACAACGCCAGTCCCATAGAACTGAGACTTGGGAAGAGAACTCTAGGATTAATCGATCTTCTGCTTATCTAGGGCCTACAAAGGTGACACTTCCAGATCTCTTTTACAATAACATGGAAGACAGTGACGACGAAGCCTTTGTATTGGAGGGAGCAAAATGCCCCATTGGCCAAAAACGTTTTGTGAACAAACGTGTCCAGCACTACTTTCTAGAGGAGCACTTTTCAATACAAACTAAAGAAGGAAAGAATGCCGTTGCCATATTTCCATACAGCTCGAAAATTCTACCTCCGGGCGAACTACAATTTTTCACGCTATTCACGCAGGACCAGGGGATTGTCAAGGTCACAAAAGAGGACATCATTGACTGGCCTCAATTCAAGGAACGAGATGAATTTGACTACCTGCTCGACAAGTACCCAACTGAGGCAGATCAAGGCTTACCACCTTACGGGGATTCTGGGTCGGAAAACGAATATGACTCCGATACATGGCAGGAGATCAAGATCGAGGAACGGGAAGTAGAAATCGAAAAGCAAAAATCGAAAATACTATCTGGTCCAGAAGTTGACGGCATTATTGACAGATATATTGAGCTCACTTCGCGAAAGTGGTGTGACCAGAAGCTGCCAATTCAGCAACGTAAAGCTCAACGGCTGTGGTTGTCATCGAGAAAGTGGGATACAAAATATTCCGAAATCAAATCCGCACAGAGTACCATTGCTCATTTAGAGCGACGTTTGAAAGCACTTCGAAAGGCCATAAAAGATACTTCCTGGTCAAAGGTGAACGAGGTACAACAGCAATGCCAGTCCATGGAGGAGACTGTTTTCAATAGGGAAGCGCAAAAGTGGAAAATATCTGTGTTAGAACTCGACACATGTCCTCCAAAGCCTCCATCTGCGGCTACTCCTGCCAAGCCTCCAAAGCCCTCGATACCCGAGGATGAGGAGTGGCTAAGCTCTGAAGGCAATGATGAAGATATCGATGATATCAATGACTTTATTGTCCCGGACAATGATGTGCCTGTTTCGGATCGATCGGGGGATAAAAGAGAGCCTTCCAGACCCGCTCCAACCTTACCCAGAGAGGCACAAGCTAGTGAAGATGTTACTACACCCAGGTTTTTGCGAGAACAACGCGTTCAAAATTCTAGTTCCTCAGAACCCAAGTCTGTTCGACAACGGTCTGCTGAGCATGTTCCGTTGAAAAATTCAACCTCACCGGCACAATTACGAGAGATGAAACAGTATCTTCAAGGGCCGATTGAGGTTGTAGATTTAACTAAAAGCTCAGATGAGACATCTGATCATAATTTCGATATTCAAACTCCGCCTCTGAATCCTGTTAATGATACCGCACTTCCGCCTCCTTCACCGCGATCGAAATTGCTTCACGACTTCACTCGGGTTAAGAAAAAAAGACAGGGGACATCAGAATTACAGGTTTTGGACCCGGTATACATCGCGGAAACAGCCCGTATAGGCTGGTCAGTGCTCGAGGAGCGACTCGACCGTGACCGTTTATTGAGCAAACTAATTTGGTCCATGCTTCAGCAGGAGCGTCGTGATTTGCACCAATTAACCAATTCAATCGAATTAGAAAAAGCAAAAAAGCGTGTCCGGAAAGCTTTACGCAGTGTATTACATCACTCCTATCAAATCCAAAATAGTCGCAAGCATACCCTATTTTTGAGGATAGCCGCACTTTATACATCCTGGCTTCGCTGCAAAAAGATATCGGCCATGCAAGGCATCCCAAAAGCGTTTATTGAGGGTACACTGAGGGATAAAAATAGTTACGATGTTTTTCATCCTAAGCTTTGTGAAGCTCTCAAAGCATTTTTAGACGTGAAAGATCCGGTAACAAAGGCTGCTGCTGGGAAACCACCGGAAATTTCCACAAACAAAAGTGATGAGCCGGAACGTTCCACTTCCTCTCAAATCTCTGGGGCTGAGCAAACTCAGGACCAGGATCTTCAAGAACTTTCCTCAGGTTCTGAAATCGAAGCACACCGCACTCCTCACAAAAAACGAAAAAGAGCTGTGAAAGAGAGTCAAGAAGCCATGGACAGTCAGAGAAATGCTCAGCGACGTGTTGAGCTTCAGGAAGAGCAACGGGAACTACTTGCCCGCAGGCTACGGGGAACGGGTATAAGCAACACAGATCCAGAACGGCAGGTCGTTAGCTTTGATGATCCGGTGATATATCTTCATCGTCACATCGGTGCGCGAGTGAAACCCCACCAACTAAGCGGCATTCAGTTCATGTGGCGAGAATTGATCAAGGATGAGAAACGCCAGGGGTGCCTTTTAGCTCACACAATGGGACTGGGGAAGACGATGCAGGTGTAAGTATGCCTTTTTTTACCTAATGAATTGTTTCTAACACACAACAGGATATCGCTTTTGGTGACCATCGCCAATGCCGCCGCCTCTGACGACCGTAGAGTGAGGAACCAAATTCCCGAAGCCCTTCGACGTTCTCGTACCCTTGTGCTATGTCCGTCCTCATTAATCGAAAATTGGTGGGAGGAGCTTTTGATGTGGACGCCTAGTGACTCTCAGACCAGCCGCAACATTGGACCGTTTCGCAAAATTTTGCCAACACTTCAACTTGAAGAACGCCTAGACGGGATAGCGTCCTGGTACATGGATGGTGGTATTTTGCTCATGAGTTACGACATTTTCAGGGCATTGATTCTCAATAAAGCAACAAAAATTCGGCCATCAGCACTCGATAGAAAAACTCATGAAACAGTTAGGAAGCATCTTCTTGAAGGGCCAAGCATTATTGTCGCGGATGAAGCTCACAAGTTGAAAAATAGAAATGCGGGAGTTGCTGAAGCATGTCGGGAATTCACGTCAAAAAGTCGCATTGCATTAACAGGGTCTCCTCTTGCTAACAATTTGAGTGAGTACTATGCAATGATAGATTGGATCGCACCCGGCTATCTTGGAGACTTCATACAATTCAAGGCCAAGTATATTGAACCGATTCAGGAAGGCCTCTATGCGGATAGCTCACAGTGGGAACGTCGGCAGTCATTAAAGAAGCTACAAGTTCTGAAAAAGGATATCGATCCAAAGCTTAACCGAGCAGATATTTCAGTCCTCAAAGGGTCTCTTCCACCAAAAGTTGAGTTTGTAATCACCGTTCCGTTAACTCCACTTCAGGAACAAGCATATAACACTTATGTCGCTGCCCTTGCGGCTAATAACGATAATGTTGGGAATCCAAAACTATGGGATTGGTTGTCGATCTTGTCACTTCTGTGCAATCATCCAGGTTGTTTTATGGAGAAGCTCCGAGATCGAAGCAAAGGTTTCCAGAAGCCGCCGTCAAGCCGGGTGTCCCCTGATTCCGATTCTGAAATACCAGAGGACCCTTCGATACCTCAGGTTCTCCTCTCTTCTGAGGTACTTGCAAGGATAGAGAAAGATTTCCCCACCGGCATGGACATGTGGTCACTCGAGCTGTCGCATCGAGCACAAGTAGCGGATCAAATCATTGAACGCTCTATCGCGGCAGGGGACAAGGTGTTGTTATTTTCACATTCAATCCCGACCCTCAACTATCTTGAGCTTGTTTTAAAGCAAGCAAAACGAAGCTACTCCCGACTTGATGGGAAAACGCCTATTGCTACACGCCAGATAGCTACGAAGAACTTCAACTCGGGTTTCGACTCGCAAGTTTATCTGATCTCAACAAGAGCTGGAGGGCTAGGCCTCAATATCCCGGGAGCAAATCGGGTGATCATTTTCGACTTCCAATTTAACCCTACATGGGAAGAACAAGCCGTTGGGCGAGCGTATAGGCTCGGGCAGCTTAAACCGGTATACGTCTATCGCTTTCTTGCAGGAGGGACATATGAGGATGTTATGCATAATAGAGCCGTTTTCAAAACCCAACTTGCATTTCGCGTTGTTGACAAGAAGAACCCTATCCGCTGGGCGTCCAAGAATATTAGTGACTACCTTTTTAGTCCAAAGTTCGTTCCACAAAAGGACCTTTCGGAATTTAAGGGGAAAGACCCAGCGGTTCTTGATAGGATTCTTGCAGGGCAGAAAAACATCAGAAAGATCGCACTCACAGAAACCTTCCAACGTGAGGATAACGACCAGTTGACTCCAGAGGAGGAAAAAGCCGTCCAGGAGGAGCTTGACGATGAACGGCTCAAACGGAACGATCCAGTTGCATGGGCCAAAAAGCAGCAGGTGCAAGAGCCACAAGTAACGCCTCGACGATCAATTTTTCCTCATTCTCATCCTCTGTCGATCATGAGAAGCGCTCAACATCCTTCCAGTTATAGAGCATCTGATCTTGTACCTTTATCTGCAAATTCTATCCCGCCAATGACCAGCCTGGCCGTAGGTCCACCTGCGCTGACACCAGACACAAGCCTCTTCAGACCTGCCAACCAACCAAGGTTCACAAATGAGACCAGGGTATTGTCATCGTTCTTCTCCGATATCAACGGAAATGCGGCCCTAACACCACTGGCGCCGTCCCAAGCCAGCCCCAACGGCCCATTACTGCCCAATGGCGACGCAAATCAACCTTCTATTCCACCACCACCACCACCACCAGCAACAGCAGCAATAGCATCATCCAGCAATATTCCGAGCAGCTCAAAAGTGGTCATCAGTCAAAAGAGACCTAACAATGTGGACAAAGACGACGGACATGTAACAGGAACCAGTAATGGAAGTAAACGTCTAGCAATCGGGCAGGAAAACCAAGTCGAGACAAATGCTATCTCTGCTGTTGGAAAAGAAAGCGAGACACCTCAATCTAAGACCGGTACGTCAGGTTGCCGTCAGCAATAGGGATTTGAAGATTTTTATTGTTTTATCTGCGTCGCAATTCTTTATATATATCCGTTTCTTCTTCTAACATTAAAACTCTCTCCCTCTCCTCCTTTCTCTCCCAGTGTAACTCTCTAACTATCCTCCATGTCAACTGAAATTCAACAACTCTACCAACTCTGCCAAGGCGGTATTGCGATGAATATTCTTCGGGAACTTCGCATACATTACCCAAATATGTGGCCCAGGAGAACTACGCTACTCAACTTTCATCCCTACTTCAGGGAGGCAACAGTCGTACCCAGAGACTTTTACCCTATGAAAGACAACTTTGAGACACTACCCTTTTATCACCCTTTACTATGTTTTTTCATTTATTTATTTTTGTCTCTTTGTTCATTGCTCTCTTTCCTGCACGGTGCAGCCTTTTTTAACTTTCAGTTTCAACGATAGATACCTCATATATGTTTTACTATTCCTTAACATTATTGCAAGTTCAGGCAATTGCCCATTTTCCCCCGATGTTCCAGCAACTCCCATTTTCCTTCTATCTTCCACTTTTAAGGGCCCTTGGACACACGTGTAGTGCGGAGGTATATAATATTCTAGCAGGAACTGAGCAACTAATCAGCATTGTATCCGGGACAGAGGTGTACTTTTCTTTTCACGTTTTGACGACGTTAATGCCATGTGTCTCTGACTAAACCTACTACTCTCTCCTTTTAATTGCTTGTTTTATTTATTGCATGCTTTTGTTATGGCTGCATACTACAGAGGGAGGTGGAATTGCTTTATTTCATCTGATGGGTAGAACTGGTGAATTTGGTATGGGAAGTATATTAGAAGTTGATTCAGTGCTGTTGTTTTTCTAATCACATACTTCTTGATTTTATGAGGGGTCAATGAATGTGGCATGTATTAATAAGTTAATGCAATTAAATATTTGCCACAGTATTTATTTATTTATTTTTTCCCTTCTAGAAATCTGTCTAGGAATTCAATTGAGTCATCTATATAGTTATGGCATTAAATCTAAAGTCTCAGATTATCTATGAACACAATAGAACTACATATTCATCCCATATACAGTATATTTAGATCACAGTAATCAACTTTTACTCTTTCATTAAAAACTGATATCTCTTCTGCCTCACTTCTTTTGTACTGGGTTACAAAGAAATCAGCATCAATTACAGTTAATATCTATTCAGTTCATACTGTGAGGTTTGAGCTTTCTGTATAATGCTTAATCACTATATCAGCAGCAGATGCTAAGATTTATATGGAGAGTATCTACAGTTAATTCATATTAGATCTCCTGTGAGTGAGCCTGTGTTATAAATCACTCATGATTAGTTAAACACTGGATTTTTAAAACATATAGAACAATGTTTGTAACCACAACTTTATTTCAGAAATGTTTATTGAAATTGAATGTAATTAAAATAGGTGAAGAAAAATAGAAGAGAGGGTATTAAACATGTTTCTGATTTACATAGAGGCCACTGTGTTTTATTATCAAAGAGGTAGAAGTAACAACTGTGAGCATGATTACAATGGATATGTTTAACAAATGGAAATAAAGGCTAAGTGGTGGGTAGGTATAGAAAAGAAAAGATGGGACAAAGGAAGTGTAAAGATTGTGTTACAGAATTTTCCGTATATCGAAGTCAAGATAGGTGTGAGAGGAGAATACTAGGGTCAAAGAGATTTTTTAAATAAAAATGTAAAGATCGGGAAGCATGTTTAGCTGAGAATAATAGGAGATTGGGGGTAGTAGCAGAAAACGCTGCACTCTTCTTACTGAAGTAATTTTTCCAAGTCCGCAACCCGCGACATCCTATCATCACGCTTCCGGTCTATTTTTTCTCTAAATGCTGTCGTCATCAGCGTACGTTTCTCTTTCTGCTTATCCAGTACCCGATCTTCAATACTATTTTCCATCACAAGACGCCATATAGTCGTCGGTCGCTTTTGTCCCAGACGATATACACGGTCAACAGCCTGGTCTTCAATCGCAGGAGCCCACCAGCTATCAGCAAGGATAACTTGATTTGCTGCGACAAGGTTAAGGCCCACGCTGCAGACGTTCAAACTAGCAAGAAGGACGGTGCAATTTGAATCGTTTGATAAAGCGTTCATTGCTGCATCTCTTTTGGCAGAACTCATTTTGCCATCTATGCGAGCAAACGTGATGCCATTTCGCACAAGCTGGGACTCGACTATGTCCAGGAAAGATACCCACTGGCTGAACACGACAGTTTTCGTATTGGGTGCTTGGCCCTTGGCTTTAAGGATTTTCAACAGGGCTTGAATTTTGCTGCTGGTAGTTTCGGAGTCGATGTCAATTTCGTTCGTGTCTTCGCCAAAATCTGCGGAGGGGGCAACCAGACTTTTGCAGTCTTCGATTTCCGCTCGGCAGAGGGGGCATTTGTGTTGGTGTTCAATGACTTGCTCGATACAAGAATAGTCAAATGTGTGAGCACATGGAGTGATGACTGGCTGTTGGAGAGTATCAAGGCAAATGGCACATATTTCTTGACTTTCTATTTTAAGCTGAAGAAGAGCTTGAAGTGCCTTGATATTTTGAGGGGTTAGTGCTACCACCTTGTGCTCCTCCAGCATTTCCATAAGGTTGTTAATGCGATTTTGGCAAAGCTTCCAGTGATTACACACTTGACGCATGCGGAGGAGAACTTCGAGGAGAACGGAGTATGTTGCCCCGCCCTTTTTGTTATTGGCGTTGGCGTGATAGTCCAACAGGACTCCCTTGGCTTCCGCCCTAAATTAATTCTTAGCTGATATTGAACAAATAATAATTGTGAATTTAATATATTCAGTACATACTGCAACATATCGTATTTCTCTTGTTCGTGCGGAAGAAATTTGACACGAAGCACGTGGGAAGAAAGAGGTGGGAGACGGAGGTTGATAAAATTCATTTCCTTCTTCCGTCGTAGACAGATGGTACCCATCAAAGCTTGAAGAAGAAGACTTGCATTAGGCTCACATGTTGTAAGAGGGCGAATTACAGCGCTATTAAAAACTGACAGGTCTTCAAGCCCTCCCGAAATGCGTAGATATTTTATTTGTGAGTATAAATCTTTTAGGTTATTGATGATGGGTGTTCCAGTGAGAGACCACCGGGAATCGGCTTCCAACCTGCATGCAGCGCGTGCTCCTCTAGTACGTGGGTTTCTGATTGTATGCCCCTCGTCTAAGACGATACGTCGCCAGCGCAGAGAGAACAACCCTTCTGATGGCTTGGAATTCAGTAGTTTGTTCTCAATCAGAGCATATTCCGAAGCAAGAGCCCCATACGTAGTAATGACTACATCGTACGTATTGAGTTTTTTCGCCTCCTTCTTCCCAACTCCGTGATAGATCAAAACTCGAAGGGCTTGGTCCTTGTGTATATGGTGTGAGATTTGATCTCGCCAGTTGCTCATGACACCAAGAGGTGAAATAACAAGAGTCGTTTTCGATGAGTCCTTTGTTCTAGGAGTTGAATCAGCTAAAATAAGTGATATAGTCTGTACTGTTTTCCCAAGGCCCATATCATCCGCTAGAATGCCGCCACTGGCAAGAGGCGGTTCGGCAGCCGTCGTATAGTTAGTTGCGATATTTGTAAACATATGGCCCGACCGTTTCCACAGCTGGACAACGTCTTGAGATCCTTTACTTGGCAACTTCGGTGATTCTTTGTCCAGCATCCACGCAAGGCCTTGGCGTTGGTATGGAAGCAATTCTGTGGAAAGAGCTTTCGGACATGGGGCCATTGGCATCCTTGCTAGCTCCTCTTCGTTTGTTCCAAACTTTTCCACAACTTGGCCCATCTCTCTAGGATTAAAGGTTGTACTTTGACCAATGATATCCTCTAACGAGGCAATTTCGTTTGTAGGTTCATTTCTAGATGGAATATATAGATTTGCGTACGTTGGGTCTCCCGAGGATTGCCACTGTTGGCCTTTGCCATTAACTAGAGACCGCCCCTGATTTGCGGCCTTTCGCGGGTGCGCAGCACTCTTCGCCTTCCCACTTCGGAAGCGTTTGATGGCTTTGAGGGGAAGGCGATCGCGCTCCATCTTCTGCATTAGTTCCAGCTGTTGAACTGGGTTGCTAGTCCCATATAGTTTAAGCTCGATGGGGCAATCAAAGAAACCCTTAACGCCGGATAATACGCCTTCTATGAGCAGCGATCTGGAGTCCTAAGTCCTTCTATTAGCGAGTCCCAATTATTTTGATAGCCAAACAAACCTACCATATACGGCGCTAACTTGCTAGCAGTAGTACGAGGCAGATGTCCAATCTGCACCCCCATAACGTTATCAACCCGGATTGCATTTTTATCATAACGATTACTTGGCTCTCTTTTAATTGTTACATATTCCCCGATCGTTGCGTGCCCTGTGTAATACCTCAGGCCAACGACCTTAGACGAAAGAGTGTCTTCGAACGGTTAGCAATTGGACAGAAAGGTTATGGAAGAATACGACACGGTAAATACCATATAGCTGGAAATTAGTATAGGCATCTTCTTGGGAACTTTGAGATACGTCCACAAGCTCCGAGGCACCACGGTCATCCTCATCTGTCGGCGTACCTCCTCCTCCCTGGCTGAGCGAAACCAGGTTCTGGGGAGAACTGGTGATTCGGCCACCGGGAGAAATTGAATGACCGAACCTCGCTTCTTTGCGTGGTTGATCGCTGGAGTCCGTGAGATCGATGAATTCAATCTTCCTCTTGCCTTTTAACGAAACCATTTCCGCCAGATATCAAGCCGGGGGATGGTTGCCAGGTACATATGCAAAGCAAAAATGAGAATAGTAAAAGAGGTTGGACAATTCCATGGAACTGTGAAATGAGAGCCAATGCGTCTACGCGGAACTGGATGGAACTGGCTGCAACGGAGAGAATTTGCTCTGGCGCATCCTTCAAGACCGCGCTTGACAGTTGTGGCTCCATCCCCGAAAACGCGCTAATGTCGCGATATCACGTGGATTGCTCTCTCTCTTTTTTTTTAGCACCAGAACTTCTCGTGTGTTTCTCGGCCTCTGCCTGAGTGCTCGCAACGGGATGGGCAAGATGAAGCGTGGAGCCATGGAAAATATGGCCAGCCGATAGTATAGCATACTTTGACTGCATAGTTTTTCGGTGAAACTGCGCCAATACTGAGCTGGGCAAGCAGCACCTGCTGAAGAACAGGGCTGGCTGCTTCGTTGCCTTAGTTTTCTGCAGAGGCTGTGTCTTATTGGCCTTTCTCAGGACATTCGGGGATGATCATGATTGGGGCCTCTTAGCGAAGCTGTCTGGCATCGTGCCTCGTCCAGCTTGTCCTGTCGAAAACTTTCCTTCTTCACTGCAACATCTCGCGATGTTGCGTGCTTGAACGAGTCAGCAACGACGGAGTAGTTGGGTACGAGAAACTCAAAGGGACCACGAATTTCTTGGTCCCCCACTACCCAGTTATCCATAACTACGAAATATGGATGAACTTGCTGTCCCGCCGTCGTACCTCGTTGCCGTTCAGCAACTGCGCAGCAGGTATGACGAAGCCATTGCTGCTGGCCGGGTCAGGCCATTTCTTTTTCCCCATAGCTTTGCCCCATTGATCATTCTTATTCTCTCGCTCCTTGTGAAAACCCACCGTAAAGGTCCTTGGAAAATCATGAAATACCTCTCGTTTGGTGCTGTCGCTTGTTCAGCATTATATAACATACTTCACTCTCGAATGTACCTTGGAGGCAATGGCTGCGTCGTCGGAATAGCCTCCTTTTGGTACATAATGTTGAGTGCCTCACTGCTGCTTTTCAATGATCCTCAGGAAAATTTCAAACGCATTGAAAGAAAGATAGTTTCTCCACATAATAAGGAGAACTCTCCTAGTTATGAGAGTCGGGAGTTAGTGCTAACGTCAAACATGTCTCTTGAGGAGAATAAAGTTGGATATGCCAATTTCAGATTGTCACGAAGAACCACAAAACCGGCTATAAAACCGGGAATAAAGCGCAAGCCCTGCCCTCAAGAAACCAGAGAGATGTACGTTTTGCGGTGGCAGGCGTATCCGAAGACATTTCTCCACCGCCTGGCATGGGTCTGGGACCTTATCATCAATATGCGTGGGCCTGGTTGGAATTGGCGTATTTCCACAATTCCGCCGCTACCAAAATTTACTCCTTGTCACCTCGATCGGCCATCGCATGAAATCAACAGACTCGAAACCGTGAACTTAAGTGATACCAAATCCGCCGCGAAATCCGCGCTATTCCGTATGATATGGAGTTACCTTGGCCTAGATGCCCTAAAGGTCATCATGATGCTCGATCCCTATTTCTGGGGTATTGTTTCTTCCCCGCCACCATCACCTCTCGACTCCTTCGGCACTTTGGGAATGGCCGCCACCCAAACCTATCGCCTCGTCTTCTCGCTGATGGGCGTTATATGTGCAGTAGAATGTGCGGCTTCCGCCGTTTCTCTGCTCTGTCTTAGCATTTCATTATGGCTCCCCTTCGCTCGCAAATGGACCTTGATCCCAATTGAAGCCCCATGGTTATACCCAAAAGCATTTGGATCTTGTTTTTCTTCGTTGCTCGACCATGGCCTCATCGGCTTCTGGAGTAAATGGTGGCACCAGATTTTCCGCTTTAACTTCGTCCAGCCCAGCAATTGGATCTATGCTCACCTTCCACATCGACTTCAAAAGCCATTTTTAAGACGACTTCTCCAGTTGTACGTTGTGTTCGGCTTGAGTGGCCTATTACACGCCGCTGGCAGCTACACGCAACTGGCCCCAACAAGACCCTTCTCCAGCATTTTCCCGTTTTTCTTTCTTCAGGCCCCGGCAATCATGTTCCAGGACCTCGTTGCCAAACATGCCATCGCGCGTCTTCCGTTTCGCTTTCCACACTGGCTCTGTCGATCTACGAATTTCATATTTGTTGTGGTTTGGGCGTTTTTAATTGGACCCCTGGGCGCAGATGATTTTTCAATAGGCGGAGTATGGTTGGTCGAGCCGATTCCCCTCAGCCCGATTCGTGGTTTGGGATATGGTGCAGAAGGCGAAGGCTGGTGGTGTTGGAAAGGACAGGCATTTCAGCACTGGCGGGGCGAAAAGTGGTGGGATGTTGGGATACGGTTTATGTGAAACATAAATGTAATGCCTCAATTGGCAACTTGCAAGTTCGGTATGGATATTCATTTTCCAGCGATGCATGACAATACTCTCATGGAAGAGGTGGAAAGGAGAGCGACATAGCATGATCGACCTTCTTCTTGGAGTAGCTGAGTTCACTCAATTAGGCTTGCTTTCAACCTCCTTGATAGAAATGTGAAGGACTACTTTTTAGGGTATCACAGGCATTATTTCCTATATCATTTAGATACTTGGTCTTATAGAAGCTCGCAGAATGGGGGAGGCGAGGGGAGGGGTTGAGTACCGTCGCAAAGAATTTTCGGAAAAAGTTGTTAACTACCCCAATGTCTCCAGATTTGTGATATTTGGAACTTTTATAAATTTAATAATGATAATAATAACATACAAACGTGAAGTTAGATAGGATGATAGGGCTACAGTATAGATGATCTGCCCTACCCTCTCAAGTTTAAATCCAAACACGTAGTTCATCATTCTCCTTCCTCGTCATCCTCGTCGGTGTCCGGTTCAATATTCAGGGTGGGGATTTCATCATCGGATTCGCCATCACCTTCCCCCGCACCATCGTTATTCCTTATCTCGACTTTCTCTGTACCAGTTGCTGCAGAGTTAAAATTTTGTGCGGAAGTCAATTGAATAGCGGGCGCAGGCGTATCAAAATTCGTGACCCTTTCCTTTGGGGGTTCAGCAGGTACTACTTGTCTCGCAACTACCCTCGCTGGGTGACTGTAGCTGTGTGATTGCACCGCTTCAACACGTATTCTTTTGGTATGCGAAGGTAAAAGATTCTGAGATTCCGATGGGGGTGTTGGTTGCTCATCAGTCGTTAGAATATCATCCAACGCTCGTTTATTTAGTGGCCTTGTAAGTTCTTCAGGCACCGCATCTGATGACGGCACCAATGCGGTCACCGACCTCGGTTCAGAGTCGTCTTCTCCATTAGCTACTTCCCATTCGTTTGACTGTGAGTCTCCTATTAGGACCGGCATTCTCGGCCGTAGAAATGACTCAACTCCAGGCAATTCCGAGAAACCTCGAGTGAGGAACGGCATAATGCTTGGGGTATTGAAGCCATTAGATGTTGCTGGCACGGGGTTGAGGACGCTAGCCATCATAATAGATTCTTTCTTCGTTATGATCGCTGTGCGATCGATTTCCGTTCGGAGATATGTGGGAGTGTGTTCAGCCGGGAGGAATGTGAGGAGACTTGTGAGAAGATCTGCAGCCGCACTTTTCAGACCCGGAAGGGGATGTTCCGCGTCAATGCTAGCTTTGTGGTTTATATTCAGGAAAGAGTCCACATTGCTTGTCGTTGGATTTGGCTTCGCAGCAGATTTTCCATTAATAGGTTGATTATCACCCACAGCCTTGCTTGTAGAGGACGGTAAGAGGTCCTGGCACGCGAATCGGATAATTGATGCCAAGGGCGTTACACCAGGTTTTATGATGGATGGACCAATAATAGGCAGCAGAGTATTTAACACTTTGTAAACGGCAATGCGTATGTGAATATTGCTGTGTTCGGCTTCAAATATCCAAAGAGTTTGCTCAAGACAACTTTGGGCAATCGGGATGCTTCCTAGGCCCAATCTTTCAACGATAGTGCGCAAAAGATCTAGAACCGCAATATGAAGCCGGGGTAACTCAGCCCAAAGGCTCTCCCTTTCTTCCCGGCCAACTTCGGGATTTAAATCTGTCACACACTGTGAGGCGTCATCTGATGATGGGGTGGTCACTGAGACTAAACGACTGGACAAATCAAGTATGGACCCTAACGGAATTGCTACTGTGGAGCTAGTTTGCATTGAAACGAATTCAGTAAGCAACTTCAAAAGGTTTTCTAACTTCTCAGTACCAGCGTATATACCTTGCCAGGTTGGAGACCCAAGCGCATCGGGATGACCATCTCCAACCGGATGATCGTAATTTTTTGGTCTAGATGGGCGGCGTAAAGTGGTATCAACAGACTCCCACTGTTCCACAACACCTCGGAACAAGTGATCACTTGTCTGATGTAGGGACGATATTGTAGACCTACAAGCCTTAAGCCATTCTTCTCCGCCAGTATTCTTAGGTGCACATTGATGTAGGGTGATGAAAAGCCGTTGGGCCAGGCGTATGCCCGACCTTGATAGTGAACCAGAAACGCCGAACGGCGCAATGAGGGGCAATATCAGGCCATGGATTTGCGACGAAAATGGACGAAAAATGGTAGGATGATGGGGGAGCAACTCGAGAAATACACGCAGAACGGTGTCAAGCAATGGATTAATTCTTTTCAGTTGTCTCGCTTGCCCATCTATTGGTTTCACAGAAACCAAATTCAAACAAGATGTAATAAAAGTGGGCAGTGACGGTGTGGTTATTTCTCGCACCAAGGTTTGGTATGGATAAGTCAGTCGGAATATGCGCGTCAAAGTAATGAGGGAGAGCTTTTTAGTTGACAGAGGATCGGATCTCTGTGCATGAGTTGTTAGCATATCTCAATGAGTAGGATCAGGGAAGAGAAACCAAATAAAAAAATTGAAACGTACCCCTAGAATACCTAGAAGGCCCCGAACCCAAGCTTCGCAGCCACGGAGAATCTCCCATTGTCCCGCTTCTATCATTGCCTTAACAAGTATAACTCCGGTCCACCGCCCTTCAACGCTCTGATCTTGTAAGAGATTTGTAATGCGGGTTTTCAATTTCTGCACCAGCAATGCATTGTGTGACTCCCTAGAAACTTTTTTCTGACTTTGAGGCACCGATAATATACTTCCACAATCAGCGACAGCTGTCGCAATGTAGGTCGCAATCGACGGAAGCTCCTTCGCGGGCGTTGTCAGTAAGCGGTGAGTCGCTGCTCGAATGCAAATCGGAGCAGCCATGGTGGGCGGCACAGGCGCTGAAACTAGAAGCTGAATCGCCTCGGATGTTTGAGGCGGCAGCTAACGAGGTATTTCGTTCCAATTCATATTGGACGTGTATGGGGCTGGCTGCCGGTCTAGAAATTTAAGTGACCAAGAACTTTTTTTGCCGAGATTTGGACCAAGGTCTGTTGCCGCCGCGTGCGTCAGCGCTTAGCCCGCCAAGCAACGGCTAACCACCCTGCGGCAAAGGCTTCGTGGGTTTACGCCCAAGACTATAGCAACCTCAGGTGTTGTGTTCTGGCTGTACCTTTGTCCCGGGATCTCGGCAAAACTGCGTTTGATTTGGATCTACTGACCATGTTGTTGATGTGGTGACTGTCCCATCCGCTTACCTTGACACAACCATGACCGTACGTCACCTTTGCCTTCAATTGAGGAGTATTAATCCACACCCTACAACCAGAAGTATGTGCAATGGGACTCACAGGGTGGGCCATGTAGGGTCGAACTCCCGAGAAGGGGCAGAGCTATATTGAGGCTTTGGATACGGCCAGATGCAACGACAGTTGGAATGACGTCCCAGAGCTCGTTCGAAAAATCGAGAAGCATTGCCCGGAGCGAAGATGTACGATTCGTGTATTACCCTGAATCCCTACAACAAAATCACTGACACCCAAGTTCTCTATTAGGCCTAATAGAGGTTGCGCGTACCGAGTATCATGTCGTAAGCTACCTGAACAAGCGACCTAACACTGCCTCCACCGGCTCAGGATCTACAGAGACAAAGCTCCATGATCTGATACCAGGATTGCTCTCTGTGATGGAAGAGGAAGGGAGCCTGCCACAAGATGTTTTCCAAGCTCAAGTGTGTTTGGGCTGGTTGCACTGGACGCTATCGGAGCCTGCACTGGCATCCTCTCGCCTGCCCAAGGATTTTGATGTGACACTGCGGAGGCTGTTCGGTGATGAACAGGTCCTATCGCCCTGGACAGAGGTCTGCATTATAAAAGGGGGATATATGAAGGGTATGTAACCCTTATATTCTAGTACTACATTACGATACTCAAATAGCATGCTGTTTTCATAGGCGCAGCACAGGCATTAGTTTCAGGGCCTGAAGATGCGATACGCACTTTCAAATTGGTATTACCTTGGATCTCCGCTCCGTCTTCGACCTCCCCGTCAAATCCGCAATTTCTATTCTGGTCTGAACAGCTATTGGCCAGGGCCGCACTCCTTGCAAGCGAAGCCGCATCGGAAGGGCCTCTGGCAAATGAACAAACGGCTGAGTTTGCCCTGAAGGCGTTTCGGCTTTGGGCGGCCCACCGTAACGTACAACAAGGTGACCCAGCGTCGGATGTTGTAATCACTGCTCCAGCCAGTCCAGGGTCAAGAGCTTCAATATGGAAAGCCTATTACACCTACTTATCATCGACTTTGTACCAAGTAGCTTATACTTCTCCGTCAGAAAGCCAGAGACGTGTTCAACTAACAACGGAAATCCGTCGCGTGGAGGCTATTTGTGAAAATATTGTGATTAAAAACACCACATTTCCAAAGGCAGAGGTCAAAAATACAGAAGTTGAAGCGTGGGTAGAACAGTTCATTCAAAATTGGGAGGTCCTTTGTGGGTCAGGGTGGCGGGACGGCGATTTTGGGGAAGGCGGGCATGATGCTTTTTCTCGCAACGTTCTCGATGTGGGTTTTAGTCCCAAGGGTGTCACTTTCATTATGCTAACTCCCTTCTACTTAGATGCTGTATCGAGCAGCTACCGTGACATTTCATTCTACCCTCATTCTTCGCCGCCTTTTCCATGTTCACGCAGCCTTAGCTGAGTTTAACCTCGCGATCAAAGCACTGGAAACGTACATCGATCTCACCACTAGCGCAAAAGCGCGGGCAAAAAAATCTCCGGAGGCTGCTGGCGAGCTGGAGGATAATGAGACATTTGCCCTCACTCTTTCTGAGGGAATAACAATGCTATCCTGCTTCGGCTCCTACAAGGAAGCGAAAAAAGCAAAGGAATTAACCGATATGCTGCAGAAATTATTGGACGAGCTGGTTTGTAACAACTCGACCACCAACTCAACCAAGCCACCAGTTTCAGAAGAGCCAACGGCAATTTTTTCCCATGGCGAAACTTTGTCTCCCACGACATTTTCAATCGCATATCGCGCAATCGGAATTGGCCTCGCGAATTGGGCAAGATGGACTCCGATAAATGAAGCGCGAACTGACATCCAAACCGATGGCATAGCTGCTCTTGAAAGATCACTAACTTTTGGGTCACCAGAGGAAACAGATGTGGCATCGACGTTCGCACTTGCGCTCCTCCTTGCAGAAACTAGGGATATTGATGGCGCAATTGATTGTGTCCGAACAGCTTTATTGTCAGCGCAATCCGTGGACTCGGGCGCACAAGGACAATCACACTGGGTCAGCATCAAGGAGCGAGATCTCGTGCCGCTATGGCATTTGCTCGCTCTCCTACTAAGCGCAAAACAGGATTTCGAGGCTGCGAATAAAACCTGTATCGCCGCTTTTAACAGCGTTCCAAGCGTCAATTTTCTCCATGAACCAGATGAAAAGCTTTCCCAACATAAGAAGCAAGACTCTGGAGAGAAAGCTGCCCATTGGCTTTCAGCCGCCGCCATCGAGGAGAGTAGAGGCACACCCAACGAAATGGAAGCTCGCGAAAAGGAGAGCATCGTTGAATTACGAATTACCCAGCTTAAGCTTCTGGAAATACTGCACGGACCAGAATATGCACTAAACCAGTCTGAGGATCTCCTCAGTCTTTACGGGCGTTTGTTTACGGATCTCGAGTTTGATAGGAAAAATGATCCAAAGCGATCGGATAATCTCATCCCTCCTAAGAGTTCAGCGGGAACAACTCGAAGCTTCCGCGGCAGTATTTTTGGTCGAAGGAAGAGTGTTAAATATGTGGAGAAAGCCAGTTCTTTTAGAATTGAACCCAATATGACACCTAGAGTACCATCAACTTCGTCCGGAGGTGTTTCTATTGATCCAGACGCACCGACGATTCAAGTTACGGATGAGGATCGGCCGGCGTCAAGCGAGCATCCGCATACAGCCGGTACCGGTGGCTCTACTCAGCATAGAATTCATCGGCGGGACGGTAGTATGAAATCTATACGACCACACAGCTTAGATAGAACAGCTCGCTCAACTCGCCCAAATACAATAAAAAAACACAAACGCCAAAATGCTGGGGAAAACTCACCGATATCCGGTGATGTATTGCCTCAAGCAGATCGTTCCGAGGATCCTCCATCCCCAAGTCATGCATTGACACGCAATGGAAGCCATAAAACGCCCAACGAAGAGTCCATTTCCTCCTGTTGCCCGAAAAGTAACCTACTCCGATGGGGCCAATTTTCACGAAGCGTTCGCTTCGACTCCCCCACACGCGCACTCACTCGGTTTCCGAAAGTTCAAACGCAAATTCACGCCCATGGCTTGCTAATAAAAATATGGTTGTTCATCGCAGGGCTTTATCGACATGCAGCGCTTTTCGAAGACGCGCTGGAAGCCTGCAACGAGGCGTCAGAACAAGCCAGATGCGTAGAATCACTCATCGCAGGACAAGAGTCTTCAGCTAGAGCATTCGCCGATTCCGGTTGGGGAGGAACAAAGAGTTCCGACGAGCTTTGGGGGGACGTGTATGCTGAAAGAGGACGCCTCGCTCTAGCAACGGCGCGGCCCTATGATGCGATCAATCATTTTGAAGACGCCCTTATGTACTATCCGGATCACATTTCAGCTACAGTGGGCCTGGCTAACCTCCTTCTTGATATTTATGACCAAACATTACCTCTCGAGAAGTCCGAACCTGACCTAGACACCAACACGCCTGGTGTGTCTCTGTTATCATATTCGTCAAAGTTTGAAGCGAGCCCCAAACCGCACGATGGCGAACCTACCCAGGGCAGCGGTGGCCCCTCCCCATCACAAGAAATCACACCCGAAGCTCTAGATCGGCTTGCCGCACGCGATAGGGCTTATGGCCTTCTATCCGCGTTGACAAAACTCGGAAGTGCATGGGATAACTCTGAAGCGTGGTTTGCTTTGTCAAGAGCTTATGAGCAAAGCGGCCAAATAAATAAGGCTAAAAAAGTCCTTTGGTGGTGTGTGGAGCTTGAGGATAGACGACCTATCCGGCATTGGTGGAACGTCGGGTCTGGGGGATATGTTCTATAAGCTACTGTGGTAAATGTATACCAGCATGAGCTTAGCCAAAAATTGGAAATTCATGTCACAAAAACAATTTTGTCCTTCAACCAATTTTTTTTGGTGTTCTTATTCTTATTCCTTACATATCTTGTTCTCTTCCTTGTGTACAAGAATACCCCCACCACATACTCTAAACGACATATATCTCATAAAACCGCTTATTTGGCCTGTGGTGATGGTTCGGCGGCGATTAATTTTCTTCTTCTCGTGCTCAAAAAGCATGGTACCGATATCGCCCTTGTATTGTCCATATCCTCTTATAGAAAAATATCGTTGTGCTTCTCTCAAAATCTCTATTCAATGTGAATAAACTATCACATTTCATTCTATAGGCATAGAAAAGTGGATATATGTACAGTGCAATAGTCGCCGCCAACCACCGCCCTTCAAATCTAGGACCGTGCGAAAGAAGCCACCCATGGGAGGGTCTTTTCCATTTAAACTGATCACACATTTATCTGGGTACTGCAACGGGCTTCCAAGCAGAATATTTCGGCCTCACGCTGCAGAGTGGGGTTATTGTAAGTATAACTGTTCTGAAGGTTACTCCCATATCGACTGGGAAGAAAGGAGTGGACTCACGTGGAATATGGTTTGTACGCGCCACGAGTTAGCGTCATAGTTGGTCGGTGCTCCGGCAGTTCCCATGATCGCACGCCGGCTTGCAAGATTGCATCTTGGGTTGGAGGCTTGTCGACCATATAGGCTAACCATGCGTGCCTAGAAAGTAAGAGAACCAAAACGTAAGAATTCCATTATAGTTCTGGGAGCTTCCTAATCGATAGGAAGTTCAAGAGTATGATTGAGGACAAATTAGCATACCAGCCAACATCAATTTGGGATGCGTCGAATTCTTTCTGTGTATAGTCGACCCAGCGCGTTCGAACTAGAATGGAAGGGAAATTAGTTTCTGCACCAAAATGATGTTGCAAATGTATAACTGGCACTACTAACGCGGTAGCTCTTCCATGTTCTCATAATATTTGTTTCCGTATCGGTCTGTAGCTATCAACGTCCCAGCTTTGGTATCGCCTATTCCATTGTGTTAGCCATGTTCTCATCAGGCACAAATTCGGGCTGGGACACTGACCAATATACTATTATCCAGCGCCAAAATATAGGTGAGCATGTCATTAAGCCAAACAATCGGATGATCGAGAGGCAGAAAAGAACTTGAATTGAAGCGTACCTGCATTTGGTGGCCATATTCCTGTTGAAAGTGTATGAGGTTAGTATCAGCAATTGCACGCAGGAAAATGGAGGACGAACTTTGAAGCCAATCCGCCACAAGTTGCGGGCGGTACGGAGTACTGTCGACATCTTGAGGGCTACAAAGGGTATATGCCGTTGACAATGTTCTAGTCAAATTGTCGGAGTTGCTTTATGTTGGCGAGACTCGATGTCATGTCGCCAAAAGAGGCTTAGCGCCCGAATCTCTCCCAGGCAAGTTGTACGTTGGAAATATTTGAAGATAGCACTACTAGTCAAGACTTCATATTCCTGACCAATTGAGGGATCATGAATTCAATTGGAATTTCTTTCGCTTCCTCTTTACGATGATCAAACATATTGGGCTTCAAACACTTCGTTCCTCCTGCCGCAGAACTTCCATCACTCCTTGGCGTTCTGTCCGCAAGTTCGCCTCTCATCCATACCAGACACAATCCACGTCCTCCCCAGCGTCGCCCCTTGGTGTGATAACTGCTGAGCTAGACAATATTGCTCCTAGGTTTGAAATACAGCCATCCCAGATTAGCATCTTAGACTCTCCCGCTAACTTCTACGACACTCTGAAAGTAAGTGCGCTATACTACCTGCGCTCAGCCAGTTCATAATGGCATTTTCTAAAGCTACTACTTCCTTCCACAGGATAAAATTCGAAATGCCAAAAAAAGAATATATCTTTCAACTCTATATATTGGCAAGACGGAATTCGAGCTCATCGAAACCATAAATGAAAGCCTGCGTCGAAACTCCGAGCTCCAGGTCTCGATTCTGACGGATGCTCTACGGGGTACTCGCGAAAGCCCAAAGCAATCTTGTGCATCCCTTTTAGCGTCCCTAGTCGCAGAACATGGTCCGGATCGCGTGGAGATACGGATGTTTCACACCCCTAACCTTACCGGGCTAAAAAAGAAATACGTGCCGAGGAGAATAAATGAAGGATGGGGCCTACAGCATATGAAGCTATACGGAATCGATGATGAAATCATATTATCCGGGTGTGAGACCACTGTTCTGATTTATGTACAAGTGTGGCTTTTTTCTAACACATCTCTGCCAGAGCAAACCTCTCAAACGACTACTTCACCAACCGATTAGACAGATATCATGTCTTTAACTCAAAACCACTAGCTGACTATTACTCCCGAATCCATCATTCAGTCTGTAGCCTCAGCTTCCTAGTCCTCCCAGACTCGGAGGATAAAACGGGATATGCTCTCTCCTGGCCAGCGTCTAATGGTACTCCATCACCGCTTGATGACCCGGAAAACTTCATTTCATATGCATCCACCATTTTGGTACCCTTAATAAAACCATCGAAATCTAGCCCTCTACCACCGCCGGCGTCATCTAAGCCCACATTTGTCTATCCGGTGGCGCAGTTCAGTCCACTATTAAAACCTGATGAATCCACCGAATACCCTGCGGTGACAACAATCCTCAGCCTCCTTTCCAGCTCACCTTCCTTAGCAAACTCCAGCTGGCTTTTTACAGCAGGTTACTTCAACATTCACCCTGTCCTATCGTCCCTCTTGATATCCAGTACATCTTCAGGAGCAACGGCCATATCTAGAACTCAAGGCACTGTCGTAACCGCTTCACCCTGGGCGAATGGATTTTACGGCTCTGCTGGTGTATCAGGAATGCTGCCAGCAGCATACACCCATCTGTCGGCACGATTTCTGGATCGTGTTGCAGAAGCTCAAAAAACTAACTCAATTCAACTGAAGGAATGGCGACGCGGCACCGTCGGACAACCAGGAGGATGGACCTATCATGCCAAAGGTCTCTGGATAACTCTTCCCGATAACAAACACCCGAACATCACTTTCGTAGGGAGCAGCAACTATACAAAGAGAAGTTACAGTCTTGATTTGGAGGTCGGAGCGGTCGTAGTGACGTCCGACGAATCTCTGACACGGAGATTGTCAGAGGAGACAGAGTGGTTACAGAAGGACGCCACTGCCTTGTCCAGGGACGATCTGAGAAAGGTTGAGAGGAGGGTTGGATGGAATGTACGATTAGCTATGTGGATTGTGGAAAAGGTTGGAGGGGCATTGTAGATTAATATAGACAATATGGACTTCATCTCGCGAGCATTGTACAACTGTACAGTACGAAATCCTTTGAAGGCGTTATTATGTTATTATAGACATTGAAGGACCAAATATAAAATATGGTTTGGTTTATTAAAGCCAATAATTGTTCGCCCGAACTTTTTCCATTCCTCGGGACGCCTGCTTGACCCATTTTATCTATGCCAATTTGCTGAATATTATTTATAAAATATCCTCAACGGCCGAATGTATGCACCGATTAGAAGACAAAACGCCTTAAACATGATCCGAACATGCAGTCATTAGCTTGAGTCAAGAAATGACAACCAAAATCATAAGGGGATTCCCCTATACTTTCCCAGGTAATCTCGCCGGTCCCAGACCCTGTCGAATCTCGTCGAGCATCCGAATTCCGACGACCTCATTTCCATTCTTTCCCCTCTTCCCCTTCGGCCCCTTCCTTTTAGCATGCACTCCACGATCATCCCACCCATCCAAGAACCCATCCATAATCTGATTGAAGTCTGACCGAAGCGGTGTCCCACCGCTAACCAGACTTGGTATTTCAGAGACCGTTGACATCCCACTAACCACAGACATGTCATCAGCCATGCTAGAGCCATCGTAGTCCTCGCCTTGTTCATCGACCGCATAGAGCGCTTCAATTCTCTCGAACCTGTCGTCGAGAAGACGATGGCCCTCAGTTCGCGCGAGAGATGATGAGGTCATCGAGTACGCAGAGGGGTTGGTGAGTGCCCCCTTACGTTTTTTTCTGCGGACGGGGGTCCCGCCAGCGGTGAACATTGTAGATGCCACGGTTCCAGCATGTAACACGGAGACGGTTTCTCCCTGTGTAGAGGGTGCGGAGGGCTTGGATTTCATATCTTTCTTGTACTGGGCGAAATTTCGAAGCCAGTCTCCCTCTGCGGCAGCTGTGTCTGGGATGTGCTCATCGTCTACAGGTCCTTTCGTGGATGGTGTAGCAGCTTTGGTGCTTACACTTGGTTGCTTTGGTGCCTTTTCCGTTGCGTCTGATTCCCAGCCTTCGTCGTCATCTTCAATATGGGTATCCCTCCATTCACTTGGATCTACTTCAGCATCTATCCCACCTTGCACCAGAGACTCAAACAAGTCACCATCTTCGTCACTATCAACAAATGCATCGTCTTCAAGGGCCTCCAGGGCTTCTCTTAGTCGAGGATCCATATCTGGTTGAAATCCAGCAATGGCATCTGGGACATCTTGTTGGTCTTGATATGTTTGTTTCCGAGAATATGCTGAAGCCGTGGAAAGCGCATCGTGATGGCGAACCGACGCAAGATCCTCTACATCATCAAGCGAAGTTTCCTTCAATGCCTCCTCAAGCCTCATGCCTTTGATCTTCCCTTTCCCCTTCACCGGCGTCGCTTCAACAAAATATGACTGTCCACTCCCATCACCGCCCAAGTCCCGCAAATGCTGCATATAATCATATTGGGAATCATCGTAATATATCCCATAGTTCGCCGCTTCACCTTCATTCTTGCGTATCTGGGAGCCTGCAAATTCCTTCTCGAGTTCCGACAGTACCTTGGAAGCTCTTGAAGGTTTCAAAGATGATTCCGTTGTTGGAGTACTGGATACCTTGTGAAGGACTCTATCGTCCGCGTCTGGGTCGTGTATTAAAGGGTCATTTTGCGACCTGTGGAAAAGCTGATAGGTGGTGGCAGACTTTTTATTACTAGATGCGGATAAAAAAAGGAACTCCGTGTTAGCTAGCCATGCCAAACACCATGAGCTGGGTGGGAACAAGTCTGTGATCTTACATCCATTGCCTCCGTGGAGGCATTTTGTCATCACAAGCCGCTAAAAGCAATGAAGGCGGGATTCACGGTTTCGTTGAAATGTCGTAAGTATCCCCTTTCTCTTTGGCGCGAGGTATTACTCTTTTTTACTCTTGAGCGCTCGGGTGGGGATAGAATAAAAATCCCTTATCTTTTATCATGCGATATGTGTGAAATACAATCACGTGATATCAACTCACCACTGGCGAGAAATCTCCAGCACCCGGTTAAATATCAGATAAATATCACTTCAACTAATTTACCCCTTCCTCATTGTCGGCATTGTCCCAAATAATTCATCGTCAAATTCGCGTTGAGTTCATTCGATTCTGCTAACATTCACAGTTCGAATATCGCTATCAACGTTTCCAGCCGGGAACTACAAAGGAATCTACGATAAAACATAGATTCATTCCTCTTTTAATCCGCGAGGTTATTTCGCCTTCTGGCCATCTTCCAGCAAACAAAAATGACGAAAACAATTGCTTCGACAGCTGTGATTTGCGAACTCAGAGGATCCTATCCTGATACATCCTCTTCATTCCACTATAAGTTGTCCATTGCGATGAGGACCCTCTACCAAACGCAACTCGGACAAACGGCCACCATTATGCCTAATTTCTCTCGTGTTCGGGATTTCCCTCATTCAAAAAGCTCTTGGTTGCTATTTCGAATCATATCGTTAGCTTGAGGCTTTCGCAATGTTTTCGGGATGAACCCGATGTTAGGAAGCTTTTGCCTCTGTCCTCCTGTCATCCTGCGGGTAATTTGGTTGATCAACAATAAAACTCAAGTTCTTACTTGCGATTTTTGACTTCCGAGATTCAGTTTAAATCTGCGCATGTATAAACTTAGCACGATATATCATTATTGCTAAAAAGCAAACTCGTGCTCATTCCTATGCCTCAGAATACGGGATTTGCCTCAAACCATGCAGTTGGTATGGATTCATCCGTCCGTTGGTTTGGAGTGATCAAACACTTTAATGTACCCCTATAAATATCTCCATGATTCCCACTCTCCCCTACCTGTCTATGCAAAAACTTCACCGTTCCCATAACAATCATCCAGCTGATGACAGCATACTTTTAAATCCTACCTTACTGGGCACCACGTGGAACCGCAATTTTCTCAAAGATCAAAGCCCTTCCGCCCAAGTGAAAGCAAAATATTTCCATTACTTGATCTCACCAACAGGTTCTGAAATAAGACTGCCGAGCCTCCAAGATAATTAGATAATTTTGCGAATATATTTGAGCAGACGGACATACCATTTTATTATACGCCTGCCGGTGCATATATCAGAATACTTTGAAAACTTCTCTTCTCAGGTATTCGCTTCCATTTTGGGGGGGTACACCACTCCCGACTATGTCTTTACAGGATGGAAAGCTTGGAATGAAGGAAGCCTCTGAGTCGAGCCAAAAAGTCACAGGACGTCACCTAAAGAGCAATACCCCTACCCAAAAAGATGATGCACAGCTGAAGGGCAGTGGAAGCAATACGGATGGTACCGCCCCGCCAATTTCGGATAATGGAAGTGACGCAGCTACGACTCACGCCAGAGTCCCCAGTCATCCGCGCAAAAAGTGGCCCCCTCCAGCCCCAGAAACACCGAACACAACCCCTAAATACCCAGACGGGATCCAGTTTGACGGCCGAGGAGCGAAGGCCTTCAATGCGATGTTGAGCGGTAGGACAGGAACCACAATCCACTCATATGGCTGGAGTCGCCCACTGAGGAGGAACAGTTCCAGCAGCAAAAATGACGCCACCGAGACGAAACCCGCGCGGTAAGAAGTACCAATCGACTTAGCAGTAGTAATGCAACGGTGGGACAATTACCCAGGAATGAATCACCTGAAATTCTATTGGGAATAGCAGTTTTTTGAGATCAAGATTGGACAAAGTTGGAATGAAGTTGGGCCAGAATGGTATAACACTTGTTTATCCTCAGATTTTTATTGAAGCTAATAGTTTGGAATTTCTAATTATTACAAATCGCTATTCTTGTCTACAATGTTCGTTGCACGCGTTTATTGCAACTTGAAATTTCAAAGCAGTTTAGCAAAGCTCTGTGAGGTGGATGAATATCAGAAGTAATCATTGTTTTCATATGCCATGAAGTTAATTTGGGGTGGGATAATAGTCTAGATGTATGTGCATGTACATGTCAACAAGCATAGTTCAGAATTAATATTAATGGAATCGAGCCAGGCTCAAAAACCAAGCATAAATGCAAATATCTCATTGCCACCACCGTTTTAGGTCTAGCGTTCATTCGTTTATATAGCAGAGCAAAAATATTTAGGGGACATGTGCATATTTGAAGAATGATAAAAGACGATGAAATGGGAAACTCCCCCTCCACTACGTATACCCAGCCATCTAATAGAAATCTTCTTCCCCCCCCTTAGCTCTTAGCTTCTTTCTTTGTTCTATCGCTTTTCTCTTCCCACCCTTGAAATGCTTCTTTCCAACCCTCTGAACTTGTGGATCACCAATCCCATTTGCCAATGCTGCCATCATTCTTTGGTTCTGAAGAGCACCTTGTTCAGTGTATTGATAACTGAAGGGCATCTTAACGTGCTCTGCGCCTCCCGAGCCGACGGCTGAGAAAAATCCGTTGTCGAGGTTCCGCGCGCGGGCACCCTGAGGATGAGAAACTGTAGAGGATGAGATCGGCAAAATCTCACCATTTATATCGGCATCGTTGTCATGGTGACCAGGCGATTCATCAGGACCGGAGAGGGGCAATACTGTCCCTTGACTAAGGAAAGCCTCTCGTCTTTTTGGCGGTAGATGGGAAATATCATATAATTCTCGATTGAACTCTGCTGGGTCAATGGGGTGCTTTCCAGCTTCAATGGCGGATTCAGAGGTAGGTGGAGGGTGGCAGAACAGGAGCTTCCCGCTAACATAGTCTTTTAATATGTATCTTGCAGCGCGGGATTCATCAGGCTGGCCGAGACCAGTGGTGGCAAAACCTCGGGCGCGCGCATACGCACGAAGAACCTCAGAAGCGGTGGGAATTCCGGTTCCTCCCTCTTCGAGAGGTCGCATATTGATTTTCAACCCATATACAGCTTCCAAAAAAGGTTTTGGAATACGCTGGGCCACAATGCCGGCTGGACCCAGGAATTCACGCAGCTGGTCGATTGGTAGAACGCCATTGATGACAAGCTCCGCTTTCGTTGTTGCAAAGTTAGGGAAGACGAGACCAGGGCAATCGCACAAGAGAAGGTTCGGTGAGAGATAGAGTGTTTGGAAGTGTTTGGTTTTCCCTGGCGTGGCGGAAACTGACACTTTCTTTGCGCCAAGAAGCGCGTTTATAGTGCTAGATTTACCAACATTAGGATATCCGACAAGGCCAATAGTGGTTGGCCTGGATTTCCCTTGATCCCCTTCCTTTGGTTGTATATGCGGCGCAGCTGCAAGGAAAAGCTCCTCGAGTTCGTCAATCGTAAGGATCTGTGTGCGGGATCTCTTAGAATTGGGAAGGAGTACACCCTCATCAGTCTCCGATTCTTCCTCGCTGGAATCCTCTTCTTCACCATCAATATTTAACCTCTTTGCATTATCAGCTAGCTCATCCTCTTCCGAAACATCCTCACCTATGCCTTTCTTAGCCAATTCCATCGCCTCGAGGCTCTCCTTGGCCATTGCAGCTGAGAAAAACTTGTAGTTGATACCCTGTTCTTCGAAGTAATCCGCCCATGCTTCTCTCTGTCTCTCCGTCATCATATCTGCCTTGTTGATAAGTAACAAGTTCCGTTTCCTAGGATCAACTTCCTTCACATATTTTTCCAGGTCTTCCGATCTGAAGAGTAGTGGATTTCTTGCATCAACGATTTGCACGACCAAGTCTGACCGTTCGATTACTCTCCACAACTGCCTCCAAACTTCCAGATTCCTCTCAAATGGAGTCATCAACAGATCTTGGTGTTCCTGCAACTCCGCAAGCTCTCTCCTCCATTCAAGTAAACTTTCCCTCTCCATTCTATCCAGCTGTTGCGGGGTTGTCGATTGGTCCCATTGCGGTCGACGGGGAACTGTCAATCTTCCACGATTCCGTTGATGCTTCTTGACTGCAGCCCTTTCATCAGCTGCAGAGAGCAGGTAAGGATTCTTCTGATCCGTATGTATGATTTTGACGTTGTTCAATTTCTCCGCTGTAAAATCTGTCCCTGCAAGCTCTGCCGTACTCAGAAACTCATCCAGAGCACCTTGCTCCGTAATACTGCGCATTTTAACCCACGACGCCTCCTCAGATGGGTTGGTGATATAAACCTCACCACTGGGGCCAGTTCGTCGAACAGCGGCGGCATTGTAGGAGACTTTTTTGCGATCAGCGCCCTTTCCCTTTCCGAAACGATCATTCATCAAACTATTCCCCAACCCAACGGTATTTCTAGATTTTGCGAGAGGCATGGCGGATGATCCGGTAAGCCTTTGGTTGCTTTCCACTTGAATTTTAAATTGTTGATATCACCCAGCCAAAATGTGAGTGAAAAGCTGTTTTTGTGAGAAGGGAGGGGGGCAAAATATGGAATATCTGGATTTCAAATATTCCCACATTGAGTTTAGTCAACCTCGTTATCATCACGTGGGTTACGTCATATCCAATAGCTTGGCATATCAACATCGTTCAACAGTTCAATCACATATTCAGATGAGCCAGAAACTGATTCACACTCTCAATTCCTTTGCATTCAAGTTGACTCCACAGCTACAATTGGAGAGCATTTGTCCTCCCGCATAGATCTTCGATACTAGCCTCCTCAGAGTTGAATGAAAGTGCCAGCTCTTACATTAGTATTAGTATGGGACTCTTCCTAGAGCTTGTGGAGGAGATAACGAGCTGATTCAAGCGATTAGCAGGGTAATTTCTTGCCTTCGTTTTGTTACTAAGAGGTCAAGATACTTCCCCATCCATAAGCAATGCCAAAACGCTCACGAAAAGGGCCTCTGACCTTTGAATCCTCAGATCCCGATTCTCAAATAGTACCAGAAGGCATGGGATCCCCAACGTCTCCGCATGGGAAACTTGCCCATTTGGACGACCAGAATGGGGACATAGAAGTGATGCGTTGCTCCTTACCTCCGCACAGGGAACATGTCTCATTTTCGTCATATGAAGACTATGAAGTCCATTATGCTCAAGAACATGTCAACCGATGTCTGGAGTGTGGGAAGAATTTTCCTACTGGACACTTTCTTACTCTTCATATTGAGGAACTGCACGATCCAATCATTGCTTCGCGCAGAGAACGGGGCGAGAAGACGGTGCGTTTTCCTTTATTTTCAATATTTCCGACCGAGTCTGCCCCGCAATGCATATGTAAGCTAACGTAGAAGGACAGTTTTCATGTTTTGTTGAAGGTTGTAATCGGAAATGCTCGACGAGTCGGAAGCGAAGACTCCACCTCATTGACAAGCATCAATTCCCAAGGGTGAGTTATTCCCTCTCCCTTTTATCTCGTCTATTCTAAAGGTAACGCATGTGCCAAAATAATCGGAGAAGAGCAGGTAAAAAGGAAAGGATAACTATGGATATTCAAGCCCTCGTCTGTGAAAACTCCGTCCGGCTAACCCCCCAATGCTAACATCTACCAGCTGTATAACTTCTCCATCGTCAACACTGGCATCGATCAGTATAACTCAATGCTCAGAGGCGGTATGGCGCCAACTCACCGCCGGCGAGTCTCAGTGCCCAACTCAGTACAACATGAGAATCGCCTGCGACGACGAAAGTTGTCCCAATCGACAAATGGAGAAAGTCCTACCAATGCCGAACCGCCACCCAAACCTAGCAACATCAGCGCCGAAGCCACTATCTGCACAAACCTGAATAGCGCGGCGGGAGGTATTCAATTACCTCTGCACGTAAAACCCGGCCCCGTAAGCGCGACAAAAGCAGCAGCTACGAGCAAACCAAAGCCAAACGACGACATTAATGACAAGGGGTCTGATATTGAGGAATTGGAGAAGTCGATGTCGGCCCTCATGTTTGTCCCGACGAGCGTTGCTCTGAGGATGGATGGAACAAAACAACGACCTAAACAGGGACGATAACGACAAATCAATTTTTTTTTTTTTTTTTTTGGAAATTTTTTTAAAGGAATTTTTTATTAATTGGGTTTCCATATCCCACCCTGCAAGCGAAGATATCATTGGGTTTGCGCGGCTTTATGTTCTTATTCCATAACGGAGATATATACTATGAAATGAATGAATTATGCATGGCCAATTGACCTCCGGTGTCTTAACTGAATTGTAAAGGTTTCCGGCTTGCATCATTTTTCTTCTAAAGCTAATATTATTATAGAGTATGAAAATGTCAGGATGACATTGTAGCTGCTGGGCATGGCGAGGTCAAACACATCTTTTAAAACTACCCTGAGCAAGAAAACAAATCTGACCAGAAGCAAAAGTGAGGCTCTTAATATACTGTAAGAGTGTAAGTATAGCAAGGGACTACTAAAGGCACTATATAAGCGCGATGCGTAAAGAAAGAGGAATCGGAGAATGAAGATTCTAAAATTTCTCATCCCATGGATATAAAAAATTTTCAAAAATTAAATCGCCATTCTTTAGACACTGAACCGACCTATCCAATTTCGCGCTCCTCCAGCGTGATTTTTTCGCGGGTGACTCTCTTCATAACCGCCAGAGAGCCAATTCCGACAAAGCATAAATAACGTACATATAAGAACTGGGGTTGAATTAAAAGTAAAGATAAATATAGGGGACAAGATAATAAGAACAAAAGGGCAATGTCAAAGTACTCCTGTCGTTTACAGTTCGATTCACATTTTCGTTATTATACTCCATCATGCTCGCTTTGCAAAGAAAGAGAATATATAGAAAAAAGTGGGGGGGTAGGATTCCTTGACATCTCGGGTCCTTCTAGATAGAGCGAGGAGGAGGGAATAAACGACTATGTAAAATAACTTATAGGTAATGAAGCGAATACAGCCTAAGGATGGGTAATGGTAAGGAATATTAAATTATTTTTGGATGAGCGATATCCTCCAGATCAAAAAATAGTAGTTCTAGCTCAGTATATCCGAAGACAAAGGTGCCACGACGACAACGAGAAGAAGGAGGAGGAGCGCGGGAGAAGCGCATTGGTAGAGGTGACGGTATAGGGGCAACGGCACTCAATGCTGCACGTACCTCGAAAGGTATGTAGAGAGCCTGCCAACAAGTAGCAATGGTGATTAGCATCAAACAAAATCCTCGGCGGGTGCTAAAGTGATATGCTACGCGGTAAGAGATAAATAAATGGAAGTTAAATACTCTGTAAACATCTAGAATCGCTATCAGGGCGCTTGGGGTATCACAATTAGCCAGGCATGACCGAGGTGGTATAACCATTAGTGGAAAAAGAATATATCGAAACTGTTCAATCGCATATCCATAGTCTCAGAGTGTAGAGGCGTTTCTACGACTCCAGCAAATCAGCGTAAATCTCTAAACTGGACCCGATGAGGTCTACTATGGGCCAACTAGTGTTCCCTTTGAATGTCCTTGACCACACACGGACAACGGCAACGCTAAGCTCCTTCAACTTGAGGGGATCATTTATGAAGTCTGTCTCGCCCATATTGGCCATGTCGAATACCATATCTGTCTCTTCCATCATACTCTTGACCCACAACAGTAATTTTCTTTCATGGTCGGATAGTCCCTGTTCAGCTCGAGTGGCGGGAATCACGAGTAGCCACCTGCTGAGAAGAAAAGCACATTCAAGACTGCAAATCGAGTGTTGTATACTCCAGAAAAACGAATGAGTCTTTGCAACGAAGTCTATCCCTAGTCGCACTGGGATCGAAAGCGCATGGGCGGAATGCAATAACGCCATAGTGAGCCTTGGGTTCCGCACGACAAGAGGTGTTGACTCTTTAAGTGCCCGCGCAATCTGAAGTGGGTCCTGGGTCACAAGTTTGCGACAAGGGCCGAGATCTAGATGCAGTCTGATGTATGCTAAGCCGAGAAGGGCAGTTGATGTAAATGCGATCGGTCCAGCAGGGCTTTGAGGGTCGATACTAGATTCCGGAGTCCGCCTCCATCCAGCTTTCCATGAGCTTAGAGAAGAGTCCAAGGCTGATAGATCCTCGGGTCGTAAGCTAGTGCCAGACATCTGAGGAGATGATAGACATAGCTGTCGAGCAAAGAAAATTTGTTGAATTATTGCATGGATCAAGACATAATTACCCAAAGGAGATATGGGAGCAACACTATTCGACTGGGGTGATTTGATGAAAAGTTTCATAAATGCCTCTTGAAAAGAGGTATCGCCTCCAACACGAGACCTGTGCAACCGACGCCATTGAGCAGCATTAGGTGCTTTCCATTCCCCAGCAGGTCCCGGCATATTGAGCTTTAGCTCAGAGCTAAGAATCAGCGGAGGTATATTGTACATAATAGAATGGAGGTTGAAGAAACAATAAACAATGAACTTTGTTCGCCTATCAGCTTCGCGGGTAACCCAATCTTCCCAGCTGATAGTGTCTGGTGATGTAATGGATTCGTTAAGGCCATGATCGCGAACAAGCCTGGCAAGGGTGCTTTGGAGTGCAAGTATCTCGCGTAGCAATTCAGGATGTCTTTCCCATGAAGCAAACACAGTGAGTAGAAGGAAAGTACGGATAATTTCCATTTGTGCCACAGAGTCCTCGCCAGGGTACGTAGCGCTATCCACAGTAGAGATGTATGGTTGCTGGAATGGGCTGCTCCCAGGATTTGAGATCGAGGACGAGGTTCGAGAGTAATGAAGTGCAGGACTAGGCCCACCAAATCCCCATGGCACTTGGGGCATTCGCCGGGAATCCCGTCGCCGAAGTCGTTCAAGAAGAATGGATTTAGATGCGTAAAAGAGATCGATACCGCGATTATTTTCGAATCTGTAATGAGAGCCAGCTGCGGCTAGCGCGAGGCTCAGCTCGGGGGCGCATCTAGCCACAGATAGTGTTGGGACATGAATGAATGGAAGATGCTCGTTAAGTCCGTTGATATAACCTGCAAAAAACCGAGACAGAGCGTGTCTTGATGGAGGCACAAAGCCTTTTGGAAGTACGTGGGCGAAATCTTCAAGTCGAGCAATGAAAAGCTGTCTATCTTGATTTGATACATCCCATGCTGGCCTGTTCTGTGCGGTTTCATCGGGAATCCCAGAGCGATCTTCTGGGTCCTGAGACTCTGGTTGGAGCGAGGGCAAGCGGGATCCAAAATTCGAAAACGAGGGTGCGTCCTCGGTGGAAGTCCGCTGATCACCCATAATGTCTCCACTATTGTATTTCGGAGGATTCATCGAGTGTTTTGGATCAAAACAATGTGGGGGGATTACGCCAGGAAGGAGAGGCTCCTGTTCAACTGCAGTCGAAAACATTCCAGAGTCCCAATCAGAGGACAGACCTACACTTTCTAGAAAGACAGTGAAATCCTGGACCGGGTCCCCTAGGTCCGCAAGGTCCAATATAGATGGCTCCACTCCATAGTTTTCAGTTATCGGCTTTTCCTGGATGGGAGTTTTGCGGATAGGCCCAAGTGACTCCTGCTGTCCCTCGAGCGCAACATGGCTAGCAGCATGAGAAAGAAGGTTAAGGTCATATCCCCAAGATGGGTTGAATTGAGCTGGCCCTGCTATCTGAGCCGCATGAACAGGTACATCTGGGCGGGTTACTTCGGGTGACTGAATGGCCACTGGCTGTGGTAGGTTTAATATGTGGCTATCATGGTTTGAAGATTGTGGAGGACGTGGAGCCGGTATGGCTGCAAGGCTCGACGAAGGCTCAGTTGTAGCAGTTACTCGATTTTCACCACGATGCACGTTGCCCTCTGGAGGGTGGACCAGACGCTCATGGCGGACGAGAAGATCGCTACCAAAATAATATCAAACATAAATTACTACTAGTACTTGTAAAACTTCAGACAATTAAAAAGAGCCAGGTCACCTTCTCGCAAACGATTTAGAGCATATCTCACACGAGAAAGGTTTTTCTTTTGTGTCTGCAGCTAGGGGTCAGGAATTTATGATGGAAATATATAGTTTAAACAATTGGAGCCGAAAGGGGATCCAGGGGTCCGGGGGGGCGGGCTACTCAACGTGTGCGGAGATGTCTCTGCAGATGCTCCAGGCGAGCAAACGGGCGGCTGCAATACTCGCAAGACAGCGATTTACGGGAGGTCGATGTGCTTTTCTTCCTCACACGACCAGGCACCGGCCGATTACTATCCATCTTTCATGGGGATCGTGGATAGGGAGATCAAGGAAGCGCGGATGAGTTGGAGGAGAATGAGGGGTTGCCTTGGCCGCCGAGGAGAAAATCACGTGACTCGCCGGCGTGTTTTGCGGGAATGCGGGGAAACTTGTCGCTTAGTCATCGAAGGATGCTGCTGTTGGAGGACCTGTGTCTAGTGGCGCTTTGATAACTCTTTCGCCCCAGTGACCTAGCTGCATCCACCGACGAAGTTATGATCTCCGGAGAGTTTTTCTGTGCGAGTTGTGCTGGTGAACATGAACAGCTATATCATATTTGCTGTTATTGAGTGGGTAGATTGGACACACAAGATCTAATAAAGGAGACATAAGGAATACTAGTGTGACAAATTGACCACAGCAGGACAAGGAATTCAAACAGAAAAGAAACTCAAAACTCCACATCGCCCCTCTCAACTATCCATCGATAATGCGGGGAGAGTCTCATGCAAAAAATAAATAGGCTAAACTTTCAGCTAACGTGCATATGAGGAAGGTTTGGACAATTGTGGGAAAAAAACTGCAAGCCTTTCAAGCACGCCATCATCAACCATCTCGCTTACCTCAAGTAGACATTTCTTCAAATACTGTTGATTTTTTTCAGGCATCCCGGACATCATTGCCGCTGTTGCTAGCGGCCAACAAAGAAGCCCTGCTGTAGTAGCTTTTACAGTTCTCTTGGATGAAGCAGGAGGGTTTACGATAATAACGTCATCGCCAAGGGTGCAACCAGTCCCAACTAACCCTAACATGTATGGGACGCTGGCACAGATATCATTTGAGAGCTGTTCGATCGTCAACGTCACAGCATCTAACAGAGCCTCGGTTGTGTCGTCTGGATTCGTTAACCCGTCTAGGACGGACAACGTCTGAAGCACGATATCGCTGACGGCAAGGCGGAGTGCGCGATAGCGATTCCACATGCCAGCATGCCCAACCGTAGGGTATACGTGGACAGTGCTGCTAAAAACCCTGCTGTGGATCTCCGCGCCCCCGTAGTACTTCACTGTATGGGTGGTATACCAGTTTTCAAGGGGTGTATTATCTGTCCAGCGAAGCAACTTCGTATCCACCGCGAAAGCTTCTTCCAGAAGAATATGAAGCAGGGTCTCTTGGCAGCATCCTCCCTCTGATGATGATGATGATGGTGATGATGATGGATTGCTTGCTGAATCAGCAAATAAGACTTTTGCTCGGTGCCGTATCTTCGCGACTTCCACCAGGCAAGTGTCAAGCTCGAGCGCAAAGCCACGTTCTCCATACTCGAATCCATCTTCGAGCCAGGGTGGCAAAGGGTTGCTCCGTAAGAGTAATGATCTCATGAGCTGTCGTCGGACCAATTTATCCAGAACAAGCGCATGATTGGTCCGTTGACGTGCTTGCCGGCGCAGCTTGAGCACGGCTAATGCTCCGTCATGGTGAGCGAAGTTACGTGAGGCCCACGTTTGGATGGCTTGACTGGAATCAGGTATTGAACCTTTGTCCACTACGGAGTTCTCATAAAAGCTCAAAAGCATTATAGCCTGGAGGACCACGTCATCTGTCACATGACTTGCATTTTGTAACGCGAGATTCGTTTTCACAAGGGCTTTTGAGTAATGTTTGGTTCCTGCAGTCAAGGATGTCTGGCATTTCCGTGCGCGTCCAAACGTAACGTGCGATACTGCGAATATCGCAAGACTGAGGATAGAGTGAGGTTCGGCGAAGCAGCGACCGGCCGCGACATATTTCAGATGGCTATCTGCAAGATCGGGTAAAAGGTGCTCCATCTCCAGATAGTTGTGGTAGTAGTAGTTCAAGGCTTGTTCTTCTATGGGAGTACCCAGAGTTTGTGACACGCTGTTCCGTGGCTCGGGATGCTGGACCAGTGTCTCCGAGGATTCGGGCCGGCCGTTCGTCTTTTGACGTGGGTCGGAACTCCGCTGTCCATCCCTCGTGCGGGAGACAACGCGAGCACGCACATTAGGTCCTCGAGGACGCTTTTGGCGACCGACTGCGAACTCGTTTTCGTTTAAGAAGATAAAATTGCTATCTTCAACGTCGTCGCATGTGAGATTAGCCTTCCGACATCGATTGCATGTCGGGCGGGTCTCATCGCACTAGCCGTACCGGACCATCCATTAGTTGCTCCGCTCGCCAGATCAAACCACGTTCTCGAAACCCCCTCACCTTCACGCGCCGCAGCTTGCAGGTGCGGCAGCCATGACTTGGGAATGGCATGGCTGGGAACACTACTACTGGAAAGCTGGATCCATCAGGAGAGCAGGTTATCAGTGATGGTAGTTGACTTCTGACCACGTTTGTCAACCCGCCCATTGAGTGTGAACGCTACAAACCTTATTATTCCGTCTCAGTTACAACTAGCCTGCAGTTAGTTAGTGCTATGACGTTGGATTAATAATTGCGTTTGGACCCTTATATCTCCACACAAGAAGAGCATGCGCGAGCGAAGGGCATCTGCTTCAACACAATGTGTTATTGGTTTTCTTTTGTCAAGCTTATCGTTATGTGCGATTCATTGTGGTATCAGGCCATACCATACAGATTGTTCGTACCCTGAGTATCGCTTCATCACTTCGACTTTAGAAAGGTCCCTTGATGCTCTTCGGGACGTACGGTTCCTCCAAATACTTCATCTCATCGGCCGTCAACCTCATCTTCCGCACGTCGCAGGCATCGTCAAGTCTTTCAGACTTGGCCATGCCGACGATGGGAACACACCCTTTGCCCCTTACCCACGCTAGCGCAGCCTAACTCATCTTCCATCCCTTCCTCTCGATCACCTCTTCAGCTCGTTCGATGATAGTTTGGCCCGCCTCTGTAAGCTCGCCAACCATAGCAAGAGTTTGTTTTGACCTGCCGGATTCGACTTGTGTTGGTTTTTATAATAGACCGGAGAACAAAGACCCATATGTGATCAGCCCGAACCCAGTCTCTTTACAAAACCTGATCATCTCTCTCACCTCCTAATAGCAGAGGCTGTACGAATTCTGCATGCTTACGAATTTCGTCCAACCGTTCTTCTCGGCAATGAATTGCATGCGGACGAATTGGTACGTCCACATGGAACTTCCGCCAATGTAGCCACCTTCCCAGCTTGAACGAGGTCATGAAGGCACTTCATGGTCTCTTCGGGTGGGACGGAGGGGTCTTATCTATGAATTTGGAGGAGGTCAATATAGGTGATTCCGAGACGCCGGAGAGAGCAGTCAACGGCGTGGGAAATAGCCGTCTGCGGCAAGCCTATGCAACCCTCAGGAGTTAAGACAAGAAGGATAAGAATACATGAAAGGAAATGGTGGGAGGAACAAGACAGTTTTGTGAGCTTACCTCCTAGGTTAACATCATCCTTGCTCTGCCTCAACTGTGCTGTTCCACTGCATTTCGTGAGGAGAGTAAGCTTGTGTCACGGAATACCCGAACTGTTTTATTGCTTTCCCAATAATCTCCTCGCTTATGCCACTGGAATAGACGTTGGGGGTGTCCCAGGTGGAAACCCCTATCGGTTTTCTCAGTCATGGAAGCCTTCAATGTCCTCTCTGAGCTACTTTTCTTACCTCTATCCCATCCTGTTTTGAACACCTCCAGCCCTTCCTCTTCCTCCACGACCCAATCCTGCCATTCCTTATGACCAATGCTCATGCCACCAAGGATGGGAGAAGAAACCCGAAGCCCGGAACTCCCTAACTAGACATATTCAACTTTGGTGTAACAGCGCGTCCATCCTATCTCCAGGGCAGCCCGGACCTAGGAGAGCGCGCAGCCGACCACTTAGACAAGTCTTGAGTATTTCCGATTGAGGATAGACATGAGGATACACATGAGGATAGACATGAGGATCACATCCTCAATGTCTCGAGATGACCCATTTAATTCTATTGCCAAGCCGAGTGACAAAAGGATATTTGAAGGCAATCTAATCGTCGAGATCGTCGAAGCACAGAGAGTTCGCCACCAAGCGGTTGTGCAGCATCCCTTGAATATAAATGGCGAAGATTTAAACCTAGTCTCATGATCGCAGCAAGGATGCGCTGCAAGCAATGAAGCGTGCGCACGCGACTAGCTGCTTCGGGTTTGGTGCCTGCGGTCGCGCTAACCCGCTCTGTCCATACTCGCGATGCTGCCGCGGGGATAATTGATATCCAGAAGATTGTTTTCCTGTAGCATTGGAATACGCGCGCCGACTTCATGGGCCGAAGCCGAGCCCTCAGGTTCCTCTCGCAACGTTGCATTTATCTTGCGGATCAAGAGTGCCTCTTGTACGATAGTTAACTTGAATGCTTTGCAATGCCACGAATTCTCGAACGGGATTCTTTCATATAGTATCCAATCGTTCTGATACTGTGGATACTTCAATCGGGCGCATACTAGTAAGTATCAACATCCATGTAGGTAAGCTCAAGATCTCGAACGTGTTCCCAGCGGGGTTCTTTACTTCTATTGACGTAGTGCATGAGGATCCTCCCTTTGATTCCCATTGCCCCATGATTTCAATGCACAGCACACTACGTTCCGCTACACGGCAACATGTTTGTCAAGGCTGCAGAAATATTCCGAACGCTCCGCCCAACAGGCAGATGATGATGATGATGATGATGATGATGATGATGATAGTGATGACGACGACGTGTCAATATCATTACTCCCCTTGTTTCAATGTCAGATGACGGCCCAATGTCGCAAATCACGGACCACGGGAGATATCTCCGCAAAACGAGTCCAGCGGAGTAATTTCACTAAAATCGGAGTGGTATATGAGATAAAGTTCCGATCAGTTGCCCATACAAATAATGAGTGTGTCTACGGCGCGCCCTTTCTTGCAAAATCCTAACCGTGATGTTCATTAACTAAAGATGATGAAAATCCCGGACCGTATAAAGAGCAAAACTCATTGGAACACAAATCCAAGCTTAAATTCAATTTCTGGCAAAATGATAGGAGATCTCCTTTTTTTTTTTTTTTTTTCCATGTTGCATGACCAGCTAAGTATGTGTGTGAACTGGATTTTTCCGCTGCTGGTTCTGATAGAAATCTGACGTGGAATTAAAACAATTGGGGAAAACAAATAAACAACAGGAGCAAAACACAAACCCACAAGGTAAATAAATAAATAAATAACAGTGAAGAGACGAGGAACAAAGAAGGCTTATCGCCTCTTAAAGCGAAAACAGAAGAAAAAGCAAAAAAGAAAAGCCAAAAATATCCATCCATCAATCTCACCGCTCCTCGTGGCTGAAGAAGATACGATTTACTCAAATGTCTCATCCGACAAACACATGCGTGGCACAGACACATGATCGGCACTATGGAGCCTTTTCGAAACGGCTCTATTTCTGGATATGCTGAAACACAAAGGAGAAGGCAAATGCCAGCAGCAGCTCCACACGGGGATGAGCGGTGGCACAGCAACTCCGATCCGACAGCACGCAGTAGCTCCCGGTCGGATTTGATGAAGGAACTATGTATATCCGGGAATAAAGGGGAAACGAGGTTTCAGGTGCAACCCGCTCTGCGACTGATTCACTGATCCAAATTGATCAAGCCGTTTTGATTCAAATCCACAGACAGATATGAAGGAGCCATTTCGTTCGTTTGTTGTCATTTGCTTCTTCAGCTTGCGGACGTGTCACGTAAGCGAAGGCAGGTTGCATCCCCGTACGGATTGGCACCTAACGTTAATGACGGACCATGGCTGGGGACTTTAGTCCCCCGTCAACCCTGCAACTTCTGGCGCGCCTCCTGCGACCAAATCATATGTCAGAACGGCTTGCAAAGGAAGCATCTTCAGAATTATCGGTTTCACGGGCTTCACTCTATCTTACCTTCCTCAACTCAGAGAGCCACAGTGCAACAACTTTCTCTCTCGGACATGAAGAGAATTGTGATGGCAACATTGTTATCTCTCATGGAGCATGTAACACCAGCGGGGGGGAGGGGATGAGGATGTCTAGGAGCCTAATGCATCAGCGATTACGTTTGGTGGAACCACCTATCCTCCAGAGTTGACATGGATATCAAGCTTTTCTATCCGCAGAGCAAATCTCCCGCAGACCCGTCTAATGAGATGGTTTCATAGTATGAGCAGGGGTGTTTTTCCATAATTCATAACAGAATCTCTTCACCTATGTTCACCAGCTATCTCTCGAAAGGAAAAAAGGGCGCGGGCCAAATCATCCGTGGCATTCAATGAATTCTTTGAGATCGTACTCATCATGGTCCTTGAATATGTGAAATCCCTCCCCATATATAGAAGGCTGATAAGCTGGGGAAGTCTTACGGAGTAAAATCATCAACAGCCCTGGTGTGTTACATCTTGCGGTATGTGAGCTTACCAGGACCCCAGATACCAGATAACTGAAGAAACACCTCATCTCATGTGTAGTTGTGCCTCCGAGCTTCTAAATATCGGTGTCCCAATGGAACCCCCACCTCTGGCTGTGCGAGAGTCTTGTGAGCAGTGCTTCTAACTGAATATCTGTAAATCAACTGCTGTCCTTGCCGTCCCATCTATCATTTACCAACAACACGTTGTTAGGCTGGAGATCTGTGCAATACGGAGAGGGCATCAAGGGCCTTTTTGAGGCATACAAAAGGTCGTCTTCCAGGTGCTTTTAACACTACGACAGGAGGGGCGGAGGGTGCTTGCATTTCGTCAAGCAGTGGGCATATACAATGGTGTTTTCGATTTGAAAATGCCTCGCTCATTGTGCAGACCACAGCACAGTACAACAAACTTTTCCTTGTCCGGGTTTCTATTACAGCGTGGAGATACAAACGAAGAAGATATCGAGGTATTCCTAACGCGGGAACATTGCAAGGATTGTGCTCTTTTGCCTGTAACGACGGCTATATGCAGTAGTTGCGTGATGACAGCGCGAAACCCAAGCCCCACCTTTCGACGTTTGTCCTTGGTGTCTTCAAGGAATGCTTGGATGGGGTATCACCCGTTACAGCGTAGACATCATGGGTAAAGCACGAATGCAAGCGTAGATTCTCCACTTGAGTATGAATGAAAGATCCAGTAGTTCCAAACATTTCTGCAAATTTCTAACCCTCGTTCAACCAGCTCGATCCAGATTCCAGACATTCGTAATGGCCAGATCTTGGAGCAGCAAGGATTCCCACCATCAACATGAGACCACTATTTAGGCTGCCAAGAGTGAAGGAGGTTAAAGAAGAGGGGGGTTATGATTATTGTTGTTGTTTCCTGCGCTCCGAGTCCGGTGGAGGTTGTTTGATGAGGGACACCGCCAGAGAGGCAAGGCTGCAACTCGAGATGGAGCTGAGAAATGAAACAAGAGGCGACGCAGAAACACACGCGGCGGGCCATAGCCCTTCATCCCTCATGTTTTACTGCGTTATGCTGTCATCACGAATGTTGGTGAAGTTCCATGTTTAGAAAGCCATGACGAGTTTTAACCCACCAGATTCAAGGGGTCTTGTTTGCCAGAAACGCCCCTGTTGGGGATTAAACGAATGGTTGTTAGCTAAAAGTTAGTTATAGGTGGGTCGGGTTACGGTGTGTTCGAACCCGACCCTCACAATAACCAGGTTATATGCGGAGGCGCAGTCACTCAGCCATCAACACCACTGCATATAACCTGGTTATTGCTGGTGTGTGTTCAATTTCATGTTCATATGTACAGGATACTTGTATTTAGTAAGAGAAATACTATTAAATTCAGGTACATGTGACTTTGCACACAGAAAGTTATATAACCACTAGCTAAATGACCTGCTTGGCTTCACCCCTACTAAAGAGCTACTGATCTCAGACACTGCATAGAAGTGTAAGTCAACTGCCTGAGTGTTGTACACAGCTCATACAACTAAGCCTAACTCTATAATAATAATATATATACATCTATAATAATAATGGAGAAATGGAGATCAAAGAGAGAGAACAGAACAGAACAGAACAGAAAAATGAAAGCTTCATACATACTCTATTCAATGAGAATGGGATTATTCTGTGCATCAGACTGAGCATCATGACCCATATCATCTGCTGCTGATGCTTGTAGCTGTGATGGCTGTCTATTATAGAAATCATCATACATATCAGACTAATCTGCAGAGCTGTGAAGAGAGCAGCACACTGCATGATCACATCATTTGCAGTTGATATATACTCCTTCAAAGTGATCATACACACAGCAGCACAATGAGAATGGTTTAAGCTCAGAGAATATACAACACTGCATACAGCCTGTGACAAGAGTTCTACCATGGGATTGAATCAGAATGACATTGATGTATGATGGATGATGAGACAATACTTGATCAGCTCTGATACATGTATGGATGTATAATATATCAAAGTCAGAGACAGCAAGCAGAGTACAGAATTGAAGACTATAACAAAATATACCCAGCTGAAGATTGCTGATATATATTATGCTATACTCTGATCATTTCTGCCACCCACCTTGATGTTCAGCAGCTGAATGATATGAGTCAATCAACTCAGTCTGAGTCAGATTTCACTGAATAATGACAGAATTGTATGAAATGAGAGCTCTTGTATTATAATCAGCTTTCTATACTGTACAGTAGAGAAGCAGAGAAATACTCACATTGTTTATAGAGAGAGAAAAGAAAGAGAACACTGTTGAAGAACAGAAGAGAGCTGATCTTCTTTTTTGTAAAAAAAAAAAATCAAAAATCTTCTCTGACTATATACACAAGTTTCTGTCAGTGTCCTTCTTCTTTGATATGATGAAATGAACATCTCATGCAGTGTATGAAGTGAGAAAAAGACAGAGTAGACAGTGAATGAGTGATCTTGATGAATTCCAACAAGAGAATAATGAATTCTGATGCAAAAGAGATTGTATATACTGATGAATGATAATGAAGAAGCTGAAGAGAGGAAGAGAAAAGAAGTTGAGAGAAGAGACAGAGAAAGAGAGGATTTTATAACCAACTTGTTGTTGTTGTTGTTATGAATGAAAGAGGAAAGTAGAAATGCCTTGCATATAAAAGAGAAAAGAGGAAAAGAGAGAATACTCACTCTTGTGAATTCTGCTGAGGCAGTCTGTGTGTATAAATAAATAAATACTCAAGATTAAAAGATATACAATATAGTATAGTTAATATACACAGATTATCTTCTTGCTCTTCTGAGAAAGACAGAGAGCTTGTTCAGACTCATTCTTAATTGTATACACATCAACTCAAGCTTCTTCATAATCTCTAGAACAGATCTTGATTTCATTGTATGATAATGGCTGAGTATCTCATCAATGATCATCTTCTGCTGAAAAAAGAATATATACTCACTATTCTTCTTTCTTCAGCTAGATCTGTATGATGACTTCAGATACTGCACAGAGAGCTGTTTATTCAACCTCTGTTCTCATTTCTTTCAGAGATCATTGACTGATTGAATTGTATGAAAGAGCTGATATATTCAAATATCATTCTCAGTTGACAATGCTGTAGCAGAAGTGGTGACAGCAGCAGCAGCAGTTGATAAAGAGAAGAATGAAGATACAGATGCAGAGATGAAGAAAATTTTAACAGTATCTTTCTGTACACAGACAGAAACAGAGACAGGCTGAAAGATTCAAAATTCAGTTGTTATTGTATCAATTCCACACTGAATTCTATCAATCTTCTTCTTCATTTGTACATCTCTGATCTTTATCTGATTCATCACCACATTGATCTGTCTCTGTACTAGACTGGCCGGTGGGACCATGAATTTCACATTTGGTTTGGTTTGGTTTGGTCCCAGTCCATTTCTTGGCATTATTTTAGTGGGACCAGGATCAGAATGGGAGTGTAAAGTGACTAGAATTATCAAAACATGAGTGAAATGGGACTAAAAAATCTTGATATTCCATGTAAAGTGACTGACTATCAAAAATAAGAACATGATCTGGGACTGATCATGATTTTGACTCAAGTTTGGTCCCATTCTGATGATTATATAATACATCAATCTGATGATATGATTGGTGGAGATATTACCCCTATCTTGCTTAGTGCTCAATGCCCTGATGGCTCGCTATTAGATCCCCTATCTACCACTGCCAATCTACCTACCACTGCTAATCTATGCCGCTGCCAACCTACCTATCGCTGCTAATCTATCGCTGCTGCCAACCTACCTACCACTGCCAACCTACCTATCGCTGCCAACCTACCTACCACTGCTAATCTATTGCTGCTAATCTATCGCTGCTAATCTATTGCTGCTAATCTATCTATCACTGCTAATCTATCGCTGCCAATCTACCTACCGCTGCCAACCTACCTACCGCTGCCAACCTACCTACCACTGCTAATCTATCACTGCTAATCTATCGCTGCCAACCTATATAGGGTAAATCATGGTCCCATTTGGTCCCATTTTGTAAAATGGGACCAAATGGGACTGAGACCACTAATTTATTAGTAAAACATGATCTGGGACTAGATTTATAATATAAACAGTGTAAAGTGACTAATTTACTAAACACTATATGGGACCAGGACTAAGATATCTAATAATGGGACTGAGGAAAAATTTGGTCCCAGTCCCATGCATGGTCACACGGCCAGTCTACTCTGTACAGTGCTCAGACTTTCAGAAATCTGTGACACTGACTGTTGAAGCATCATTTTCTGTGAAGAAATGAGAACTGACTCTGCAGTCTGTACAGCATCTGCAAACTGTTTATACTCTGCATGCTGAAACACTGAGTTGATCCACAGTGAATGAGTTGGAAATTCTCTCTGAAGAAGAGCAGAATTCTGTAGTATCACTGTATAAAGATAATCTAACAGCTGCAAAAACCTCTGAGCTGCAAGATCATCTGAGTCAAATGAACTTTCACTATCAAGCAGCTTCAGACTCACATCAGAGATCTCAGAAGAAGTGGTATGAGAGAATCTATTCTCAGAATAAAATCAGATAAATCATTCATTCACTCATGATCAGAGAAATTTCTTCAACAGCTCTGATGAAGTGACTGTAGCTTGTGAAAGATGATAATTATTTGACAAGTTAGAATTGAACTCTGCAATCTCTCATATGAACTTCTAATTGATCTGACTGAGATAGCAGCTGATCAAAGAGTCATTATTTCATCACTCAGCTCTGTGGATGCTGCTCTCATTCACTTCATTAAACTCTGTCTTCTGTGCATCTGTGGATCATCTGATGTAAGTTTTCTTTGTTATCTCTGATATATCTGCATATATAAAGAGCTTGTTTGTTCATTTGAGATGAGTTCTGTAGAAGATCTGCTTATACAGATCCTCATTCTTGAGTAAGTGAATATTGTATTAGAGCTGATGATAGTGAAACTGAGACAGAGACTTCTGTACAATATTTCATCTATAGAACAGATAGAATGCAATCTGTGATATTGAATAAAGAATATAATTCTTATACTGTACAACAGTTGAATATTCAAGTCTGTTATTCTGATTTGTTTTATCATTACTCATGATCTGAATAAGAGGTCAGCAGAGTGTTGATTCCTTATTTAACAGCTCAATTATAAACAGATCAGTCAACTGCATCTCTCATCTGAACTGCTCTCTCAGCAGTATATAATGACTCATGAGAAAGTCAGCTGCTGTACAGAGAAGAGGCTCAACTGTATGTCTTCCATCTCTCTGCCACCTCTTTCAGCACTGATATACAAAGTTCATTATATTCAGCTCAGTATAGCTGTCCATCAGAGTGTCTGCATCTCTGTCCATAAACTTTATACATCTTCATATATGTTTTATAGATCTGTGAGCCTTTAATATATTATTCAAGATCTGATCAACTGAATGAGAATGAGAGTTCTTCTATCTGCTCTGCTGTGTACAATACAGATCAACAAAAGCTGCTCAATACTGTTTGATCAGATTCTCTTCTATTGTCTGTACAATCTCTTCTCTCTCAATATTTGTACACTTTCTTTTGAGATGATTCTCTCTGAGTGAACAATTGAGAACTTTCTTATTAAAGAATCAGATTATCTTCTGCTCAGAGACAATCTGATCATCTGAAAACTTCTTTTCATTACATTATTTCTATTGTATGAATAGTGGAGATTGAACAGCAGTGAGAAGTTAGTCTATCAAATTCCATCTTTCTTCATACACAGAAATAAAGAAGAAATAGAAACAAAATAAATCTATATATTATTATTCATTCATTCTGCTTCTCTGTGTATGCTATCTATGTATTCTTTGATCTGCTTTGTCTGCTGATTCTCAGTGCATTCTCTCTCTGTGCTGTCATCTCTACAATAAGATTATACTGTAGCTGCTTTCATGCAGCAGCTGCTTCAACAGCAGTATCAGCAGCAGAGATTATTATCAGTCTTTCTCACTCATACAGAGATGCAAGAGTTTCAAAGTAGATGAATAAGAACAAGAATAGTTAAGAATAGAAATCAATACAAGAGCAGGGGGAGAAGAATACAGTAGTGGGATGATAATTATTAAATACACATTCAGAGAGAGGCTGATACAGTCATCATACATAATATTACAGAAAAGTTACCTCTTTTATATGATCAAAGAAGGTAGCTCACTGTATGGAACATGTATGGGTTATTTGGGGGCCTTGGCTGAACACCATAGGAACACGTGTTCGAACACAGGCAAATCCACCTTCATATAACCACTAGTTAGAGTCAGTCCCCCCATTCTCCGAAGAGTTGGGGTTTCGTATTCTTATTTATGATTACAAAAATAAACGTCCGTTGTTGGAGAAAAACCCCAGCCCAATCCTGCATATAAAGAGGAATCGATCAATGCATTGTGGGCGACAGCAAGGGCACACGGACAAGTAGCTTGTTAGGGACGAGCATGCAACCTGGAAGACGAGGGTGTTATTCCTCTTGTTTTTATTTAAATAGAAACAACCATCGCACGAGGAGAGTCCTCGCCAGCTTCCTCTCGCCAAGCCAGTCTGGATCGAAGCGTCTCACCTTCTCCTCCTCCACCTCCGTCTCGCCCTTCTCGCCCTCCTCCTCTCCTCGGCCGTCCGCCAATCCACGTTCTCAGGCCAGCGACGGCTTGTCACAGATCTTGCGCCGCCGCATGTTTCGAGTTGCGGCCAGAGCCAATCAGGGCCCATAGCCGCCGATCTTTGTTTTACCTTTCGCTGGGCCTCCAAGGTTCAAACCTCACCCACTCCTTCAACCTCGTCTGTAGCGTCTTTCATGCGCTTGCAGCTTTTGCGACTTTTTCTCTTCGTGAAGGGGATTTCATAGTGTTGCTCCGCCTGAGGTTGTCGTTGTTGTTGCTGTTGCTGTTGTCACTGGTGGTGTTTCCAGCGGTGTCGCCTTCACGGTCCGTTCGTTATTCAACTCCGCACGCCCCGCCAGCTCTACAGGCCTCCACTTCGCTTCGATCGAACCCTCTCCGACATTTGTGCCTTTCCCGGGCACCTCTTCCTAGTTTTGAAACTTCAACTCATTCCCCCCAGTCCGACAATACAGAGTGCCAAAGTCTTCCCCTGTTACATTCTGAAGTGTCTAGCCGTGGCCGTTTAATAAAAAGCGTATCCCCAGATCATGTCAACAAATCTTTGAGCATATCGATTAAGTTACTCTTCTCTTGGAAAACGATCGTACTTAATTTTTGTGGAAGGTATGTATGTCCCTTTGATTCCATATCCGGTGACAAAAGAGGTCTGTTTGTGGTCCAAGCATTAATCGGTATCTCCAGTTTCCTCTGAGCTGGGCTGTTATCTCCACCAACTCTCCTTGCCGATGAGAACTTTCGTCAAAGTATCATATTTCCCCAACCACAAGCGAATGTGCGCCACAAACCAACCGTATACTACTCGTTGCATTCTGCGCTGGCGTTGACAGCCTCGATTTCACTACAGTACCTTCATCCTGAATTCGTGGGTCTGTCAAAAGCCCTGGGTGCGAAACGATGTTGAGCTCCCAACCCCAATACTCTGCCGGATTGCCATTACACACTCCATCCCAACTACCGTCATCTATATCTACTCCCTATATGTCTTTACCGTCCCACAAATCGGGTCTCCCCACGGCTACTCGCGATGGCCCATTCTCTAGCCCGACAGAGTCCGAATTCTCAGACGGTTATGACGGGCTGGACTCTGTTCGGTGGGTTCATGATTTAATCGGCGGGCCTACTTGTGATCAAGACTGACAAGTTTCTACATAGGTCCTGGGATGAGAAGCAGGTGATAGATTGGCTACATAGCATACGGTGTGGACAGTATGAAGCGCTGTTCAAAGGTATGGGATACTTTTTCGTTACCTTCGGATTGAACATACTCGAGATCCATGACGCCATCATTCGTCTGCTGACACATTTGAACCTCTAGCGAATCACTTTAATGGGGATAATCTCCTTGACTGCGATCAGAAGATCCTACAGGAAATGGGGATCAAGAAAATCGGAGACCGAGTGCGGATTTTCGTTGCCATCAAACAACTCAGGAACAAGAACGTATCGAATCGCAAAAAGCGGAACAGGGTAAGTCATGTTTTTTAAGTCCTTATAACTAGTTCTTTTGCTCATCAAAATATTATGTTTAGGCTTCGTTGGCTGCCCTTGATTCTGCCCAATACACACCCCCTTCCTCCGAATCTCCCCGCCCAGCAAATTCTCGACAACAGGCTGCGGGGAACCGTCGATGGTCTCGACAGGTCGACCTTCCATCGCTCACGGGCTACAACACAAGTTACACAACATCAGGGAGAACGTCATCAAGGCCTTCCTCTCCTCCAGCAGATTCCGACCGTGGCCTGCGGTCATATCGATATCCAGGTGTTAGTCCGATGGAAAATTCACGGAGGGAACAAGGTTCGAATTCCTTCAACGATTATTCTAATTGCACATCTTCTAACTCAGGGTGCTATCCAGTAACTCCAGGTGAAGTTCCGCAAACTGCCAGAACGGTCATGCACATCAGACAAAACCCCAGCATGGATGGAATTACCATGAGCTCACTTCCACCTAATTCACCTGTTATACGAGTAATACATTCCGGCGGTCAGACGAAAGTCTTGAATATAAAGCATTGTAAAACCCCCGAGGATATTTTCATTTGCGTTCTAAGAAAACTTCTGCTTCCCGAGTCCCACTATAGAAACTATTGTTTTTATGTCCTCGACGGCCTGGATCCTAACCCAGGCAACTGTCGTCGCTTGACTGATTCGGAGCTACTGAAGATATGCGATGGCCTCCATAGATCGGAACGTGGCCGCCTGATTTTGAGGAAAATCCATGCTGGAGAACCAGAGCCGGAGGAACTCCAAAGAGCTGCCCAGATTGCTCTTGACGAAAGCCAAACAGCCCATCTGAATGCTCTTAGCGGGACCAATGTGCGAAATCAGATTAAACTCCAAAAGCTCACCGGTGAATCATGGCATAACATCAGACAACCTCTCTCCCCCTTATCAGCCACTGACCGCAATAGAGAAGAGTTCCAAAGACCAACCCCTTCGGAACGACACCAGTCCGCGAAATTGCGATCATTTTTCGGTGCCCGTCCGCCTAGTGAAATGATTATTCACGAACTTACGTCGTATTTCCCAAGCCACCAGAAGGAAGATATTGAGAAGACGATGCGTTTATCCGTGCGAAGATCACAGCGTATGAGCCGTGCTGCAAGCCGACTGAGTGTTGTTAGTAACCTTAGTTACGCCTCTAGTTTGAAAGATGCACCACCTATCCCTAGTATTGCAGACACCTGGTTAGCAGGAAATAATGGGCCTGCAAGGCCGGCGAGACCCTTATCTGTTTCCAAGTTCAACTTAACCCAGACGTCATTCCGCGATTCCATAGCATCTTCCCTTCAGCCCCTCCAAGAGGAATCTCCCATCGAACCTAACCGAAAATCCTATGTTTCATTTGATAGTGGTTCCGACCACACTCCTGGGGAGACTGATCGTCAGACTTTCCTGGACGAGACAATTAGCCTCTCTGCCACGGACGGGGCTGGATCAATCAATGAACGCCTTAGCATCATAGTTGCAGAGGATGGAGAGGAACAGGATGACGGGTTGACTGCTTTCCTGGCTGGCGACAATTTCGGGAACAAAAACTGGATGAAGGGATCCCTAATTGGTGAAGGATCATTTGGAAGTGTCTTCCTAGCTCTGCATTCCATCACTGGAGAACTTATGGCTGTCAAGCAAGTAGAGCTGCCATCCGCGACCAAAGGAACAGAGTTCGACCAAAGGAAGAACAGTATGGTCACCGCTCTCAAGCACGAAATCGACCTCCTCCAGGGCTTGCAACATCCAAACATTGTGCAGTATCTAGGGACATCCACTGATGAACAACACCTCAATATTTTCCTCGAGTACGTCCCTGGGGGCTCCATTGCAATGATGCTCAAACAATACAACACTTTCCAAGAGCCGTTAATCAAGAACTTCGTCCGTCAAATCTTAGCAGGCCTCTCGTACCTGCACAGCCGCGACATCATCCACCGGGATATCAAGGGCGCCAACGTCCTTGTCGATAACAAGGGCGGCATTAAAATATCCGACTTTGGTATCTCCAAGCGCGTTGAGGCTTCGACCGTGCTGGGAAGCGGTGCCAATCTAGGCGGTGGCGGCCATATACATCGCCCCTCTCTCCAAGGCAGTGTATACTGGATGGCACCCGAGGTCGTGCGACAGACGGCCCATACGAAGAAAGCCGACATCTGGAGTCTGGGATGTCTCGTCGTTGAGATGTTCATTGGCGCCCACCCGTTCCCCGACTGCAGTCAGCTACAGGCTATCTTTGCCATTGGCAGTAATCAGGCACGTCCGCCGCCGCCGGAAAATGCTAGCAAGGAGGCCATGGCGTTCTTGGATATGACGTTTGAGATCAATCATGAGAAACGCCCTAGTGCGGATGAATTGCTTAGCAGCTCATTCCTGTCACAGACGATCCCTTGAAAACTATAATAACATCCGCCAATAAGCTGGATTTATGTTTGGGGTATGATTCATGTATTGGGGCTCTTGTCGTTTCCGTTGTTTTTCGTTCGCCTGCATCTTTTTTCTTTCTTCGTTGTTCACGCTGCCTTCTGAACGATTCTCGCTCTTATCAGAGCAATTGATGTCTTTTCGTTAATTGTGTGGGGTTTATGCAGCAAACCTGCTTTTGCTCAAGATACTGACCCTCCACTTATCACTGATGTCATCCATACATGGATCACCATGGAATTTCTCTCTGATCCTACTATTCCACGTATACGTACTTCACGATCGTCCCCGAACACCACAATATTCACGATACTGAATTGTTAGCATTTCGCCCCTCGATACATGTCATTTGTTTCTGCGCTTCATCCGCTCTAGCTGGCCCTAGCCTGTTCACGATGCAATTTTTTCTCTGCGATGAATTTCCTAAGCCGCATTGATCGTCATTTCCAATGTTCAGAGAAAATTTTTTGGGGATATATTTATATATAAATATGTTTGCTTGCTGGCTTTAATTTTTCTCAAGTCAAATCATGAAGCGGGTCTTTGTTTCTTATTCTTTTTTTCTTTCCTCTTTTTTTGCTTTTTGATTAAAAAAATTAATTTCCTATTTAGAACAAATGCATTTCATGCCATATCACAGTTACAGCACTTTTCTTTTTTTCAAAATTTTCTTTCATCACTTCTCATTGTCTATACATCTGCATAGTGAATGAGTTTGAGGACGGGAAGTATATCCTTTTGCTGTGTCACAAGAAGAATCAATATGGCAAAATTTTGCACGCTTTTTATCACTGATGATATAGTAATGAGAGTTTATGACCAAAAGACTGGTAGGCTCCATTAACAGGATTTTTTTAAGTTCAACCTGTTGTTTATATAGTACATTGATGAATTAGAATATTGTATCCTTTTTCTTTTCTGGGTTTTTAATTATGTCTTCGTGATTCTAGATTATAATTTAGTTGCTGGTATACCTAATACTTTGCCAGCGAGGTCCAACCAAGTTCACAAAAAAAAAAAAAAAAAAAGGGAGGGGGAGCCGCAAATATTGTAGGCAGCTAAGTGAAAATGTGGGAAAATATTAAATCGGCAAAATATCCAAAATCCCCGGGAAAAAGTGGCAGTATACTAATAAAACGAATATATTGTACAGTACAACCGCAGTAGACAAAAATGGTCTAAACTGAAGAAATAATGTAAATCATGCAGCCACAAAAAGAAAACAGAACAAACGCCAACATTCCCCCCCAGTGTATTTTTCTTTTTGGCTCAAGTTTGGTTCCTAATTTACATATTTCCCATAGAATGGAATGCCCATCGCATTGAGGAGGAGTCGGGCATCCTTGTCTGTTTTGGCTGTTGTGTGAATTGTTATGTGGCAACCAGGTATCATAGCTGGCGGGTACCTATAAAAGCAGAAAATGACCACGATTAGTTATGCATTTCGAAGCAAGATGAGAGAAAAAGAATAGTAATAGTAGGGTATCCGGAGGTTGGGGGTTGCTGCAAGACGTACATATCATAATTCACCTCGATCTCCGGGAACAGAGCCACCATATCCGGATCAAGGCCAAACGAGATATTTCCGCTACTATCCCCACTGCTCCCCTTGACACCCTTCCAGTCCTTGATCCTAGGCATCACCACGTCTACCAATTTCCCAAAGAAGTGATACATGTCCTCGCCCTTCAGCTCGGCCGTAACAGCAATATACGCCTTGCCAGGCACAACACCCCACTTCGCGACGTTGCCCTTCATCTTATGTGTCTGCACGCGCACATTAGAAATGGCTTGTATAGCCATACCGGCCACATGCAGCGGCCCCGAACCTTTCTCTATAACCTGGTTCACATAGCTGTGAAGCGTGATCTTGTCAAGTTTAGGGATGTTGCGGAATGTTATGGGTTTCCGGAGAAGGCGGAGGACGTCGCCTCCACGTGGTCCTCGGAGTGGTCTGTTGGAGTGATAGGGGGAACTATCATCCCAGCCACGAAGGCGCTGGGGGGTTGGGGGTGGTCTAAATCCCGGCGGGTTGTGTACGTAGCAGAGGGTGAGGATATCGTGGGATATTGTAGATTCATAGGTTTGCTCGACTCGGGGGAGGGTGAAAGGGCCGGGGATGAATTGGCGGGAGGCGGGATCCCAGGCTGGTGGCGGACGATGGGGATGAAGAGGACCACGGTCATATTTTGGAGGGCGAAATTGGTAGCTAGATTGGCAGGTGTGAGAAATTGTGAGAAGTTGGAGAAAGAAGAGGACCGAACCTGGGGAGTGATCCCTGGGCGGAAATCGGGAAAGCAAGGGGTCTAATTAATTAGGCATTAGAAAGGTCCGAAAAACCTACCGACTAGGAGGCAATGGCTTCTTCCGCTCTTTGGTCCTTGCTACTGGATCAAAGGCCTCAATTTCATTTTCTGGGAAGGAAGAGGGTTGGGAGAAGCTTGAGTTTGTCTCGAGGTCATCTGTGATGGTTTCAGGAAGGGCGGTAGAAGACGCATTGCGGCGGCATGATGGGGTCCTGGGGCTGGATAAGGATATAAGGGCTTTGGGGAGCACCCTGGAAATGTGAATTGGTGGCTCGCAGAGAACTAATGCTGCCATGTTGTGTATTTTTTGTTCCCTAGCCTTCGGACTTTGGTGATATCAGAAGATTTGCGATGAGAATTTTATGGGAGCTAGGCTTCCGAGTATGAACTAGCGCCCCACACAGTAGATAGCAACCGCCAATGGCGTCACGTGGTTGATAACTGACTAATCAATAAGCTGCGGCTCATTCACTCAACTAAACGGGGAAGGTATACTTTGCTAGCCTGATGCTGTAAATCTGACGGATTAAATAACGCCACCGCGGATCACTCAAGAGATACTATCTACTTCATCATAGATTACAGCTTATAACATCTGAGCTCCCTGAATATAGTTCTGGTTTTGGTCTTTCTTCATCCATCATCTTAAGAATCGATATCACATCGCCTAGAGCCCAGATCTATAAGAACGTCCTGTGGGGGTATCAGCTGCCATAACTGAACCATCAGACAACATCCCTCGAAATCAGACATGTACCCGTGACTTGGCCCCGTTTGCTACAATCGGGTATGTATAGCACGTTTAATTATGCAGCCTAGTGATGTTGTCATTCCTGCTGATGCGTTCTTGTCCTTGGGACCAGGTTGCGGGGGCGGACTTTAAAGTATGCCTGATCCAAGGTCCAGCATACATTTTAAGTTCTGTACCTTAAAAAAATCCGTTTCTTTTCTTACCAATATATGAAAGCTCATTGCGATTAGTCCGTTCGACATGAATGGAATTCAGAAATTTCTCTCCAAAAGAGAGGGACGAAGCAAATCGAGAAGTACATCCCCTTTGAAGTGGCGACGGATGCTAGATTCTGGTAATGTGGGTTAAGCGAATCCTTGGTTTCGGGTTTCTATGACCATGGGCAATCTATGCATGTACTGCAAGACTCCGACTGATCCCTATTCTGTAGAATCCCGCCCCTAAACTACTCCCCTCGCCACATTTGACTCTGTTCTCATCGGACAAATCGAGCTACGACAATAGTACCAAAGTTGAGGAAGAGGACGACAAGGTTAGCGCTGAGGAACCCTCATTGTTTATTACTTTCCTAATATGTATAACAGATTAAAGAGATCCAACGAGGCTCTCGAACATAGGAGTTACCACTCTAGGAAAGCCGCAAATTCGATATGCCCTCCGGTCCAAAATCGCTTGTGGTCGTGTGAACGAAGCATACGAACTGCTTATTCTTCTTGATGATTCTCTCCACGGCATCTTGAGATTTTACAATCCTTCCATTAAATTACTAGGTGCCGAAAATCGAAATGGAGTCACATGCTATCTGGATGCCCTTCTCTTCGCAATGTTTGCTCGCTTGGATTGTTTTGAAGCAATCCTATACAACTCGTTCGATGATGAACCTCGACAGAATTTGTCAGTGCTTTTAAGGCTATGGGTGAATCTGTTAAGATCTGGGAAATTGATTACCACCGATTTCGTAGGTTTTTTCCTTTCGTTAGCTCTGCCATTTCACGGAAACCTAGGTTGTGATACCATTATGAGACAACACTAACATGCATATCTGACAGACGAAACAAATCCAAGACGCACTGGCAAAGTGTGGATGGCATGCTGCTGCGGGAGGGCAGCAGCAAGATGTCTCCGAAGCGTTCACATTCATTACTGAGAAGCTCAATCTTCCGCTACTCACTTTGAAAATGGATATTTTTCATACAGGAAGAGAAGAAGCAGGTGATGACCATAAGTTTATAAACGAGCGACTACTTGAAGTCGCAATCCCTTCTGAAACGGTTGACGGCAAGCCCATAACTTTGGAGGCCTGTCTTGAAAACTACTTCAACAACCGTATTGACGTCAAAAGATATCTGGAACGTAGAAATACAGGGATGTCTGTAAGCTCAATGGATTCTGTGGCAAAGGAATCGTTTATCCATGTCGAAACAACCGACCTAGGTACTTCGTCGCAAACCGCGTCTCCAATTTCTGCATCATCTTTCTTCTCGAAAACCACCCAAATAACCAACTATCCTTCTCCTCTACCCGAAACAACCCATCCAATGAATCCAAACTCTCGTATGCGCTCGACCAGCATAGTAATGGAAAGATTCATTCCTGAGAATAAACTCAAGGAAAATGAAGGCAAGACTAATGGAGTGACACCGAATAATGCCCGGAAAGGGAGTCTTCGCAAAGAGGTCATGATGCCTGCTTGGCAGATATTTAGCTTAATACGTAAGTAATGTGCTGGGCAATTGTGGAAATGTCCCTAATCAATTTAATAGCCTGGTACACCGACAGTACACTCAGCGACGCACAATCCGCAATTCATTTCTCTTCCCGAAGGCCTATTCTTGGAATTTGTTTAAAACGCTACTCTGTGCTCCCTAATGGAAACGCAGTGCGCCTAAATACCTTTGTTGATATCCCGATCGAAATTGGACTCCCTCATTTCATCCAGGATGATGAAATGGAAAACGAAGGCCCGTTATGTGGGAATTTCAAACTTTCTCTACAGGCTGTAATTTGCCATCGTGGAAACTCCGTCGAGTCCGGCCATTATATAGCCTTAGTCAGGGGCACTTCGCTTAATGACCCCGATAAGTCTTCGAAGTACTGCCGTCACTGGATGCGTTTCGATGATTTAACCCAGGAAAGAATCACACTTGTCGATATAGAAAAGGCGCTAGTCGAAGAGTCCCCTTATCTCCTTTTCTACCAAATATTGCCCATAGACGATGATTCTGAAACAGTTTCCCGCGGGCGCCTCTCATCTTCCAACGACGAGGAGGCGCAATCTCGAAAACTATTTCATAATCCGTACCCGGATGTAACGGTGAATGACAGTTCTGATGTTGAAACAGATGGTGTACTTCATGATCACTACCCTAATCATCGGTTCGAATCCCCTGGCGCGTCATCTCCTAATTCACAAATCCGTTTTCCTGCGGAAGCAAACGATGAATTTGTTGGTGATCGAGTTAAGTCTACCTTGTCCTCCGAAGGAACGTCTACATCCGCGAATGCTGTTCGTTCAATTAGCCGGGAAATGCCAGATGTGGTGGATGATGGGCACATGATTCATGCATCTACGAAAAATGATACTATAGTTGTTGTTGAGCCCACATCCGACGTCGATTTCGAAGGGAGCAACACCAGAAGCTCTAGGGTTGAAAGGAGAGCACAGGCCAAACATGCAATGCTGGCGAAGGAAAAACCGGATAATCCTGTGAAGCACCGAAGCCATCATTCTCTGAAGAAAAGAAGTGGAAAACCTGACCGGGAATGTCTAGTAATGTGAAGGAAACCGTAGGATCTTTGGATGTTTCTCTTGGGTATGATGCTTACTCCAATCCTCACCTGGTTTGTATGGCCTTGGAAACGATAACGATGATGACGATGATGATGATGAATGACCCTCATCCATGCTTGTTCATATTGCTACCATTATTGGCATATTTTCCCTCCTGTCCTTCAATAGCTGTAGAATTAAACACGACATCGCAACATTACTCTTTTCAAGTTCTTCCTTCTCGACGACTGGTGATTATGTAACGAACGATAGCCAATGACGTTGGGCTAGAGTCTTGGCACAGCATCAAGCAGGAAGCTCTTCTCAGAGGCATCTGCCCTTTGATATCACAACACGCAACCAGGATCCCGATATGTTATAACTTTTTGCATCTCAGCGCATAATGGCGCTGGATGGGTCAAGCGGCTATGTTGCTGCCAGCAGCTTGGCTAAGCTTGCGGACACCGCCACACCTATCTTCAATGTCGAGAGGGTTCAACTGAAGTTCTCCATTGGGGCGGACTTCGTTGCAGCGCAGGTCGCGAATAATGTTCTTATTCTTGCTTTAGCTTCTGGAAGAATTTTGCGGATCGATCTGGATAATGCAGAAGACATTGATGGTAAGATACCCTCGATCTGAATCTGGCCATCTTTCTCTGATGTGAGGAGAGTTGAAAACTGATCAACTTCCAATATAGATATCGATCTGCCAAAAAAGTCTTCAGAGATAGGATTGATTCGTCGTATGTTCCTAGATCCTTCCGCATCGCATCTTATCATTACGACTACGCTCGGTGAAAATTATTACCTCCACACACAGTCGCGACAACCCAAAGCCCTTCCCCGGTTGAAGGGTGTATCGATCGAGAGCATTGCGTGGAATCCTTCTTTACCGACGGCTTCGACTAGAGAGATATTAATTGGTGCAACAGATGGGAATGTGTATGAAGTCTACATCGAGCCTTTATCGGAGTTCTACCGGCGTGACGAAAGGTATGTCAATTCCGTGTACAAAATCCCTGGCTCGGCGGTCACAGGGATTTGGGTGGGTTCAGTCCCAGGAAAGCAGGATTACAGAAACATAATACTATCATCAACTGGGAAGATATTGTATTTCATGGGATGTGTGGAGAAACATGGTAAAGAAGGCGGCAGCTCAATATATGCGGACCTATTTCATAAGGAAAACCCCGTCGTTCATGAGATCTCAGTCTTATCCCCGTCGGCGCCTTCACTACTTTCAATCCAACCCGATCCCCCAGAGGGTGAATATTGCGATGAATATGGTTATGAAGAAACCACAGGAAAGCAGTTTGCATGGCTCTCTTCGCAAGGGGTCTTGTACGGGACTGTGCAGACATCCTCATCACCCCCGGAACTAGGAAATCGTGTTTTTGACAAGGCCAAATTGTTGGCCAGATCCGTTTTGCCAGCATCCGAGTCTGCCAGAGGAGGCCGAAAATTGATCCAGGACCCCATTAAAGGGATGACTTTGACACAGTGGCATATTTTGACCCTAGTCGAAGGTCGCATTGTCGCAGTCAATCGGCTCAGCGGGGAGATTGTATATGATCAGGCTGTTCTCGAGCCACGCGAGAGTGCTCTTGGCCTAGTGGCAGATCAGAAGAAAAATACATATTGGCTCTTCGCTGGCCAGGAAATCTTTGAGATTGCGGCCAATGATGAAGACAGGGATGTATGGAAAGTCTTTTTGAAAGAGCAGAAATTTGATGCTGCTCTTCGGTATGCTCGTGGATCGGCGCAGAAAGACGCTGTTGCAACAGCGTCTGGTGACTATCTCGCGAGCAAGGGCCAGTATCTTGAAGCTGCCTCGGTGTGGGGTAAAAGCAGCAAAAGCTTTGAGGAGGTCTGCCTCACATTTATGAATGAAGGGAAAAACGATGCTCTGAGAAAATACCTTCTGACACAAATGTCAACGTATAAGAAATCTGCAATAATGCAACGGACGATGATTTCAAGTTGGCTTGTGGAAGTTTTCATGTCCAAGCTCAACTCACTTGAAGACGCTATTGCAACGAAAGCCGAGTTAGTCGAAGGGTCCAATGCGGGGGAATCTAAAGATGCACTCAACGATGTTCGTGTTGAATTTCAGGACTTCGTTAAAAGATATAAAACCGACCTCGATCCGAAAACTGTATATGAGATTGTTGGTAGTCATGGAAGAGAGGAGGAGCTGTTATATTTTGCGACCGCGACAAACGATTACAATTTTGTGCTCTCGTACTGGATCCAACGAGAGAAATGGACTGAGGCTCTGAATGTGCTTAAGAAGCAGACGGACCCGGACGTTTTCTACAAATATAGCAGTGTCCTCATGACGCATGTTGCTACGGATTTAGTTGATATATTAATGAGACAGATCGACCTAGACCCTCAGAAGCTCATTCCTGCCCTTTTGAGTTACAACAATACTACGAATGTCCCACTCAGCCAAAACCAGGCCGTTCGATATCTGAACTTCATAATTGCAAACCATCCCGACCCGTCAGCAGCAGTACACAACACGCTAATTTCCATCCATGCTGCCCACCCCTCTTCATCGGAAACTGCGTTGCTAACATACCTCTCCTCTCAACCTTCATCTCCACCACCATATGATGCCGATTTTGCGCTTCGCTTATGCATTCAGCATAACCGTGTCCAGTCATGTGTTCACATCTATACTACCATGTGCCAATATCCGCAAGCTGTAGAGCTTGCTCTAAAGCACAATGACATTGAACTCGCCGCATATGTTGCCGATCTGCCTGAGGGAAATGACAAGCTTCGCAAGAAGCTCTGGCTCCTAGTAGCCGAGAAAAAAATCCGCCAACCAGGTACCGGAATCAAAGATGCGATTGAATTTCTGCGTCGCTGCGAGCTTCTTCGTATAGAAGACCTTATCCCCTTCTTCCCTGATTTTGTCGTCGTCGATGATTTCAAGGACGAGATTTGTGCGGCGTTGGAAGACTACTCGCGACACATCGATTCATTGCGGCAGGAAATGGACAATTCTGCACGCACAGCAGAACAGATACGAAACGAGATTGCGGCCCTGGAAACCCGATATGCTATTGTTGAACCTGGGGAAAAATGTTGGATATGTTCCTTACCTGTGCTCAGTCGACAATTTTTCGTCTTCCCATGCCAACATGCATTCCACAGTGACTGCTTAGGGAAGAAAGTACTAGGTGCGGCTGGGCCTGGGAAGAGGAAACGTATTCGTGATCTGCAGATCGAAATGAGCAAGGAGACAAATACTGGAGGAATGAGGGAGAAGGTAATACGCGATTTGGATGGGTTGATCGCTGAAGCTTGGTAGGTTCCGGCAGTTTAACTTAAAACTTTCCTATTTCGTTTTTTCCCTTTGCTTTTCGTATCATACATAGTATCATCACATTTCAACATTCAGAAATATTTCAGATCACTAACCTAAGTATTGGTAAATAGCATTCTCTGTGGTGAATACGCGATCAAGCAAATCGACGAACCATTCATTAGTGCTACTGACAATCGCGATGAATGGGCGATGTGAAGTACCGTCAGCCAACAGTACCACGCCAAAGGTTTAATGCTATTTTGCAACCTGAAACCAAGTCGGTTTTCAATAAAAAGTTCCGTACTTTAAGGCGACTGTACCTTTCTCCACTGTTGGTTCTTCTTGTGCTTTTCTATCTTTTTATTTAGTAATTCATTTACATCGTCGCTGAGCACTACGCCACCCTTACCCCCAAACCTCAACTCCATCACCCTTCCTTAAACATATATTCTTAACATTTTTCGTGTATATATCTCGATCTACATGTTTAAGAAATCATATTCACTTACTAGCTATTGTCCTTGCACGTTATTATATCGCTCATAGGCCAATGGCCCACAACGCCATGGGCCAGATGGATGAAGCTTTCCCGTAAGTATGAATTTCGAGGTTAGTACGGTTAGTATCAATGAGTCGACACCGATGGGATATCTGAAACAAATGGCAATCAAGAGCGATACGAAGCACTTCCTTTCCGTGCTGTGATGCAATAAATCTGGACGTCGTCAAAGGGCTGAAGAAACTACTGCGGATTACTTGGATCTACGCCTACTGACATCGCAATCAAAGTAAGTTTGTACCCAAGTCCTTCCCTTGAGTTAGAATAAAGAATGGTTTTCTAACTATTATAATGATACAGTCCCATTTCAGAAAAGTACCAACAAATTTTCCAGCCTACCTTGCTTGAGCCCTCTTCGCATTGTGGAAGTAAAGGCTAACCGCTTGGACTGTCCACTTATGCCCTTAGAGTCAAGAAGAAAAATCGGAGCTTCCCTCCATTCACGGATGGCGAGGTTCCTTCGGGATCCTCATATCGGGATCAACAAAACATGTCGGAGAAGGGGGGGGGGTTGGGTTTAGCGAAAAATCCCAGGTCAAAAGAAAAACAAAGCCATGCAAGAAAAAATGGACTTTTGTTGATTGACAACGTCCTGAATGATACCATCACCACCGGATTGAGACAGAACTAGAACTACTATAGGATCTACCGAACGTACCAAGCGATCCTTTTTTTTTAAGGGCGCCTTGGGGTTCTACGTAAGACATATCCGTTTCCAACATGGGTCGTGATATCTGAAACAAAGTATGAGAGGGAGAATGGAACGATGGCCATCGCTACTTTTCCTGTTCGTTCGTTAGAGGAATCACCGCCGAACTAAGATTGCGATATGGGTTTTGGAGTATCAAAGGCGAGCAACAAACAACGCCCGTCTCTTGTTTATTTTGGTAAATGGAATTAATGAAGTGAAAGGGTTGGCGGTATGGGCTGGAAGGAGAGTATCCTCATACAGTGGTCAGAGCCAGGGATGGAAATTATCAACGGTTTGGGTAGATAAGAGGGAAGGGCCAGGGCCAACAGTACCAACTTGCGTCAATGATGCCAGACAGAAAAATGACTTATTTAACCTCCTAACTGTGATGGGAGGGAGATATAAAGGAATGGTCGATTCAGGTGTGCTCTATGTGGGCAATACCCAGGCAGGATTTGGCTTGCGCTTTGAAGTTGATGAAAACCTCTACCAAACCCCCCGTAGCAATGAAGCCATTCTGTGAAGTTCTGCGTGCCACCATATTGGTCTTATATGAACCGCTCGGTCTTCAAATCCATCCTGTTGTCATACTGGATCCATGTATTAACACACCCGTACATCCATTTTTTATTCAGGTGAGCCGTATTGTGAGAGATATATCTGCGAGACAATAAAAAAATCACTGCTGCTTATGGGTAATGTGAGGGACAGGCTCTCTGTCGACCTATCTTCATTGGACAATATACTGCGAAAATGATATAAGTCTTAGATCAGAACCATCCCGTCACGTCGAATCGTATTTTGCGCAGCTCTATAGTTCGACAATCACCAATTTCACTCCAGTCTGTCTCTCTGGATTGGTCAGCTCAGTTTCCAAGGAGCATTTTGCTCGTCTTTGGGGTTTACCCTTATTTTCCCTCTCACGATATAGGTGATGCTGTTACAGAGTCTGTACGCTAGGTAAGGTTTCCGACGCTGGCAATTTGGTATACACGGCATAGTACTGTGCTGTAGGTCCAACTCGATCATGCTATTCCTGCCTTGTATTTCGAAAGAAAGACATGTTCGCCTTCATCGATGATGTTGAGAGGCGAGATTTTGAGCGGCCAGAAATACAATATGGTTTCTCGTCGCTTATCCATTGGCCGCTGCGAGAGCTTGATGGCGTCCACGTGATAAGACAGGTCGGCCTTCACCAGCTGTCGACCTGGATGGATCAAAAGCGGGACGATATAATCGGCAAAAGGGGGAGTGCATGCATTAATTCAAAGTGGAAGATAAGAAGCGTCGACCATGCAGGCGAATGCTGATTCTCCTGTTCAATTTTCTCTTCTTCACAGTTCTTGCCTCCATTTTCACAATTGCTAGCTTCAATTTTTACCCTCCACTAGCTAATTTGGTCTGATAAGTACGTAGAAATTCGATGCCGTTATCCACACCACTATCAACAGTTGAATTTATTGAATACTAGAACGAAAGGACTATGAAATGGAGGTCGTTGAAAACATAGCTATCCTCAAATATGCGCATTGATCCCAAACCCAAAGAATTGATGCCATATCGGGCATCAATTCGTCCAAGATGCCAGAGACTAGGGTGAACCATCAACCAGCAACGGGGATTTAATGAGGGCTCGAATATCAACTTCAAGCAACTCGATGGAATATCAAGCTGTGATCAGCTCCAATGGCGATCCAACGTCATTTTCTTGGAAATTTTTCTTTCTTTTTGGATATTGGATTGGAATCGAGACAAATGCGCCGTGTAGTTTGCTCAAGCAAACTTCTCACCATCGAAGGAAAAGGCTTAACTCGTGGTCCATAAATGCTCTCATGACCACAATTTAGGCTTTAAAACCTCCTTGCAATGAAATGGCTCCCATTCTAGACCTTGGTTGTCAGCCGATCCCAGACTAAACGCCTCTTTCTGGGGTACACCGGACCGATCAACTTGTCAAAAAGGTAAATTATTTACTCATATTGCTTTTTTCTTCCCTTTGTGGAAACTTTGACCTCCACAAGACCTGGCCTCACAGTCTGGGATCCCCATCAACCAGAAGCGGGGAAACCGTGGTTTCCAGCACGCCGCTGAAGGTTCGCCGCTGAATGCTGGCGTCATGTCAATATTTGTGGTGGTGGTTGGTATCATCATCACCGTCAATCAATACAACCCTCCTACTGTTCAATCTCCGACCTGAATCCACTGAATCCATAGGATTCATGAAATTCGAACTTGTCCTTTCGGCTTTTGCGCTCAGCACAAAATACCTATTCGGCCGTATGCGCAAACCTGCACCTGTCAAACCGCATCTCTTCGTTTGAAGGGTATGAAGCGACTGCACAGCGCAAACCCAAAGGTCGCCATTGGACGTGTGTCTCTTGACCAATGGATATGATTTGCAGCTGAAAACTATAATTTTTATCCAATGATGTTATCGCAATTGAGGCCTTTCTTCTCTCTTCCAATCAAACCGCCAGCGGGGAAGCAGGAAGGACACGCATAAAGACACTGCGAAGCTGTTGACCACATGCGCGTTCTGCATTCGCAGAGCAAGCTCAAACTCAGTCTCGAGCACGTCGAGGAACTTGCACATTGGCTTTTTACTTCTGTGCCCTCTCAATCTGAGATATACTGCAGCAAAACGAAGCAAAGGAAATGTTTGATTGGGCGGGAAAGCAGGATGACCTCTGTCCACACATTTGCCAATTCGAGCCAGACTTTCCCCGTCGAGGACGGTGTAATTTTCCGCCATCAGGTGTATCGAATGAATAGTCGGCATATTTACCTTGCACTCCGTTTTCAATCTAGGAAATCAATCATGTCTAAATAGTGTTTAATCCGCAACTTTTGTACCCTCCTTCCTGCGGCAAACAGAGAGAAGCTTGAGGGAATTGGCAAAACGCATCCATGAAGCCACCCTTTGCGGGGTTTCTGCAAGCCAGAATAATAGTTTGGCGAGTATGAGCAGGACGCGCCGGACGGTTGCTTGAGCAAGGAGTTATTGCACCACTTGCTTTCTGATCCCTAACTTTTCCTGCACGTAGGGGTTGTTCAAATCAAAAAACAAATGAACACTCAACCTTCGAAACAATTGACATCATGTGCGCGACAAGAATGCCTGCTTTCAAGTGTAAGATTGCATGGATAGAGAATCACTTGACGCCTGAGAAGTTGGTTGAGCCTGTCCCTTCCTCCCCCTAAAAGGGCGTCAAACCGGTTTCTGGCTGCTAACCTGAAACAATCTAATCAGGAGGAACGGACAGGTCCCTAGCTCCTGATAATTAACTCTTGTAGCTTTGCCGGGACGGAAGTTTATTCGCCTGAAGTCTGGAACAAGAATGATCCCGGAAGGGTGGGCGATAACCGCCCAACATGTTACACCCGTCAGATCAACTTTTGGGCCTTTTTGATTGCTTTTGAACGCTCCCTTTGTCTGCCCCATGCATGTACATGTTCTCAACATGCACCAATTTGACATCTGTTGCTACACGTTACAGAGTCAACAATGTGCTGTACAGCGTTGCAAGTGCTGGTATTGCTGGAAAGTTGACACGTTTACATAGTTCCCTGCTTTCAAGCTTCAGTATTCTCAAGTTACAACTTTTAGTTAGATATAATTATTACATAGTAGATATCCTTTATGCCAGCCAGCGGGGAACCAACAACCGCACTTATTAAACCCTATCACGGTTCAGCGGGAAATGGCCAGCTCACTAAAAATCTAGCTCTCAAAACTTGTTCCCTTCTGTTCGATTTCCAGGCATAAAACTGAAAACTTAATGCTGTGTTAATCGGGGAATTCTCCGTTTAACCTAGTGGTAAAAGTACATGTACAATTTTACACCTTCTACCACTATTTGAAACCACTTTACAAGTCTCTCAGCCCCTTGATTCGGGCGGGCGTGCCTCATGTTCTCTAGGAAACTACCTTCTTACAGTCTACGGAATACCATTTTTGACCAACGGATATCAAAAACTAGTACCCCCAGCCCAATTGATGACGAGACGAACAGCCTTTCGATGATACTTTGTTTGTGGTGCCTAATGATATGGTTCCGTGGTCATAGCACAGATCTAGATCTCTCTGCTCAGATCTCGAAAGTGTCGTCGTGGCAGTTTGATCTCAACCTTCCCCCCACTTTCATCTTGATATGAAGGATGTCCATATTTACCTGTACCCACAGTCTCAGGTCCTTTCAACAAAATATATCTGATCTGAAGGAGGCCTGAAGGGGCAGATCATCCTCACATTAGATTCAAGTCTTCTCAGATCGCGAATGGGATACGGAAAAGGAATTTAACTGTGTTCGCGGCCCCCTTCCACCACTTGCTTTCTGCTGAGGCTTTGTTTTTTAATTAATTTTCGTGCAGCAAGCTCGAAAGAAGAGTTTCCAGTGCCTCTCCAAGATCCTCACTTCTTGAATTGGGCAACCGCATATCTATGATAAGAGTACTTCTATCCGAGCGGTCATCTTTGATCTATGTAGCCCCCAGAGAATTTCTAGTCGACGGGTTTCTCGAGAAATGCACTACTGCTTCGCTTGTCGCTGCCAGAGAGAGGTTTTTTTTTAAAAATTCGGTCAGGAATACATACATACCCTTAAGCCATTGTCCCCGTACTTTTGTTGAAAATAGCGTGGATAGAATCAAGTGAGGGTGCAAGCTACCAAAAAAAACGGCAGTCAGCAGCACCCAGAACAGGATGGACACATTTGGGGAGTTTCAATGATCTACTTCCGATCAACTGCTTGCACCTAAGAATTGGGGGCGCAGAATGCATCATCGATAGCCGACATCATCGCAGCATAGATAGTACATACTGCCAATGTCAAACCAGCATTTCACAGTTACTAAAAATTGATATCCTCCGTCAAACTAGTCCGAAATCTGGAACAAAAACTCCGGATGATAATAATCCCAGACAAAACAGGGCTGATGCTCGGTTGGCGATTGCAATAAACAATGATTCTTTAATTAGGGATAACTAACCGCAGGGGTCCAATTAGTGAAGTACGCTGTAAAGAGCAAAAATAAAAGGCTAGGGATCGTTGTCCTTTAATTCCGGCATGTTTGTTGTCTTTATTTGGGGCGAAACATATCTTGTTGTATGATATAAACATAGCATGGCGTTTCGAATCAAACGTGGTTGGAAAAGGGGAACTTCTTGAAAGTATCGATAGACAGCTTCGATACCGATCTACCTTTGGTGGTAGCCTCTGCTATTATTCCTTTTCAGGTACACATGTCAGTCCAAGGGAGCGCCTCGAGTCTCAACCCTGACCTGTGCATCAAATCTCTATTTTTAAACTCTGATGACTTCAGGTGCTTTTTCTTGCTTTGGCTTGAAACTGACCAGGAAAAGATTATTACATCACTGAGAACAGCGGTGGCTACATAACTTATAGTTGGATCAAAAGAAAATTCGAGGGATTTTTCTTGCCCAACAACGTGAATATGACTATTGTTGTTAAGAAAAGCGTTGGTGATTTATCGCCATCATAAAAAAAAAAAAAAAAAAAAAATCGACCCTAGCTCTTTCGCATGAAAACCACTCCTCCTTACGGGCTAGGCTGTGTTCCACATTAGCACGCTGCAAGATGAAGAAAAATGGAGGTGAAATAATGGGCGACAACAACAGCGGTGAACTCAAGTTCGTTCAAGGGTACATCATGGACATGTATATAGATGTGTGTCCAAGGTACAGTACATGGAGTCCTGTACCCTTAGCAGGGGGTTACCTGACATGTTATGGCGCGTAGAGCTCCAGAACAGTAAGGACATTTTGATCAAGGCACATACAGTCCACGTACGTGTTTCCAGCGCCTGTCGTTCATACACGTCTCTGTGCCCCTGTTTCGCTGGTTTTGCCCCAGCTGTTGTTTGTTATCTTGGGCCCTTGTATACTGCGTACATCTACAAATATGACTGCCGCCCCGTTCCCATGTTAAACTTGGTGTGGGGGATGGATCTTTTTTTTTTTTTTCTCCCCGCTTCGCAGACCGCTTTATTGCTTTCCCTGACCATCTCGTAGTACGCTGTAAATGTTTCCAAGTGGGTAGAAATATGCATGGATAACCGGTATGCAGTAGTGTGATGGTCAACTAGAATGATGATCGATGAATTGATGTGAAAGGAATGGATTCTGCTTGTGTACATAATGTATCCAACTGGGCTAAGCCGACAACAAGAGCAGTAATAGGACGAGAACCATAGATAGAAGGATTTAGCTCATCAGCGAATTGATGATGCCCGCAGATCCAACGGAAAGAAGTAAGATTTTAATTAACTAACTATTCAATTGAGAAGAAGTAGTAGCAAGAGTGCTGGGATGATAATGGTTTATCAGAAGAAAGTCAGGGACTGATGGTCTTCAGTGCTCTTCTGTGTAGGAGAGTAAGTAAACTTCATATTTGAAGGATAGCTATTTTTTCTTTTCATCAGCTCAAAAGCAGATCACCAAGGTCATGTACGCATATTCATTGCCCCACGTCTACGTCCCATCAACTCCAGTCGGTGTGTCTTTTGCCTCTTCGGCCCTCATCACATCTTGTTGTAAAATTTCCCCAGCCGCTGGTGAGATGCCAGGGTGTGGAAAGTCAAGAATAACGCAGCCCAGTCCTGAAACTGTAAATGGCAATAATCACAGGATCAGCCAACCGCGCCTGCAATCTGGCAATGATATCTGGAGAGGATGTGCACTTTATTGGGTGTTAGTGGAATTCGAAGAAATAATAGTTTGTCCTTGGTGCAGCACCAGATGTTCGGTATACGCTCCGACTCCTCCACGTAGCCCATTACATAACACGCGGTCGGGCGGGGTATCTCCGCGACACTTTCGAAATCCACGACTGGCGTCTCAGGAGGCCGTATTTCCCTGCTGTTCGGCCTGATCCACCTGCGGCCTTGAGACGAGAGATCATCTTGTTTCATGATGGATGGAGGGAGGACGAAATCTGCCGCATGCATGACGGCAGGAGAAGCCAATGAGGGTAATTGGCTTGATCCTTTTTTTTTAGCTGCGTCAAGAGAATCTTCTCGCTCAAGAATGCGAAGCAAATATCCATACATCATGGTCATGGATAAAACTAGCACACAGTGTACTCATTAATACTAGGTTCCTCTGACCCATGCCAGTATCTCGCAACGCAAGTTCGTGTCACGACTCACAACCACCCCTATTTTGGCCCCATTTTGCTCAGGATTCGGCCCGCTCCAGGGCGGCGTAACAACAGAACCACCCCACTTCGCCGCATGACACTGCTCAGTTCAGGAGCAAAGCCCAGCTGTTTTGGAACAACTGTGGAAGACTCTTACTTTCCCCCCAACGCATTCTGCACGAATTTGGTCTCGGATGATGACGCTTTGCGGTTTTGGGTCCTAGCGCCCAGCCGTCCTGAATCATTTGAGCATCGGGCAGCAATCCGACCAGTCATCGAGGGAGGCCCACCCCCCGTTTTTGCCGTCATTTAGCGCTGGCGTCATCAACCGAACCTACGCAGGAGCAGCGAGCTCCGCAGCTCCTCCTTGGCCCGTCCAATGAGCTGGCAGTCGGCCCATGGGACGTGCCTTGCGGGACGAGGGAAGGGCTTGTTGTTGTTGGCTCAACCCCTTTTTTTAGTTTTGAGGAGGAGGCCACTGCACGGAGTCTGTACACGCAGCCAGCATCAGAAAGTGGTTTAGTGTCGTTGACTAGTCTACGCTAGAGAGGTTTGAAACTAAACACGAATATGGGTTTGAGGGCTAGATGCTGCCACCATGGAAGGACGCAATAACGTCTACGGAGTACGTAGCAAATAAGGAGTGGGAGCAATGGACCCTTGAGGCTATGGGAAGTGCTTCTACCAGGTTGTCTGGATACGTAGACTTGCATAATGTTGCGGCCGTTGCGGTGGTGATAAGCGTGGACGGACTGGAGATGTCTCTCTGTTTGTTGTTGTGTCAAACTCTTATTATTGTTTGTTGAGGTTTGTTGGTAGCGGGACTCCGGACTATGTGTCAAGAAAAAGCAAGGTCGGTCGGAAGGCCAGGAAGCACTGTTTCCACGGAACACACTCCGTAATTACCACACCCGCCGGCTGTCTGGGCAAGAGGCCCGGCAGCTAATTAACTCGTTGATTGCGAGCAGCTGGCTTACGTAAAGAGGTTGTGCGTGGCGATTATGATTGGGCCAGCTCCCAGCGCCACGCGCCGACCAAGTCACCAGTGAGTCAAACAAGGTCAGGAGATACCTCGTGGGAACCGCTGACTCGCCACCCTCCGCACGTCATCGTCCCCAGATTGCAGGAGTCGCGAAGTCACGTCGAGGTACCGGCCTTCAACCCAGGTACCAAGGCAGCCCAGTGGCCAGTGCCCAGCGCCCAAAGTGCCCAAAGGCCAAGGCCCTACACCGCCGAAGACGCTTCTTGGCTGTTCTCTCACCTTCCCCCGGATCTCCATCTCAGTCATCATCTCCCTCAGCCATCACATCATCCATTCCTTTTCCCATCCCTCCTCCTTTTTCCTCCTGTCCGTCTTCTCTCCTTCACCTCCTCGTTTCCTATCCATCTCCGTCTCCTCCGTCTCCTCCGTCTTCCATCTTCCGTCTCCCGTCTTCCGTCTCCCATCTCCCATCTTCTCTTCGTCCGTCGTCTCTCCCCATCATCACCTCCTCCTTTCGCCCCATCTCCCACCTACTCTGTTTCGCCTCCTCTTCGAACCCCATCCAGCTACGACCCATCTCGAATCCGGAATGAGAGTGTACTAGTTCAAGGACGAAAGATCTCGTATCCACACTTCTTGGTCCCGCTTCGTTGCGGGTGCACTGCTCTCCTCCGTTCTCCTTCTCTCACCTCCCAAGCCCAACGACCTCGCTTCTCTCGCTTCTGTCAAGAACACCAAAGTAGCCTTCCCTTTTTTTGGTCGTCGTCAATCATCTCTTTTCGTCTCGTTAGGACCAACCAAGCGCCCTCTTCCTCCTCCTGTCGGTCGGGTGGAGTCTTTAGAGAGCCGAAGGAATTCGTTGTGGTCCTCAAGCACAGGGGCTTCAAAA